ACACAATATCATGCAAAAATGTTGGACTTTGAGAACAGATTGTTTACCCGTACTCATATTCCCTCCTCATTCAAAAAGACGGCCACTTTTATTCCAAAGGAGAATTCTCACATCACAAATGGAGATTAATAAGACTATACGTTTTTGTGATATATGCTCCTCTATATGCTTCTTCAGAAAGGGATAATTGTAATGCTAGATCTTGCCACACATACATTAAAGGCAACTCATCCCAAAAATTATCCAACAGGACTCGCTATAAGTGAAAATGATAATGATATTATTGTGGCGTTTCAGTGTATCAAGACAATTTTCAAAATGAATGTAATAGAAACTCCTGTAAAGACAGAAGCTATCACATTGTTTGATGAAGATAGTTATTATGAAAATGGCAATGATGACGACAACAAAGATGATTTAGCAAACACTGCTTGCATTTTTTATGATGTTACGGTAAAATGGACAGCAAGATCTGAGAAATTATTTGGAAACATTTGATTCCGAAATAATAAGAATAATCTCAAAAGAAGGCATGCCTATTTCTTCATTTAAATCTTCATCAGAATATGGTAGTTGTATTGTGTCTGACATTTCTACAAATGATGTTATAGTAGGTTTCTTGGATTATTTCTCCAGATTCAAGATAGATGGAACGCTTATAGACACCTTTGAGCCACCGTCAACAGTATTGGATTTTTCTATTGACACCAACAAAAGAAAATTGTATGTGTTGGATGGAAAAGGTGTGACAAAATATCGTTATTAATACTTGAGATAATGTGTCACAGACGAGGTATTGGAAAAAATTCTCTTTCATCGAAAATCTCAACATTCAGACAGTGAAATAGTCTCCAACTTGTGAGAATGTATTGTACCAGTGCACAATTCTCATCTGAGATAATTTATCAGTGATAATTTTCGATACAAGTTGAGGTTAATGTGAAGGATTTCTATAGGAGTCTGGAATGTATGAATGATATCTGTGCTTGTATGGAGTAACATTAGAATTGACATCTTGATTGACACTTCCATAATTACCCACTGGCGTTGAATGTAAGTGAGTGACTTCCGTTTGCTTAATTGTTGGTAATGAATTATTGTTGATAATGTCGTCATTAATCGACACTACAGTAGTGACTGGATTAATAGTTACTGATGTTGAATTGGCGTTGGGATCAAGAAGTGCTACAGTATCATCTTGTGTTTCTGAAGCAAGATTTTCTTCTGTACTCTCAATCGTCGTGCTTTCTATAATGGGTGGTGTAGCTACAGGATGCTGTGGAATTTGTTCTGGTTGTTGAGGTGGAGGTGGTAATAAACTAACACTATGTCGTTGAACATGTGACGATTCTGCATACAAATTCTTTTTTTTCTTCCCAAATATCAGGTAAAATAACTGGATCAAAGTCCATTGTTAGGTGTCACCAATCCTGCAGAAATGTCAATAATAAAATCTGCCAAATTTGATCCATTAGGTTTTGTAAAACTGAGCTCCTTTTCGAAAAACTCTTCAACTCTATCTTTTGGACCAAGATAAACTGTTCTTCCTCCTTTTCCAAGCAATAGTAAGGTATCAAACATGTTAAATATTTCATACCGAGGTTGGTGAATGACAGTGATTACTGTAATACCACATGAAGCTATTGTTTGAAGGGCTTCACATACTTCCTTAGAACTTGCACTGTTAAATGATGTCATAAATGTGTAAATAAAGTAATAAAACTTACATCCACTTGTTGGTTCGTCCAAAAACAGAACAAAAGGCGAGGAAACCAACTCAATTCCAACATTAACACGCTTTCTTTGCCCTCCAGAGATTCCTCTATTGGATTGATCTCCTATAATGGAATGTCTGACATCTTCTAATCTTAACCCTTGAATGACATCATTCACAATTGACCTAATTTCCGAAGACGATATTTTAGAGTCAAGTCTGGTCTTTGCAGAAAAGTAAAGGGTTTCCTCAACTGTCATTGTAGGTATTATGATATCCTAATTTTCCATTGACATATACTTTACCAACTTGTGTTCCATAGTAAGCTCTATTACTCAATGTTGTCATGAATGTACTTTTACCAGCTCCACTCAATCCTTTTTTCACACAATTATATTACATTATATTCTCAATAATGCCTAGTACTTACCCATGACACCTGTTAATTGACCATGTTTAATTTCACCAGTGACACTCTCAAGAACTGTTTTTCCTGAACCTCTTAAAATCAATCCTAAATCTTTAAATGCAATATCCACATGAAAATTGGGATTTGAAAAGCTCTTGCTGTTTGTTGCTGAATTAGAAGTAGGTTTCTTGACGAATAATGAACTTCTCTCATTTGGATTCTTCATTCTGTACATTTCTCCCAATTTTACAAAGCACTTAAAGTATAATTGGTGCGCCACTAAGCCTTCAGGGCACTCCAATTTCACAGAACTGTTGGGACAATAGTTGCCTATAACAAATTAATTAATTGAATTTTCAACATTTTCAATAACAAACCCTCAGGACATAATTTGAAAGCAAATGATCCCTCAGGACAATATTGAGACTGTTTACATTTTTCAATGGATTTTTCGTCTTTACAATAATAACCTCTTGGGCAGGGTCTGTTGCGAATATCAAATTAAGCAAATGAAACATGAAAGTACTTACGCTTTTCTAACAGTTCCAGCAGGACAGTGATCCATAAAGGAGCTAGTATAATTACAGTAAGATGGTTGAAGAATGGTAGTATTGATGCAATTAGTTCCTTCTGGACACAATAAATCATTAAGGGCTGATTCATTGTGTGCTGTGACAACCACGCTTCTTGCCAAGTTACAGTAATCTCCCTCTTTGCACTCAATCATTCCCAGTGTTTCAATAGAAGAATTGCCAAGACTAAGCTGCATAACAAAAAATCCAGGAGGCGAAGGAATGGGATTCCTATAATTGGTTGTGCATATTGTTCCATTAGGACATGCTGTAGGTCCTGATAATCCATTAGAATAGCAAGTTTCATTAGCTGTTTTTGCATTGCATTTGTAAGGATAAGGCATTCCTGTATAGGGGCAAACATAACCTGGAGGACATGAAAATCTAAATTGTTGATAATGATTATTATGAAATTTTGTAATATTTAGAAACATACTTTCTTCCTAACAAGCAATAACTTCCAATACCATACGATGATTCACATATTGATCTGTAATCATAATTACCAGGGTTGACAATGTGTCTGACATGGTTGTGGTACATGGAAAAACAATGAGTTCCTATAAAACAAACGAATTGTGGCATTGTGATTATAAAAAGTACGTACCTTCCAAGCACAAACTACTAATCATCATGAATTGATTTTCATCAACATCTTTTGGTGGCGCATACAAGCATTCGTCTTTGAAACTTTTTAAAAAAGGATTTTGCGGATCGTTTTTCAAAGTTTCACATACAAGCTTATACCTTTTAGCTGATTCAATTTCCCAAGCTTTCCTGCTCATTGTAATGAACATGTTGTGACCATTGGTTGACAATGATAGGTCCATAATCTTTCCCAATGTTTTAAATCTATTAATTGCAATAAGATTTGTTGAAGCTTGTGGAGTATCGTAACTGATATCTAGAGTCATGGCCAGAACTTCAATTTCTGTATTGTTTTTGGTAATGAAAATATTGTGTTGCCAATAGTTCATAAAAAATGTTAGTAAATTGTTTGCATCACCCATGGCCGTTGCAAAAATTTCAGCATCACAATTCACACTTTGAGCTGCAGAAACACATGCATCTGGATCTGGTGCGTCATCAGAAGGACCCATGTAAGGTAAATTACAAAACAATGCCGCATTTAAATTATCATTATCATGATATGACTTAGTTCCAAAAGTTGTTCTGTTAAAATCTATAAATCTAGAAGTAATAAAAGTAATTTCGTCATCTACTGTATGGTTCTTTTGAACATTCTCATAACAAAAGCCGGTTTCCCAATATTGTGAAGGTTTGCAAGGGTTTCTATGAGCCACATTTGTAATGTTTGTGTCAAACGAATAATTATAAAACTCATGAACAGGATGCAACACAAAAGAATATTCTTCCCACAAATACGTATTCTTAATACCAATGGCAAGGGAAATATTTTGACCTGGAGGAAATTCAATACTCCCACAATCAGCATTTTGATCAAGGTTGAATGATCTTCTATCCATTTCTGAAATCATGGTTGCATAGGTGATTGTTGATCGAGGAGGAGCTTGATAAAACGTAGTAAACTTATCTGGAATTCTAAAATCAATTACAAGACCATCTGATGCACTATCAAATTGTACAATTCTAATTTCCTTATCAGTTTGAATTGACAATAGGCATCTACTAATTCCAAAATATCCTTGCTGTTCAAATACGTGTTCCTGAATTCTCATGAGAATACCAGACGAAAATTGACCATATTGGATGGTGTGTTCTATGTGAATATTTTCATTTCCATCAGGAACATGAATGGTCCAAACAATTTGGTGCAAAAAATTCATCGTTAATCACCAAACTTCCTCTCACAAATGCAATTTTGTAATCCTTTCCTGATGAAAATTTTTGGAATTTTAAAAAAATATCATCATCAACTTCTTTTTACCTCTTTTCATCAAAGACATGGACGAAACACAAGTTCTCAATTATATTGACCAACACGGAAGCATTCAAAACTCGGTCGAGTATGCCCAGAGTGTGAATGTGGATCATCAACAATTGTATGGTATCATCAATAGTTTGACTCTTTCTGAAATTTTAGCCTTTGAAAAGAAGGAGAGCGTTAAAGTTTCTCCAACCAGTGAAGGCTTGGAAATTATTCAAACAGGTCAATCTCCTGAAATTAAATTGATAACTCTTCTCATCAACTCTCCCGATGGAGTTGATGTTTCAATTTTGAAGGAAAAGTTAGGTGCTACTTTCGATGGCGCAGTGATGAACTCGAGAAAGAATCAATGGGTAACCCAAGAAAAAGGATCTTCAATCATGAAGAAAGCCGACAGTGTTGCTCAAATTCCTGAAGATGCTACTTTGAAGCAATTAAAGATCGTTTCAGAAAAATTCGTTTTCACAGAATTAGACAAGGTGAAAGGAAAGAATTTGGAAGAGTTGAAATTAATAGAATACTCGAATTTGAATGTCAAGTATGATACAGATCCAAACTATGCAATTTTGAAACAACAACTTCTCGACCAAGGCAAATTCTTGAGCTCTTCTGCCTTCTCTCAACTCAAATCAAGAAAGCTTGTTAAAGTGGATACTATCAAATACTTTAATGTTACAAAGGGTCCAAAATTCTCCGTTCAAAGACAGAAACAAGAGACAGATTTGACAAGTGATTTGCTTGCTACTGGAAATTGGGAGTCAGCATCCTTCAAGCCATATAACTTTAAAGCTTTTGGTAAAAGAAGTGAAAATGGTTATCTTCATACTTTATTGAAGGTCAGAACTGAATTCCGAAAGGTTTTCCTTGAACTTGGATTTGAAGAAATGGCCACCAATAACTTTGTTGAGAGCTCTTTCTGGAATTTTGATGCCTTGTTCCAACCTCAACAACATCCTGCTCGTGACGCTCATGACACCTTCTTCTTGGAATATCCAAAGGAATGTGTTTCTTTACCTACCGATGGATATGTTGAAACAGTTCAAAAGACTCACGAAAAAGGAGGATTTGGGTCTATTGGTTATCGATATGATTGGAAGCTCGAAGAAGCAAAGAAGAATCTTCTTCGTACACACACAACTGCTGTTAGTAGTCGTTATTTAAGAGAACTCGGTAAAGAGTTACAAAGCGGAGTGCCATTCAGACCAAGAAAATTCTTCTCCATTGATCGTGTTTTCCGTAATGAAACTCCTGATGCTACCCATTTGTGCGAATTCCATCAAATCGAAGGAATGGTTATTGACAAGAATTTAACATTGGGTGACATGATTGGACTTTTTGAACAATTCTTTGCAAAGATTGGTATCACTGATATCAAATTCAAGCCAGCTTACAATCCTTACACCGAACCATCTATGGAAATCTTCGGTAATCACCCTGTGAGAGGATTGGTCGAAGTTGGTAACTCGGGTATGTTCAGACCAGAAATGCTTCTTCCAATGGGCATCCCTGAAGATGTCACTGTTTTGGCTTGGGGTCTCTCGTTGGAAAGACCAACCATGATCAAGTACCGTGTTTCGAACATTAGAGATTTAGTTGGACATGAGGTTGACTTGCGACAAGTACATAAGAATCCTATTTGCAGACTCAACAAGTAAATCATTGTAATTGCATCACTTGTTGCTAGTAGTCTTATTTAAGTTTAGGACTAGTCAAACTACTTAATGTTTTTGAACGCATTGGAGTATTGATCTCATATTGCTTACTCAGTAACATCATTTCATCCGTGTTGGCATAAATTCCTTTCGTTTCAAGAACGAACGCCAATACATCACAATCCAATTTCAAAGAAGTCATTGACTGTAGTAACACTCGCTGAAGATCTAATATCTTACTCGAAATCAATTCGTAAATTACATCCATTTTGAAGTCAATATCCTGAACACTTTCCTCTGTCAAAGTTAACTCTCCCAAATGTTTTCCCAAGTTAGGAATGCAACAATACTGTGAAGGATTCTCAGAAGCTCTTGAAAATACCTCTTTCAAAGCTTTGGTGTAGTTTGCCGAGTTCATATCTGAGCTTGTGAGAGTACGTATTCTTTCGTATTCAATTTCGCTCTCAGTGGAGAGGGCATTGAATGTTTGTTTTAATCGTCCTACAGGGCCACTACTTAAAGCTGAGGCGATCACATACACAGCATAGAAATTGCCCACTCTGTGACAGCAAGAAGCCAAGCTAATCAAATACTCTAACACTTGCACGCGCATACTCTTTTCGTTCTCTTGGACGACCAAACTGGCAAACCAAGTGGAGTAATGATTGAATATGTCAATGTTGTCCAAAATGTTGGGAGACAGATATTTTCGACGACTTTTGGTCCAGTTCGCCCCTATTAACTCTTGAGGTTCAATTGCCAAGAAATACTTGCCAAAAATATAACTCAAATGAGTGGTCATTACTTTTACGTCAATATCCAAAATAGAGAGAAGAGTTCTTGAGAAACTCCTGCTTTGTTTGGATGTGATATTTTTCATTAGTACCTGTTCAAGATGAATCATGATGGTGGAGTGTGACTCATTAGCGCTCTCATACAAGATCCACTTCATAAGAGATTCTTTCCATTTGCAAGAGCATGCTCCGTAAAGAAACCTTAAGGTTTCATCAATAACTTTTTTGTGATTATACTTGCCTGATATTTCAAATTGTGAATATTTAAGGTAGTATTTTGAAAGCCATAATTTTAACAGCAAAAAGGAAGCAGAAGCAGTGTTTTCAAAAAAATCTTCGCAGGGCATGGTAGTTGAAATCTCGTGCTTACAGGAAGATGTATTTTCTGTCAGGTGTTGGATGCACGCTAATAATTCAAATGAAGAAATTCCAAGATTTTGATACATGAGACATAGCTTATCGAGTGGTTTCTCGCTCCTACTAGCCACACATTCCGAGATATATTTCAAAACAGTTTCCAAATGCTCTGGTTCCTCTAATGAGAGTTCCAAGTTGTTGACGTTGTTGGGCAAGGATGGACTCGAATTGAGGTTTGAAAAATCTCTTTGCCATAAGCTGTCATGCAGTAAACTATCTAAATCACATTCCTCAACGATCCTTATCATTTCTTCTTCAAACAATGTATTATTTTCGACGGTACGAAGATATGTAAAGTCCTCTCTTGCCCTTTGTTCGTTCGGTGAGTGAATACCATTCATCTCGTTCATGCAGCATGACCATTCATGATTAAGATTTGAGCTAGTTGATAAAAGAGCCATTTCCGAATTCAATCTGTCATTATTCTTCCACACCGAATCAAGTTTTTTCATTTCCTCAATCAACACAGAAGCACTTTGATGTAAATGATGTTCTCTTAAATACTTCTCAAACAGGTGCAACAACATTTTCTTCTTGATTACACGTTGATCCTTCATCTGTTGTAAATTAATTTCTTCCGTATGATGTCTTTCATCTTCGGAATCTTTTTCCATCTCGATCATGGGGTTGAGCCTCAAGAGTGCTGGAGAAAAAAAGGCATGAAGGGATTTCCTGTTAGTTGAGGGTTTACGCGTTTTCATTTTTTTCAAAAAAAAATGCCTGCAAGTCTCGCTGTGTCAAACATTGCGTGGGAACTCCATCAAGACGATCAAGCGTTAGATTTTCTAAAGGAGAAAGGGGTTGGATTGCTTGAAGTGGCTCCAACAAAGATTATTCCTGAATGGATTGATTTTACTCCAGAGGGTAGGTAATGGTGAAATGATGGAAATATCTTTTTACATGGTCATGGGATACATCGGAAAATGATTTAATCATCCAATAACATTGATTGGATCATCATTTACATTCATGAAATTTTTTCATTGGAAATCATTCATTCAATACAATTCAAAAATACTTCTTTCAGCATGGGGAGGCTTTAAAAAGAAAATTCACGACAAGGGTTTAAGAGTGTCATCCTTCCAAGCTCTTTCTTTCAAAAAGAATGATTTAGAAATTTTCCATACGGATGAGTCACGCAGAGCATACATTGATCATACAAAATTCGTGATTGACTTGGCTTATGAACTTGTGAAGGAGCCAAATAGTGTTGCTGAAAGTGTTCGTCTCGTTTTCGGGTCACCCAAAACAAGAGATCCAAGAGGAAAGACATATGAAGAATGTTTACAAATTGCCACTGTCTTCTTCAGAGAGCTTGGAGAATATTGTTTGAATAAGCACAAGGAATTGGGATTGGAACCAACAGTAGATGGAGTACCAGCTGTTTGTGTATGTCTGGAACCAAATCCAAAAGATTACAGTTGTTTCTTTGGTTATAACATTGAACAAGCATCACAAATTGTTCGTGAAACTAATAATTTAGGCTTTAGGCTTCATTTGGATACAGCTTGCTTGACGATGGCGGGTGACGATTTGTATAGCGCCATTAAGGACAATGCTGACATTGTTCAACATTTTCATGTCAGTGAACCCATGTTGGCCAAATTTCATGATGTCAAATGCCAACACACAAGAGCCGCACAAGCTCTTAAAGAAATTGGTTACAACAAGGTTGTATCCATTGAAATGAGATCTAATGGAGATGACTCTCTCAAAGAATTAGGTGTGGCTATTGATTTTGTGAAAAATACCTACAAGGAAGTTCTTGGATTGTAAATATGAATTTATTTATTGTCAATACTATATACATCTTGATAAATCTGAATTACTTTATTAGAAACATTCATGCTACAACCATTATAATAAACCAACTAATTTATTTGATCATTGTCGACAACTAGTTTCATTTGGATTTTTGTTGGCTCATCTCGCTATTGACATAATTGATGATTTGGTTCAACACATTGGTGGCATTATCAATGTAGCCATCAACATCACTTCCAAAAAGTTTGGCATATTTGGTCTTTAAATTGTATGAAAAATCAATCACATTCTCATTCATTGGATTCTTGAGCTTGTCAGCCTTCTCAGAAAAGAGAGCCTTAACAAAGGCAGTGGTGTGAAGAGGTTGAGGGAACATGTTGACCACTCGAATCTCAGATCCTTGATGTTCCTTATTGTACTTTAAAACGGTTTGGATGTCATCATACAATCTCTCAACATTGTACCATTGGAAGCTCGTATTAGGATTAATTTGATTCAAATTATTGTCATGCATCAAATCATAGATATAATTCTTTGCCAAATTTGGACCAAATAATGCAGGTAATCTAAAAATCACATGATTTGCAAACTTTGATGCCACCCACTTCTCCAAATACAATCTGTTCTTTCCATAGGCATGATTATCAAGTGTGGAACAGTCAAAATCTTCATCCTTGTCAATCAACACTGGATATACATCAATGGTCGAAATCAACACAAATGTATTACACTTGACTCCATCAAGACATGAGATAATGTCATTAATGGCTTGCAGATCTTGTTCAGGTTCCTTGTTGGCAATCCATTTCTGAAAATTTCCATGTGTCATTCCGAAACATTTATTATTGTGTGAAAATGAATCGGAAGAGTGTTTGTTGACACAACACCATGAATTAATCATTACGATTCAACGAGATTATTCAAGTTGTTCATCAACAATTTGTTCATCAATACCCTTCATTGTTGTATTTATTTATTTAAAAAAAACATACCTTTGCAGGACAGGCAGCACTCACAATCAAGTCATATTCCTTTCCTTTCAATTCTTTTAAATTCTTTGAATTGTAGACATCTTGAAAAGCAGAATTGGATTTGGAATTAATGTTGGATCCGACAAATCTAAATTTTCAAAATAATGTGGATGAGGATGACGATCGTGTGAATGATGATGAATTTTGCGCACAAGTGTGCATGGTGATGACATATCATTGGTCACTAACAACAAGAAAGGATATGCGAGAGGATCTAACTTACCCAGTGTAACCCAAGAGAGCAGATTTCATTTTTTTTGTATGGAAGATCCGAACGATGGATGGCACTTGACATTTTGTTGAATACAACATTGACACATCGTTCATGTTCAATCTCGAATCTGGATTTCCCTTTCTCCATCACTGGTTACAACACAACAAAAGAAGGTAATACAAGGTTGACGTCCAAAAAAAAGATATTCGGACGAAGAAGGGCTTCGATCCCTTGGCCTTGCTGCTATTCAAGTCTTGCAACGCTCTCCCCACTGAGCTACTTCGCCCAAAAAATCTTTCTTCCTTATGGAAAGAGGTTTGCTTCAAACAACCGACATGGAAATGTTTTGTGTGTCAAGCAGCAAGTGGCAGCTTCAAGTGAAATGTGTTGTAATGTATCTATACTGTCATCATGACCAGAGTCATTGAGTCATTTCCATTTGGCTTCCTTAAAATGAAACAAAAAAATGCAACCACAATCTTCCACGTCGGATCCATTTGCTCTCCAACATGACGACGATCCTTTTGCCACATCAGCCATCTCAGAGCTGGAAAGACAAAATAATCCACTCCTCGAAAATCAGTCGCCATCGGGATCAACGAATAATAACGCAAATATAAACAAGGATGATTATGATGATACATCGGATACAATTGATGAACCCATTTACAAAACGATCATGAGAGATTTAACGAATATTGGAAGAAAAATTGCTCTTGTCCTAGTTCCGGTTCGTGATGAGCAGAAAATACAACGAGAATTACGAAATTGGGATTTATGGGGACCTTTGCTTTTATGTATTGTTCTTGCTTTTACGTTGGGATTTAGTGCAAAAGAAACACAAAAAGGAGCTGTTTTTGGTGGTGTTTTTGTTATTATTTGGCTCGGAAGTGGTATTGTTACATTGAATGGTCAATTATTGGGTGGTACCATTAGTTTCTTTCAGAGTGTTTGCGTGTTGGGATATTGTGTCTTTCCTCTCGTGTTGTGTAGTGTGGCTTTTATTTTCCTTGAATCATTCACCATCAGATTCTTTGTGGTGTTGTGCTGTGTGATTTGGTGTTGCATCACTTCGACACTTGTGCTGACCCACAGTGTCAAACCAAAGAGGAAACTTTTGAGCATGTATCCTGTCATTTTGTATTATATTTTCATTGGCTGGTTAGTGTTTGTTCAATAAGGTATAGTCCCAAACAAACAAGACATCTCATGTTTGCATACCTGTTGAACCTACTTGGTGATGTCATGAATATATTAATTTATCATTTTAAAATAACATGTTACCTGTATCTCCAACGTCTTTTATATTAAAAAAGTTTTCACAATGCCACTTAATAAATCGTCGTAGTAAATCTTGGCCTCATTTATTAGTCTCTTGGAAAACGTTCATCCATATCTGCACTGACATAGAGCATTGAGGTAAGGGAGGCAGACAATAAATCCAAATCGTCAGAATTTAGCACAGTCATTGTGTCTGCTCTTGTATGATGGAACCAGAAATATCTATCTTGATCATCCACATAAGGTGACATGGTTGGAATGCCAGCAACTTGTCGTAATGGATTTACATCAGCACCACCACCACCTTTGATGTTCAATCGAGAAAAGAACAAGATTAATCAATGTCAACACCATTTGATTTTCCAAACAAATGTGATTACGAGAATATATTGAATCACACACACTTACCTGTGACAATTTTTGTGGAATTAATTGACGACAATAAACCAGTTGCGATTTGATTAATAAGATTCATTCCTCTAGGACCTCCAGTAAATTCAAAACCTAAGGGTTTGAATGGACCTCCATCCGACTCGACACCAAGAAGATGATCCTTCAATTGATCACGATAATGTTCCACATAGCTCATACCTCCAAATTTTCCACCTCCAAATTCCTCGGCAGAATATCCAACCAGTCTGATGTTTGTTCAAATTTGTGGTGTTTTTCGATGAAATGAGTTGTACAATTGCATTGTTGGCATGATTAATTATTGAGGGGTTTAAGGCAGTGTTATTAAATATCGATACATATGTATGTGTATGTGAAAAATCAAAAACCTCCTACCTTATAGTTCTCTTGGGCCTCATTCCCAATTTGAGTAAGGTTTTAATACCCTCATAGAAGACCATAATTCCTCCTTTACGAAGAGAAGAATTTGTATTGTTTATGTCACACAAATGCATTGTCATTTTCACAGTAAGGTCATTTAAAAATTAAATTCACCAAATATCAACTTTTCACATCAACTTACCCAAGTCATCCATAGCACCTGTGCCTCCAACATCCCACGAATCAAAATGTCCACCAACAACAATGACTTCATTGGGTTTTGTAGATCCTCTAATTTCTCCAATAATGTTATAAGATGTAATTGGAGGGAAATTTTGACAATTCAACCTCAAGCTCAATACTACACGTTGACCACGACGCACCATTCGATCAATCATTTCAGCATCTTCAACTGTAATGGTAGCAGCCATAATTTTATGTCCATTCTCATCAAAATTAGTGACACCCGTATGTGCAGAATAGATTGAAAATGGCGTAACGGATCGTACCAAGCATGCAAGAGCTCCTTTCTTTGCTGCCTCTGCTGGTCCTCTACTACGATAAATTACTGAATTTCCATACCCATTCCACTGAAAATTGAATAAAACAATTTTCCCACGCACATTGATCGCCTCAAGCTCTTCAAAATTATGCAGAACCACCACCTCTGCCTTCTCAATGAAGCCACCTGGAGAGGTTCCGAGAGCCATGACTTCCATTCTTCGAATGAATCGAGGTTCCAACATTTGTAATTCTTCAACATCACCTCGTTCCCAATGAGTAACATTGAAAACAGGTTGTAACTGAATATTTTCAAATCCATCCTGTTTCATATTCCGAACCAATTCTTGAGCTGCCAAATCATAGGCTTTAGATCCCACTAATCTTCCTCCAAAAGTATCGGCAATATAGGCCAATAATTCATAGACTTTTCCTCTCTCGGAACCACGAGTAATGGTTTGAATAATTTGATCGACTTGAGCTTTATAATTGAAAGGAAATGATCGTACATGTTGAGCATGAGCTTGTTCTAGATGCATCATCATCACCATCAGCACGATCATCAACTGCAAGCAGAGGACGCTCACCAGCATGAGATTTGTGGGCTTTCTCATGTTGTGTGGAAGCATTTTTTGTTATGTGAAAGAACAAGTTTGGAAATGTAGAACAGCCTCGAGCAGTGTTCACTTCATTAATAGTATTCCTTTTGGAACACTGGATTGATGGTTCGAGATTTAAGATCTATATGAGGGATTGAATGATTAGAATATTTGCTTGACTCCTCGAGATGATTTGATCTGGCAGCGAATGAGTTCAGGCCTGACGATTCTTCTCTCGATCCATCTGTTGATTCATTGATTGTTCAAAGAAAAAAAAATTCATCGACGAAGATCCAGTAATTTGCTCAATCGTTAGGATTATTATTTGAATCAAGTCTTGACTCGAGAATTTATGATTGCAAAAACCAATGTATATTAGGATTATTATGCATTGATGGAGTAATGTCTGACAACGACAATAACAGCAGTAATGATGCACAACAACATTCCGATGATTATTCCGAGAATGCCGAAAATCATCATCAAACAAACATGATCATGAGCAATGAAAATCAAACCGGTTCAATGAGTGAAAACGAAATTATTTCAAGAGATTTACCAACCTCCAAACCCATGAATATATTTCTCTCATCGGAATTTGATCCTCTCCGAGTTCTCCATGACAATACTTACGTTCAGCCTCCTATTACTAATGTAAAGCCCTACAAATCCTTTTCAGCATTGAATTTGAATCAATTATTGGCTCGTCCTACAAACAAGCAGCAACAAATTCAGAAATCAAAGCAAACGAACCCTCCCGATAAGAACTCGAGACTTATTAGTGAAAGCAACAACATGGTTAGTGGCATTTCATTTGAACAGGACATTACAATGAACACCGCACCACAATCAGAGGCATTGGCACCAACACACATATCCTCTCGATCTGTGGATGATCAAAATTTTGATCAAAGAAAACCATCTCTTCATGAACTACCTCCTTTGCAACCTCATGAAACCTATGAATACTTTTTTTTTTTTTTTGGAAAGAAAATATTCGAGGAAGGATCATCCCTACCAATTACTGTATGATTGCTTTGTGAACAAATCAAGAGTTTTAGTTCGTGTGAGAATGGGACGAAAACATGAAACGCACTATTCAACCTTGGTTGGAACTCTTTCAGGATTTGACAAGTTCTTTAATTTGGTATGTGGCATCTGAACACATTTAATCATGATTGTGTTTTGTTTGCGATCGGCTCATGGATTGATTGGAATTTTATTATTAATCATTTTATCATGATATTATGAATGAATGATTGAAAATTTGGATTATATACTAATTCTCTAACATTAACACATCATTGAATTTCATGGACACTATAGATTCTACTTAACGTGATTGAAGAATATTATCAAATAGAAACCATTTACAAGAAACAGAAAACCCTTGATAAGGAGAAAGGAATCACCAATCGAAAACCTCGTAATCGTAAACGAGCTGTCAAATGTTACATCCCCAAGCAAAGAAGCTTCCCACTACTTTTTGTCAAGGGATGTTATGTCATTTTGTTAAGCAGAGCAGATACGACCCAAATTCAACATGATTCCAAGTTCAACGGTGATTGAGAATTTTTGATCGCCTCAACAAAACCAAATTTTAGTAGAATTCCGTTCTAAAATTTCATTGTTTCGACCAGCATCTACCTAGATGAAAGATTATAGCAAAACAAATGGATAATTGTTTGAATAGAAGACAGAAGTGTGACCAAGCTCTATCCTTGAATTGCTTATTAAGTACTTAATCCTTCTTGTGTTCTCCCCAGTTCAGTGCAAACAGTCAATCATGAACACATAATGCTGCTCACTTTACTGAGACAATTTGTTAATTCTAACATTGAGGTCATTGTTACTCTGTTGCGTGTTGTAATGTGTAGAATTTTGAATTTCTTCCTCAGGTTGTTGCATTAAATATTCGAGTGATTGATTCGCAATTTGTACAAGTGCCTTACTCAACATGGTTGCTGTGAAGGAGTGATCAGGTTGAATCGCAAGTGCCTTGTGGTAGTATTCAATGGCCGTATGCAAGTTAGAACTTCCGCTATATTGTTGTAAATGATAGGTCAAACCAATTGCAGAGTAAATGGATGCATTCTTTGGCTGCAATCCAATACACTTCTTGTAGTACGCTAGAGCCAAATCGTATTGCTTCAATTTTCGGTAAGTGTTGGCAAGGTTGAACATGATGGGTTCCCACATTTGAACCACAATATTGTTTTCAGTGTCCACAAAGTGAGAGGTGTATTGTGAATGAGAAATTTCTCTCGAAAAATTGGGAGTGTCGTCCTTCTTGGGATTGAGTCGAAGAGCGTTTTCAAAATGTTTTTTAGCATCTTCGTAGAGTTTCCACTTGTAGCTGATCATTCCCAATTCGTTGTGAATGAGTGGATCTGTTGGGCAAATGCTTAATGCTTGTTGTATAAATTTCTGAGCTAGTGTGAGGTTATTTGTTTTCATGTGTTCCATTCCAATGTAGAGAGGAGGTAAGTGACTTCCTGTGAATAAGCGATAGGCTGTTCTGTAGGCTGCCATTGCTTGATCAGGCTCATTCTGTATATGTGTAGAAAAAAATATATGATAAAGAACGAAAGAATTCGAAATAATTGCAACAAATATTTAAAAAATTGAATTAGCAATATTGAACGTGGACGTGAATTCACAATTACGTTCGAAAATAAATACTTACATCATTTGAAAAACAGTGCCCAATGCCAAGCCATGCTTCTAAAAAGTGTGGATTTTGGTTTGTTGCTTTTCTGTTGATTTTGAAAAAATTAATTGTTGTTCAAATATGTAGGTTCAAAATAATATCATAGTCATCATGACAGTGGAAAATGTTTCGCCTTGTTGATTTCTTAATTTCATCTAAACTAATAACTTACGTAAAATACGATCGAGCTGACGCAAATTTTTTGATGGAATAATAGTAGCAAGCCACAGCAAACCATGAAACTGCTGATTCCTTATAATCATCCACTAACTTGTGTGACAAGGAAAATAATTCGCTCTTCTTATTAAGTTCAACTAGAGTCAAAATATGAATTGGTAAACATGCTTGATTATAGGGATCTTCCTCAATAATCTGTTTGGTAATTTCATAAGCTTGATTAAAACGTTGAGAATAAAAGTATCGTTCTGCCTCGCTGCATCGAACGTCATGATTTTTCGATAAATTATATTCCATGCTTAATTTCCTTAATGCTTGCTTGCTATTGTCATTAATATAGCAAAATCGATCGATTTTGGATGTGTAAAAGTATTTAATCCATTGATCGTCCTGAGAAAAATTAATTTGATTTAGTAGGGCGACTTGATCTTGATTAGTCAATAGATTCTTCTCTACCAATTTTTCAAATGCTTCATAAAAGTTTGGATCATAAATTAAGGTTTGTGTGTACCAATGAATGGCTCTAGCCTTATTGTCTACCATGTCGAACGCTTTGGCTCTCAAGAAGCACAAACTTGCAATGTACTGGAATGTTGACAAAGTTTTCAAAATGAAGTGATATTATCATTAAAATTATATATTGAGGGTTATTATTGTTGGAAACATATCAAGTATAATGAGGAACATATTCACAAACGTTAACAGGAGGATATGTTATTATAATCATTTGAAATGTTGGTTCCATATAGTTTTTAAATAGTGTTGAATTATTAATTGCATTCAAACTTGTTGTATGTACGGACGAGAGAGAAAACCTACCTGTTGAGCTCCTTCTCGATGTAACACTTGTTCAAACTCTGCGTCATTATCCCCGAAAAGACTCAAAATTTCCAACCAATCATCACACTTTTCCAAACATTTTGCGGCCAAAAAGAAACATTCCATTGGAGCTCTTTGAGAGAAATTGGTAAATGATGATGTTAATAAGTGCAACGCTCTTTTAAATTGTCCTGCCTTGAAATAGGCTTTTGAAAGTAAATGGATGGCTTCAATCTCTCCTGTGGAATATATTTCATAGATCGAAATGGATGGATCTTCGGAATTGATACTCCAATCTTTTTTATTCTGAAATGTTAAATGGTACAATTTATCGGCATGGAAAATTGCATTCTTGTATTCCTCTTGTTGTTCCATGAAAAAGTATACCTTGTTCTTGATGGAATCGAGAATGTGATTTGGGATTTGTTGTTGAGACATTTTTTAAGTGATGACAATCTCAAAGGGCGCCAACATTTTCAAAAGGGTCTCTATAATTGGCAAGCCTTCTTTCCATCCACACGATATCTTGTGCAAAATACTTCATATCGACTCAAAGACAACAGAATTTTATTATCTTTTCGTTTGGCTTTTCAACAAAATATTTTGTTAAGCGGTCGTAGTGCAGTGGTTAGCATATCGGATCCCCATTCCGAAGACCTGGATTCAAATTCCAGCGGTCGCAAAACTATTGCCTAACGAAACGGAGGTTTTGCTGTTGTGCAATAGAGAAAATAGGTGACGAACTAGTTTATCTTTTGATCAAATCCTTGTTGTGTTTGTTTTATTACTGTTTTTGCTAACGAAGAGGTTTTTGTTGGAACTTGTTTGACACAGAGCTTTTGTGATGAACTCGAGATTTCTCGAAAAAGATGAAAAAATTTTGTTGATCAACTCCGAACAATTCATCGGGACACATGACCAAGATGAAGAAGGCAAAATCTGGCAACTCCAATGTACCTCCACGAACCTCTCACAACAACTCATCCGATCAAAAACTTCTCCACAAAAGTGATGCTATTGATGATATTGAAATTTTGTGCAAGAATTTATCAAATCCGAAATTAATTGCACTTCTCAGTTTTCATAAACGATATTTAGAGGAGGAATTGGAATGTATACAAGAAGATGAAAGACTTTTGAAGAAATCCGCCAATAGTGGTGCAAACTCCAAACGCACACACGATCCACTGAAAGGAAAACTTGATGCATTGAAAGATATTTATGAAATGTTTCCGAATATTCCTGTACCGAGAATTAATATCATTTATGATGAAGTATGTGATGGCCGTGTCGATGGATTGGTGGATGTCTTGTTAGGTCTTGATCCGAATGAAGTTCAATTCACGGATGATCTGATCCCTTCTGAGGAGAGTCAACAGATAGAGGAGAGCTCCACGCATTCGTTTGCACAACAATCACAAATGGAATTGCTCCACAAGAGATGGGATATATCGCAATACATTACATTTGATATTGATCCAACCATTACAGAACTTGAAATTGATTATTTAAATGCGGTGAAAATGAAAAATTTGGCATTCCAAGAATATGGCTTTGAAGAAATAGAGGAAACTCATTCCAGTCAACAAGAATCTGTCAATTTGGATGAACTGCCAGAGCATGAGAGAGAATTTTACTTGGAAATGAAATTGAAAAAGGAACAAATCAAAAAAGAACGTCAATTTATTATTGACAAGATGAGAGAAACAAAACTTGCAAGAAATGTAAAACTCTATTGCAAGGGTGAAGAAGAATATTTAGCCAAAAATACTTCCGAATTGAAGAGATATATGTTTACGAGAACCATTGAATTTGATCTTGAGGCTGAGTATATTCATTTTAGAATTGTGGAGTCACAATTTCACAGATTATTGTAAGTAGTGCGAATGGTCATTTGAAATGAGAGGATTATATGCAATGAATCATATCATGCATGTTGTTGCCTTGTTTGATTTGTATACAAAAATTTCGAAATTTTTATGAACGAATGAATGAACCAAATGTTCTAAACACCAATGGTGACAACACTGATAATAGAGCTCGATACATGTACGGCAATCAAATGGTTCCTTATGAGCTAACACAAGTGGAATATGTTGTAAATCCAGAAATCGTTCGTAATTTTTATAATTGTAAAAAGGAACTCGCCAAAAAACACAACTTTTTATACGAGTCGATGAATTGCTATTTACTATTCCATGGAACTTCAGAAGCCAACATGGAAAATATTTTAAAAACAAACTTTTTGTTGAGTAAGGTGGGCTCTTCAACAGATATGGGCTTTTATGGCAAAGGTTTTTACTTTAGCGAGTCACCTCTCATGTCCATGTAAGTATTTGCTCCACAGAATTGTGTTGACCAACCATTATTGCTCTAATATACGTATGATACATGCTGGAGTCTAGATCCTACTCGAGAGGAAATCCATATTTATTAGTTTGTTTGGTGATGGTGGGAAAGGCATTCCACATGACAACCGTTCAAACAGGTAGACCATTGGAAAATGGTTACGATAGTCACGTTTCACCAGACGGTAAGTATTGGTGTAGCTTTTGTGAGAATAATTATGATTGACTTGTTTTTATGACAACAACAGGCTGTTCTGAGGGTATGTATTTCAATGGATTGATGACGTTTTTATCATTTACTTGTTTTGTTCAGTGATTATTTTCAATCCCCATCAAGGTAAGTTTGTGGCGAAGAATTGATTTTTATTGATAGACAACGTGTGTGCGAAATATATTTTTTTAATTATTGCGAAATATATTTCCATTCTATTCCAATACAGTAATTCCAATGTACAAGGTAAAATGGCGAAATATTGGAAATGTCAATAACTATTATTAAGCTCGAGATTGCAATTTCAACTTGCCCAACGTTGGTGTAATAGCATCAGTGTGAAAAAGTCACAATTTGTGAAAATTTTGAGTACAACACAGCAATAATTAAACTTTGTAAATTTATTCCTTTAAATTCAAACTGCAAAATATTTTTTTAATCCCTTAATCGCAAAGATAAATAGAGTCCATTGAAGCAACACCTGATGCCACTCCTCCATCTTGGAAAGACGCCAATTTAGTTCTCAACAAATAACCGGCGTGAGTGTTCTTTAACTCTTCCTTTCCATCTCCCAAAAAGATACCATAAATACCGAGCTCGCTGATACAGTCACCACTGGAAACTTGTCCCTGTCGAATAATGTCCTTTTGGTGGAGTTGAGGTTTGATTTTTCTCATTAAAATATAGGTATACTTGATAGCTGCATATTGTTCATGATTTGGATGATGAAGAAGAATATCCAAATAATTTTTCATTGTCTCTCCATAGACTAGATTGCCTCCTCCTTCCCTCTGTGGCTTTAAAACATAATCGTCAGGATGTTCAAATGCATCCCTAATAAACTCAATGGATTGAGTGTCCTCCAGCGAGTAAATTCCTGTAAATACCTCCTTCACAGATTGAGCCTCTTGCTTACTCAAAAACTTTTCCAAAACAGCATCTTCATACATGATTTGTTGAATCTTTTTTGTACCAACCAATTGCACACCCACAGAAGGACACTTGATTGCTGAACATGCTTCAAGCATTCTTCTCACTTCCCACTCAGCCTCAGTTGGATAATCGTCAGGTGTGTAGCCTGATCTAAAGTAAACCACACTCACGAAATGTTGTTTCTCTACCAATAACATGGGTTGATGTGTGGCAGCATCATCTTGAACCAACTGAACATTTCCAATCAATTCCTTCATGCTTCTTCTCAATACAAACACTCCATACTTTTCCAAGAGCATGTGTTCATAGGGTTTTTGATCTCCAATATTTCTCTCTCCGTCCTGAACGACAAACAAGATGAAATATTGTGGTGGTGTTTGTAATAAGGAGGAATGAGAGGATGATTCATTGTGATGAGAATGACTCTTCAAGAAGGTCTGATGAGCCAATTGCATGACATTCACAATATTCTCCAAGGATGGATTTGGCTGAAGAGGTGCTTCTGGATAATAATCACTCGCAAGCCATGTTCTGTACTTTTGCAAATAGGAATGTAATTTGTGAGTGGTTGCTCCGAGAGCTCCAAACGCAGAAGAAATGGTATTCAGCTCTACTTGTTGAGGAATTTGTTGTCCACTCTTTTCATCCACGTGAAGCATGTAGTCGGATCGGTGGATGGCTAATTGATAGCTGGAACGAGTGTTGGGAATGGTTTCATTGTAGATTTGGAGGAGTCGTTTGACAAAATCATCATATTGTGCTACATGAGTCAATGATTGATTGATGAATTCAGAATCTCTGCTCATTCCTTTTTGTGTTGTATAGGGGATGATGATGTTCCATACACAAATGATGAGATGGATTGTTTTGATTCGGAATCATTAATATTTCAATGAATTGAGATGATCATTATATATTTGATAGCAATCATTTCGTATATAGGTAGATTCAATCATCAATTAAATACATACGATCAACAAGAGTATTCAAAAGAGGAGCAATGGCAACCACTTTATCAAATGCTTTTCTCGGAATTGGTGTTGGAGTGAGAGTGAAGGGAATGGGATCCGACTGAAAGGAAGCTCCTCGTTGACTCTTGAGAATAAATCCATTACAAATGGCCCAACTCTGGGCCAGTTCAATTAATGCATGTTTGTTTTTCAAGTTGGATAACATGGTGAGGAAGAAGTGTGATGTCAATTTTTTGAGGAACTTTCTAGAGCAAAACCATCATGGTGCGCTTGCGGACGCTCTGTTTCTCTTTCACATTCCGCACTCATCATAGGTTGTCAAGAATGCTTGCCCATAATGCATCGATGAATGATTATTATGATCATAATAATGTGATGAATTTATTTGAGAGGTCAGTGTGTGGAAATTACCCTAAAACACACTTGTGATGTTTGTCCATGTGGCAGTGATGTGGAATAGCATTTGAAAATAATGATCTCGATACTACAAATAATCTATTAATTTTCATTTCTTGTTCAGTATTTAAATAAACACAATTTGTGAAATTATTTGAACTTGAACATATCAAATTTCTTATCAAAGTTGGATTCTTTTGTACTCAAGTGATATTCAAGTTTGAGGTCAATTGTTTCATCATCTTCTTGGAGAGCATTGTCAAAGTATTCGTCATCTCTGTCGGATTCGTCATCATCCATTGGATGTTCCCAGTGAGGCTTTTCCAATCCTAAAAGAATAAGTCCATCTTCCTTCATCTTGTACAAGAGCCAGAACATGGCCGATGCACCAGCAATCTTTGCAAGCAGAACTTCTCTCTTTGGTGGTTCAGGTAAAGCTTCATCCAATTCTTCAAAATCAGTTTTTTTATGATTGCTATTGTTGTTGTTGTGTTGTTGTTCTTCGCCTTGATGATGTGCAGATCCGTTTTGTTTGTTGTTGTTGTAAGAAAATTTTCGTGAAACTGTTTGTTGTTGATTCATGTGTTGAATAACACTGCTCAGAGACATGCTTTGCTTTGGAGTAGCAGCGAAAGCTTTCTTCAGGAAGAAATGACTGTGCACGAGACCGACAGGTCTTGCCAAGAGACTGCTCGTTCTTTGGCTGAACATTTTTGTGTCAATATTTTTTTAAAAATTTTTGGTTGGAAGATGAATTTTCATCAAAGCGGTGGTGATGATGATTCTGTGTGATGATGCTGATGGCATCACAATTAATAGGAAATGGCTTCGAGTGAATTGCAACGTATGGCTTTCAACAAATAAAATTCAATTATATTTATTAATATATTAACTTTGATGATCATGGTGATGATTGCGAAGAGAGATGTTGCGAGAGTTGGTTTGGCGCCTAAATTGTAGATTAAAATTTGAAAAAAAACCGTTAGGGTTTGAAAAAACAGTTTGCAATTACAAACTACAAAGAAAATGTCTTCGAATCAGATATCGGGAGAAGATCGTAACAACGCGGTCATCATTCAGAGGTTACGGGCTGAAAACGAAACGTATCAGAGAAATTTTGATAATGTAAGTTTGTTGATAAGGCTATGGATTAAGAGTGATGGCAAACTTGAATGAAACATTTGGATTTTCTATATATGATTGATCCTCTCCGAATATTTTCTCATTCATCAATATTTCTCATTCACCATCAAACATAAAACAGTTAAAAAGAGAATATTTGGATTTATACAATCAAAACAATGAACAATATTTGAGATGGAAAACGCAACTCGAGAAAAAGTCCAAAGAATTCGAGTCATTACGAAACCAATTCGACAGAGATACACAAGAGCTTCAACAATTAAAGATGAAATTAATGGAAGAATTGGAATTACGACAACGACTCGAGAGAGAAATAGACGAAAATGACAAATTTCGAGAAATGTACTCTGAGTTGAGACGTGAATATGAAATGGTCAAGAATGAACTCTCTCAAAAATTGAAAATGTCAGAGAAGCGATACGATGAGTTGAAAACCGATTATGAAGATAAAATTCAAGAATTGGTCATGCAACTCAATGACCAAACGATCCAAATGAAATCATCGAAAGAGACCATTCAAATCAAGAAACTCGAAGAAGAAAAGGAAGAATTATCAATTCATGTCCAAAAGCTTTTAAAAGAATTGACCGATGTTCGAGAGGAAAAAGCTCAAGCCGTCGCAGCAAAGGAACAAGCCAATTTGATGAACACTCAACGATACTCTGAACTTCTTTCGAAATGTCGTAATTTAGAGACACAAAATGACAGACTTCAGAAGAAGTGCGAACGCTTGCAATCTGAACTCGAAGAAGTGACTCGAAACAATGACCGAATGCATGATCAAATTTTAAAACTAGAGAAGGACTTAACTTCGGCAAAAAGCAAGCTCGAGGAGACTGAAAAACAATTCTCACAGGAACGAAACACCATAAAAGCCAACCAAATTCAACGAGAGCGAGAATATGAACGAGATCGAAATGTTTGGGCAAACAAGTTGAGCGAGGCCAATAAGAGAATAGAAGATTTGCAACAGACCAAACAAGACCTTATCAATCAATCCTATGACATTCATATCAAGGAAAATGAACGTCTTCATGAAGCCCTTCGAAAAGAAACTGAGAAGTATCTCCAACTTGAAGTGGAAAAGAATGATTTGAAACAAGAGTTAATGGCAAAAGAGAAAAAGTCACAACAAGAGTTGCAAGAGGCTGGTTATGAAATCACACGACTTCGTAAAGAGTTTGAAGGTTGTAAAGCGGAGGCTCAGACATTTAAGGATGAGCGTGACTATCAAATCGATAAGAATGCACATTTACTCAAAGTGGTCGCCGACCTAAAGTTAGATATGGACTCCCTGAAACAAAAATACCAAGATTCGTCTCTGAGAATTGAAAAATTAACCAAAGATTATTCCTCTGCGAAAGAAATTGCCAAAAAGTATGCTTCTAAATGTTCCAAAATTAAGGAAGCCTACAGGTCCAAAATTTATTCTCTTCAAAAACAAATTGAAGAATTGAATGATCAATTGCTACAATCTGAAGCTTCTCTCACGAATATGCAACAAAATTTTATATCTGAGCGCCAACAATTGCAACGCAAGTGTTTTGATTTGGAGAGAGAAAGAGATCGATTCAAAATTCTCAGTTCCCAACTCGATCCTGTTCTGTAAATTAAGTTTAATTAACTTCACCTAGTAATCTCTCCCAAATAACCATTCTACTCTCCTGAGAGATTGAGCGTTCGACAACGTTTCGATTCTCAACAACTAGTTCCTAGGTTCTCAAACGTCATTCGATAAAATATGACTTTCTAATGAAATAAAGTTGACAATGAATTGTTTTCTTCCTTTGAAAAGTAAATAATTAACTACTGATGACATTTAAAAAGTAATGATACGATTTATGAAATAGTTTGATCACTTTACACGAATAATGTTCCAAGTTCACAAAAAATTATTAAAAGTCATCATCCTCTTGATCCAATCGAGAATACTCTGCCTTTGGTTCTTCTTCCTTTTCAGTGAGCCATTTTGGTTCAATTCCTCTCATGTACAATAAGAAAATGTAAGCACATCCAACAATAATTCCACCTGCACCAGGTAATGCCGAAATTACAGTAAAGCAAACAAATATACTCAACACAATGATAACAATTCCTCTCACTAAAAAGTTTTTGTGATAAATGTTGAGAATGGGAACTTTTCGTTGAAAGGTTGGAATTGGAATTTCGAGGAATGGAAGAATCAATCCATAGAGTGCACAATAAATGGCTGTGAAAATGTGATTAATAGATGAATGAATGAATGAATGAATTGGTGTCACGCAGACCGCCGTGGGATGACATCAATTTTAGAGGTGGTGTCACCAATTGGAATATGGATCACCCAAACCAACACGAACACCATAACAACAACATGTCATTACATACCCACATAGAGATTGAAAATATTATCATCTAAAAATTTGGCTCCTGTTTTCAAGAAATAAATCAAGAATAATCCAACCGATGCAATTAGAGCCACTTTTTCCAAATAAATGTTCATATGATTTGTTTGAAAATCAATTCATTTCCACAATCCATCATCACCGTCATGCATTATCGTCAAAATTATAAATATTATAAATTATTATTTAAATAAGGAATGCAAAAAATCATTTTGAAATATTATTTCGAATCACGTTTAAAGATTTGAATTTCTCTCAAAATAATACAAAGATGAACACATACACAAACAAACTCCGAGTGACACAAATCGCATGTATGGTTCAACATTGGGAATAAAGCTCGTCCATTCTCCGATACGATTTCTAGCTCTCTTCCACATGAGGCCGATTGCTTTTTCGGCAACTTTTTCAGCGAACTCTTCACTTGATAATGTTTGAATACATTGATTCCGACGAATATTTCAAAAGAACAATTACCTGACGTTGGTGAGCATTTTTTTTGTGTTTGGTTCGAGCTCATATACTTGATATGACATTTGACAGGTGCTGAAATATTGAAATGGTGGGAAATGAGAGTTTCAAGAGAGAACAAACAAGGTCAATTCTCTGAAAATCAATTTCAATGAATAAATTTACTTGTAAAAGTATACTCTCAAAAATTGTTTGGTGATGTTTGGTGGTGTTTGGTGATCGTGTGAACTTGTTGGACATGAATTTCATGTTTAGAAAATATGTGAACCAATCTTTGGAGCACTAGACCAACAGAGCTGCCATGATTGGGAGATGATCGGATGCATTTCTCCCTGTATTTTTACATTTCACTTCAGTGATAGCCCTAAAATCCAAAACTTGAATATTAGGAGAAACAAATATGTAATCTGTACATTTGCCTTGTATCTTTTGAGGATACGAAAAAGAATTGACATTTCCGTCAGAAGTAGTAGTGGTGGTAGGATTTGTGTTAGAAGTCATGGAAGGAGTGGTGGTGGAAGTATTACAAGAAGAAGAGGAAGAATGTAATCCATCTCCATTCAAACCCACAAAGGTTGGGTGATGGTTTGGATCCGCACTGATAAGCTTAAATGATTCTTCTTCGTCATCTGAGTCACAATTAGATCCATCGCTCGCTGTGTCGTCGTCAGAATTGGAATCATCCATGTTTTTAGCTCCCAAATCTATTCCAGTACTCAACAAATGAACTGCATTCGAGTCAGGTAAGCAATTTAAATTTCCCATCACAATACACGGTCGTTGAATAATTTGATTTTCCTCATCCTTGTCACAGGTTAAATTTTCAATGTATTCTCGAATGAGATATGCCGAGTTTCTCCTAGCCTCTACACCAATGTCCCAATGAGTATTAAATACATGGAATGAACTTTGTTTGGACGATTTGATATTTCTAAATTTGCACCAAGTACAAAGTCGTGGGGCCACAGCATCCCAACTTCTGCTTCCTTTCGTTGAGGGTGAGTAGCTATACCAAAAACATCCTTGGTCTAATAGCTCAATCTTTTCAGCATTATAAAAGATTGTTATATATTCTCCTGAATATTCATTCGTATTGTGATTATAATTCTGTCCGAGGCCAAACCATAAATATTGTGAACGTTCTTGCCTTTCATTCAGTAATGTAAATAAATCTAGAATTTGATGTTGAAGTCCATCCTGAACAGCAATGATATCTGCTTTACTCTCCAAAATGATATTCGTTATTGTTTCTCTTCTATTCTTCCATTGATTAATTCCATCAAAAACAGAATCTCTTCGGATGCTAAAAGACATGACTGTAATTTCATTGGGTATATTCATTGTTTGACTTTCGAGTGATTCACCAATTGCTGCTTCCTGTGAAGATTTAGCGTTTTTGTATCCAGGAGCAATCGGTGATGAATTGGTGCTCGTTCCCATCATGTTGCCATTCACGACTAAATTCAGATGGAGTGTGGTTGGGTTATTGGTAGTACCCGATGATGAGGCCGTGCTCAAATGTTTGGAAGAAGAAGGCTTTGGAGGAAGAGTTCCAATGTGTCCATTCGGTGGATTATTTCCCATGGTGATGTGTTGAAGATGAATTAATGATGATGGTGGTTGATGGAGCGTTGATGAAACGTTGATGAATTCTATCAAACAAATAAATTAAAAGCCGATGGAGGGAGTAATGGAATAGTGTTGTTGTTGTTGGTAGTGATAGTCAACAACTTGATGAAATGTTTGTAGTATTGTTGTTTTTGAGTTCGGAATAGGAAAATTGTGAATGATGAAAAAACCCTTCTCGAGCTCGGGTGATGATCAAGTTCAACACACACACACACAAGAGGAATCAATAATAATGAAACAACAATATACTTCCCAACTTTCTGAGAGAGAAAACGAGGAAACTTCACACACTCTAGCAACGAATCCCCTTCACCCGAAACAGAAAGGTCGGCTTGTTTGTAGAACGTGCGTCGAAATGACTTGTTGCCTATTTTTTGATGACGAGAGGATTTCAGAAAGAGATTTGGGATTTCTTGTCTCTCTCCTGGCAACACGAAAAGAGCTCAAGGATTTTCTATTGCTTTTTATTTTGATCTTACATGAAAGGAATCGATAGTTCAGGAGGCATAAAAAAGGGAATAGTGGGTTGAAATTACTTTCCCCCGTTATCTTTTGAAAGAAATGCAAACCACAAGATGATGCAAAGCAACTGTCAATGCGAGAGTGAATTATTTCGAACGACACACGGTTGAAAAACTGAAGTGAATGTCATCTTTACTTGGTCAAATCAATTTAAAACTTTCTACACCATGGTGCCACTCGTCGGATCTAATGAAACATGTGTATCCAAAAGGTGTCTCCTCCTCGATGACATCTTTGCACGGACAGGAGTGACCACTCGTCGATCCAAAAAGACACCCATCCGACCTGTCCACTTTTTGAAATGGAAACTCATCTTACTAAATAAAGATCTTGGTTTCCATGCCCACATGCAATACATGGCCATGTATCGAAAGGCGATCATCCAAAAGAACAATGCATAATAGTAGAAAAACAAGGATTCATATTCATAGCCATTCATCTTTAGGGCCTCAGAGATACTTTGTTCCTTTCTTCTGGTGTCCAGTTCATGCATGTACACTAAACCCTTAATGTATCTAAAGCTGAGGAAATATCAATTCAATCCATACAACATGAGGATGTATTTTTCAAAAAGATTATTATCCAATCAATCCATACAACATGAGAGTGATCACACCATTCCATAACATTATAATTATTAGTCATTCATTCAGCACATTCGAATCATGTGATAAAATTCATTCATTCCTACTACTTACTAGGTGAATATATGTGAATAGGATAGGGGAAATGCAAGCTTTTCAATTTCAGGTAAGGTTGGATTATTTCCAGCTAAACTGTAAAACACAATCACGACAAGGGCAGCTGCAAGTTGAGCAATGGCTGGTTCAAAAAAGAAGGACAAGGTGTATCCGAGTGGAAAACCAGCCATAATAGTCAGAAAGACAATTCCATAGAAAATGACAAAATTCATGTGTGGGAATGCAGTCACAAGCCCAATCGATGTGCTCAATGAAATGATAATGACCACAACCAACGACACCAAATCTTTTGCCAAGAAATACATCCAAGAGTTGAGACCTGCTCTCAATTTCAAATCCAAACACTCGGAGTCCTCTCATGATTGCAATTAAGGACACTGCCAAAACTAAAAAAGAGGCATATGCATTGACACTGTCGTTCTGTGGCGTCATGCAAATAGCTCTCAACGAAGGTGGACATTGACGATAATCCGATTTGGGTTGTGGACCAACAAACTCGAGACCATTGAATAAAATTCCAATTAAGAGACCCACCACAAATGACACAATGACTTCAAATACTAAATTCTTCCAATCTCTACAGAATTGTTTCACTGCTCTTGTCAAACAAACGATAAAGTGCATGAAAAATGGTGCAGTTTTCATGTCATTCCAATCGAGGGAGAGATTTCCCAAGTTCATGGTCACTTCCATGATGATCTGTGAATGTTTTTTCAAAATGGAATCCATAATTGGTTGTCCTTGGGGTGTGATCAGAGTTCGAAGAATTTCATCGGATGGATTGCATCTCATGTGCTGTGAAAGAATAATCTCACGCAACGATTCAAGAACAATCGAAACAGGGCTATGAAACAATAAATGTCCATCACTGAACAACATGATATCATGAAATTGCTCTAAAATCTCACATGAAGGTTGATGAATGACACACAAAATGTTGGAATTGTTTTCTTCGGCAAGAGTCTCAAGATTTGGCAAAGATTGAGGGCAGATTCGCTATCAAGTCCAGAGGTTGGTTCATCGGCAACGAGTTCAAAACCTTTTCCAAAGCCTTCTCCACCATGAAAGGCTCGATTTGCGAGAGTGTTTACAAATGTGGATTTTCCTGATCCGGACTGACCCATCAATGCAGTGAATCTTCCAGCTCTCAATATTCCACTGTTGGCAATTATTGTGAAAAGTTGTTATCAAAAATTGTGTTATTGAACCAAACATTCCCGTGCATGCACATGTGCAACTTACCTGATTGGATGAAGAATTGTTTTCTGATGGAATGACACAAACGATAAATTTTCAAAAACAATATCAGCACCCTTGTTGTTGGGATTCTCCTGTCGTGTCATTCACAATTCTTGTTGCAAACAATCTCGAAGCAAAAGTATTTTCAGAAATGGAGAAAAAACTTCTTTCTAATGGATATTCGAGAAGGAAATTCGTCTCGTTGAGATTTCCCTTCCAAATCATGTCGTCTGTCGCTTTCATGAGTGAATGATAGTATTCCTTTGTGTTTCTAAACACCATCGTCTCCACACTTGAATTTGAAGTAAACGAGTACAACATGAATCGAGCATTGGCTGGAACTTGAATTTTCCTAGTTGCCTGTAAAAAGGGAGGAGTGTAACCCTTATAGAACTGCCAAAACAAAACGTAATAGGGTTTCAGAGTAATACTTGTACTCTCTACGATGGTCTTCTCCGAAGAGAAATCTCTCAAATACAGAACAGGATACATTAAACAAGCACCGGATATGGCAAGAAAGACGACCAAGACCACCAAGAAGGAGAGCCAAGCAGCAGGATGGCAATAATCGAGGAGTTTTTTGTTGTTGAGAACAAGGGATGCTGTGGTGATGGATGGATTCATAGTGGTGGTAGTGGTGGTGGTTTTGTTGTTGTTGTTGATTGGCAAAGGTGTTGTTGTTGTTGTTGAGGGGGTATCATTCAAATCAAAACGGAAAGAAGAAGCCTCTTCATGCAACCCGTTGTTGAGAGGGTTGATTGAGTCGTTCAAGTTGTTGTTGTTGTTCATAGCAAATGGATTGAAAGCATTGCTATGAAATTCATCATCATCATCAGCGGAAGGAAATGGTTGGGTGTGGATGATGTGTGGAGGGGGAGTTTCTGCCAAGGAAGGATGAGAGGATTGCATTGTCAAGTGTGTTGTTGTTATTTACTTTTTTTCAACAACAAGAGCGCCACCAAATTGTCAGACCTCAGTGTGGATAAATATTTTTTCCAGAGAAAGAGGGAAGGTAGGAATTTGGAACCGCAATGTAAGCTTTGATGTTTATCGGTGTTTTTCTTTTAAAATCGAAGGAACTATTATCATGTACACACGAATACATTCCAAAGAACATGTTTTATGATATTCTCACCGAGGTTCGTCTATTTTCTATCCCTATGCATAAAAAAGGAAAACGTTTGAAATTTCTAGCCGTTACATTTTAAAATTTTAAAAAATTGAAAGAAATGCAAGAAGAGCTTTCATCTGTGGCTCATCCTCTCGGGGGCTTCGGAGAAGAGAACGACGAAGAGCGTCGAGTCATTGTCGATTTTGAAGAATTTGAATCATCCAAAGAGAACATCATTCCTCTCAAGACTGGTCGTCGAGCAGTGGACTTGAGAAGAGTGTTTGGATCATCATCATCGTGTTCTTCTTGTTCTTCTCAAGGCTCCTCATCACCTCTGAGAGGAGTCCTCAAAGAAAGGAAAGATTGGATTTCGAAAGGACGATCCATCATGAATGATCCACCGAATGTGAATCCCTCCATCTCCACTCGATCCACATCAGCAACACCAACGACAACCACCACACGATTGAATTCTCCCATCTTTATGATGAATTCATTATCATTCCATCCTCCTACTTCCTTTCCAACAGCAACAGAAAGTTCCAATAACAACAACAACAACAACAACAACATCACAATGATGATGATGATAGATGAATCTCAACTTGTACCTGCTGTTGATCCTTGTGAGGAGGAGGAGGAAGAAGACGAACATGATGTTTCAACATCAACAACACTCTCTCTCAACAACAATGGCCTTACCTCCTCTCCATCCTCCTCTCCAATCTGCCTAAACAACACCAACAACAACAACACTACTCATACCACTCCTTCCAATTATAATAACTCCTCTCACAAGACAAATCATCACGGAAAGTCCTTCTTCTTTAATTTCAATCACTTGATCAAGAAGGTTTGTTTTGAAAATCACAACATGAAACCCAAATTGAGTCAAGAACGGAAAGTCTTTGAGAAACGAATTGCCTCCACATCGATTCTCTCCAATCATGTGGATCCTCTCAGTGTCTGGCTCGAATACATTGAATGGATTGAGAAGAATTATCCAACCCTTAACAAGTCTTCACAATATGTTCCGACCTTACAGGCCTGTACGAAATATATTCTCTCATCATCTTCTTCTTCTCAGAAACAACAACAACAACCACATGATTCTTCTTCGTTGTCATCTTCGTCCTCCTCGTCCTCGTCCTTATTGGAAAGATACAGAGAGGATGAACGATATTTGAAAGTGTGGTTGAAATATGCCGATCAATGTTTAGATCCCATTGATGTATTCACCTTTCTCGAGTCCAAGAAGATTGGTCTCTCTCATGCCGAGTTGTACATTCGGTGGGCCACTGTGTTGGAGGATCGAAAGGATTTGAAAGCAGCAGATGCTGTTCTGGAACAAGGTAAGAATCGAGGAGCACAACCTCTCAAATCTCTTGAAACATTTCACACGGGAGTGAAGGCACGATTCATGAAGAGTATTCTCAATCGGACTCAGTCAGGACAGAGTGTGTCGTCGTCGTCGTCGTTGTCGTCGTCTTCATCCATGTCATTATTGAATCAGAGCCAACATTATAACAGTCAGTCAGGTCAGAGTACAAGTGTTAGTGGTGGCAGTGGTGGCGAGAATTGTGGAATTGGACAAAGAGCTCCATTCAATCCCTTGTCGAAGAAACCATCTTCGATTCGACCTCTCACTGCAAAACCTCCAACCATGATGAAACCCATGAAAATGAAAATGAATAATCCAAGTTTGGCTCAAAAGAATTCTCCCCTTAATAACTTTGTAATTTATGACGAGTCGGTGAATCATGCAGAGAAGTTGGCACATGCAGCCTCAACGAGAACACTACCATTTCAAATACAGAGAGATCACTCAACCACTCCACACATTGTGCCACGTGTATTGCCCAGTGAGCAAGAGTCAGAAAAAGAAAATCACGAGAGACCTGACAAGTGGACTAACTATTCGAATCCTCAATTTGCCACCCAAGATGTGGATGATCTCACTAATTTTCTGATGGTACCACCTCCAGTCGTCAACAATGCAGTTAGTAAGCCTTCTTGCCATTTCTCAATTTTTGTCGACGACGAATTTAAATAAACATTGGGTCATGTGAATTCCTTTTTCAAGAATGTCACCAGTACAAGGTCAACCATTTTAGGTGTTGGAATGAGATGGAGATTTAAATATTTATAAATAATAATAATTATTACAACCTAACACTGATTGTTAATATTTAACTCTGTGTGGCTTTAGCAAAGAAAAATTGGCGACAATTCGATGAAGATTTGAACAATTAATTTTGCACAGGCTTAGATTTGAGATCATTCGAGGGTGGAAGTTTTGTTGAAGAGGGCAGCTCTGTTGTCGGTGAAGACAAACTTTGTGAGCGAGCTGACTCTGCGCTCGTTATGGTTGACTTTGGATTTTGTACAAACAGGTGAGTTCCATAAAACACCATAAAGGTTCCTACAGCATGAAGCCACGTAAAAGTATTTCCAAAATAGAAAATACTAAACAATAAACTCACAAACTTTCTAATTGTAATGGTCAATGTGGTTGTGAGTGAATTGGTTTGAGCTGTCAATCTGTAAACTCCCTTAATGCAAACAATTTGAGTCAGTACACTTAAAAACATGTACCAATACATGATTGGATTGGATTGCATGGATCCAAAATTTTCCACAAGGTCATCTTTAAAGAAAATAAAACAAGGAATGGAGAGAAGATGTGAATAGAAAATATTCTCATTCTCATCACTTGTTCCATATTTCGAGTAGCCATACGATTGTAAATTTCCTAATAACCCAGTTGAAAATTGACTCGCTGTAAGTAGTATCAGACCCATCACCCATGCAGTTCCAACAATTTCTTGTCCAAACACAATGGACTCACTCTTGTTGGATGCAACGACAGCAATAAATATTCCAACTGTAATCATTAGAACAGAAATAATCTTTTCTTTTGGTTGTGATTTACCAAAGAGTAAAATTCCAATCAATAAATTCATCAACAAGGAGCTCGATCGGAATATCGTATGTAAAATAATAGAAATATGATACTTGAAAACTAAATTATTTACAACGGATTGGAAAAAGAACAAGAACACAAGAATAGAGTAGAACCATAAAGGAATGGCTCTCTTCTTCAAAGATTTTGTTTCCCAGTCAATGTTATGCCGTAATGATTCAAGAGAAATAAATATAAATTGAATAAGAGTTAACAGAGGTCCCATCTTTGAGTCCAAATTTAAAATCATTTCCAAGACAATCACATTAAGAACACATCCCGACATGATCATGGCCACGGAAGACATTGGACTGTTCGGGTCCACGATGGATTGTATCTGATGAGCAAGCCATGCCAGAGCCGCCATTTTTTTAATCTTATTAATAAATATTTGATAAATATTTATTAAATATTGATTAAACAAGATTAATGATTTTATCAATATATTAATTTGGCCTGTTGTTCAGAATGACAGAATAACAGAGAAAAACATCTCTCTTTACTACAAAACCAAACTCGCTGGCAAATTTTGGCTCGAGTTAAACCACTGTGTCACTCTTAATTTCGTAAAGTCATGTCATGCCTTGATATTGAAAATAGTATTCATGACATCAGGTTTATTTTGAAAGGTGAGTTACATGTGGAAATCTAAAACACAAACATTAAATTCCTCAGTTAATGAATTTGAGAAGCAAGCTGCAACCTTGTCACCTGTTGAATTCCAGCACACTTCAAAAATGCTACCAGTTCCACGATAAGTCTTTACAAGTTTTCCATCGTGCACTGACCAAATATGCAAGAAGCGATCAAATGAGCCACTTGCTAAATATTTACCATCTGGGCTAAATGCAACAGAATAAACTGGATCAGTGTGTTTTGTGAGAGAGTGCAAACATTTTCCAACAGTAGGATCCCATAACTTGATGGTAGCATCAAAAGAAGCACTTGCCAAAACCATATTCCTATTGGGATAATCTGTTCCTGGACCTGTGGGGCTCCATTTGATTGTATAAATTTCCTTAGTGTGCTCCTTCAAATCGAAAACACATTTCTGAGAAGATGATGATGATGATCCAAATGACCAAATCTTGGCTGTGAAATCATCAGAACATGAGGCCAAAAGACTTCCATTTGGACTCCACCTAATTGCATTCACTTCATCTTCGTGACCTGCAAATGTTCTAATTGGATCCTTAGTACCCAACTCATAAACATAAATCATGCGATCGGTTGAGCATGTTGCAAAAGATGTATTATTTCTCCAATCAACGTCCAAGGTAGGGGCAGTGTGATGAGCAAATTGTTGTTTTACAGAGCCCGTCTCAATATCCCAAACAATGGCAGTATTATCAACGGATCCAGACAATAAATAATTGCCTTGCTTATTCCATTTCAATGAAAATATTGGACCCTTATGTTGATCTAATACAGCTTTGAGTTGACCATCAGCAGTCCAAATTCTAGCTTTTCCGTCGTAGGATCCAGTGGCAAGTTTCTTGCCATCTGCACTCCAGTCCAATGTAGTGACATCTTTTGTGGTCGCCTGGTTAAATGTGTCAAGAACAGGATCACCATGATGTAATACGATGGGTTGATCAGGGGCAGCTTGGGCTCCGACCTCATTCTTAACCAATTCCCAAATCCTAGCAGTTGAATCGCCCGAACCAGATGCCAAAACATTGCTACGAACTGGATTCCAAGCACAAATAAATACTTCGTGAGTGTGACCTTTCAATTTTGTGACCTGACTGTCATCAATTAAGATGGGTAGTTGCTGATGATCCTCGGTCGATGATGGCGTTGCTCCCTGCTGTACAACTCCTGTACCACCAGCACCAGCACCACCGCTGGCCATGGTCATTACGGCATCCTCTTCATCTTGCATGACGTGTGAGTCACGTGTAGAAGCGGCGGTAGCTGCCGCAGTGGTAGTGGCGGCAGAGGGTGTTGGTGTTTGTTTTGATTTTTTCGAAGGCCTTCCACTTCCATTTCGTGCACTTCCCGAAGAGGCCTTCTCAGCATTCGAGTTCTTTCGTCTGCCTGTTGTTGTGGATGAAGGTGTTGAAGTGGTGGAAGTTGTTGTTGTTGTTAGAGAAGAAGTGGTGGCTGCATTTGAAAGAGAAGACGAGGATATTGATGAGGCAATTTGTGCCGATGATTTCGATCGGTTGGGTGTAGCAGTAGTAGTTCCAGAGAGGGATGCACTAGTGGTTGAGGATGACGCAATAGAGTCTGGAATGGTTCGAGCAAAAAGCTTTTCTTTTGGAACTTCGGGAAGCAACATTTCAAAAACGGTATCATAATTCACCTGATCCGTTTTGTTTCTGATTCTGGTTTCAATCTCTAGAAATTGTACACCTTTCTGTATGAAAGATATGAGTACACCGGGAGGTATTTCTGAGCCTCTGAATGCGCAATTTTGAACTCCACTTTCATTGGCAAAAGAGAACGCCGTATGCTTAAAACCTGACTCTTGGAGGTATCTGAAAATCATAAAGTTAACTTCATCACTGGTAAGATTACGGAAGGTCATGGTGATGATCTTAGGGTTGTGTTGTTGGATCTATTATGAGGTTGTTTGTTGTTGTTGTAGATGATGATAAAAGGCTCTTCTCTACGATGGTCGAATTGAAAAATATGTAGAGGTCGAATTGATGATGATGGTATCGTGTTGTGGCCACACGGTGGGATAAATTGATCTTCTACAGGAGTTGTGGGTAATGTGATAAAAATATAATTATTATTAATTAAAACAGTCCTGAATTGGTGGAGGTGTTGATGATGATTAATTAACACAACCGAGAATATTTCTGTCTTTTTTAAAACAATAACGGAAGAAGAAGGAGATTGAAAACAAGCCTTGTTTTTGTAAAAATCTCAATCTCTTACTCCCAGTTAAATTCCGTTTTGAAAGAGTCAAAAATGATTGATACGAATTCTATCTTTACAGAAATGTCTCAGAAAATTCTATTCAACAAGAGTGTTGTTGCTGTTGTTGAATTATGTAAGTGTGTATTATTGTAAGAAAGTAAAGACGAATTTTTTTTTAATGTTATCATCATAAAAAATTTAAAATTGTGTTATTGTTATTGTAACGTACAATTTTATCGATAAACTGATAAAGTCCTTGTGATTGGCATTGGAGATCATGAGAGTTGTATCAAATTTAAAGCTCACACACATTTCACTTCTTCTTCTGACAGAAATCCATGGCCTCCTTCTCTCCGAAAAGAACTCCTAAAAAATTGCACCATCATATCTCATCACACAGGGATCCACTCTGCTGAGAACAAAATATTTACTCATCAGAGGCCTATCATCATCATCAACATTGAATCGTAGTTTGGGGTGAGATTCAACACATTTCCATTCATGGCAATCATCATCATGAAAGTCTTTCCGTTGTTGCTGCTGCAGTGTGTTGCTAGTCTTTTCATGGCTCATGTGTTGAGCCTCTCCCATCATCAAGATCTTCACTTGGTACACGCTCAACAACAACAACAAGAGGTAGATTGGAGTTCTCTCACCTCCTCTCAGTTGCATGCTCTTTCTCCGAGTGTTTTTGAAACAGCCAGTGCTTTCAATATTTCACAAATTCCATCCGAGGCTTGCAGTGGATTTCGTTCCGATCAATTGAACCAGTTGAATGGGGCAGCCTGTGCTGGTTTCATATCTACGGATTGTTTTATGAACATCTCGGGAGAAGCCTTCTCAGGTATTTCCTCGAATTGTTTAATTAATATTCTGCCTTCCACCATCAAAGTCTTAACATCGGATCAATTGAGGAATATTCCTGCAAATTCAATGATTGGACTCACTGCCACACAACTCAGTGTTTTGAACCCAGATACTTGTATTGGATTTTCAGCAGCTCAAATTTCCAATCTGCAATCATCGCCCATGTTTGATAGTTGTTACGGATTTAGTGAGGGATGTTTTTTGAATTTACCTTTAACGAGTTTGAATGGAATGAGTTATTCATGTTTGGCATCCATTCCGAAAATGACTTTAATTCGAATGGATTCCTCACGTTTTGCTTCACTCTCCATGGATACCATTTCAAGTTTAAAGCCTGATCTTTTCCAATTGTTTTCAGGAGAGACATGTGCTGGTTTCAATGACAAGTCACTCTCTGTACTTCCCTATGATACCTGTCGAGCATTTACAGAGATGTGTTTTTCATACATGACACCACAAGCCATTCAAGGAATGCAGCCATTGTGTTTGAGAAGTGTTCCTCGAAAGAGTTTGAGAGGGCTTGATGCAGATCGTATACGAATGTTGCCAAATTTTGCCCTTAGTTTAGTGAATCCAGATCAAATTAGTGAGCTTTACATGTACAGACGAGGTGACATATTGAATGGTCTTACCCTGTCACAAGCTCAAGCGATTTCAACCAACACAATTTCAGTCCTCAAGACCATGTTTCTCAATGGGGACTTGTTGGCCAATGACAATCTTCCACAAGATTTTAGAAGAATGAATTGGTTGCACTTGAGTTCCACTGCTTCAGCCTATACGAGTGCGAAAATTACTCCAAGCTCAATCATACACATGCCAACCTTTACGTTTGTTGGTTTTTTAGGAATTCAAATTCAACAATTACCTGGCAACATCTTTGAGAATGCGACCGATGGTCAAATAAGCGCTTTTGATTGTGAAGCTCTCAGTGGTTTATCAGCGACACAAATTTCATTCTTGTCACCACGTTTGATGTGCATTGTGCAACCTAAATTGTTTGAAAATTGTGTCAAGACGAGCTCAATCATTGGCGTTACTACGGAGCAATTTCTCGAATCATTCTCTTGTGGTCAATTATCGCTCTCATGTCCTCAATTCCATGCTCTCTCCAAATCACAATATAATTTTTTGGTCTTCATGAACCAGACCAACCATCTCATTGATACATGCGGTCCCAATGTTTACAGTTCTGGCTCCTCAGTCAAACCACACCCCTCTCACTCTTCCGCTCACACAACAGCATTATTTTCGTGTGGGTTATTATTATTTATTTGGATGCTTCTCATTACTTTTTCCTTTATTCATTAATTTATTCAGTGTGATGAAAATAATAAATTGACAATGTGTCAGTGTTAGGTTTAGAGGAACTTTATTGCTGCATTATTGGTAAAGCTTACTTTCCCGAAAAGACACTCAAAAGTCAAAGCTTTTATCTCAAAACTTCCTCAAAGAGTTGTGACTTGGATTGATTCATCGTTGTGCTGAGCATGTTCCTCGTCATCATAAGGAAGAGTCAATGAGAGCGACTCGCAAAACCGTGCTATAATATTCCACATGTATCCAATAAAGAATGATTCAGATTCTGCATCTTCAGAAAACTGCGACGTAAAGAATGGAATGATCTTTAAGTGTTGCTCTGCCTTACTTAGTGTCCAAAATTGAGATGCCTTTAAAATATTTTCCATGTAGGTTTCTGAACTCCAGTTTCGTGTTTCTTTCTGCGACAGATCCAGATATTCCTCAAACACATCACCAGAGGAATTCAAATCTAATGGAGAAAGGTGGGAGGTTGTCATTTTAGGATCGTTATTACTGCCACTACTACTCACAGATGACGTTGTCGTTGCTGATGAAATCTTTCCAAGTTCAATATTCAAAATATTTGAAATTTTCAAATCAAAATACTCAATGATAATCTTAAGGTTGTGAACGAAATCTCTACAAATCCCAAGGTCTTCGAGTTTTTTGACCACTCGTCGTTGATATAGCAACTCATAAACAAGTCTCAGATTTTTTCGCAAGCCACCTTCCTTGTTTGTGGTGAGTATACAATTAATAGTTTCCAATATGAGTTTTAAGAGTGATAAATAGGTTTCTTTTTCTTCAGTCTTCTCTGAAAGACTCACTTTTTCATACTTTAAGGTTAACAATCTCGTGAGTGTGATCATTCTTTGAGCAGTATAGGTATGCATATTTGAGAAATAGGGACCTGAATTTGAAATAATTGCCAAACAAAAACTATTCAAATACATGTCCTTCTGGTGTGTAATATTATAATGAATAAGTGATATTAAGACTGCAACAATCAAACTTCCAAGTCGAATCTCATCCAAAATCCTCTCTGTAAACCATGGAACTGATGAAATGACTTGTTTGTGAGTGTTGATTACAAATAATGAATCCTGAGTCAGTAAGGTGAGAACAATCAGCAATGTGTACACATGATTGGCTCTTTCTGTTTTGGAATTGTAAATTTTGTGAAGAAGAGGAAGTAATATCGTTTCAGGATCTCCTCTCGAGAGAACAAACTCTCTGAATGATTTGTTTTCATGCAGAAGGACATAGGTCAGTACTGTACATTCTTCTTCTTCAAAATCTCTCACAAGTGATGAATACAATTTTTCAAATGAAATTCCAGTAGCCTCTGTCACATCTTTTCTTGGTTCATACTCGACAGAAGTATAATCAGTATAGTTCCACAACTTGTGAGAACTGAGGGAGTCATCAGAATTTTGCAAAGTAGAAAAGAGAGAAAGATAGGGATTGGTGATAGAGTTATCGTTTTTTCGATAGAAAATCAAGAGCAGCAAATTCATAATACTTCTTCGTCCTAAAAGTTCAGGAAGCATTTCGCTTAATCGTTCACTGTATTCCATTTCTTTCGTTTCTTTGTAAAATAGATTTCTGTAGGCATTATACGGAAGATATAGAATTGATGTGGCTGTTTCTCCAAGTTTTGTAAATATTTTCTGTAGAGTCGAGCGAATGGATATTTGAAATGGAGAGGCTTCTTTTTTTGACAATCTATAAATGATGTGATTTTGTAAAAAGGTGTGAATCAGTCGATTAGGACTAAATGATACACAATTGGATTTGAAATGTTTTCTCGTTTTCATGATGTGAATGGCTTCCTCTAAGAAAATATTGTGCTCTCGTCCCGACTCCTTAATTCTTCCAATAATTTCATTTTCTTCTTCCAATTCATTCATTACTCCTCCGTACAGGGAGGTACTAAACAGTACTAGTAGACAGTTCATTACTTCCAAATGCAATAAATAATTGTGAATGGTCACTCTAGATTCGCTTAAAAATAAGAGAGCAGACTCCATGAAGACTCTGGCCACTAATGGAGAGGAGATTCGCTTATTTTGTTCAATTTCATATTCAGGATTTGTTTCTTCATCAATGTAGCAATAATTTTCATAAATATTTGGAGAGAGCTTGAATCCTGGAGGTAAATGATACAAATGAGCTTTAAGAAAATCTGAATTATTTTCACAATCCATGATAATACGGTGAATTAAAAATCTGAAAATCACGAATGCATTGCACGTGACAAGAATGGATTCTCGATCTACCGTTGTTGAGGTTTCATTGTTGTTTTCTTCAGATTGTCCAGCATTGACTCGATTAAGTAGCCACTGTGAGAGAGTCAGCATGAATGAAACAAGTGATCCGGTGTTCAAATTATTCGTTTCTAAAATTGAATAATAATTTTGAAAAGTTTGATCGTCAATTAATTTCGAATCCATTATGTGCATTCGACCAAAATTCATCCAATTAAATTGTGAATATGTGTGTATAATTATATATTGAGAAAATGTTCACAAAGTCAAGGAATAATCCATTAATGAAAGTATGTGATATGAATATTATTCCGAAACATATGTAAAATTCGATGAAACGCAATTCAATCAATGATATTAAACTGTAAAACATACGCATCAATGAGGCATATTTAAATAAATGTTTTTCCATTATTTCTGGATGAAGCAACGATAGAGGAAAATAATCTCCAACATTTAAAACCGATGAAGACGAAACAGCACGAGCTACCTTTCCAATGGAAGAAATGCTCTCGGATGATGATGATTGTTCCGAAATAATGGCCTGAGATATGGATAAAAGAGAAGAAAACGCAAACTTATTCCAGAATTCATCATGATTCCGAATAGGTTCTGCACCACACAAATCATTCAGAAAATCATTTTGTCCAATGGAATTACCAACAGCTGAAGAGAATTTCGTTCCCATATTTGTTGAGGTCTCGGGATGAAGTTATTGAAGATAACACGGGATAATGTGTGCTTATGTACTCAATGGTTATTATTAATATTTAACGAAATAAATGTATATATCAGTTATGAATGATGAGAACAGTGGTACCACCTCTCACAGATGGATTCGGCTCTTTTCTCAATTTTTTTGTAAACTTCATGTTGTAACCACATGTATTGCACGAACAAAATTAAATCTCAATTTTAATGTGTGCAAATGGACTTGTCATTGGATAGACGTGTGTTGTTGGTTTTCCACCTCTCGGAATCTCGGAGGTCATAAATTTCTGAGAAAGGAATTCTCTCAATTCCTCGTTTGATTGAATCACTTCATCCTTATTCGAAAGTATTGATCGATGCTCAAAGAAGGAACCATAACTGGATTTATCAATGCCTCTCATCTCTAAAAGATCTGAAATCTCTTTCAGAATGCACTGTTTCAATTGATCCATTGTGATGTGACTTTTCACTGTAAAGACTCTTTTTTGATTGAGTGGAAGAATGGTCAGTTTGATGATCACTGTGCACTGTGGATTCAGAGAATCAGTCTCTGAATGACCTGTTTTTGCAACAAGTTCTTGAGGTTGTGAAAGAGATCTTTTTGCTCTCTGAGGGTATTGGTCTGTTAATTGAGGTGATAATGATGATAGTGAAGAAGAAGAAGGAGACATTCTCTGTGCTTGTTGTTGACTCTGCTGTTGTGATTGTTGCAAATTCAATTGCTGTTGCTTGTAATATTTTGTCAAAACTTCATTCACTTCTCTCATTAACTTTTTCTTGTGTCCGAGTTTGGCCATTTTCAACTTTTTGTAGAGTTGATCGATTTTCTTTTGCTGAATGAGATGATGTTCATCCGCTTCTTGTTGAGAAAGGTTATTGGTTGGCGAGGATGATAATGCGTAAGAAGAGGAAAAGGAAGAGGACGATGGAATGATTGGTGAGCTATTGTTCATCGAGGATGTTGATTCCAATAATGAATTGTTTCCGGATCGATGATCATTTTCCTTTTTCAACACTCGTAAATCCATTCCCTTAATTTCATGCTTTTTAATTTGATCCGTATATTCAGGCAATTCCAATTTAAATTGAAAGAAGGCAATGGTTTGTTGTGTGGTCCATCTTCTCAAAGGAACATTCTCCATAAATTCCAAAGATTGCAAATCCTCTTGTACCGGTTGACCACCCTCGAATAAGGCTGAATTCCATGAATCCCCACTGCTTCGAGAGGTGTTGGAGGAGGAAGTAGTTTGTGGTGAATAAGAGCCCGCAATCAGAGTGATGTTGTTGGTCGGTGAGTGTTCTCCAAGATTGGAATTATTTTTGCCTTCTTTACGTTTGAATAGTTTTGCAAAAAATCCAGCACTACTGCTTGTTGTGGAAGGATTTCTATTGGAAGAGTAGTTGTTCGAGGTTGGAGAGGAGCTCATGTTTCCACTACTGGATGAGGGCGAAGAGGATAATGAATCTGTTTCCGCTACGTAGGAAGAGGGATACGCTGGAGGCTGATGATTCATACTCTGCTCAATGACTTTGGTCAAAACAAAATGTTCAAACTCATCCGATGCTTTAAATTCCTTAAAGGATTCATTTTGTAATTGCAAACGAACCTCCAATTCAAGTTCTTTAAAACAATGAGAAGCATTCCAAAGAGAATTGGTGGCCAATGTTGTTGGAATGGAAAAAGAATCAGTCAAGCGAGAGGTTTGAGATGAAATAGCCGATGTTGTAGTGTCAAAATTGTTGTTGTGGTAGGGTCGGTTAGGATCTTGTAAGATCAGGATGTTACTCATTGTTGGAGAGGAGCTCAAGGAGGATGAGGAGGAAGAGAAGGAACTCGGATTCATGGTCATCCTTGGTGGAGTAGAAGAAGAAGAACTTGCGACGAGAAGAGTACCAGAACCGCTGCTGCTGAGTCCACTTCCAGCATGGTTTGGATCCATACACATCAAACTCTCATCATCAAGATTCGATGAGGAAGGAGAGAGCATGAAGAGTGAGTGTGGCGATGAGGAAGGAGAGGAATTCCAGAGTGCGTTATTGTTATGATTGATCTTGATGGCATGTCCCAATGGAATTGATGAAGAAGAATTTAGCTGATGCACTAAATATCGATCGATTCTCTCCAAGGCATGTACTTTTGCAGCACGACTCACATTCAATTCACTCACAGCTCCACTCACGAGGTATTGCTTTCGAATCCGTTGCAAACTCTCTTCAATGGATTGGGTGTGAGAAGGTGGGATCTTTTTCAATTCATTTAATTCCAAGAGGAATTCCAAACTTTCTTCGTTGCGTTTCTTTTTCAGAAATTGATGAAAGACTTGGGAGGCTTCTTGGTCGTGAATGTACTGAGATAAGGAAAAGTACTTGTCAATGTTGATCACACGTGGAGTGGAGGGTGGTGGTGGTTCATTGATGGTGGTGTTTTCAAAAGATGATGCTGTTGCCGTTATGGAGTTTGTGGATGAGGAAGAGTTCGAGTGAATTTGCGAGAGTTGTAAGGGAGGAAGTTTTGAAGGCTTTTGTGGCGGGTTTGAAACGACACTTGTCTTTGAGTCGAATGAGATTGTTGTTGTGAGAGTGAGTAACGAAGTATTGGAAGAGTTAGTCAGAGTATTGGAAGAAGATAGATCGGTCTTCGAGGAGGGTCTTGTTGGTGTGATCATAGATATTTTGGATCTCGGATTAATGTCACTTGATGTCGTCATCATTGAATGATGCGAGGCTGTTGCGTTTTTGCTTTGAGTGAATAACATGATGATGTGAATGTGGCGTTAGTATTGACTGGATCAATGGTGAATGCAAAATCTTGTGGAATCAATAACAACAGCTGTTGTCAGCAGCTCGGCTCTCTGGTTTTGAAAACACACACCTAGTGGTGGTTGTGACGCAAATTTGTTTTGGACAAACTTCGCCGTGAAAGAAAATGCTACGACAGATAATTACGCAACAACGGCGTCTGGCATTTATTTTTGCCGTATTTGGGCAAAAATTAGAACTGCAAAAGATGCAACAGTGTTTTGCCTGATGTAACAGAAAAATCTGCATAAGAACATGCTAAATTACGGTATTAAGCATCCCATACATGAATACCTAATTCAAGTTGTTTGTTTGAAATCATGCCCAGAAACTAAAAGATGAACATGCGCTGGGATGTCACTCAACAGATTCCCTATACTATACGGATTCACAGAGTCACAATCAGTAGATTTCCAGTACGTCATAGTGACATTAAAATGGTGCAAGCGGCAAATTGAATATGTAAAATTGAATGCATATGAGGAAAGTGAACTCGTTAATGGTTTATTGTATCAGTACAGAGTAATAATCTGTTTATGTTTAGGGGTGACTATGTTATCATCCGTTTGTAGAGGATGTTTCGTTTCAAAATTGCCGTTACTGTAACGTGAGTCAAAATGCCTACTTCTTCTTCTTTGAGTCGTTTGAAGCTGCCGATCCACCATTATTTTCTCTATTCTTTTCTTCAACAATCTTTTGTTGAATGTCAGGTGTGACAAGACGGTGAGTAAAGTATTCCATACTGCATTCTCCCTTTCCTTGAGTTAAACTTCTCAAAATTGTTGTATAACCGAACATTTCTGACAATGGAACTTCAGCCCAAATAGTCCAAGAGGCATCGCTGGCACTTCTTTCAGAGTTTGTGACTTGTCCACGTCTTTGGTTAATGCTTCCCAAAACTTCACCTTGGAATTCTTCTGGAACAACAATTTCAACCCTCATGATAGGTTCAAGAATGGCTGGTCTTGCCTTATCGAAAGCTTGTTTGAAGGCTTGAACACAAGCAATTCTAAAGGCCAATTCAGAAGAGTCGACAGGGTGAGTAGCACCATCACTCAAAATTGCCTTAACACCCCATACAGGGCATCCAATGAGTGGTCCCTTAACGACGGCTTCACGGAAACCCTTCTCACAACCAGCAATATAACTTGGTGTAATGGCGTTACCGATAATACGGTTTTCGAACAGGAATTTGTCAAGAACCTCAGCCATTTCGCTATCATCCATTGGCTCAATGTGTCCAATAACCTTAGCATATTGACCAGCACCACCACTTTGCTTCTTGTGAGTATAGTTGTATTCTCCTCGTGATTGAATGGTCTCACGATATGCAACGTAGGGTTTACCAACAATGACTTCACAATCGAATTCACGTTTCATTCTTTCAACGTAGATATCCAAGTGCAATTCACCCATACCGCTGATAATGGTTTGATTACCCTCCGGATCGAATGTGACCTTAAATGTTGGATCTTCACGTTGGAATTTGCTCAAAGCCTTTGCAAACACAGCTTCCTTAGTACGTTCCTTGACTTGAACAGATTTTGAAATGACTGGTTCAGGAATGAACATGGTTTCCAAAGTGAACTTGTTCTTAATGTTGGAAATGAATGTGTCACCGCTCGCACAATCGACACCAAAGAGAGCACAAATTTCACCAGGACCAATTTCTGAAATGTCTTCCATTTCATTTGCGTGCATTCTGACCAATCTAGGAACCTTGACCTTTTCACCAGTTCTAACATTAATAATGGAAGAGCCCTTCTTCAAAGAACCTTGATAGACTCTAATATAAGTCAATTGTCCGTACTTTCCTTCTTCCAACTTGAAGGCTAAACCAATAAATGGTTTTGTATTGTCAGCAAAAATTCTTGTTTTTCTTTCAGACTCAGGGACGCCTTGTTTCTCTTCTGAACAGTCAATGGCATAGTTAGGAACTTGAGCAGGATTTGGCAAGTAACGAACCACACCATTTAACAAGGCTTGAACACCCGTATTCTTCTTAGCGCTTCCCATAAAAACAGGAGCAAATTTGTTGGCAATGGTAACTCTACGAATGACTGTGTGAACAAAATCGACAGTGATTTCAGCGTCATCCAAATACTTTTCAGCAAATTGGTCATCAACTTCTGCCAATCTTTCAAACAACTCGTTTCTCTTTGCGTTAGCTTCTTCCAGGTATCTTTCAGGAACTTCCTTCACGGCAACTCTCTCACCATTGTCACCTTCAAAATAGAGAGCCTTCATTTCAATAATATCAACAACTCCTTGCAAGTTATCCTCCAAACCCATTGGAATTTGCACAGCTGCTGCATTCAACTTTAATTTGTCTCTCACTTGTTGAATGACACGATTTGGATTTGCACCTAAACGATCCAACTTGTTGATGAAACACAATCTAGGAACACCATATCGCTTCATTTGTCGATCCACAGTCAATGATTGAGACTGAACACCACTCACACTACACAAAATTAAAATGGCACCATCCAACACTCTCAATGCACGTTCGACCTCAATGGTAAAATCCACGTGTCCCGGAGTATCAATGATATTGATGTGGTGATCTTCCCATTTGCAGTGAGTAGCAGCACTTTGAATAGTAATACCCTTTTCCCTTTCAAGGTCCATGGAGTCCATAGTTGCACCAACTCCATCGGTTCCTTTTACTTCGTGGATTTCCTTGATACGTCCCGTATAGTAAAGAATACGTTCAGTGAGTGTTGTTTTACCAGAATCAATGTGAGCCGAAATACCAATGTTACGGAGTTTAGCTAAATTTTGAAGTTGTTCTTTTGATAAATTCTCCAAAACGGAAGCATCATTGGTATCAATTAATTCCAATCGGTTAACGGAGAGTTTTTGAGAGAAGGCTCTGTTCTGCAGCACCACTTGGGTGGTCGTAGTTTTTGGATGATGTTGGTGATGACTCAGCACAGAACGGAGCGAAGATGAGGCTTGACGAAAGAGGGTCTTTTTCATTTTTTTTTCAAACAAAATTTTGATTGGCAGACTTAAACTTTCAATGACCACCTTGGATAATAGGAGCCACGTTCTGTGTGTGATATGAAGAAGGTTCTCATCATGGGATGAATGCAAAGTGTGAGTCTTTTATTGTTGTTGTTACTGTTGTTGCTGTTGCTGACAACGACGAGCAAGCTTGGCCTGCTCTTGTACGAAACCTATAATTTCATTGTAGTGTCGCAGTAACTTGTCATTGACCTGACACCACAAAAAATCAGTATGTCCATACTCGGGTTCCACTAAAATTCGACATCGTTTAAAAGCGCTATGGCACGATTTCATGGAGTTTTCTAGCCTACCTTCCTTAGTGGTTGTGTTATTATTATTACTATGGGTTGTTATTGCCTCTTCACTATTATCACGACATGATTCATGCAATGAAGAACAAGTGTCACATCCAAATTGTTTCAAACTCTCTTCAAAGTCGACCACATTGTCCTTTGCACCGAGACATACCAAAATTGGAGGAACATAGTTTGCATCATTGGTACGAGCGGAATTGGAGATGGTATCATCATGCTCTGTCGAGTGATACATTTCTTTCCATTTTGCAAGCATGGAATTAATCGGATAGACCTCCTTATTATTAAATTTCCTTAAACATCCACCTGTTTTCAACATGTTGAACCAATGTGTGACGTTATTCACGGAAGTACAACCCAGAGGTATATTCTTGAACCATTCACCCTTCATGGGATCATCTGGAAGAGGATTTTGTTGAATATTCAACCACCTCAACGCACGTTCTCCCATGTATCCAATAAAGTTCTTGGGGAGCAAGAGTTGTGAGAATGCCACACCCACAACAAATTCACGATCCCCAAAGAAAAATCTTGGAATTTTCATTAAAATTCTCAGAATAAAGCTACGTGGATTCTTCTTCAAGAAACATGCAGGTGAAATTCCAACAATGGCATACAAATAATTCTTATAATGTTCAAATTCAGGTAAACTGAGAGCTGCAAATAATTGTCCTGCACCTTGTGACATGCCCATCCAACAAATTTTGTCCTGTCCAGTCGCTTGTCTCACAAAATCAATCATGGCTGGTAAATCGTAATAAATAATTTCATCAATTGAGAATTTCCAAAAGTTGACTTCATCATGCAACCGAGACACTAAATGTTGTTGACCAAACCATGAAGTTCTATTATTTCCAAGCCAAACATCAAACCCTTTTCGTGCCAATTGAAATGCCAGAGAATCCTTATGGAGACACCAAACAGTCATACTCTCCAGTAAACCATGTTGTAGAAAAATCACTGGTTTTTGTTTGTGCAATTCACGATCGTGCAACAATTCTTCGAGTTGTTGAGCCGATTTGCAATAATTAATGGTGGAAGGATGAAGAGTGTGTGAGTGTGGTTGTTTTGAGGGGTGGTTGTTGTGTGAGGAATCATTCTTCAATGATGGTAAAGAGCAAGTGGAAGCGGCTTCTTGATCACAGCTACTACTATTCATCTTCTTCACATGATCCTTCTCCTCTTCTCCTTTATAAATAATTCGTAGTAGCTGCAATCGACAGCCATCCTTAGTTTTACAGGTAAATACTTTACATTCAAAACCATCGGTTCGGTTGATGAGATGTTCCGTAAAACTCTTTCCCTTCTCATAAACTGTGCTATCCAATACGGAATAGAGATATTTACGACAAGTATTGGCAAAGGCTGTCCATAACACACACAAAGCAATGAACAATAAAAGTAAATGTTGAAGGAGGGACATGTTGGTGAACGAGTAGAGTAAAAGACTCCATCCCGAGAATGGAGAGAGTGAGGAGAAGGAGACGGAGCTGGAGGAATTGAATTGGAACATCATGACGATGAGAAGGAGGAGGATGGTGGTGATAATGATGATAACGCTAATAATGGTGGTCAGTGGTAGTGGTGAGGTTATTGAATGGCGGTAGTTATGATGATGATTGTGGAATGTGGTGGTAAAACTGATCGTTCGTAGTAGTTTTGTACCACTTCTAATGATGATAACAATGAATGCTACAACAATTTGATGATAATGATGATGATGAATACTATATACTATTTGAACGGAAAGGAGGGTGTTCCGAGAATGATGATCGTGTGGTTGTTTCTCTACTCTCAAAAATTTAGGAAATTGCAAAATTTGAAAAAAGGGTGATCACTCAATGCAAAATTTGAACCACCACGTGGATTCTGCTTCTTTTAATGATGATATTACCAATTGCTGTATGTTACACAACAAGGCTATTATGCGCACTTTCTCGAGTGAATGAAACACAGAGATCCAACAAGTGTGTGTGCAAATCTTCGAAATGGTGACGCAAAAGTTGTTTGTGAGATCGATGTGAAACGGAAAACGAAAAGGAAATTTTTTTTGAAAATTGGATGACGGTTTTATTGGTTTCATAGAGAAAGGGTGAATTAATTCGTTGCATATTCGTTGCTGCAGAACGAATTGGGGAAGCCAGAGACGAACATCGATCGTCAACAAACGGCTACCGATGTCAACAGTAGGAAAATTAAATAGAGAGCGTTGATTAATGTCTTGGTATCAATAACGACCGTACAGATCAAACCTCAAAAGCAGGAAAATTACTTTGAAATTTTCCGAGTTACTCTTCGTAGTATGGATAACAGCATCATTCGGGACTGAATACAGTAAATGTATATCATGAGTGTGTGTTTGGACATTTACTTGAAACAAATATTGAGCATATCAGGAACATGCAAAACCTTTTCTCTAATTTTTCCCATCTTTTGGCCTTCATTCACTTCGAACTGCTCCAATTTCTTGTATTGACCAAAATTAACAAAAGGAATGTTCTTGGTCTGGAGTGTCAAGACAAGATTTGTGTGAGCATCTTTTTTGGAGCAAGCTAGGTTGCCTGATGAAAAATCATTAGTTATACACTCAACAGTCTCCTCAGCGTCATAAATGTTTGACAAAATAACACCAGAAGGACCACGTTTCAGCCAACCACAAACATAAACTCCATTTAAGGGTTGCTTATTGTGAGGATTCACAACTCTTCCGTGCTCATTGACAACAACTCCCTTTTTGTGATCGAATGGAATGTCTGGATCCACAGGCACACTCTTATATCCAATGCTTTTAAACACCAAATCACATTCAATTTCTTCGAAAATGCCAGTTCCAACAGCTTTTGGTTCAAGTCCACCGTTAGGGTCTTTCTCGAGTTTGGTAATTTCAAATTTAATAGATCCAATGCGAGAGGGGTCATCCTTTTTCGGTATAAACTCCACAGGATTTCTGAAAAAAACAAGCTCGACGAGTTTTGTGTTATCAGGCAAGGTGGGTTTCACCACTGCTGTTTGTAATAATTGTATCAAACGTTGTTTAACTCTGCCCTCCTTATGCAATTGCTCCTTAGAGATTTCATCCAAATTCTCATCCTGTATTTGTGCAGGATCTACATGGAGGCAATTAAGCTTGATCAATTCTCTTAATTCTTTTGTGGTAGCTGCAATTTGAACAGGTCCTCTTCTTCCCACCACTAAAATATGATTTAAATTCTTGTTAAAATTCTCTAAAACGTGCATAGCTTGAGAGGTGACATCATAGGGTTTGAGCGTTTCTACAGGTCGAGCCAATATTCTAGCTACATCGAGTGCAACGTTACCTTGCCCAATAATAACTGCATTCTTTGAGTTCTGTACCAGATTTTTGAATTTTTCAGCTGTATGCTCCTTGGTATGAGATGGAAGCCCATTGTACCAAGCGACAAATTCTCTTGCACTTTCAACACCTTGTAAATCTTCACCCTTTATTCCGAGGGTTCTTTCGCTTTCTGCTCCGTACGATAGAACGACCACATCAAATAATTCTTGCAACTCTTTCAGCCTTACATCTTTTCCGAGTGACACATTTCCAATGAATTGGACTCTTGGATCGGAAGCCACTTGATCAAAATCATTTTGAACATTCTTGACTTCGGGATGGTCTGGAGCGACACCATATCTCACCAACCCATACGGTGTTGGCAATCGTTCAATAATCGTAATGTTCACTGACTCCTTTCCGAAAATTGCTTGACACTCCTTTCCCAACAACTGTTTGGCAGTGTAGAAGCCTGCTGGGCCGCTTCCGACCACACAAACGCTCAAATTTCTTCTTGTGTTAATGATACTGTTGTTGAAAAAGAAATTGGATGACTTGCGTCTCGTTTCATAGATGGAGGACGTGAGAACATGTTTTTTGATGATGGGATGACACTTTTGATTGTTGTTGGATGCAAACAGACAGGAAGATAGCGAAGATGACGCAAAGGAACGAGCAAAATGATGACGATGCATTTTTTTTGTTGTTGAGAAGGAGAAGCGCACTTTGGAAACAGGATCGGAGATGACAAGTTCTTTTAGCGACGTAGCTCTTGTGGATGATCACAACAAGAGGTCATTCTGGAATCATTATGATTTTTCGAGTCACTTGACAACCTTGAGAGAAGACATTGTATATACCTCTTTTGGGAGATTGGACGGTGAAAGAACAGATCCATCCTCACATGTGGTCGCAGCAACCAGAGAGTCATTCGCTCACAGAGAGCTCTCTCTTCAAAAGGAATTCCTCGGCAACAACAAACATGTGAACCTCCTCTGTAGGTTTTGAAAGGCAAGGCAACAGTTCTTCAACTTTCACAATTTCACACCACCCACCACAACAACAACAATCACCTTGTCTTCATTAACATGAAGATGGTTCTTTCCCAATGAACTGGTCGTAACAGAGAGAAGATCTATTAAAAGGGCCTAAAGATGATCCTGGAATCATCATCATTTCACAAAGCTCCTTTTGTCCCTGTCGAGATTACTCTTCTCCTCCCATTCAGACCAACAGTTGTTGACCAATAGCCTGCATCTTCAAGCTTCGGGTATCAATAATAAATAGATAATTCATTCATATCATTATTAGCACTAGGGAAATATATTATAATATTCTTCTTTGATGTTGTTGTTGGTTACATGATGCGTGAATGATTCGCGAGTTGTATGTACTGAAGGAAAATTGACGACTACTAGTAGAGAATGTGAAAGTAATCAGTTTCGTCATCATTATATCATCATCATCGCATACAACGTCGTCGCAATCATCATGAGTATACAATAAAATCATCAATGCACACATAGCTTGTGCATGATTATTGCTCGGATGAGTCGTTGTTTTCTTCGGCGGTCTTAGATGAAGAACCATTGTTATCATCAGATTCTGCTTTCATGTGGCTCTCAATATCTCTGTCTAGTTCTTCCTTGGTCTTTGGCTTCTTGACTTCCTTCTTGCCTCCTCTCTTACGACCACCTCCTCTTCCGCCTCTACCTCTGGTTGATCCGCCTCTACCTCTTCCGCCCTTGTTGGTGTTAGTTTTCTTGGTGATGCCCTTTACAGTGGATGACTTTTCATGGACTTTACTGAATCTTTCAGAGAGTGAAAGAGACTTCTTAACCACCTCTCTCTTGCCGCCATCAGATCTGATGACAATATCAGAAGAGTCTCGTGTGGATGACTTGTTTTGTTCCCTTCTACCTCTGCCAGAGGATGATGAGCCTCTTCCACGTTTTGGTGCGACCATTTTTTTTTGTATTTTTTGTTTTGTAAAAGGTTGGGTGATGACCCAATGTTTATTCAGAGTTTCAAATGGCACATTGACATCTTGAGCGACATAAATCTTGTTACAAGGCCAAAGAGAGTTCTTTGAATTCTTTTCACATCACGTGTTTCACACGTTCTTTAAATTCAGAGAGTTGTCATCTTTTCACGAATCGAACAACCTTCTCCACTATTTGTTTGAGTTTCATATGGTCAATTTTATGGAGCTGGTGGAAATTCAGTTTAACTTCATTTTTATACCATTAAAACTTCATGACAACACATTATATATAAAACATGGCAACACCATTAACGGAAGTTACGCTTTGTCATTCCAAAGGATGCAAACTCGATTGAGGTAATCGAAGGTCCAAAGGTCTGCACGTGTTCAAAATCTTTACTTAATTTGTTCAATCAATTTTTAATATTTTACAACAAACATCAAATAACAACAGTTAGCAATGCTAAAAACCTTTTAATTACAAATCATCACCACCTTGTTTAAGTCTTCTCTTACTTGGTGCTTTGGAGGCGCCCGATCGTGGTCTCATCATGACCTGATCCTCTGATGGTGTGGTGGCAGATTCTGCCACTGGTGAAGCCAGTGAATCACGTGGAGTGGATGAAACACTATTCACACGATCACCTCCATCTTTATCACTACTTTCATTGATCTTTTCAATTTCTAGCTTTTGAATTAAATTCACTGCACTCTGAGCGGCTGCTTTCTTCTTCTTATTGGCTGAAACACCCTTCTTAAATCCAGAACCATCAATGAGTGAATCCAATGTCTTATCCAAAACTCCCTTCTCCTCACCACTACCACCAGACAAGGTTTGTGAAGAGTCACCTTGATCCTCACCAATGGAAGATCGATGAGTATCTTGAGTTTCACCATTGGATGCATTACCGTTAGCTCTGGGTTTTCTAGAAATTCCTTGTTCTCCTTGTTCTTCCTTCTTCTTTCGTGAGGAAGCCACTTTTTGTTGACGTTCCTTGTCCTTGGCTTCCTTTTCCAATTTCTTTCTTTCAATTTCACGTTTTCTCAAAATTTCACTATACGCAAATTTAAAGTCTGAAATGAAGGCATTCATGGTAGCAAAGAAGGATTCTGGAGTAAACTTCTTTGGATCCTCTGCAAAGAATACTTGAAGTTTTTCAATTTGATTTTGCATTTCCTTCATTTGTGATTCAAAGTTTTCGACCTTCTCAGAGGCATAATCCAAAAAGTCAATCATGACCTCTCGGAATCGATCCTGCTCATTATTCATATCGGATTTCTCAATTTCACGTCCAACAAAATTCACACCTGCTTTCATTTCACTCAATTCTGCATTAATTCCCTGAATGGAAACTCTCTCAGCAGCTTGCAAGGCAGCAAGTTCTTCATGGAAATTCATCACCTCTGGATGATGTTTCTCTAAAAATTGTACAATATAATCCAACATGTTCATTTTGGCTCCAGTGGCTTTGGTGTCTTTCAGTTTCGAGAGAGCATTGAGTTGGAAACCATGAACAGCCTTCTTATTACCATTGATAAAGTTACCAATGGCCAAAATAACTTGAAGAATTTTCTGTAACTTTTTCGATTGTTGCAATTGTTTACAACTGTTAATGACACTCTCAATGTCGGGTTCAATCGATGCCACAGAGGCAGGGAATCGAGACTTGATGAGCCAACACTCCAAACGTTCCTCAAGTCTTGGAATGTCCATAATCTTGGTCAAGAATTGTTCGGTAGTTCCCAAATTATTGAAATCATCGTGATAGTCGGCGAGAGCTTGTCTTTCATCGGGTGTTGGAACCATGTCTTTGAGAGCTTTGACATTTTCTGGAGCCAATACACCTTCGTTCATTCTCAAAATGGCATGCTTAATTTGATCGTGTTCCAATCGCATCGATCCCAACACAATGGCACTGTTTTGAGCCTTCTTTGGATCAATGAGAGTCACCTTTTCAGGTTTCTTGGCAGTGGTTGCTTCCAACACAATGGATTCCTTCTTGGCGAATAACTTTTCCAATTCGGATTGTTCCAATTCGATTGCTTCCAATCCATTCACAATGTCTTTCTTAATCCAAATCGAGTCTTTCAATTGATTGTTGGCAACCTTATTCCAGAAAACACCTTTCATAGCTGTGGTGCTCTTGTAGGTTGGAAGTTTTGGAGGAACATAGCCAGCAGGAACAGCACCCATACCTGGAACCATTGGAATACCACCCATTCCAGGAGGCATTGGAATACCACCCATGCCAGGTGGAGGAGGAACAAGAGCATCTTGTCCACCCATGCCTGGTAGAGGTGGAACAGAAGGAATGGAACTATCCGTACTTGTAACGCCACCCATTGGAGGATTAGGAACGTCTGTGGTAGTGCTGCTATTATTCGTATTCGACGTGGTATCGGTGGTGTTGTTGTTGTTGTTTGTGTTGGATGAAGAGTCACCTCCAGAACCAGAACCACCACCACCTCCAGATTGCAATTGCTTTTCCAATTGTTTGGCCTTATAGGTCATAAATTTCAACTCAGTCTCTAACTTTTTCATGTGTTTCTTGAGTTCATCAGGTGCTTGAACGGTCTCAATATCAATTCCATTTTTAGGTTTCACTTTGACAAGAAATTCTTCAGCATCTTTGAGGAATTCTTCTTGCAAATCGTTTGGATCCATATTTTCGATGGATTTTTGGAATGATTGTTTGGTCTCTTTGGATGTCAAACTAATGAACTTTTCAATGACTTTTTCATCAATTTTACCATTCTTTAACATTTCTGCAAGTTTGAGGAATCGAGTTTCGAGTTGAGTGATTTTTCGTTGTTGAGTTTCTACACGATCTGCTAATTGCAATTCTCGAACACTCACTTCTTCAACTCCACCATCTTCATTGAATGCAACTGCTTTCTTAATCATATTCAATAGAGTATTCATGTTCTTTGACTTTTCCTTTTCATTGGACTTTCCAGAAACAATTAAAAAGTATTGAAGAATTTTCACAAAATAATCAAATGCTTCTGAACCAGAAAGTTGAACTCGAATCAACTTGAGAATTTGCATTGGATCTTCCAGAGAGTCTATATCAACATCTTCTTCATCCTCTTCAATGTCTTCAATGTCTTGAACTTCCTCTTCGAAAATGGATAATTGCATGGTGAGTGTGTCATCGAGATCCATTGCTTTTAATCGTTCACTAATGTCAATCATTTTCAAATCTACAAATTCTTTCTTGAGTTGTTTCTTCAATTGAATGTCCTGTGGAGAATTAATCAAAGCATTGATAAAGACAATCAGTGACACTTTTAACAAGACATTCTCTTCGGAAATTTCAACCTTCTTCTTTAGGAGGCGGACAAGAGTTTGGAATCTTGCACGTTCCTTTCGATTCAACTTGTACTTGTTCATTGAGTCGAGAGCAATCCAAAAACCATCTTCGAATCGACAAATGGTTGCCAACAAGAAGAAAATTTGTGTTTTGGTTCGAGTATTTCGAGAGTCGAGAATTTTCGTAATGGCCAACACGGATTTTTCCTTATTGGACAAGAATGCATGGAGACCGACATTGGTGTTCATGAGTGTACGCAATGCCTTGACACATTCCGATTGGAGAGCATCATAGGGATCTTTTTCGTTTTTCTTTGGTGGAATGATGGCCTTAATTTTCTTTGTTTCCACCACTTGTGGTTCTTGAGGTGTGTTGGGGTTGTTTGGAGTGGCAGCTTCATCTTGTTCCTCGAGTAATTCGTCCTCTTCGTCCTCTTCTTCTTCTTCCTTTTCGTCTTTGGCATCTTCATCATCGGAGAATTCTTCACGCAAAGTTCCACCTCTGTGTGAAATGTCATGACACATGAGATGAACATGGATTTTGAAAGGATGACACAATTTCATCCGTTTGAATGATAGAAAAAGACGGATTGAAAGGATGGCACATTTGGAGATTCATGTTCAGTTTCATCAAATTCCATATTCAAATTCAATAATATACTTACTGTTCCTGAATTTGTTGATCACAACTATCCATCAATATTTGAAATAAACATTCCAATCCTCGCAATTCCAAAAACTTTTTAATCCAATCCTCAGATTTTGCACTCTTCAACAGAGAAATTAATTCTGTCACAGTACCAACTGTGGGTTCTTCTTTCAATCGATGTGTAATGTATTCTGGTGTGTCCTTGACAGTGTGCAATTTCTCAGCTTCTTTCTTGGTTTGTTCCATAATTTTAATCAATTTCCATTTTTCTTCCAATGGTTTCATCATCATGATTTTGTGTCGTTTATCGGTTGGTGTAATTCCGTGATATTTTAACAATTTCTCAAAGAGTACCATAATTTCTTCTGGTGTTGGCATCTTTTCTTGATTCTTCTTTCCAGAAGTATTACTATATTTAGAAAGAACAGCCATGGCTGCCACAGAAGATTGAGTCGTAGAGGAAGATTCATCCAATGATGATGATCCTACATGCTGTGATTTGTTATCAAAGGATGAAATATCTCCCTGCAATTTGGACAAGTCATGTGAACTCTTATTAGCGCCAATAGTTTTTCGATTTTCACTTCTCGCATTTTCAAAGTCCTTGGCAGAAGTGTTTCGTTTGAAGAGATTAAAGACGGGCATGGCTGTTCTGTGGTGGTGGTGGTGATGATGATTGGAGAATGCACAGTTGTAATGTTGTTGAAATGAATGTTGTTGGTGATCCACTGGCCAGTGAATGTTTGGCTTGTTGTTGTGGTTGTAAATAGTGTGTTTCCAAAGAGAGAGAGAGAACCAGAAGTTATGAATACAAATAGGTTGTTGTTGTTGTTGAAACTCTCTCAATGATTTCTGTCCGTACGTAAAGATGATGAGTCGATTTGGTGATATTGTTGTGATAGAGCGAGAGAGGTGGATGGTCGATATATATATATTCACACGTGCAATGACGACAATTGTTTGGTGTGTGTCATTTGGTGTTTCATTTGAATCCCATCAATTTATGCCGAGTTACGTTGGTGATGATGATTATGATAATTGGTGATGATAATTTTCATCATGTTGGTAATAACGGACATGTCACCATAGGATGATACAAGTATATGAAGACGATGAAAGTGTATCAGCAATTATCAAATGAAATAACGTTTTGAAACAGTTATCAAGAAGAGGATGATGATGATGCTACGAAAGACTTACCGAATCTCAAAACACAATTACGCTTGCAATCTTGAGAGTATTTTTTGATTGATGTTTTTTGTCAAACACAATGAAAAGTGACAGACAAGTTGGAAATAGAAAGAGTCTATACCCCATCTAACAGAGAGATTATTTTACTACTTTCTCTCTGCCCTTTAATTGATGTCATTTAGTGCTTCTCTCTGCTCTCAACTTGTTCAGAATCTTTTCTGCTTCATCTGTCACTACTTGGGGCACCCCTGCCAATTTGGCAACTTGAATGGCATACGAAGAATGTGTTGAGGCAGCACTCTGACCATCCACAATCTTATCTGGAACAATTCGGTAGGTGAATTCAATTTCATTTCTCGAGTTTACCTTCACCTCTAACTTGTATGGTTTCATGCTTTTCAATTCTTTTGCCTTCTCAATTAATTCATGAAAATGAGTGGCAAAGAGAGTTCTGCATTGAATCTTGTTGTGAAGATGTTGAACGACAGCAGTGGCAATACTCAGACCTTCAAGCACTGAAGTACCTCGTCCCAATTCATCCATAATGACAAAACTCTTATTTGTGGCTTGATTGAGAATATTTGCAGTTTCAACCATTTCCACCATGAATGTACTTTGATCATTGGCCAAGTTGTCAGAGGCACCCACACGACTGAATATCTTGTCAACAACCATAAATTCTGCCTTTTCAGCAGGCACAAAGGAGCCCATTTGAGCCAAAATGATAATAAGTGCATTTTGACGAAGATAGGTGCCTGATTGGTGGTTTGTGTATTGTCGAAACGTTGACATTGAGATTCATTGTTGCGAAATTTGTATAAACAAATAATAAAGTTTCAGTTTTTGGATGATCTTTCATCAATTAATTAATTAAAATTCTACTTACTCTTTCCTGCCATGTTTGCACCTGTTAATAACATGAGTCGATTTTCATTATTATACATGACACAATCATTGGAAACAAAGGTAATTCCAAGTGCATTCTTGTTGGATGGATTTTTTGCAGTACTCGTTTGTTGAGCATATTCCACAATCGGATGACGACCTTTTTCGATATGAAGCATGGGAATTGACAAGGCATGGTGTGATGGAGAACCATTCGTGATGGTATTGAGAGGGTCATTCGTTGATGCAAGTGTCTCAGAAAACGGCAACACTCGAGGTCTCTTGTAATTACGTTCTCTTGCGAGTAAGGCCAACGAAGAATACACATCAACAGATGAAACAGCTTGTCCAGAAAGAAGTAGTGATTTGGCAAGAGCGAGTACTTTCTTTTGAAGTTGGAAGAAAATTTTGAGTTCCATATCAATGGCTTCTTGTTGGGCCTTTCCCAATTTCTCTTGTAACTCTTCGAGACGTGTCGTTTTGAAACGAACAGCATTAGTCATGGTTTGTTTGTGAGTGAATTCTTTGATTTGAAGTAACCTTTCCTTATAGGTCGCTGAACATTCAATGAAGTAACCCATTATATTATTGTTCTTAATTTTCAAGCTGGAGATGCCAGTCATGTCTCTGTACTGCTTTTGAAGATCTTGAATGAGAGATTCACTGTGTTGACTCAGATGAATCCACTCATCCAACTCTTTGGAATAGCCAAGCTTAATGAATCCTCCTTCATGGACCGAGTTGGGAAGGTCATCGTATTCTTTGAGGGCTGAAAGAACTTCTTCCATAATGTCAAGCTGTTCCGGTGTGTTCAATTCTTCAATGGTCTTTTGAAGAAGTTTGGGAGGTTGCAATGCACGCTTTGTTTGATTGTTCTGTAATAACTCTTTCAAGTTTTTGCATTGCAAAATTGTGGCAGCCACTGAATACAAATCCTTTGGACTTCCACGACTGAGACTGAGTCGTTGAATGGATCTTTCCATGTCGTAACAATTTTTCAAAAAGTCTCGAATTTGTTGAATCAAGTGGAGATCGTCGACCATGAACTCGACACAGTCTAATCGATCCTCAATTTCCGAAGGAACAGCAAGTGGAGAAGCCAATCGATAGGAGAGCAATCTTGCTCCAGATGCTGTCACACACTTGTCGATAATTGAAAGTAAACTTCCCTTTCTTGAACCAGATAAGGTTCGTGTAAGTTCCAAACTTTTACGAGTGGCCAAATCAATGGACAAATTTAATTCCATTTTAAATTTTCCAGGAATGTTTAGCGTTGGCATTTGACCCTTTTGTGTTTCTTTCACATAATCTAATATCAATCCACATGTTAAAATGTCAAGCTGGACATTTCAAGAGCACATGGTAATCATTGTGGTAAAAAGTGAAAATTCATTGTGGTATACTGCATGTCACAAAGAAGGTAACGGAGGTATCATGTACTTACCCCACTATAGTTCGACAGATTGTCCAACTTGAAATGTTTTTGAATCATATCGGAACAGTGATGAAAAGAACTTTGTTTTCTTATTGTGACATGATAGTCCTGCAGTCTATTTTTGAGTATTCCCTCGAATTGTTTTGGTACAAGTATTTCACTTGGACTCAACCTCAGTAATTCAGATTGCAAATTCCCAACTTGTGTACAGTAATGCCAAGTATTAAAATACATATATATTTAGGCACACTGATAATTCAACAACTACTTACATGCACAATTTACATAATTGAATTCTCCTGTTGAGAGTTCAACCCATGCTAGAGTGACTTGTTGTTCCTTATGCCCCTCATCATTGAGAGAGAACTTTTCTGGTAAACCTATAGAGGCAAGATAGTTGTTTTCGCTTGCCTCAAGAAATCGATCTTCCACCAGAGTACCAGGTGTCACTCTGAACATGTGAAATGGAACAATAAATCATACAAGAATGTTGCAGTTCATATATATCATAACAATATTGATTCATCCAAATATTGCATACGTTAAAACAAGTCACAAAATCTCCTGAATATCAATTACAAAGCACATACAACCTAGTAATTTGTCTTTCCACAATTTTCTTATTTTTCTTTGCTTCTGCTGGATCCTCAACTTGATCACAAATTGCAACGACAACACCATTCTTGATGAGTTTTTGCAAATATGCATCGAGTGCATGATGTGGAATTCCAGCCATTGGAATATCTTCTCCCAAATGTTTTCCTCGTTTTGTCAACTATTTTGGAAATAGAGCAGTCAATAAAAAATAACATTCTAGCTTGACAATAATATCAACACCTACTGTAATGTGAAGAATTTGTGACGCTCGTACTGCATCATCAAAGAACATTTCATAAAAATCTCCCATTCTAAATAAAAGTAAATAATCGGAATGTTTCTCCTTAATTTTGAAATATTGAGACATCATGGGTGTGAGTTTTTCTTTCTTGGAGGAACGAATGCTATCATCCTCTGATTTGATTTCCTCTTCATAATTTCCAGAATAAATATCATCGGTAGCTTCTTCAGGTGCGTTTTGTGATTTTTTCTTGTTTAAAATTGCCTGATCACTGACAACGCATGGTTCTTTCTCAAAAATTGAATGCTTTGATTCGCTCTGCATAGTCTGTTCTTGATTTTTTCTATCCCCAAAAGTGATGTTGGTATCTTCTGTATTTACGCCACTCTTGGTGGAATGTACAATGCCGACATGTTGATCGTCGTCGTGAGTTTGCATTGATGAGGAAGGGAGCAAATGAGTAGTTTCAATATTCTTCTTCTTTGATGGTGTGATGACTTTTGTTTTAGTAACACCATACGAATTTGCATTACATGTCCTATAATTTCGGATCTGTCTTGTACCTTGTTGACCGGAAATGAAAAATGTGTGGATTGAATTATTATTCGAGCAAACAATTGAATTAGAGTAATAATATCCAATTCCGAGCTCTCTTGCATGGTTTTTCATGTAACATCCTAATTGTTTCCATTGATTGATCTTAGTCAAGAGGTGAGCCTCTCCAACTCTTCTCATCATTTTTTTCCTATCAAAATGTGGTCAGACTCATCGAAGGGTACTACTTGTATCGCCTTGCAATTCATCTCTGGCATTCACCTCTCCTATGAGAAGATCATTTGTGGGATACAAGGAAAGATGTTGTTGGAGCAGGAGATCTCTTAAATTCATTCAAAACCTTGTTTCCCTCCAAGCAAATTCATCATCGGCCGTTAATTGAAAAAAACCGTTTTATAAAAAAAATCAATTCCAACAAAAAAATACAGCAAGACTTGCTCTTCTTCCCTGCCGCCAGCACTTTGTTCGACCACAAAACGGTTTGTGAGAGCAAAACCACACGTCATTTCTGTTGTTTTACTTTCAGTTTCCAAAAGAGAGAAAATTCTGAATCAAGTCAAACATACCTATTTTTTAACGGTTTTTTGAAAACAATCTTGTTGATCCATCCATCATTTACTCCAATAACAATTTATTGTTATCACAGACCAACACCTGTACTTGAAGAACAATCATCATATCGGGAACTCACTCTTTTTATCACGAAATTCTTATCAAAAACAACAACGGAACACATATTCCTGATTGATTATGTCTAACACAACGAATAATACCAAAAATTCGGTGTTCATCACCTCCTCGCCAAACAAGCCAACACAAAAAAGTAATTTTCTTTTTTAATTTTGTTTGTGGTATAGCTAACACACATACTGTATTGATGATGATTATTTTGATATTATTCACCATACATATATTCAAATCATTGCCACATCGCTCGATACAATAGAACGGAAAGGGAATGAAAATGAAACAACGACTGATCAACAACCATCACAACAAGCCATCACCACCACAACAAAACCGCCTTCTCCACTCTCTCTTCGTAAACTCTCATATTCTGATTCTACCTCAACAACGTCCAATGAAGATGAGCTCTTTTCTCCACGTCGTTTTTCACTGAGTGAGTCTGATACTGATATTACCCTTGGTGTAAATTATGACGAGCAAGCCATGCAAAAAGAAGAGGATTACGAAGAAGATATTTATGACTTTTCATATTCTCAGCTTTTGGATATTGAATACGAAGATGATGATGAATTTAATCCGTAAGTTTCTTATAATAATGACAAACAACTGAAGAACAAAAATCACCTAATAACGAATCATTCGTTGTTGTTCATTAATTTTCATTGTTGTGTGATCCAATTCGTGAACATCATTCTTCGGCAACATGAATGAACCGTATCGTGATCAAATGACACAATTACACACCAAACATTGTCACTCTTTACTCTCCACCTCCACCACAAACAGATTTGATTTCATTGCCCACCTTCCTCCAAAACCTAAGATTTATCCAATTCAATATTGCCTCCCCCCAAAGGAGCAAGGTACTCCCGAAATTACTCTAGTTCTCGATCTCGACGAAACACTTGTTCATTGCAGCACTGAACCTATCCCAGACGCTGATTTTACATTTACAGTATTATTCCATGGTGTTGAATACACAGTCTATGTACGAAAAAGACCATACTTTGTCGAATTTTTGGAAACTGTGTCCAAGACTTTCGAAGTGGTTGTTTTCACTGCCTCACAAAGTGTCTATGCCGACAAATTACTCTCAATTCTCGACCCAGATAGAAAATTTATCAAGTATCGTGTGTTCAGAAATTCATGTATCGATGTTGAACGAAACTATTTGAAAGATTTAGAAGTCTTGGGACGTGATCTTTCCAAGACAGTCATTGTGGACAACTCTCCTCAGGCGTACGGCTATCAAATTGATAATGGAATACCGATTCTCAGTTGGTTTGACGATAAGGAAGATCGTGAACTTATGAAGCTAATTCCATTCTTGAAGCAGCTCCAAAAGCATGACGACGTAAGGACAGTCATTCGTAAGAAATTTCACCTCAGAGAAATTTTAGATAATTACAAAAAGCATTAGATTTTTGAGATTTACCATTTATCACTCTAGATTTGTGACGTTATGTCATGACAGCTATCACCATCATGTTGCCGTAATACATTTACGAGAAAAAAAATAAATTGAAAATTTCATTAAACAAATTATTCTTGTTGTAGTGGTGATGGTGATGACCAATTTAGTTGGTGATCAATCCAATCCACTCAATTAAATTCCTTTGGATAGCTTAAATCTCGCCCCTTTAATTCCAGTGGCGGCTGAACCAACTTTTCCAAAAAAAATTCAGGGATGGGTTTATTCGATGATAAACGTTGTTCGATAGTTTATATGTACATTATTTACAAGCCGAACGTAAGATACGTAGTGACTTCCTAGCAGGCACCCCGGAAGTAAAGGTGTTTAAACTGCTCACGATAACAGCAGCAACCCCTGGGATTCGAACGCTGGACCAGTTGGCTGCCACAGTTCCAGAAAAACCACTCGGCCATATGCGGGCAGCCGGCCATATGCGGGCAGCAACTTTTCCAAAAAAAATGAAAAGCTCAGCCAAGCTGACCATCAAACGAAGAGCACAACGAACTTCCTTCTCATCGAATAATAATTCTCACAACAAAGAATCATCGGAAGATGTTATTGAAATTTCACCATCACTCATGTCGGGAAATGAAACTTTACATTTTCCAATTCGGACAATGGTCAAGATTCATCGGAATGTGGTTTTACAAATTTGCATGTTTGATAAATTGAAAGACAAATCCACACTTAAAACATCCTTGGCCTCGAATTGGTTTAAAAAGGAGCATTTAAATGAATTTTATGAATATTTAAAACCATTTTTGAAAAACCAAATTTATGAAACTATACAAACTTCGTTGGTGAACGGAAAAATGTTTAGCGTTACAGAATTAAAACACGAAATGTCCTCGGATCGAACCTTACAAGTTGTAAAATGTAGAACCATACAATTTACTTTTGAATTTAGAAAGAGTTATTCAAATTTCTTTTTATTGAGGAGACATGACACCAATGAAGAATGGGAACGAGAAAAACAGAGAATTCAAAAACAGTTAAATTCAACCAAAAAACCCCGTGTTTCTGATCCAATCATTATTGACGAGGAGGAAGATGATAACAAGCCAGTCATCATACATCATCTGGATTTGGACGATGAAATGTTAAAAACACCTCCCTCCAAACGTTCTGTTCATAATTTAGACCTTGGAAAGATGGAAGAGAATCATGGAAATGATAATGTCGACAGCATCATTGAAGAAGAGGATTACCTAGAGACAAAAGATCATTCAAAGAATGCAGTGCAATCAGAAAATAATAGCCGTGATGAGGTCATTATGTCACCTCCATATCAGAAAATTAAGGAAAGTCTAGTGTCTTGGAAATACAGTCTGATTGTGTATTTTGAACCAAAAGAGAAGGATATTCTCGAGCTCATGACGACCGGTGCCAAAAGCAAATACTTTTAGGTGTTCCATTCTGGACACGAGGAATTTCAGGACCATGTGAATTTTGATCTTTGGACATTGTCATAATTTATTGAGGAGTACCGGAAATCAAAAAGTTCATTTGAAAAAAATCGAATGCATTCACAAATGTTCAGCCTAAAGATTCAAAACACGCAACTTTTCAGCCTTTGGCACGGTGTGCATGAGCACGCGACCATCATATGATACAGAACCAAATGTCCAACTATTGGTATTGGACCAACACAGAGAATAAACACTTTCTTCGTGTTCATCATAGCTATGCACGAGAGAATCAAACAATTCTTCTTTCTTTGGTTTCACACCAGTACTCGTCGTTGATTCTTGTTGTAACTCTTCCTCCAATTCTTGCTCTTTGTATTTTGAAGAAATTGAGGCGATGGACCATAAATTGACCTTATTATCGGTACCACCTGTCAACACCAATTGATCGTATTGTGGATTAAATCTAATTTTTGAAATCCAATGTGAATGACCTGCCAGAACGAGTAAGGGCTCTTTGGTTGAGCGTACATCCCAAAACTTGATTAAACAATCATCACCACAGGATGCCAATCGATAGGGTTGATATGGATTATATTGGACATCACGAACCATTTGATCGTGAGCCATAAATTCCAAATTCTTCTTATTATTCTTTTCTCTCAAATCCACTTGAATAATTTTGGTTTGTGCTGCCACTGCAACAATTTCCGAGTGATGAGGATCCCATGCACCGGTTCTCAATCTTCTTCCGCCCATATCATACTTGTTTTGGAATTTACATGTTTTTTCAAATCTAAATTCTCGGAGTGATTTGTCATCAATGGTCAGAAAACGATCATTGGTTCCATTCAAATCCCACAATACTTCATGAACTCTCTCATTATCAAATTGTTTTGCTTCCAATTTTGAAATGACTTCCAAATTATTATGATCGTCATCATCATGACAAGATCCATCATCGGAATAACACGACATTCCATGCAGAGCTGCCTCAAATCCAAACTTGACTGTATTGTAAATGGTAAAGAAATATTTAGGCTTGCTCGGGTGTGGACTGATGGACCAAATTTCATTCAAATGGGAATATACTTGCCGACAATAAATATCATTTTCTTCTTCATTGAATTCAATCAGATGGACTTCATTGTTGGAATTGAGAGAGCAGGTACCAACCAGAAATCTATTGTTTTGAGTATCGCCCTTGACTGGAGCCATGCATCGGCTCTTGTTGAGACGTTGTCCGTACACGGCTGAACTGTACATGGCATGTTGTTGTTGTTGTTGCGGATGTTGATGATGAGGATCGGAAGATGAAACAGCACTGTGAGAGGAGGAAGTGGAAGAGAGATTCAGTTCATTGGTGTTTGAAGTATTATTGTGTGCTGTGATTCCACTGGAGGTTCTCACGTGCTGAGGAGGACGTGTCAAACGAGTGGAGCCTCCTGCACTGGTTGTGGATGTGTTGGGTGTTTGTTTGCTCATTTTTTTGATGATGTGTTTGTTTTTTAATGTGATAGATTTCATATTCACAATCAAGTGGCGGTGGCGTCAATTACTAATTCTATATTCATCTCCGTACGATCGATCAAATTGTGAAATCATGAGAAATTAAGATGCTAAATTCTCAATTTATTTCACTCATTGCTCCATGTCGTAACAATCCAAGCCACGAGCAGTACACCTAGAACAAGGTCTCAAATTGTCACACCTCAAATGAGATCTTCTGCAATGATAGCATGCACGTTTTGCATTACTTCTGCGTTTCTTTTTCAGTTTGGCTTTCTTTGAAATACCTCCATTGATGGATGGCATATAATCGTCATCTTCTTGTGAGTCACTACTGCTACCTGTTCTGTCACTATCTTTAGAGGAAGAAGAAGAAATTGCTGAGGAAGTCTTCTTTTTCTTCTTCTTTTTGGATAATTCCCCAATGATGGAAGGCGAAAAAGAGGAGTCTGTCATTAGAGTGCCATGTTTAGACATTCCACCCATTTCAAAGCATGCACTTTCAGTAACACCAACATTTGAAACAGGAGAGGAATTGTTGGTTGGCTGATAGTAAATTTCTGGAATATAGTTTTGATAACAATTATTATAGTAACGAAGGCGAGGTGTTTTCTCATCCTCAGATTCAGAAAGAATGTAGATGCTACAGTCGGAATCGTCATCACCACTCTCGTCCTCGCTTTCTTGTTCTAGTTTGCGCTTTTGTTCCAATGATTGCATTTTAATACTAAGAGGTGTATAGTCGTGCTCTTCCTCAACTCCATACTTGTTGAAAAATTGTTCTGTTAATTCTTTGAGTTTTGTAATAGATTCTTCGGGAATGAATTTCTCAGCAACATTGTTAGAATGGTCAAAAAGTAAGCTGTTGTACTTGTGAAGCAGAGAATTTGTAGTAGTGCTTTCATTGCTAGTTGTCTCGCATATCAGTCCACAATTGATCATTGATGTGATTATACCTAGGGCATCTCTTTTTCTTCCACTAAAATTATTCATTATATTTGAATGATATTATACAGTTCATTCATGTCAAATTATATTTTCAGAATTGCAACGTTGTGAATACTTACACATGAAGATACAACATGAATTGAATCTCATCAAATGCTAACAGAATTTTTTGTAAATCGTAATTCCTATCTCTGCTAGATTGGTCTTCCTGCACGCCAAATAGTTTACAATTGAACTCAATTAATCGAGGGTCATAATAAGGGAAATGTTTCAATAGATAAACTCTTGCTCTCTTAAGCTCATAATCATGTACAAAGTCGTAAAAAACGCTTCTCTTAAACCTATTTTAAAATAATAATTGTGAAAGTTACGATCATGTATGCATTGTGAATTGGTCAAGGATATCGTTCTATGCATATCGAAAACTTACTCGTCCACTTTCCAAATGTATGGGAAACTTTCTTGTGAAAATTTTAGCGTATGATCATTGTTGGAAGGTTGATCTTTGGGTGACGATAACTCCGAAGGATGACCCATTATTGGACGACTTTGTTCATCATCCACAGAATAGTCAACGGTAGAAGTACTTGGACTATCTCGTTGCATCTGTATTGTAGAATGGCTGCTTTCAGTAATATTGTTGCTGATATTGTTGAAATGATTTATCGATGATGTGGTCGTAGTGGAAATATTTACACCACCACCACCGTTGTAGGAGGGAGAGGTATTCAGTAGTTTTTGGTGTGCATTACCGTCTGCAACATGGAGAAGTGTGTGATCGGAAGTGTGGTAATGGTGACCTCTAGAGACAATACCAACCGATGTAACACTATTGTTTGAAGGAGATAGGGTCATCATGGTATTGTTGTTGTTGTTTGAAGGAGTTGCTGCCACTGATCCTTGCATGTTGTTAACTTGATGATGGTATTGAGAGTGGTGGTGAGGAGAGTTTAAGGAGGAAGAAGCAAGAGGTGAGGGAATTGACGATGTTGTAATTTGTTGTTGATTGGCACCAGCAGCAGTATTCGGAAATGCAGATGATGCCATTTGATGGTGTAGGGTGTGCAGCGGTGATGAGGTGTTGAGGCTTGGGTTGACGCCTCCCCCAGTGCCACTAAACGGAAATGTAGTGGCATCACCCCCATGATGATTCTGGGGGGAATGGTGATGAGAGCTTGATGAGGCTGGAGAGGAGGAGTGTGGTTGTTCCGAGTGGCCTAGGTTGGGAAGGTTTTGGTTGGATAACATGGTAGCAATTGGATGAGAGGTGCTAGTAGTATTACCACCATTCACTGTTATTAAATGTTGAGGATTTGGAACAGATTGATAATACTGAGAGTGTCCTGCTCCACTCATCATCATGCTACCACCATTAGTGATATTATTGTTGCTGGCATTATTCGGAGTGAAATGATGATGAGAAGGAGGAGAGGGTGAGGGTGAGGGGTGGTGGTTGGTTGTTCCGAACACAGAGTTGCCCATGGGTGTGCTGAAATTACTTGGCAGACCATTGCTGTTGTTGACTGATACTTGGTGGTTAGTATTGTGATTCAACGAATAGGTGGACCCCGTGATCACTCCACTAGTATTATTATTATTGCAAGAAATTGCTGGACCACCGTTTTGAATGTGGCCAGTGTTGTTGTTGTTGAGTTGAATGGGAGGTGAGTTCATACTAGTGGGAGATTGATGACTCAATCCCGATGATGGAACTTGTGGTGGTGGTGAGGAAATTCTCGGATTTGATGCCGGATTCAAACAGTGATGATAAACGTTACTTGTACTCGTCAGCATGGTATTATTATTGTTTGTAAAACCGTGATTATTACTTGCGGCTGATAAATTTGATTTGCTTGGCAGTGATCCGTTACTACTACTATTGTTTTGTTGGCTATTTAGGTGATAATTAGTGAGGTTCGTATTTTGCGTGCCGTTAGGAGGAGCTAATACAGAACTAAACGAATGACCGGAATTGCTTCCGTTGTTGTTATTGAGGATTGTTGCTTGTTGGGACAAGTTATGATCGCCTCCTAACGAAGATGACAACGATGATGAAGCTCCGATAATGTTTGTGGCTGTCGTTGTTGAAGCGGTCGCGTGATGAGACATTTTTTTTGTGGCCGAAACCAATGAAAATTGTTGTTTGTAAACAATTACAATGAAATAACGAACAACGCTGTGATTCTGACATTGATGGCGTCCACTTCCAATACATGTATTGAGCTTTGTCAAAATCTTTGTATTTTCTAATCAAGGATAACTAACCGATCGCCTATGACTTTGACATTCCCACAACGCATTCAGAGAACTACCCCCCAATACCAGCCTGAGGTGGAACGTTTTAAGAGATTTCTCCACAGTCAGTGTTCTTTCTGTGATTGTAACATTTCAGCAGATCTTAAGAGACAGGTTTGCAAATCACTTGAAAAAACACAATTTGTTGACAGCCATACATTACATAATCTTTGTTCATTCCAAACGATGGATCTTTTCAAGGGTAACATCTATTGATGTTAAAAGTAAAGATTAAACAGATCTTGTTGTTCAAAAAAGTCATTGAAGAGTCTATCATGACGGTCATAATTTCAGACATACCTCAAGCCATGACCAGTTTTGAAGCAGCTTGATAGGACAACAATTTGACGTTTGACATGTTCATGACTGAAATTGGCGAGACCAACCAAATAGAACTTGATCTTCTTCTTCGAATGTGAATGGTCACGGAAATAATCCAATGCAACCATGGTTTTCAAGGAATCCACAAAAAATCAAACACACACTCTAACTCATCATGGCAGCTATTATACATCCTCACAAGCATCATATCCCAGTAAAAAGAAGGTACAACAAGAAAAAGCCTTCCCCTCCGGCTGCATATAAACACATTGACATTCGAATAATGTTTCAAAGAGCTCGGACGCCCCACTTCCAATCGTTTGTTTCAACCACCCGAATCCCAAAAATCACAACTTGAATCCATCAATAGGGAGGATTCAAAAATCGAACACCCTTCTTGTTACGAAAAGCTTGAGGTTCATTCATTCAATGACACACATGATAGCATGAGCATCCGTCTGTCAGACTTTAAAGAAGAATCCTTCTCCCCCGAACGAAAAAACTACATGGATAAGGTGTTAAAAGCAATAGAAGGCAAGAGTGAACCTCTTCCCCCTGCTGTTACTGATTTAGCCCAAAGGTTTTTCCTCGTGATGAGACAATGGCAACCTTTGTTGGAAGAAGATAAAGTCAAGTATTTCAGAAAAACGAACAAAGAATGTCCTTTATGTGGTTACCATGGTGTTTGTATGTATTTCACTATTCAGAATAGACACAATCAGAACACACATCAAGCAGCCTCCCATTGTTTTACTCAGTTCGAATTGATAGGATGTTCAGATTCCAAACTAGAAATCGAAAAGTTTGTGGAAGAGCAACGAAAAGAAAGAAAAGCCAAAAAACCAACAGCTTTCATGTATATATAACTCATGTGAATAATAGGTATCCTAGTCTTGGGAAACAGAAGTGCTTTGAAATAAAATAGGAATTATATCCAATAGTTACAATTTGAATATCCCTTTATTGTGCACAATAATTGTTGGGTGGTGGTTATATAAAATCACACATTTGTCACGTCCACAAACCAAGAACAATCAATTAAACAACCATTTGGCTAAATTTAATTCTTCTTTGACGAGTTGACGTTAAAAAATGTTCTTTATATATTTTTCTTTCCCATGTTCTTGTGGAAACTACTCCTGAACTGTTCTCGTTGGTGCATCCAATAGTACAACAAGACAAGGACATTCAAAAAAAAGTAGTAGATCGTAATCCTTACTTTTTTGAACTTGCTTCAGAAGAAATTAGAAAACGATCTTGATTTCATTGTTGATTATATTAAGAGAAATAGGACATTCAAAATATGCATCCATTTGCATTTTAAGCGACACCAATTCCATGATTCAATTGTTACCTCTATTGTTAAACATGTCAGATGTGAAGGGAAACTTGAATTACTTTCCTTCCCAGGTTTTTTCGGATTTTTAATTCATGTCTCACTTGATTAAGACCTGTATTAGTTATGTCTGATTTTTGTCACCGTTTTGTTAAGGATGACTTTTTGTTGCAATTATATTTGAAAGCATTTCCAGAACACCATTTGAGGGACTGCAGTGAAAAACTAAGCACATTCTGGCAGTTAATACCTAACAACTTGGTACAGAATTCTTTTTTCATTGAAAAGATTTCTGTACATCCACAATTAGTTATTTCATCCCCATTTAGAGACGACAGGGAAGTTTGTGAGGTTGTTATTAAGGCAGATCCAAAATATGTCATCTTTTGTGCAACACATGTTGTGTTCTGCAAGTGAGATGTACTGTTGGTCGCACCGTTGAAATCTTGAAAGATTACAACTGTTAGGGACAGAAGGAGTTTGCATGTATTTTTTTCCAGGAACTTGACATGGTAGTGAACAGCAATTGATTGTCAATATTTTGTACACTCATGACACTAAGGTATCAAAATCACAGTCTGAAATTCAGAGAATCGATCATCCCTGTGAGTGATTTCGTATATTTCATTTTGAGACAAAAAGATGAACAATCGCTTTTGCTCCGAGTCCAACGCTATTTAAAAAAATATGCCTTTGACTCTCTCGCTCAACTCGAGTTGTACCGTCTTCACGGTAACCGATGAGAGTTATGGTTGTTTTGATTTTCAGCCTCTCTCGACAACCTCTACGACCAATGCCATATCGAACAACAACATTAGTCATGGCACCACATCAAGTAGCGCAGCAACAACAACAAACACGAATCAAGGAGGAGGATCATCCTCTCCGCTTCTTGTACAGACAGCATCATCGCCATCCCATTTTTCATCTGACATTTTGAATTATATAGACATCATTCAAGTGTTACCATCCATCTCTTCCAGTCGAACGTTACTCAAAGAAGTTCAACATGTTGCAAATTCGTTTGGAGAACAAGCTTGTTTTCAATATGTTCAAAAACAACAACAAGTAGTGATGCAATCGATAACAACCAGTGGTGGATCATCTTCATTGTCAGGCAATTCGGAAATATCGCCAACAACACCAACGTCCCTCTTTTCATCATTGTTTAGTAGTACATCAGAGACAAGTTTCAGTGAAATGGTTAGTGGCAAGACAGGTAATCAATTAATGTCATTGGCGTACAAAAAGTATCGAGCGGAGACCAATGCCATGCTTGTCAAAGATCGAGTGACCAATGAATTACTAGTAATGAAACCAATTTTGTTCTTGAATGAAGAGGATTTTGAGAGGAAGAGCAAAATGGTAAGTGATCACCGAATGGCCTTTTAACATGGAATATCAACCAATGAACACCTTGCTGAATGTCAACAATACTTGATTCAATCAATATTAACATTTTCACTTGTGTTATGAAAATTGACATGATGATGACCATTCATCAATGAAATACGTTCTTACTTGTACACATTCATGTCACAACTCAATCACTTCCATGGAATGACAGTTTGAAAAATTGAAAGCAATTGCATTAACATCCTACAATGTCGTTACTCCTCATCGATTTTACAGATACTTCAACACACCCATGTCCTCCGACGATGACTTCTCGTTGCTCATTCCACAAGCACTAAACTCTCCAAATGGATCTGAATTCATGTCACCAAGTACATTTCTGTCACAACGAAAGAAGCGTGTTGTCGGTTCACTAGCATTCATGACCACCGAATATGTCAAGAATGGAGACTTGTTTCATCTCTTGAGAAAATACAATAATTGTGGAAAAAGATTTTCAGTGATGGACATTTTCAATTTCATCATTCAAGTGTGTTCCACATTGAGTTGCATGAAAGTGAAACAAACATTGACGAGCATGCCCAAAGATGCTGCTCGCTCCAATGAGAGAATTTCTGTTGCTACTAGTTCCGATATTGAAGGATATGTGGATGAGATTTTATCGGTACATGGAAAATTAACAGCTCACAATATTCTTGTGGAATTTGAACCGACTGGACTTTACAAATTTTTTCTTCATAATTTTTCCTTCATGCGTAATACATTATTGAATAAGCAGAGGTATACACTTCCTGTCATTGATGACGATAAGGAGAATGAACAACTGTTGTTGGACTCTCAAAATGAATTACTACTCTTTCCTTCACCTCCAGAATTAATGGGCAATCCTGAAGTGAACTTTTTGAAGGACTATGACGATTGTTGGTGTTTGGGAGTATTAATGTATCAATTACTCACTGGAAAACCCATTTGTTTCGATGATCAAGAGCAGAGAGAAATTTTAAAATCTAAAGCTGTACGCACACTCAACATGACGACCGTGAAAGAAGAATTGGAGAATTATCTGAAAGAGGGACTTTTTGCGGTGGAGCACGAATCCACTTGTTCCAATCCCACTCCAGTCTCCAAAAAGAGAAAGAAACAACTCGAAGAAGAATTGTATGATGACGCTAAGGCACTGGTAGATTTAACACTAGGTTTACTATCGTATTTACCTGAAGAGAGATTCACACCTCTCCAAATTTTACAACATGAGACCACATTGAAATACATGAAGATTATTCATAGTGTTCAAGAGGAAAAAGGAATAGAATTTTGTGAACAAGTTGGCCATGACATTACCACGATTGAATCTCAAAAACAAAATTCACAAAATTCTGCTCTCTATCCCTTTCTAAGTCAAAAAGATTTCATTTCACTTCAGTTTTTCCATGCTTATCACAAGGAAAAAGGCATTGAAGAGAAATGGGACAAGTCCTTCTTTCGACAGGAACGTATTGGCCAAGAGGAAAATATTATTCAACTTCTGGAATTATCTTTCAATAACTCGATACGGACATTTATTTTTGCCTTCATTCGAAATTTACATTTAAATGTGTTGCAAGACTTTAGGAAGGAAGTCAATCTTCCAACCGATTACAAAATGTTGAAAATTGTATTTTTGAACTTGCTTTCACTTCAAGCAAAGAAGAAATCCAATGTCACCTTTAAACATGTACGATCATTTATTGGCCAAGCATTACCACTGATACCTGAGATGCTTTTATTGATTGTTCTTTTGGAATCGATTGAGTTGTTACTGGAAAGTGATTACGAATATTATAGCACCCATCCATTCGAGTACAATAAGGGACAACTCTTCCATCAAATTCAAAAGATTGAAACAGAAATTAAATCGCTCGTGTCCAAGCATGAAATTGAAAGCTCACAATTCCGAATTGCCACACGATTGTCGAAAAAGGAGACCGAAGTCAGATACTTTATTGAACGGTTCACACTCCCGTTGGCACAAAAGTTAATTGATGGTCTGAAAAAATCAGATCCTCAAACTTCATCAGGTAGTAATTCGAACGGCAAAGGAAATATCGTACTTTCATTGTTGAGATACATTGTCTGTAATTGTTTCCAGAAGGAGCACAAGTGGGTTCTCGTTGGAAATGAAGGGAAAATGGAAGGTAAATTATTTGGATTTGAAGACATTTTCTCGAATAAGAAGAAGAGAAGTAGATGCTCGTTGAATTTCACCTACTCACGCGATTATGTGAATGCAGAAGGAAATATTCAACTGCAACTTGCCTTTTCTAAACATGGCGATAAGGAAGTGCTCTTCTCAGATCGTCTCGAAAAGGTGAATGATAAGTGTAAAATTCAGAAACGTATTTTTGTGGTGAGTGACTTGGCCGTGTACAATATTGATCCTTCCAATTTCAAGATTAAGCGACGAGTGGAAATTTCTGAAATTGAGAGCATTTATGTGAGCACCTACACGGACGGATATTTTGTACTCAAAGTTCCAAATTCGTATGATTTTCTGTATAGTGCATGGAGAAGGACCGAACTCATTGTGGCCATTCAAAAAGTGAGCAATATTCCAGTGCATGTTTCTAATCGATTTCCTTTCAATCCAGCGAAGGGAGACAATCGACAGGTCGTTTTTGTTGAGGACTCTAAAACACCAAAATCAAATGTGAAACTTGTGAAAAAAGAATACATTGTGACCGTGAGACCTCCCGAAGTAGATCCCATTAATATCGAGTCGGTTCATGCATTGGTTACCTTGGGAAAATCAAGTGAACAGAAAGAAATTGTTTTAGACCCGTATGATGTGACAACTCTGAAACTACCACCTACTGCTTCCTACAAAATTCGTTTCAAATTCTATGTGAATACTTCTTTGAATTGCTTTTTAGATGAATTTATCAAGGCAGACAACGAAACCGTATTCCAACTGGTATTGGGTCAATTCGAAAAGAGTGAAGATCCCATTGTACTCATTACTGACAAACGAACTGTGAGTGATTACTTTGCTCTGAAAACAAAGAAAACACAAGTGACTTTGAAAATCATGGATACTGAACGACAAGCCATTCATTCTCAACAATTTCAAATCGAGTATGACATGCAGTAGAATATAGTAAATGAAGAATTTTAAAAAATATTTTTGGTCATTGGCACTCGCTTTCAGACTGGCTCACAACATCTCTTGGAGTGCTTTATCATCACACACACACTCTTTCTCTCTCTCTCTCTCTCACGATAGTACACATATATTCACCATCATCATCATCATCATCATCACTAGGGAGTGAACCTCTTTTGTCTCTGTTTTATTGATACATGAGGTTGCTATTGTTGTGAGAACTTAACTTGAGATCGGATTCATATAATTAATTATATCAGAGTGCACGCACGACAATCATCATCACTATTACCAGTAACATCCAGAGAATCATCATCAATACGGGTTGTGCTCCAAACACATTGTACCATAAATTGAAAGAATTGAATTCAACCATCATTTAACCACACAAAACATTCTCTTGATTGCAACCACCTTCATCAACTCGCATCATGAGTGTAGCGAATGAAATAATTTCAAACGACAAACACAGGTCTGAATCTGTATCTTCCCACACCTCGGGGTTCATCCCACCTCCTCCACTCCCAATTCAAGCAGTAACAGTTTCTTCTAGAAGCTTTTCCGTGAAGTGTCTTCAGGACTTTCTCAAAACAGAAGGAAAAGAAATTGAACAAGAAACGAATAGAGATGTAGAAGCTTTAACCGAGCTGAAGAAAAAGCTGGTCCTTGAGGCTAAACAAAATTGGGTGATTGAGCAACAAGTTGAAATTCTTGGAAATAAGATTAGACTTTTAATTAAGAACCATGTTCAAGCTGAGGATATGAAAAATCTCTTGGACTCCTCCTTTGAAAAGGTCAAGATGAAAACTCGAGACGACACCCAAGCATTTAGGGACGAAGCAATTCAAATTTATCAAAAGATGTTTTATATATTTCGAAAGGATCCAAAATACCTTGCAATTTTGACACGTTTGGTGCGAGGAAAGGAGGTTGATACATTTCTGCAGACAGTTGTTTTTACTTTATTCGGAGATCAGTTTGATGAACGAGAAGAGCATTTGCTTTTAATTCTGTTTGAGAGGGTTCTTGCCAAAGAGTATCAAACTTGTCCCTATATTGGCGAATTTATGAGATCAAATACTGCCTTTACGAAAATGTTGGGAACCATGCTTCGCAGAACCATGTACCACAAATTTCTAGTGAAGGTCCTGAAAGAACCAATAGAAACCGTTATTAACGACAAGACACTGAATTTGGAGATTAACTCTCACAAGATTTATCACACTCTAGTGCAGAAAGCAAAACAAGAGGGAAAACCATGGGATGGGCCATTGAATGCCACTGAAGACGAGGCAGAGAATGATCCGAGAGTCATTGAGGTCATTAGGCCCAGAGTTCAGAAAATTATTGATGCAGTGGAGTCGTTTTTGACACGAATATTTGCATCTGTAGATGAAACACCTTATGGTGTCCGATTCATGTGTAAAAGAATTCTTCAATTTGGAAAAGAGACCTACAGGAATGCGTCCGAGGCAGAAATCTATTCACTTGTTGGAGGTTTAATATTTTTGAGATGGGTGAATCCAGCCATTACAACCTGTGACAATAACCAAACCAATATTATTGATGACAAATTGACAACTAATCAAAGAAAGAGTCTTACCATGATTTGTAAAGTCATTCAAAATCTAAGCAATGGTGTCCCTTTTGGATCAAAGGAAAAGTACATGATACCTCTCAATGTAATTATAGAAAAATATACTGCTCAAATGCATCAATATATGAAGAAATTATGTGAAATTGATGAGATTGCCGACAAGTTAGAAATTGGAGAAATATTTGAACTATCTGGAGATGTTGGATCAATTAACATTTCTCATAACGAGGTTGCACTGATTCATCGTCTTTGCTATGAAAACATTGATACATTAACAGCTCCAGTTTACAATAATTCCTGTGGTAGTGGTAATCAAGAAAAGAAAGCAGTTGCCTCTGTTGGAGCAACTAGTTCCTCAGGTTGTTCCTCCGATGCGTCAAACTCAAATCGCATAACTACAGAAGGACTACCCCGAACAGAATTTGATGAGTTATTGTACAAATTTTTACAACAGTTGAACAAGTTTGGCCCTCCTCCAGATTTTCTCTCACCCAAAGCCAATTACTACTTTAACTTGAAGCTTAAGAATCCATCACAAATCATTGAAAAAGAAGAGGGACTTGTACCCAGTACTGTAAAGAAACAAGTGAAGGATTTACTGAGCACAATTCTGAGAGACCTTCCATCCTTACCACAAGATGAAATTCAATATACCATCAACGACGTGCTAGTAGCAGGAGAGACACTTTGTAATGAGCGACAAAATTGGGAGTTTGCAAAAAGAATTAAGACAGCCTTAGAACAACTTGACACTTTGCAGCAACAAATTACAGACGAAGAACGAAAAGAATTCGACTCGATACTCATTCGAGAAATTTATGAGGTATGTGTTAAAAACGTTGTCAGAAGTTTTTTTGACATCAATCTTGTTATAATGATGAATTTAAATTTGCCACTATGATACAATTTTGCAACTATAATCGTGAAACTGTGTTGAAACAATATTTACCAACTACACAGGAATTGGACACTAAAAGGCTCATGAGAAAAACCTTAAAGAAAAAGCTTCAAGTACTGACTTCTGTTCTTAGTGATGTGAATGAGAAAAGAGAAGCCCTCAAAAATCAGCTCGACATGTACAATACCTACTTTACAAATACTCTCTCAAAGACATTTAAACCCAGTGACCCTTCATCAAACGACGGTAGACAGGTTGGACCTTTCACCTTTAAATTTAGTGAGCTTGAAAAGAAGGGAGTTATTGCCAATAGTACGCTAGCATCGCCCATCAAAAAGCTTGTCAAGATTCAAATTTCTTCCACCAAGCCAGGTATATTTGTGGTTGTGGTGAATGCTACAGGAGCTGTAGCCATAAAATCGGAGCTTGATCTTAATGAGCTTCTCGAGAAGCAAGCCAATGAGGAGAATTTCCTTGACTTTGATAGTGTGACTCTAAATATTCCAATGTTGATTCATTTGTTGAACAAGTTATTCGTTTTGGGAGATTCTAAACAAAAATCGAAAATTTTGCGAAAACCAAGATCAAGCTCCGCACCAGCATCACCCTCTTCATCCACCTTGTCACCATCGAATAGTTTCGAGGCTGGCAGTTCAGTAGGTGATTCAAAAAGTAAATAAAGTCTGTTTTTAAATAATAATAACACCAAATACACCAATGTTTTTCGATGACACAACGATAATGCAGATATTGCTACCTGTAGTAAGGTTTATTGATGACTCAAAAAAAGGAATTCTCGGTTAGTCTGTGACTCACACTGTTCAGAGGGATGATCTTGGTGAAGAAATGTTGTTGTCATCCACTACGGCATCGACCACTTCGTCATCAGATGGATTGACCTTTTCTTTCTTGGGTCTAAACAACAAGAGCAACACCACATAACAAATTGAAGCAATCACGCAAACAATAAAGATGAGGTAAAATATAGAAGTGGGCCCAATATGTTCAAAGCTCAACGTCATGCCCACAGGGACCACCAATTCTCCAATACAACCTCCCAGTACCTTAAAATCATTCAAGTATATGTTCAATATTTTCATGCACAACAACAACAACAAGTCTACTAGTACTTACCATAATTGAGGTCATAAAACCAGAAACCTCAAACTTCATTGTACTACTTGGTAAGCTAATGGTAATTGGATACATGCTTGCAAAGCCAAATCCTAAAATGATTGCACACACCCACAAGCAAACCATACTGTAAGGAAATATTAATAGAGGAATAATTCCTGCAAAACATGCAATAATGTCAACAATGAGCAGAGTTGTATCACTGAAAACTGCTGAAAGGAACACTCCTGCAAATCTTGTAATAGTAAATGAGAGCCAAAAACCTGAATTCAATAGAAATGACTCTGACGCTGTTGCAATCTTGGTCTTGTCAATGAATTTCACAACTTCAAATAAAATAATAAATAATTATTTGAAAATAAATGAGATGAAATAATATTTGAAATATTATTTTGTGTGTGTAAATAACAAAATAATTCAAAAGTGAATGTGTAAAATAATGGAAAATTCAAAAGATGATGAAATGTTCAACATAAAACCTACCGAGAGAACCAAAACCAATTTCAGCACCCACATAATTCAGTAAGGCAAATCCAGTCAAGACACACACGACAATCTTCTGCCATAAGGTCGGTTTTATCAATGTCTCTTGGGAATTTTCTTCTTCTTCATCTTCATCTTCTAAGGATGTTGAAGATTGAGCGACTTCATGATGTGCCACAGAGGAAATACTAGTGATCTCACGGTTTGGTTTTGGGCTTTCCTCCAATTCAATATCATGAAAGACGTCACCAATGGTGGAAACTTTTTCTTCATCGAAACTTTTAGCAACTTCTTCAACCACTTGATGACTCGCCGTGGTTTCATCCACCACTTGTTGAGGTGGATGTTTTAATGCCATAAAGCAAAAGATTGCAATTGGTATGACTCCACTCAAAGTAACAATAGATCCAATGAAGTGAGAAAGAGCAAGTGGGTTGTTAATGGGATGTTCTGTTTGTTGTTGTTGTTGCTCATTGTCACCATTGAATGATTGAGCCGTGGGGTAACTATCGAACACTATTTTTACAATAATTGGACACTAGAACGTGCCAACACAAATATTCACCAATAATTAATATTATTATTGTACATAATATTCAACATGCAATAAAAGAGATGTGAACAAAATGAAAAATTTCAACAAAATCATCAAAAACATACAATAAAAGCCCCAATTCCAAAACATGCATGTAAAAATTGCAAAAATGTGGACACTAATCGATGATTACCCCAAATCCAAATGATTAGCACGTTTGAGGTGAGATCGACGCAACCAAGGCCAAGCCCCACCACAAAGTAAGTCAACGCTACAGGAATAAATGATGTAAGAAACGGTATCGTTGCAAAAGCTCCTGCCACTAAAAACAATCCTATTAGCAGAATGATTTGATTTAAAACTGTTTTCACAGTGTTTGATTGAACTTTGCTTTTCAAATAGTCTAAAACCCAACCACCAATTAAACTTGTTAAAATGTATCCAACTCCTCCTGTTTGATAGATACCGAAATGTCACCACCAAATGCAACCAGGTGACAAACATTCATGAATTTTGTGTTTTTTTGCAAATATGAAGTCAACACAATGCATTTCAAAAATAGTAAATATTCCATCATCGAGTATCATCATCAGTTCCACACGTGGTAGCAATAATACCATAATATGAATAATGTTGTATTCACAAAATCGAGTCATCCATTATCATCATCATATTTTCAAAAAGTTGTTCAATATTCAAAAATTATATTTTGAATCACATACTTAGTGTAAATAATAAACCCATCTTTCCTTCGGTTGCTTTCAATTTATCCTGCAACGATGGTAACGTTGGTCCAAGCATTGCTAAACCCATTCCCAACGGTATAAATCCATAACAAATCAAAACACTCTCCCAAAACTTCCTCGACTTGCATAAATTCAATAAAGATCGTCCTCTTCGTTTCCACGTTTCCTTTCTTAAATTACTTTTAAATTGTTCCTTTCGTTGATTCTTCCATTCATTGAGAGAAAATTTCAAATTAAGGCTTGTTTGAGAGAAGGCTTTTTGAAGAGGTGAAGGTGGAATTGGTGATGAAAGAGGTTTTCTAAATTCAGCTGCAACTGGATGAATTTCAAGAGGATCTATTGAATTTGGATCATGTTCCGAATGATAGGGATGATTTCCACCGCGTGTTGTTGTATTTGAATCGGAAGTTGAAGCTATATTCAACATTCTCATGCAATAAGTTGATGAACAAAAAGTCTGATGATGATTATGATCAATTATTGGAAAGCGAATTAAATATATATTATATGGGTGATGATGCTATCGTTTGTAATATTGCTGATGCGAAGGGAGAGTGTGTGTGTGTGTGTGCACTTTTGTTATTGTTCAAAGATTTTTTAGTATCAACAATTCGAATTTAGAAATTTAATTTCGGAGTTGGTGGTGCAATTGGATGCAATTCCGGGAATGCAACATTGTAATACTAGTGCTAGTACTAAGAAAGCAATCCACCCTCAATGAAAGAATTCACCGTGTCAATGATGGTCTTTTCTGCTGAAATAAATTCCATAAAGCTCTCATGATTAATATTGTTGTGTGGAATGGAAGACAATTCTTGTGGTGTGTGTTGAACCGAATGGACAGAATGAGCTTGAATTGAAAAAGCTCGCAAAAACTTGGCATTGGAAAAATTCAACATCTTGTAGAGACCCTCCTCTTCATCCATTTTGTCCTTAATCTGGAGTGGAGGTTTCACAGAAAGATTTGGAAAATGTTCACAAATGATTCGACTCATTCGTACCCATTGACACTTTTCACTCACCAAAACAAATCGATTCGAATGGATATTTGGTTGAGTGAGAGCAAGGCGATGAGCCCGAGCGACATCTCTCACGTCAACAATACTCATGCCGTCAGCCTTTGTGGTTTTTCCAAGAACATCGTCATGAGGGTACATTTTGGATTTCATAATGTGATTGTAGAGAAGCTTACAACTGAAATTTAAATTCACTTCGGCATTGTCATGTTCACATGGTGATGTTTCGGTGCCATCCAGTGACGAGCAATTCGATGAGGAGTGTTGTGCCGAGTGGGCATTCGTGGAATTATTATTGAATCCTTGCTTCTTGAGATATTTCAGATGAAGAGGAGGTCCCAATATCAACACTGGATTTAAGCTTACCAGTTCCACTCCACTTTTTGTAGATGTTTCAATTGTATTTTCATCATGTTCATTCAAATGTTGTTCCGTTTCATCCGATGACATGAGTTCTCGATGCCATTTCCAAGCTTCTTTTTCAGCCATAGTTTTACTGAACGCAAATGGGTTATTGGTAATTGTCGATTTTTCATTCCAATCCGTCTCATCATATACTTTTCCAAAAACTCTTTCCGCAAATCCAATCAATGCTCCTGTACTTGATGTTACAATCACACGTTTGATTTGTTTGCGATACTTTTTCACAGAATTTAAAACATTTTTGGTTCCATTCACTGCTGGAATGAATAACTTTTCATGAGCATCTTGAGCCGACTCGGGAGTGGGTGTCAAATAAAACGGACAAGCCGCATGAATGACATAGTGTGATTGAGAAATGGCTTCATCAAAGGATCCCTCTTCCAACAAATCTGCCTTCAATAATTTCAAATTTTCTCGTGTGGCATTCGGTAATTGAAACAAGAAGTGAAACTTTTTCGTAAGGTTCGGATCGGTGGAGTCGGGATCACAACGGATGGTGCCAATGACTCTGTAACTTTCCACCAATAACTCTCTCACGATATGAGAGCCTAGGTATCCATTGGCACCCGTTACGCAAACAACAGAAGTTTCCTGGCCGATAGTTGTAGAGGTGATAGAGGTGGTCATGATCAATGTTATCCCGTGCAATTATATATATTCGTATGTAAAATTCAATAAATTCCAAACAGCTCTCTCTCTATAGCATTTATGAGCAAAGATCACACGTGCATCGAATATTCGGGTGTGTGCAATCTTGTTCATAATTTTTTGACTCCGATGATGAAACAACTCGATACCCGTATGTCAAAAGATTCGGAATTTATTGAGAGAATCTTTTAATTTTTTTTGATTTTGATTTCAATTACCTGATAATTTCACAAACTTTGAGTATGGATGGCAGGTAATGGCTGGTTACTCAAACACTAAAAACAACAGCACAATGCTGTAAATGCTCTCAAGTATTGGATTCCATGGGGTCTCTCGGGATCTCTTTTAATTCATCAAGATAATAGGCTATTTTGTTCAGTAGTAAAATATTATTATTTTTAAACAAATCCTGGTTGCCATCTGGTGAAAGTGTCAGGTAAATGTAAATACAAAATGTGTAAAAAGTGTTGCGATAAGTGTAATGTTGATTGTATTTATCATATCAAGCAAGGGAAGAGTAAACCTATTGCTGGCACTTCATCCGAGAAGCAAATGCAGTCGTTCATCACAGCAAATAAAAACCGCTGAATCATTTGAGGCTTTTTTTTTGAATATTTTATTGTGATTTTGTTGTTTGCTGGTTTGTGTGACCTGGAGCCGCACAACAAGACATACAAAAATCGAGAACGATTGTAAAACGTGCCTCTTGACGGAACTTGAAGGAAACAAGATTCCTGTTCAAAATTGAAATTCACTCACGAAAACGAAGTAGGCTGTCTCAAATCTCTCTCTCACACTGAATGAATTGAGATCATTGATTCAATATACTTTCAAAAAATTGCTCAGACTGAATCAGCTCCAATTTCCGAAATAGGATCATCATGCCAGAAACTCCCTCGGCCAATTCTCAGCATGATACTAAATTCTTAAAACACATTGGTATTCTCTATCATTCAGAAAAGATCAAGCAAATTGCTTGCCGAATGATTGAGAAATTACGCGAATTGGATCTCTCTCAAGTCCATCCAATCATTACATCGGATGATGATTCATCCATTCTCATTCACCAAGAAGAAGAAGAATTGAATAGAATGTTAGGAGCCTTGTATGGACTCTCATGGGGAGATGTTTGTGGTTGTCCTGTCGAAGGATGGCACTCTCAAGAAGAAATTGAAAGGCTCTTTGGAGATCCACACGAATTGAATTTATTCGATTTTGGGAAATTAGTGGAGAGAGATGAGAATGGCCATTATCGATTGCAGAATGTGTTTCAAGAAGGAGAAGAACCAACATGTTACAAGTTTCCAAGTGATGAATTGATTCAAATCAAATCTCAAACATTGGACCAAGAATCAAATGTTAAAAAGTATAAGAGAAAAAAGTCTCCTTTTGAAATGTTTTTAGGAAAGTGTCGATTTCCGGGTATTCATAGTGATGATACTCAACAAGGAATGGCCCTTATCAACTCCATTATTCAATACTCTGAGTTGAATGAAAACGAGAAATACTTTGGAGATTTTTGGAAGGAATGGCTCGTCAAAGGTTTTGAATGTGTTTCGAGTTGCAATTTTCCAGTCCATAAAGATCAACGTGAAATGATTGGTCAAGGAGTTCAAGCCTTCAGAGATTATGGAGCGAATAGTTCGAGAGCTTTCACGAACATGAAGAAAAAAGTTCCCTTCAATGAAGCAGGAAGTAATTCGAGTGGAATTGGAGGAATCATGAGAGGAGGAGTTGCTACTGCTTGTTTTGCTCTCTTTTCACATTTGAATGACGATTCATTCGTTCTGGAAAAACTTGAAAAGTTTGCATGTGAACAAAATTTATGCACTCATGCCACTATTGAAGCGGCTGCTACATGTTTTGCCACCTCGTTGTGTGCTTACAAATTCATGCAACTTGGTTCGGAGAGAGCTGTTGAATGGTTGTTGAATCATTTGGTTGAAAAGGTCAAACAAGTTGAGGATCGATGGTGGAATGAACGTGCTGTCATTACATTCGAAAAAGCAGAAGAGGAAGAAGAGGCAGAAACGACCGAAGAAGGTGCAAGTTCAGAAAGTATGACCACCACCACCGCCACACACGACAACCAATCCAAGCAAAAAATCAAGAAGGTTGTCCCATCTAAACAGAAAAAAAAGAAATCCTCACAACATAATCATGAAACGAGAGCACCAGAAAATGAATTGAAATGGAAAATCTACAAATCTCTTCCCTCGCACAATGCTGCCTCTGAGTGCTTGGAAGTATTGTTGAATATTATTAAGAGTTTGAGAGGAACCGAGAAAGAAGAAAGCATGCTTTTCGAGTTGAGAGAACAAATTAGTGAACTCGCAAGGAAATACAAACCAGAAAAGAAGAACATGAGAGCCCATGTTAATCAAGGTTTCTGTTTACTTGCTGGAATGCACGCCATTTGTTGTAGTTTAATTCCTGAAAACCCTGAAATTATTTACTATTGCCATAAGAAAAATCCACAAACAGATCCATCACCACAACACAATGATAGCGTATCACAGAATGATGTCATGAGACAATTTCCTAATCTTGTTTTGAGATCTATTATCACGTTGGGTTATGACACAGACACCATTGGAGCCATTGCTGGATATTTATTGGGTGCACGATTTGGAATGAGATGGATTCCAGTTCAACTCTTGTTTGATTATGAGCGAATTCGAGATGAGTATGCAACGAGATTGGTGAAAATTTACAAAATGAAGAGAAACATTGCATTGAAGAATACAAGTGACGAAGGCAATGATGATGCAACAAGCATAAGTGTAGAACCTTTGGAAGATTATCTTGCACATGAACAATTCAACACCTTGATTGGAGAATTTTATCAACATGGAATTGTGGATCGTTTTATACCTTTTGTTGTCACAGATCAAAACAAACACATTTACGGAAACAGCACCAGTCGAGTTTCTCTTCATTCATTAGAAAATAAGATTCAGTAGTATTCAATTTGTTTTCTAAACATTAAACTGTACTCTCGAATCCTTGCCCAAGTCAGTATCATTTTAATCACCTTAGAAGACCAAATGGGTAACAAGGAACATCAACCATCAACTGTCAATTTTTTAGTCGGGCTGTAACAGTTAAAAAAAACTCTCTTCTGATCAGTTTTGCCGAATCTACTAGCAGCGGTTCGATTTGCGGTTCACGATTCGATTCTGCAACAACAACAACAAGAACAACATCATCCTTGTAACATACCTGTCTCCACACCATCACCACCATTTTTGTAATCGATTGAAGTTTGCTGTGGTGTCAGAATAGTTTTGCAATTTCTATCGATCGTAATCATATTTTAATAATATCATAATAATAATAATAACAATTTCATCCCGTCCGTCATTAACCATATATATTAAACTTTTAATTGTTCCTCTCCTCATCATCATCATCGCCATCTCCTCCTCCTTTTGAATTAAATTTAATCCTCACCGTCATCTCTACCCTTTTTTAAATTAAATACCCTCCTGTGATAATAATCCTCATGTCATCCAAAGAAGAAGAACGAAAACGTAAAGAAGAAGAAAAAGAACGACTCAAACGAGAAAAGGAAGAAGAACGAAAACGAAAGGAAGAAGAAAAGAAAAGACGCGAAGAAGAAAAAGAAGAAGAAAAACGTCTCAAACGTGAAGAAAAGAAAAAATTAGAAGAAAAAAAGAAACTCGAAAAGGAACAAAAGAAGAAGAAACGAGATGTCCATTCGAGTTCTTCAACTTCATTGGATCCACTTTCAAATCCGAATGCTTCTTCTTCGTCACTCACTCCTGCCATGTCAATTAGTGATTCCTCGGAAAATCTTGGAGGACTCTCTGAAAGTGAATTGAATGAAAATATTGAGAAAATGTTGACATCGATTGGTGCCAAAGATGATGTGAAAATGGCAGTTCGTTCTCATCCACTTGCCACGAAATATGTCATGTGGAAAAGTTGGAAAGAAAATGAAGCTGCTCAATCGGGTGAAGGTGCCATTGCTGAGATTGAGAAAATTTTGGACAAGTTGAAGAAACGAGGTGATCGTGAAACCTTGCAAGATATTTTGGTGAAATTACGTAATTCATCCTTGGCTTGGGTGGATAGTTTTATCGATTGTGGAGGAATTAAGGTGATTAATGAAACATTGGCATCCACCAATTTGTTAAATAAGACCAAAAATATGGATGATAATACTGTGCAATGGTTGTGTTTGAATTGTTTTCGAGCAATTTTGAATACTGAAAAAGGTTTATCCTCTATCACAAGTGACAGGTCCATTTTCTTTAACATGGCTCTCTTGTTGGATTCCGACCGAATTGACGTTCGAATTCAAACATTGTTTATTTTTGCAAGTTTGTGTTCCGATGAGAGTGTTAAGGAGGGATACAAAATTATTCTTTCCTCTCTAGATCATTTCAAACTCATTCGAAGAGAGAAACAAATGTATGAATTTCTCGTCAACAGTATTCAAAACGAAGCATTCACAGATGTGGAATATTTAACACATATCATGTTCTTGTTTAATGCATTGTTTACCTCAGCCGATTTAACAGATACAATCACATTGGCCAATCAATTGAATAGTCTCAAAGCCATTGACATTATTCGTCAACAAACACAGGGACATCAAATCGACGATGAAGGTTTTCAAGTGCAATATGACATGTTTGTTGAAGAAATGGAAAGTGTTCTCAAAAAGAATATTGTTCAAATCGACATGAATGATCCATTCCAAATTACAGAGAGATTGAAACTGAAAATTCAAGGAACACAATCCATGGAAAGTTTCCTTCGAGTATTGAGACATTTACTCATTTTCACAGATGTCTATTCAGACAAGTTCACACTCGAAGAAATTATTGAATTGTGGAAACAAGTGGAACTTGCAGTCGAGCGTCTCGTTCATGAGAAACAATCAGTGGTGGATGGATTTCATGATCAAGACCAACAACAACCCACAACACCTGTCTCCAGTCAACCACATTTATTGAGTCCATTATTGAAAAAGATGAAATATGGAAAATCAACCAATAAGGACTTGACAACGAATTTGAACACTTCGGTCGATGTGGAATCAGTCACCGATGACAATTCTCAAATTTCATCCATCGCTGAGGAAGCACTTTTGAAAAAATTACAAGCTCAAGAAGAAACCATTCAACGATTACAAGCCGAGTTGAAAGAAAAAGAACTTTCTTCGTCAACAGCAGAATCCACCAATGTCATTTCCATTCAATTGGAAAAGGAAAAATCTCAAAAGGAAATTGAACGTCTTCATGATAAAATCAAGACGATCGAATCAGAGAATCAAACCTATCAACGAATGATTTCCGTTTTGGAAGAATCTAAAAAAAAGCTTAAAGAAAAACTCAAAAAACTCGAACAACAATCAACGACGAGTCCTGTGAATACCTTTTCCACCGATGAATTCTTGAGATTGAAAGAAAAAGCTCAACAATTTGAACAATCCATATCACAATTGACCAAAGAAAATGAAACTCTCAAGAAACAACTTGTCACACAACCAACCACCACCACCTCGAGTGACCACATGATCCCTCCACCACCACCTATGCCAGTATCATATACAGGTTCATTCACGAGTACTAGTACTACTGGATTCATTCCTCCTCCACCTCCACCAGGAAGCATGGATGGTCATGTTCCTCCACCTCCTCCTGGAAGCATGGACAATGCCGGTGACAATAACATTAGTACAACTGGATTCATTCCTCCTCCACCTCCTGGAATGGGTGGAAGTGTACCTCCTCCTCCGCCAGGAATGGGTTTGGTTCCTCCACCACCTCCTGGAATGGACAATGGTGGCAATATTCCTCCACCTCCACCTCCTGGTATGGGTGGTGTTCCTCCACCACCTCCAGGAATGGGCTCTGGAACTCCACCACCTCCTCCACCTGGAATGAATGGAATGCCTCCTCCTCCTCCACCTGGTGGGTTCAAACCCATGGGTGTTCCAGGAGTTCCTACGGCCATTCAACTTCCAAAACTTCCTGAATTTAAAGCAAAATCAAAACTTCGTGCATTCCATTTTGAAGCAGTTCCAAATAAGAGTGTCTCAGAAACTATTTTTTGTAAATTACAACTGGTGGACCAAACCCATACCATTTTACGTGATTTAGATACGAATGAATTTGAAGATGCTTTTGGAATCAAGTCAACAACTACGAATGGTGGTGCTACAGGAGCAGTTGCTGAAACTAAAAAGGAAAAGATTACATTGATAGATCCCAAACGATCACATAATATTAGTTTACAATTGGGTTCTCTTCGTGGAATTCCATATCCCAAGTTGAAACAAGCAATTATTGAAATGGATGAAAAAGTTGTGACACCAAGTAATATTGGAACGATCAAACAAATTGTTCCAACTGAAGAAGAATCACAAACTTGTGTCGACTATGAAGGGGATCGAGATGATTTACAAGTGACTGATTTATTCTTTATTGAAATGCATGGTGTTCCAAGAATGGTTGAACGATGTGAATCATGGGAATTCAAAATGAAATTTGATGAAATTGTTGGCGGTGTCGAACCAACGATCAAAACGGTTCGAAAAGCGTGTAAAGAATTGCAAGATTGTGACAAGTTCCACAAAATTCTTGCCATCATTCTCACACTAGGAAATTATTTGAATTCTAGTAATAAGAAAGTTTCATATGCTTTCAAGATGAAATCACTTGCTAAATTGAGTGATACCAAAGCTGCTAATGGAAAATCATCACTATTGACCTATCTTGTGAAATTTGTTCAAGAAAAATATCCAGATTTGGAATCATTCAGTGAAGGTCTAGCCAATGTAAATGCTGCCACACGTGTCGTGATTGGATCCATTCAAGATGATATCAAACAAACCAATCAATCTATTGAAAAGTTGAAAAATCAAGTAGAAAAGAGTTTAGCTGACACCATTCCAGGTGATCGATTTTCACATGTCATGGGTCAATTTTTAAATTATGCAGCTGAAAAAATCAAAAAGATTGAGAATGAATATAATGACATGATGAATGATTTGAAGAATACTGGAGTTTTATTTAATGAACCAGAAAGTGACATGCAGAAAGAACCTGACAAGTTCTTCCAACAAATCGATCAATTTGTGAAATCCTTCAATGACACAAAGGAAAAACTCCGAAAAGAAAAGGAAGCCGAAGAAAAGAAGAAGAAACTTGTTGCCTCCAAGCAACAAGCGTCAACCATCAACACGAACGTGAACAAATCAGGTTTGGGACGATCTCCCTCTCTTTCCAAAACTCCTGTTTCACCAGGTGGTGTCTCTTCACCAAGTGACGATAGTGGTGGTCGTGGTGGATTCGACAAGAAGGGAGCTCTATTCTTGAAAAATGCAGAACTCTTGAGAAAACGAAAGAATACCAAACTTTCAATGGGAGGTGAATTTGATCCATTGAGCCCTCAATCTTCTTCCTCTCCTTCGAATGACAACAAATAATAGAGAACTTTAAAAAATCATTTATGCAAATTTTGATTTGTTACTCACAGGGAGCCTCCATGAAACCAGTGAGAATTTACATTCATGGTCTCAAAGATTTAGAAGATGGCGAAGTGAAATATAAATAAATCTTTTTGTAAATCTCCTTAATCCAAGATCATGCCATCCAATCGTAAAATGTTCACCACAATGTTGATCGCTGAGAGAAGGATTTGTTTTTTCACATTCCAAGCTTCCAACGGGAGCTGTGAAAATTCCTCATCCCGCGACAGCGAACTGTCTTGAAAAAGCTCATCCAACTTTTTCTTTGGAATTTCCTTAATTAGGCATGCTACATCGTCACCACCAGCAGTGGCAGGTGTCTGAATATACTTGAAAGTGGCTGTTGTCTTGTTGCATTCCATCCCACACAAGGTTCCAGTACTTGACAAATCTTTCAGTAACATGTGTATTTGTTGTTGTGAAAATGAAATGAGTTGTTGAGAAGGAATCATATTCCTCAGCAATTGTTTGGGAATGCTCAATAAAGCACATGAAAATAATTGTAAAGTTTCTGAGGGATGATGAAAGTGTTGTGACAATAGAACATTTCTGTCAGAATTATCATGTCGATAGTTTTCCAAGAGTTTCGAAAATTGTGTTTCAAAACATCCTCCACCAATCACACATTGGAAAAGAAGGGTGTCTTTTGAGTCAATTGGTGTCTTGGAATGATTTTTGATAATTGAAATTAAATGATGGATGCACTTATTCATCTGATATTCTAATTGTTCTAAAATGTCATGGTTTAACGATTTAAGGATCAAGGTAGAGTAAGAATTTCGAACGCTTGAGGAGCTTTCTTCCTTCTCTTCTTTCGAACGAGAATTGAATTCAATAATCAAATCACAGCATTGTCCTCCTCTTTTAAAATTCATTTTCACATTATTAATACAAGATCCATAGGAATAATTGTCATTGAACTCTTCTTCCTGTAGATTTGTGATAATTCCATTAATATCACTCAAATCCATGAAATGATACAAGATGGAGAGTGATGATGTATTGATTCCTCCATCCAAACGCGTCTGGATGAAGGATGAACTTGTGGGTGGAGCATCTTCCATTTCATACTGAAAAACTAGAATATTTCTCTGGTTGAGAATCTGAATAAATTTCCGTAAATGAGGATAGTGAGAAAGATCGAGGGGTGATCCTTTTCTGGTGTTATTACTTTTGACGACTAACAAGAGAATGTGACAGTCCAACTTGGAAGCAAATTTGGTCATTTCATGAGAGAATTGTGTTGACATGTTGTTCATGTGTTCTTCCCAGCAAGCAAAACTCATTATACAAAACTTGTTAATCATTGACAAGTTTGGTTTGGATTGGAATGTAATATTTATATTCATCAAGTTTTCCAAAATGATGGTATTGCTCAGTAAACGACTTTCCTCTAATTTTCCAATTTGCTTAATAATTCTCAGGTTATATTGTGAGAGAGTTTCAAATTGAGTAAAATTATTGGTTGCCAAATGGATCCAGTTCAATACAAGATTACTAAGAATTGGATTGTTATTCAACTGATTCGATATTAAACTCTTGAATATAATTTTCAACAATTCTGTTTGATTTTTCTTGTTGGAATAGATAGGAATGCACAATTCTTCATGCACTCGAGAAATATCATGAGTATTATTATTGTCATTATTATTATTAGTATTGTTATTATTACTGTTGTTGTGATTATTCGCATTATTGTTATTATTATGATTAATCATACTAGTATGATTCAAAAAGTATTCTCCAAAACTGTACAAATCCGAACACAAATGATGAACGTGTTGAAATTTTGAAGAATATTCATTCATGATCAAATCCAACAATTCATAGGAAAGAATAATACATGATATGGTTCCGTCCATATATTCAGTACAAGCATTTTGAAATAATGAAACTAAATATTTCATAATTGGAGTATTAATTTTCATAAATTCCAACAATTGATTTCCGTTTTTAGTAATGAGTTGATTCTGATTTGGATCTACTATTAATTTGAATTGTCCACAAGGACCCAAACATGAGGCTACCAAGCTATATAATTTATACAATTCGGAATGAATGCTTTTCCAACAATGATTCGTTTCTTGTCGATGAAATGAAGAAAAGAAGGCAGATGGAGAGGCTACAACCATTGCTTCCGATGAGAGAAATTTCAAAGCGCCACCACCAGTCGAAGAGTTTGTATTTGCATTCATTTTTTTTTTGAAATCATGATCTTTTCCTAATTATTATATATATTATTATTAAATATTTGCAAATAATAATACTCATAATTATTATATAATTATTATATAATAAATGTGTTTATGTGGAATGTAACTAGTGCCACATTAATCAATATATGACAATAGAATCGATTGAAAAAGTTTCAGCTGTTCTGCAATAATGGTGGGTAAGCCAACAACAACTCATTCACAGTTTTGCAAAATCCATGAAATGCATTTCCACCCAGAAAATTCCAACAAATTGCATTCGAGATGAAATCAAATTCCGAGATGAAATACCATGAATGAAATAGGTAATTGTTGATCATCACCAAATTTCTCTTAAATCACAATTCTCTCTTTTTTCATCTTAGATAACAAGTTCCATATTTTCCAATCGTTTTCGAGCCATTTCAAATCCCAATGTGGCTGATTTTTCATAATAATTAAATGCTTGTGAATGATCTACTCCCACAAGATGTCCCTTTTCATGAATTTTTCCTAACAAATAGAATACAAGAGGTAATGATGAGGATGATGATGAATTTGCTCTTTTCAATAATTGATTGAACTTGGAATAGGCATATTGCAAATATTTGAGTCGTCCAGCAATTTTCACAACCTTATAACAACTCTCCAAAAACTCATCGTGACTGCTCATACAAGCACGCAAGTACCAATCGAGAGCTGTGAAATCAGAAGAATGCTCTACTAGACGTCTCTCATGCAGCTTTCCAATTTCATACATGGATCTTGTGTGATTGGGGTTTAACGAAAGAGCTTGTGTGAAATAGTGGACGGCTTTTGAAATGTCTTTTGTAATATTCTTGCTAGTACCCCCTTTCACATACAGTTGTCCAATTGTGAGTGCTGAATCCGCATTTCCTTTTTCTGCTGATAATTTTAAATAATTGAAAGCACGTTCCACATCCACAGGGACACCTCTCCCATGGAGGTATATGTTTCCTAAATTTTGCAAGGCAATAGTGTCACCATTCTCAGCTGCCTTAGAATACCATTGAATGGCTTTTTCAACATTTCTCTCGACTTTACACGAACCCGTGTCATAATTGAAACCTAATTTACATTGTGCAGCAGCACTTTGTTTTTCAGCAGCCAATTCAAAATATTTGAGCGCTCGTTCATTGTCAATTTTTTCATTCAATAAACCATGTTCATAGATATTACCAAGTTCAAAGAGGGCTTCCAAATGATTGTTTTCTGCTGCTTTTTTCAAGTGTTCAAGTGCTGCTTGAGGTGAGAGAGGCAAGTCCAACATTTGCAAGGCAAGTCGACCCAATGCAAAATCAGCCTCTGTGTAACCCAAACGAGCACTACGCAAGTAATAACTGACAGCAAGTGGCAGGGAGACAGGAGTACCCTTTCCAAGCTCGTACATGAGTCCAATTTTGAACTGAATCTCTGCATTCGAAGAGTCAGCTATTTTGTAAAACTCCAATGCCTTACTTTCATCGATGGGAATGTCAACTTCCTCGAGGCCATGTTCATAGACTCGTGCCATGAATAGAGCAGCTTCGGGACGAGAAAAGGCACATTTTTCATAGTATTCACATGCTTTTTTCAAGTCTCTCGGTATGCCAATACCATGTTCATACATTCTGGCCACTCGTAACGCAAAATCTGGACTATGAAAGACATTGGCTCCACTCAAATAAGAATAGAATGCTCGAGTGTTGTTTTTCGGAGTGCCCTTTCCAGTCTCATACATGTATCCGACGTATTCGAGAGCTTTGCCATCACCACTCTCTGCAGCCATGGAATAATATTTGAAGGCCCTTTCGTAATCTTTTTTTCATGAAATATGAACCTTCGTAAAATACAGAGGCTACTGCTTTAAGGGCACTGGGAGTGCCACGAGAAATGTGTCGAGCTAAATAGGTCAGTTCTGTATGTCGTCTCTCGATGGACTCGTAATTTCGATCCACTGTGAATGGATCCTTCATATTGAAATATTTAACGTGTGAAAACTTTTTCTGCAGTGTTCTTAATTGTTCATCTCGATGCGATACAATGGCTCTCTGTTCAGCAAAATTAAAATAGTTGAGCATTGGAAAACACCCATCGCGCGTGTCACAGAGCCAATGTACTTGTTCAATGGAATATCCACAAATGATGAATGCCAATAGTTGTAACTTGTCAAATTTTCCTTCACATAACTGTTTGACAAACGCTCGATTGGTTTGACCTCCAATGATCGTCAATGAGGTTGCATCACAATGAAAGGTTGAAATTAATTGTTCATATTTACACGAAACAAGTGTGATGGATTTCCAAAGAAGACTCAATCCAAATTTCATCTCATCCAAACTCAAATTCTCATCAAATAACAACAAATCTCTCTTGGAAGCATGTAATCCGACTACAAATCTCCAAAATTGACTCGTACAAGCTACTCGCAATAAGTCTTTATCATTCAAATAACTCAAAATGTGAGCTTCGACAACATCTGTTGAAAGTAAACAATTTGAAATAAATATTCCGTAATGGTGATGATCATTGTCATCATTTTTGGTCGTTAGTTTTGGTTTTTGATTTGGTGAATGATGATGTTCCTCATGATCAAAGGTTTCTTCGTCATGATCATCGGAACGGAAGGATCTTTTATGAATGCTCATTTTTTTTTTATCACTGTCCATGCGTTTATTTGTTCGAAAATTCAAACGTTATTCATGGCTGTGTGTGCAATTAGTACAGTTAAAGGTGGTTCATGTCATCAAAGTTAGTGTAATTATTGTTGTAAATTTCAATTATTGTTTGTCATCAAGGTTAGTGTAAATTTCAAATATTGTTGTAAATTTCAATTATTATTCATGGTCGTGGGTATTTCATGTATAGTTTAAACTTGTTCAAATCAATGAAATTGGGATTAAAATCGTATTGTTGTTCAAATTCATTCCAGGTGAGTTTCAATTCTTCCATGAAAAAATGATTTCGTTTCATCCACATTTTAGTAATAGATCGATAAGCTTCCTTAGTAAATACTTTGTCCCATTTCTTACCCAATCCAACTTTAGCACCTGTTAGGCTATGGATATCTTGTTTAGTCTTGATGAGGTACAATAGTCGTTTGGAGAACTTCTTGTTATTCTTTGCATATATTGAGATATTATATAAATTCCTAAACATTTCTTTTCTTATATCACTAGTATTTACATTCAAAAATAATGTGTTGCATTGTCTCTCTACTACAGCAAGGACATAGCAAGTTCGTCTTGGATATCTTGTTTAAATTTTCCAAAGTCTTCATCACGTTCACTCTAATTTTAAATATTAGATTTAAGGTTCTGAAACCGATTCCTATTGAGGGGTAAATGTTGGTGAACTTTCTGTTCTTGGGAGGAAGGTTCTTTGGCGTATATGTTCTTTTGTGGAGGCGTTGAAATAGAAGTTTGTACATTGCTTGTCTAGTGTTTTGAGTGTATAATACATTGTTGATAATAATATACCAATTATTGGATGGAATATTAGTAAGAATTTTGTTACAATCAGCACCTTTCTTAGCAGCCCTATCTGCTAATTCATTTATGCGGCTATAGATATCTTGTTTACCTGTATGACTATTAACATGCATAATTTTGATCTGATCCTTCACTTTTAAATAATTACGAATTTCTTCAACATAAGGATCTCTAGATTTTCTGAATTGGAAAAGTTGGTCATAAATACTTTTCGCATCTATAACTATTGTTCTAGGAGTGTTGTTATCTAGCAATCTAACAACTGTGTGGAGCGCTTGAACTTCACTGTTGTAGGAAGTTCCTTGTCCTAAGGTGTGACTTGAGATGGAAACATTCTGATCAGTTACAATACCATATCCAGCAATATTATTGTTACACGATCCGTCAGTACCAATTAGTGTAGCTTTGTTCAAGAGGTTTGACATGGATGTGTTGTTACCAACATATTTGTAGTATTTGCTTTCGTCTTTGATTTTTCCAAAATCCATGCTATTGAGAATGTTGCGAATTTGGGTGACATGATTGGAATGTTTGATGTCATTATGTAATTTCACTTGTAAATTTTTAGGGTCAGGAACCCACATACTTAATCTGTTCCAATCTTTATAGAGCAGGAATTGTCTTAAACCTTTAGGGAATTTTCCATAAGGGATGAGAGTTTTTTCATGCCATTGGTCACTCGAATGCCACAATCTAATATTGGAAGATTTGTTCATGAAAATTATTCTCTTGAGATATTGAGGAATCCATGGGTCTGGTTTATACCAAGTAGGGATTGGATCATTGAGGATGTCAAAACCATGCTCCTGTTTGATTCGTTCACAAAGGAATCTTGTAGAAGATCCAAGACAAATATCATATTGTTCAAGGAACTTTCTGACTTTACACATTAGGTCCGAGTAACTCATTTCTTGAACAGAAATTAATCCAAGTCCACCTTTGTCTTGATGAGTATAAAACCACTCGAGAGCTAATTTTCTCTTGGTTCTTAATCTTTCACATATAAAGTTGCGAAAGAATTTATCAATTTGTTTCTCTAGATGGTCATTAGCAAGAGGAATTAGGTGGTACAGTGCATACGGAACAATGTCTGTGTTGATAATTTTGACAATGTTCTGTATTGGAAAATTCCAGCCAATAGAGTTAGTTCTTCTTTTAACTTCTTCAATAATTGAAGTAGTGTATTTCTTTTGTTCCTCAGTATTATTGGTAATATTATTACCAAGTATAATAATAGAATCATTACTTTTGATCGTACTTCCAGATAATGTCTTGATACTACATTCCTTATCAGAGAAGAGGTTAGTTTTGGAATGATCTAATTCCATGTGATAGCCATGAAGATAGGTTTCAATGTCATGCAAAGAATTTTCAATTTCAGGTAGTTCGTTGGAAAATGAGTTCAAATCATCAATCCATGCGCCTGTACTAATGTTCCAATAATTTGCAACACTAGCACCATTATATGTTATTTCTAAAAATTGTAAGAGAGGCTCAAGCGCAATTTTGAATGCAAGGGGAGAGAAGGTGTCGCCTTGTTTCAATCCATCTTTCACATTGAAACATTCAGATTTACCATTAGGTATAACAAACTTTGTCGTAGATTCACCTAATATTTCCAGAATTCCATCAGCAGTAATTTCATCAATCCCTAAGAATAGCAGTCCATCACGAAGCATAATTCTCGGTAATGAGTCATAAGCTTTTTTGATGTCAACAGCCAAACCATAAAAAGGTTTCTTGTCCTTTTTTGCCCAAGCAATCATATTGTAAATTGAAAGGACTCTGTGAATAGTTTTTCTGCCGTCTTCACCACCAAATTGAGCTAATGATAATCTTCCCTTTAACACTTCCTTCAATCTTTTGGTGATTAATTTAGTAGCTATTTTAAGTCCTGAGTCCATAAGGGCAATAGGTTTATAGTTAGCAGGGTTTGAGTGGTCCTTATTCTTTTTGTGAATTGGGAGAATGCTGACACTTTGCATAGATTCAGGAGTAAATCCAGTTGTAATGATATTTTCAATAATTTATAAAATTTCCTCCTGTAATTCCTTACACATGTATTTGATAGTTTTTTGTCTTAAACCTAGTTCATTGGGTGCTGTGGATTTCAAATTCTGAATTATCCATTCTTTCTCTTCCGTGGTAATTCTACCGAGTATTTTGTCATTGCAATTATCAATTAATGGATGTTTGTACTTGAAAAACTTGGTAATGTCAATTTGATGATTTCTTCCTCTAAAGTTGAGGTTTTGTTGATATTTGTCCTTGATCACATTGGCAACTTCATTGGGGTCACTAATTTCAGTTCCTTCGATAGATAATTTGTATGGTGGTGATGACGTTTTGTAAATTTTCTTTCTCAGATGTTTAGAGTTGGTTGCATAGTTTTGTTCCCACCATTTCATCTTTCTGTTCAAAGCCTTATCATGGCTCCATTTGATATGGTTCTTGATTTTCTCTTTGACACTTGCAAGACATTTTGGAACCTGTTCTAAAGTTTTACCAATAGTGGTCAAAAGTTTGTCACAAGGATATCCGTGCTCATTTCTATCAAGTATTAACATGAGCTTCTTATATTGCTTATTATATTTGTAGATTTTAGGATCAAGTTTAGGTGGATTGACCTCCACAAATTTGTCGCCTAGTTTATCACAAATGAAACGCCATTTGTCGTTATCAGATTCTAAATTCTTAACTTGAGATACACATTCTTTGCTAATGGCCAGCACTTCTTTCTTATTTTTGGGATCTTGAAAGTTACGCTTCTTCCGAATTAACAAAGGTGTTCGTTGACATGAGAGGTCAAGTAGAATTTTAACCATTTTGTGATCTGATATGAAGTTGGCATTCAGTACTTCTCCAGATGCAATTGGAAAATCTGTGGATATGTAATCTATTATAGACTTGGATTGTTTGTTAATAGTATAATGAAGGTGCCATGATAAATGAGGGAAAGGATAGTAATTAAGATTTCTCTTGTTAATAAGATCTAGTATGTTTTGATCAGTTCTTCTAGATTCGTTTGAGGAGTGATTCTCGGATAAAATCGCATTGTAATCACCTCCAATAATGATTTTGTAGTTAGGATATTTTTCAATTAGGTTGTCAAGAATATATGTGAATTCACATCTGTCAGCTGGTTGATTTGGAAAGTACGCAGAAATTACTAGAGTATTAATTGAATTGATTTTACATTTCACGCCAATAATTCGCGCGTTATTCTTAATGATCGGATCTAAGATGATTTCTTCAATATCTTTGAAAGTGCTTTTGTTGAGGCAAATAGATACACCACAGGAATCTCTTGGATTGTGATAATATGTAAATGAAGAATAATATATAGAGGGAAAATCTGGACCAATGTAGACGCTTTTAACTTCCTGGAGCATGATTATATCAGGAGTGATTGAGTTGAGGTAGCCTCTTAGGGCTGATAATGGTTCTGCTCTGAGACCATTAATGTTGAGGGTTAGAATAGATAATTCTGGAGCTACTGAAGTGAATCAAGTAGTTTTAGCTTTTTGTGACACTCATCAATTTCCTCTTGATATATCTTCCTCTTGGTATTATCTTTTGTACAACCAGACAGAAATGTTAGAGTAGCAATTCTATTGGTAATCATTAATTCTTCATTATTTGCTCTGATAATATTAGCCATTTCCTTAAATCCCATAGCCAATTTCTGATTCTGTCTTGCCTCAAGTTCTGCAATTCTTTTATCCATAGAAGCTTCAATTCTCTTGATTTCTTTTAGGTGATCTTGTTGCACTTTTTCAAGAGTAAAGGAAACGTCTTTCGCTGCAATTTTAGAAGATCTGCCTAAATTTTGTGAAATTTTGTGAACTGTATCAGGTTTCTTTTCCAGGAAATCTTCTAGAATTGGATAATTGAGAGCAAAATCCAATGTCCATTCATTCATTCCATATGCAGCATGGTTTACCAATCTGATGGCATTAGATAGATTGTTGAGTCTAATCAAACATATTCTCTTCTCTTGATTGATGATAAGTATGGATACAGGTTGGTCATTATTGTATTTTCTGGCAAGAGAGGATTCCGTTTGTATTCTAGCTCTAATCAAATCATTTCTTTCAGGCCATCTACCAATGATGTCAGAGTATTGCACATCCATTGCATAGTTGAATGGTATGTCGATTTTCATAGTGACTGTTTCCTCTGTTCTAGGAATAGTGATATCATATGTTTTTGCCTTACATAGATTATTTCTGGCTTTCATACTTTTGACAGTGATCACTGCTGCCATTTCTTTACCAATTCTAGCTGTAGCAATTTCAACAATGGGTTCACCAGTATCGCTTTCAATAGCATTCCTCCAATCTGCCTTGACTGTAGTTTTCCATAGTTCTCCTATTGGAATATTATGGACACGTATAATTTTGTTGGTGTCGTTTTCACATGATGAAGTGATATTGACTTCTTTAAATTTTGTACGTAATGTTTCAACTGCCTGTTCTACTTGAGCGCAATCTTCAATAGTGACAATTATGGTATTATTGAGCTTAATAATCGGATTGATGGTGACATATTTGCCACTAAGTTTGTCCTTAATTAATTCAATTACCTCATTCTATTCAAATATTTTGCTATATCTAACAGCAATATATCTGGGAGGAGTGATTTCCTTCACTGCTATGTCATTGATGTTGAATTCTTCATTGTCTTGTTGGACATTACTACTTTTCTTGTTCTCAGATAATAGTTTGTTAATATTCTTCATTCTTTCCTTCCATAACTCCCAAACATGTTTTCTGTCCTTATGGTTTTTAAAAGCCTTTCTTTCTGTGGTGATTTCGTATTTAATGTCATCAGAGAGTATTCTGAGAGTGGCTTTTACAACATGTTGGAAATTTAAGGTCATAGGGTTGTGTGGGCTAGCAATAACAGATACAATTTCTAAAATCTGATCAGTGTCAAGAAGAGTTCTGTTTGTATCTAGTTTAGCATTATTGTGTTTGAGAAAAGTTTTACCAACAATTTCATCAACTGACATGTCTTGTATGTTGAGGTTATTAGTCAGCTCATTATCCAACAATTCAATGTTGTCTTGGTTACTCATGCTCATACTATTAGTTTTAGCGGCCAATTCTTCATCAGCTATTGGATCAATAGTTGGGTACAATCTAGTGTCAACACTAGTAGAGCAATTGTGAGTAGGGTTGAGATTATTTGTCAAATTGGGCTCATTATCTACAGATGAACTAGCAGAAGCAATGTAGTCGCTTAATGATTGAAGTGAGCTAGAGTGCTTGGGTCCATGGTTGGATCCATGGTTGGGTCTTGTTTTACCGATCTTGCTGGGCATCCTAATTGAATTATTCTTCTTTTTTTTTAATTTGTATAACGAATCTGATCTTGTTGGTCTGATTAAATACCATTCAGTCAATAGTGCTTTGATCTTAATAACTGCCATCGTAATAGGGTCTTGATTACAGTTTGATCACAACGGTAACAATCTCAGTATTTATAACCGGTGGTACCAAATCAGTACAGTACTTCGTAGAGAGGGAGAGATAAGTTTTAAATTTAAGTTTAATGATTCGGAGATGGTTCTTTATGTGGTGATAAAGGGTGCTCAAGGTGGGCACTTAGCGGAGGTGTTGTGTTATTTTTTTTTCCTCGAAAATCAAATTTATGAATGCTCATTCTTTGATCTTGTAATTGGATGATGACCGATCCCACTTGGGGTCAATCAAACTTTCAATAAAATTTTTTGATCTTGAAATGGAATCCATGCGAACACTTCGTTGGATCCAAAACTCTTCAATTAAAATTTTGATTGAATTGCGAGAAAAAAAAATGAAGCAATCACCCATGTCGAGCCTTGTTGTGGCGTCATCTTCTTCCATCATGAAGAAATCATCACTACTCATGAAACATATCAAGAGTAATTGTACGACCACTTTGGCTTTAACATCATCATTCTCTCCATCTCTCTCAAGATTATATCATCATTCCATGTGGAATCTATCATCATCATCAGGGAATCATCATCTCATCCATGATAAGAAGAACAACATCCTCACCCACAACAATACAACAAGTATCCTCCTCAATAATCAGCTCATGAATAATAACACCCGATTCTTCTCTCTCCGAACCAATATGTTGAGAAACAATGAACAAACCAAACCCACCATTCCTGATTTATCGGGAGGTAATGGAACGAATATTCTTGAAATTCCTCAAGTGGAATCGGAGGTGGATTCTGAAGGATTTGTTACCGTGAAGAATATAAGAAACTTGGCCATTATTGCTCACGTCGATACAGGTAAAACTACCATGATTGATTGTTTATTGAAACAAACAGGAACTATTAAGAGTGATGCTGAGGAACGTACTATGGACAGTTTAGCTTTGGAAAAAGAGAGAGGTATTACCATTATGGCTAAATTGACCTCCGTGCAATATAAGGGTGAATATATCATTAATATTGTGGATACTCCGGGACATGCTGATTTTTCAGGTGAAGTAGAAAGAGTCATGTCCATGGTGGATGGTGTGTGTTTGTTAGTAGACGCTACAGAAGGTGTGATGGCTCAGACCAAATTCGTTTTGAGAAAGGCGTTGGAACATGGTTTGAAACCCATTGTGATTTTTAATAAGGCAGATCGTGAAACAGCAAGAATTGGTGGTGAAGTTGAGAATGAAGTGTTTGATTTGTTTATTGATTTGGGAGCCACTGAGGAGCAATTAGATTTTCCAATTTTGTATGCGAGTGCAAAGAATGGTTGGGCAGTGAATGATTTTGAAAATGATCCACGAGTGGACACGGCACCAATTTTTGAGGCCATTCTCAAACACATTCCATGTCCAAGAGTTAAACCATCAGCTACCTCACCATTCCAAATGTTGGTGAGTACGGTGGATTATGACAGAATTTTTGGTAGAATTGTGACAGGTAAAGTGTACGGAGGAAGTATTAAACCAGGTGATCGAGTGAAAGTCATGAGTAGAACAGGAGAAGTTTTGGAAGAGGGTAAAGTGTTGCAAGTCATGCAACGTATTGGTATGAATAGAACTCCTGTGAAAAGAGCACTCTCAGGATCCATTGTTTCCATCGCTGGTATTTCTAAGGCTGGTGTCACAGATACTGTTTGTGACGTTAAACAAGTGACTGAACCAATTCCTGCAAAGCCCATTGATCCTCCAATTTTGAGTGTCATGTTTTTAGTGAATGACAGTCCTTTGGCAGGTAGAGAAGGTAAATTGTGTTCAGCCACTCAACTTCGAGCTCGTTTATTGAAAGAAGCAGAAATGAATGTGAGTTTGACCATTAAACCCATCGGAGAGTCCTTTGAAATTATGGGTCGTGGTGAAATGCAAATTGCTGTCCTCATTGAAAACATGAGACGAGAGGGCTATGAATTCCAAGTATCACCACCTCGAGTTATTTTCCAAGAGAAGGAAGATTTAAAAGAAGTTTTGGAACCCATTGAAGAAGTTACCATCGATGTTGACAATTCCTTGGCAGCGCAATGCATGGAAAAACTCTCCAAGAGAAAGGGTGAACTTGTGGACTATAAAGTGGAGGGAACCAAGGCAAAATTGATATATCGTGTGCCAACACGTGGTCTCATTGGTTATGCTGCCGAGTTCAGATCAGACACTCGTGGAGAAGGTCTTCTTAATCACATCTTCTCGTCCTATGAAGAACATAAGGGACCCATTGAAAAGACAAGAAAGGGAGTCATGATTTCACTCGAAGAAGGTAAAGGTACTCCATATGCTTTGGGTCCACTCGAAGCAAGAGGACAAATCTTTATTACTCCTTCAACCGATTGTTATGAAGGAATGATTATTGGAGAACACAGCAGAGAAAATGATATTGAGGTCAATCCATGTAAGGAAAAACATTTAACAAACATGAGAGCTGCTGGTAAAGAAGATGCCATTCGATTGGCACCACCGAGAATCTTCCAATTAGAAGAAGTTCTTACCTACATTCAACAGGATGAACTCGTTGAAGTGACACCCAAGAGTATTCGTTTGAGAAAGAAAATTTTGAGTGCAATGGATCGAAAATTATCCAAACGAAAGGAAAAGTAAATTGAACTATACGAGCTAGGTGGAGTAGTTGATTTATCATTTATTTACAGTACTAGTAAATGGCAATGACTTTAGAAAAGTGCACTGTTGTGATTGCTGACAAAAGTATTCTTCTGAAGTCAATGCTGTTACTAGTCACATTCTTCTCGAAAAGTATATTTCATTTATTTTCTTTGTTCGCTGGAAATACTAGAGGAAGATGTGATGTCTGGCAACTCGTGATAGTCATCAATTTTCTCATAAGTCAATAATCTTCGATGATACTTTGAATTAAGAGGATCCAAACTGTTATATAAGAGTTTGAAACATCGATGTTGAGGTATGACCTCTTCAGAATAATCCTCATTAAAGTTGAATAACCATGCTACCATTCTTCCATGCTTTACAACCGATTTGGCAGCAAATTCGAGCAAGTCTTGATACATTTCCTTCACGTCATACGTAATTGTTCCTGGAAAATAATTTTCTCGTTCGAGGGCAGTGCTATTAGGATCGAGAGGTTTGTGTCGTCCAATCTTTCTTGGACCCTCTCTGTTACCATACGGTGGATCACATACAATGGCATCTAAAAACGGTCGAGCAATTTTGTGATTTTTGTGACACATGCTTCGCCATACTTGTGTTTGAGACATGTCGACCCTTAGTAACTCGAGTCCTGCCTTTCTTGTTAAGCCGTATTGATCAAAATTGGTTTGAATATTTGCGTCACTCTCAACATTTCCTTTTTGACGAAAATTTTTTCCTCTCACTACACGAATATCCAAATCAGAGCCAATCACATGAGAACCATAGTGAGCCACAGAAACAATAATCGATCCAGTACCCACAAATGGGTCATAAATGAGAGTTTTGCTACTGGCAAGAGCCATGTTTGCGCTGAGGAATGACAGCGTTGCATTCATGCTAGTGGTTCCAATATATTTTCGTTTCTTCAGGTCATATTCGGTGATGAGATGTCTACCACCTTCTCCAATTTTTCGTGTGAAATAAATGGTCTTTAACACAGCTTGATGAGTTGGTGGATTCTGTGATGATGTATCTTTGGTGCTATTTGATGACGTCGGAGAAGAGGATGATGACTTTTTCTTTTTAGTTGGTGGTCCTTGAGCTGATGAATTGGTACTAGTAGAATTGTTTCCTCCATGATTGGTATTTGTTGCGTCATTTGGCGGTAGAGTTTCTTTGTGTTTTGATAAATCATTGTCATTTTGGATTGAACCGTCACTAGATGACTCACAATTCGTGGACGATGATGTTAATAAATTACTAGAAGACTTCTTATCTTGGTGTAAGTGAGACCCGGGGATACTGGGACTATCATAATCTTGAAATATATAAAATTCTTGTTGGGGGTTTAGTAAATCAACCTTTCCCTTCCATGGAATAGTTGTGAATCGTTTCAATAAATCCACCTTTTCCTTCTTTTTCCATCGACATCCATAATTTTCCACGACAATCCGATAAGAGACATCCTCACGTAAAATCTTTCCAACATGCTCACTATTCTTCTCACAATACTCTCCACATTGTTGGACACATTCTTCGGGTGTACTAGCAACTCCCCAAACTTCATAAATTCCTTGAATTAATACGGATCGGGAAACGAGTTTTTTGGCATCCTCTTCCGATGGCAATTCTATAAAATAAAACACTTCATCCTCTCGTAACTTTCTACTGTGTTGCATGGGAATGTTGTTCACCCGAGCACAGCTCTCCAAATCCGGCAGACGAAAGTACGAATAATCATTGATGAAACGAACAAGAAATTGTGGCATTTTTTTGTTTACAATTTCAATTTGCAGTCAGATAGACGTTAGTTGAATCATTCATTTCCGATGATTCAAGTGCAAATTGATTTATGGTCAAAGTAAAGAATTCTGATGTGGTGTAATATTGGAAGGTCTGAAAGAGACGAATTTCTCATTCATCATCGTGTTCAATTAATTGTTTGTTTTTACTACTATAATTTTATTGTTGTTGATGGTTACTTAGAATGATTAGCCAAGAAGTGCAGAGTCGGAAGAATAGGATGTTTGTACGAAAATATTATTGGTTAAAGAGAAGCGTATGGATGGTTGCCATTTGCCATCATGAAAATTTGAAAATGATGAGTGAAATGATAAAGAGGGTGTTGAGAAAAAATCGGATGGTTCAATTTGTTGTAAATTCAAAGTTGTTCCTTTGAAAAACTATAATTCATCATCATCACACATCATCAGATTCAACACAAATAATAATATATTATAGCACATTCAAATTAGAGTTGTTCTTCAATCTTATTCTTCCTCTTCCAATACAAGTGTGCTTGTTTGAAACTTTCATCCCACACCTTTGGGTCCCATCCTTTCGGAATAACTTGAGGTTTTGGAGGAGCCAATCCCATATTGGCCAACAACTTTAAAACATGCTCTGATGGTTGGGCACCTTGGCCGAGCCAATACTTGACTCTATCAATATCAATATAACAAGTCTTGAATTTATCTTGTGGATTCAAAGCCTCCTGGAAAAACATGTAATTCATACTCTTTGCTCTCGGATCATAAACTCCAATTTTCTCAACAATATTTCCCGATGAAACAGAACGACGAGAGTCTACCACCACCAAACGGTAGATGGGATTGTTCTTGACGCCCATACGCTGCAAACGAATTCGGCAAACCATTTTTTTTTCAAAAAAAATAAAAAAAAATTACCAATTTCGTTTTGATCGAACGTTCTTCTCGGTGAAACAACAATACCTTCGAATTGCGAATTGATTCAAGAATCTTATTTTATAAAGTTTTTTTTTGCAATACAATAGAAAGGATAATTTAATTGTAAAAGATGGACATTACCACTCCAGAATGGACTCATTTATTTGTTCATCATATATTTGATTTTATGACTGGATCCGAGCTCTTGAATCAGACATGTCTGGTGTGTTCGATATTCAATCATCTTGTCAAAATGTACATTTCTAAACAAACTATTCATGTATGGAAAATGGAGAGCAATGCAAGAAAATTTTCATTGAAAAAAACGGACAAACTGTTGGAAATGATTTTGCCATTGTTGGATAATGATCAAATCCATTCATTGCAGGAATATGATACTTTGAGTTGTATTCAATACATGCCAAATATTGTATTTGAATCAATGTTCTATAACATACTATCATCGGAGCTCAACGAAGATGAGCGCAGACAAGTGTCACGATTCATGAAACACACAGTCGAAGCGGGACCTTTCCTTCTTTCACAAGACAATTCCCATAAATCAAGTGAAATCAGGGGTGGATACTCTCTTCGCATGCAATACGAAGACGAGGAGCCTGTTTCCTATTTGCTTTCAGAATTTACAAATCACACAAAAATTCATACGTTACACATTGAGACAAATTCACCTTCGTTTTACCATTCTTTTCAAAAGCAAAAATTATTTCGCAAGTATGAAGAAACAATTTTAAATCAAATATTTCTGTACAGGTCTTTGATACTGAAAGCAAATGATGACTTGGACGAACGAATATGTCAAGCAATCAATCCACATGCACAACATGTAACATTAACCTTTAATACTTATACCATGTCAAAGATAGCATCAATATGCAACCGATTTGACTCATACAACATCAAAGCACTGTTGCGAATCGAAAGTAATGCCCAACATCGTAGTACAGCGAATACTTCTCAATTTCTAACACTTTTTGATGTCATATTAGAGTTTACAAGCTCGAAGGGTTTCAAAATTCAGAACACTTCAAAATTGTCTTCAAATTCTTCTTCAAGTCATGTCCTGTTTCGAGATGAAATTTCATGCATTAAGAAATTATCCATTCTCGATTCTCAGCCCATTGACATTATTCCAACTGGTCTCGAGGAATTACGTTTAGAGAGGATACACTTTAAAGACGGATCCGAATTTATTCAGCTTCTACGAGGGAATTGTGATTCTTTGGAGACACTTCATTTGTGTAATATCATAATTCCCTATCATTCATTCTTCGTACTCAACGGCAAACCATTCTCTTTCCCAAAGCTGAAACATCTCATCATTGATGGATGTTCTATGGACGGAGAAGAAACTACGCTCAATACCAACGACAGTGACAACAACAAGCCAGGAGTTGCCTCTTGGAAAAGAATTTTCGATTTGAATCAATCAAGTGCTCAGTTACAAACTCTTACATTCAAAAGAAACATTCCCGAGTTGACACATCTTCCATTCTCACGAATTTGTTCTCTCAAACAACTCGTATGGGAACAATTGGAAAATGTTGAGGACTTTAAACGTTTATCACAATTTCCATATCTTGTTGATTTGCAGCTGATTTATAATCGAGAATTCGATCAAATTGCACTTTTTCACCTTGGAGACAAGCTTAAATATTTAACACGATTCATCATTTCTGGAAAGATCAATTCTCCAATTTTGGCTGCTAAGGAATTGCAAAATGCCCTTTCATCATTTTCCATGAAAAATGCTACACGATTTATTCATCTTGACAAACAAGAACTATTTTCAAAGAAGGACGACGAAAGAGATTACCAGTTTGAGCTCTCCATGAATCATATGAACATGAAGGCAGATCAAAAAAAAATGTCACAACTCAACATTATCTCTATATTGATTCACTTGGGATCATCTCTTCAACATGACAACACTCAGCCATATGCCAACTTGTCACCCTTCTCTGAATATTTCAAATCTATATTTTTTGAAGGACTTTTTCCCTGTGTCATTTACTCGAGATTCCTCAGCTCTGGATTGAAATTCAAGAATTTTGTTGTTTCTAATTTTGACATGGTGATTGAGGTTCTTGTTCCCTTGCTGTTGTATCATCCAAAATTACAATGGGTCACATCATCAAGAACAACAACATTTGCCTCACCTTCTCATCAAACATTCACTGATTTCAGCATGAAAATTTCATCTTGTCAAGCTGATTTGTTGAGTGGAGGACGAGATCTTGATATTCACAATAATAATGGACTTGTCATGCTTGTATTATTTGTGGAAAAGGAACAGATTATTCATGTGACTTGTGAACTCAATCCAAACAATCTCACTCCTAAACGTCTGAAAGAAATTGAACAAAATTGGATCAAAATTTATCGATAGTGAATTCAATTGATGAAAAAACATTTTTGACAATTTTATTCATTTAATTCCTGAATCAAAGGACCAAGGGCCTTGATATTTCCATAAGGATGACCCTTTGTAAAATCTGTAAAACCACGACCATTCAAGTTCGGAGTTCTTCTTTTTTCAAAAAAAATGTCTTCCAATCATGACGAGGAGGATCAAGTTGATTTTGTAGCACTCGGAAATGATGATTCTTCTTCGGGAAAGATTCATCCAACACCGATTAAACATGTACCTGTTGATTTTGTTTGCCGCTTTCATCATAATCTTCCCGATCTGGAAAATATCAATCCGACCTTCTTGGGACCAGAAAATGAATTAACGCATTGTCCCTGTGTAGTCGTATTCGGTGGTACAGAAACGTTTGGAGCCTTTACGCAGACAAATTCAATGTATGTGTTGGAGTGTGGAAATATTGCATCAAGAAATCAAGTAGTGAGCTTGTGCAATCAGGAACAGATCGACTATTATGTAGATGGAAATTTAATTTCGAACCAAAAAGGGAATGATAAATATGATGAAAGTTCTTCTACATCTTCTCGGTCAGAATTCTTGTTTCAATGGAAAGAAATTGAGTATGGCTCATCAGAACAAATTCCAAGTGCAAGAGAATTTCCATGTTTTTCATATGAGAGACATTCACAGAAATGCTACTTGTTTGGTGGCTATGGTGGACATTACTTTAATGACGTATGGGAATTTAATTTGCGTAACAAAACTTGGACGCGTTTAGTGACACAAGGAAACGTGCCATCTGCAAGATGTGGATGTTCTGGAATGGCGAACAGATTTGGATTAGTGGTCTTTGGTGGATTCAATGGCACTTATTTGGATGATTTTTATTTTTTGGATTTCAAATCCAAGACTTGGATAAAAATTGATTCACGCTCGATGAATGATTCCCCAAGAACTCTCACTGTGTTAACTAACAACAGTTTCATTTCTGATTGCTCGTTTTTTATCTTTGGTGGATACTCTGGAACACAGTACAAGAATGATTTTTTCGGTATGTCAAATGTTATATATAACATTTAATTTCTTTATCTTTTTCTTTTTGATATAATTTCTATATCTTTTCTTTTGTGATGGAATTGTCACATTTTGTGGAAACTGTCGGTTGTTCTTTATTGTGATCAATAGCTTTTGATTTTAATTATAATAATGATGCTCGACATTTGGGCAAATGGAAATATTCACTAAGAAACTTAACACCTACTAATTCCAGTTTCAAAGCCAATAGTTTAATGCTTCGAGGATTGTCAAGTATTTATGGAACACATATGGCTCCTGGCCATCACTCACTTCTCATTTCTGGCTACATGAATAACACGTCTGTTTTATACGAGTTGGAAGAGAAAACAAAAACACTCTATGTCTACGACATTCCAAGTACTGCTCAAGAGTTTGACACTGAAATTGATTCAAGTTTGGTGTTTGAGTTGGACGAAAGAACTGTTGGAGTGCTTTCAAAACATTGCTTGCTGGTTCTGGGTGTACGATCTTTCAAATTAGATTTCCCATTTTTGTGCTTTAGACGGTTGTACAAACCTGAAGCCTACTCAGATGTTCGATTTGAATGGAAATGACAGTTGAATTATGTAAGAAAATTATCACACAACATGTCTTGGTCCATTAGTAATTACACGAGACTAAATATGACTCTCCAAATTGGGAGTTTTTCAAAAACTCGTGTTCAATGCAAATACGTTCACTTGATTTTGTGGGAACAGGTTTTGCGAACAACTCACTTGGAATGAACAATGGTATTTTTCAAAAAGTCTCACAGTTTTCATCGTTTTTGGAATTCTCGTTCATTCACATATCTTCCAAATCGTGCGTCTTCGTTATTATTGATCGATAGGGTTGGGCTTTGTATGGGTCTAAACGTTTTGTGATCGTGGTTGACCGGACTGGTCACAAAATGTTTAGACCTATACAAATGATTCGTGTGATTTTTGGAAGGACTATTTTGCTGTTCCTGAAAAGTATTTTTGTAGTTTGAAAGAGGCGATTGCTGATAATCATTGTGATATGGGGAATACAAATTTCTTGGAGGAGGTGGATAGTACATGGGTTGCATTGGCTTGAAATTTGAACCATACGTGTCCGAAGGTTCATAACGTTGTTGATAATAGTTTGGTTGCTGAGTCTGAACAGAGTTCAACTGACGGAATGGAGATGTCACAGGTTGATAGACAGTGCTTACTTGACTCTGTACAAAGGGACTTGAGAAGGTCACCCCGCCATTTCGATAATTTTCAGGAGGAGCAAGAAGGATTTTTCTTGCCTGTCCTATTAATTCTTCCTTTTTTTCTGAACTCGTGGAAGCCTGATACAATGCTTCAGCAAGAGGTGGAAAAAACATGTTGTAATCAGTCTGAGTGGTTGTGGAAGTTTTTCCAAGAATATCAGACGCAGGACTCTTGTCTTCTTCTTCCCTCACTTTTGAGGAAAGTATTTTACCGTTTTCTTTATCAATTTTTAGAGACACATTGAGCACACCTTTTTTCTTCTTTGTGAAGGAGTCTTCATCACTCTCCTCATCGTCTTCGTCATCATCGGAACCACTGTGTTCCGATCCCGTTTCATCTTCTTCGTCCTCTTCTTCGTCACCCTCTTCTTCGGATCCACTCCCTTCACTATCTTCTTCTTCTTCTTCGGATGCACTTTCCTCCGAAGTCTCTTCTTCAGAAGATTCCTCCTCCTCTCTCTTTCTGGGCATGGCAATTGGTAGTGGAATTGGAGAATTTTTTTTTTAAATTAATTTGTAATTTCGGGCGGGGAAAGAGACGGCACGATATTGATGGTTGTCTGTGAGAATTTTGATGTTTTCCAGTGTTCAATTTGTTGTCTATCGCTCCTCAGGTGGATTTGCACTACCAATTGGTACCTCTCTGGAAAATAGAATTCTCAAAACCAAATAAATTGCACATTTGGCGCTCTTTAAGTAATCCAACGATTAACATCGATTCGAGAAATCTGAGTTTATTCTACCACACGCGTGTAGGATACTTCCAACATCTAAGCATCAATCTCTTAAACTTTCTCTGCTTGAGAGTCTTTTAATTAACATGTCCATCTTCTCACACTTTGTGGTAAATGATGCTAATTTTTTAAAGATGATTCCAATCAAATTCGTTTAACAGACGTAAGTCAAGGTCCTTACTATCTAAGAAAATATCACATACAAAAGGCTCGCGACGTTGAAGAAGCAGCAACAAAATGGTATGCTTCTGCCACCAAGGCTTATGTTGGCTTTATATTCAAAGCCAGATCGTTCAAAAATATCAAGTCTAAATTGCAACGGCATTTTCTCAACATGCCATCGTTGACGGATGGCCATTCTTTCCAACAAACTGAAACATTTTCATGTTTCATTCAAAAACTCAGCAAAGAAGAAACAATTATTGTTTGTGCCAACCAACATGCATACAATGTGGCTTGTGTGCTAAAATATTTAGAAAAAACTTATCCCTCCAATTCTTCTATTGAATGCAACAAAGAAATAATTCAGTCTGATAATATTGAGGATTTGTTGCCCTTATCCTCTAAAAGAGAGGAATTATTGCTAAAATTTCAAAAGGGAGATGTAGTTATTGTTCCTTCAGAACAAAGTATCCACGAGAGGGATTCTTCGGGAGGTGAATTTGGGGAATTTCTTTCCAAAGATTTAGTTGCCCCATCATCAGACTACAGTACCGACTCGCAAGCTGTTTTCACTAATCGGGTGAAAATAATGTCAAGAGATAAGAAAATTATAACATTGCAAAACAAAATGGAAATATTGGAGCAAGAAAATGCTTTCATGCATCGCAAAATGGAAATAATGGAGCAAGAAAATGCAAAAATGAACAGAAAACTGCAAGAAATGACAGAAAAATTTGAAAAACTGTTTAATCAGATTAACAATAAAACAAGTCTTGGCTCAAAATCGAAATAGAATAATTGGGGTTGATCAAACTACACAAATGATCTTGCGAAACTGATGTCTTAATTTAGATCTATCTTCAAGTTTTTGCAACTTAATAGTATGAGGGCTCTTAAACCTGCCTCGGAAAGAAATGATTGCTTTAATGATTTTCCTTCTTAAGGATCATATAGAACTAGAATACATGGACACAAATTATGGAAGAATAGACGACCAAGCGACGATCGGATTCATTTACAACGGCTTTCCTTTTCGTCCGCTGTCTAATTGCTTGGTGGTCATAGCCATTCTAGAAAACCCCAAATTCGTATGATGTCAATACAAAGATTTCTTTTGTTGTTCCATTCATAACAGAATTCTGTTGGTTGCCATGTCCATCATTATGAAAGTTGGCGAACTAGTTAATTTGAATTTCTACCTTCTTTGAATAAATTAGTGTTTATGTATTCTAGTTCTATACCATCTCAGAAGGAAAATTCATCAAAGCAATCATTTCGAACATCCTTGATCACTGATACCACTACTTTAACGAGAAAACCTCTTTCTTATTGAAGACGATATCAAACAAATCCAGAAACACTATTGTCTTCAAAAACACAATCACTTCTATTTAATATAGTTCATAATATTTAAGCAAGATCATCCTATATGATTATTAGAGAATTAGGTTCATATTGTTGATGAATCTTGTCATTGAAGGAATATTTGACTCTGTTGGAATGTCAGTGACCAAAATGGCTCTCGAAAATTGTAATTGATTTCATCATTAACTCTTATCACACTCTTCAACTTGAAATTAATCACCTTTCTACACCCTTTCAGTCGAACATTAGAGAAATTTCACAAGATTATCCTTTCCTCTTGTGTACAATTGTATCACATAATTGATAAGGCATTTGAGAAATGAAACATTCCAATATTGGAGTATTTAATTTTGCAGGTGATATGAATATTGTAACAAGATACAATTATCTCAAATTACACCTAAGAATCCAAAATTTCGCAAAGTCAGCAATAGTTCTCTGTGGTTGAAGGTTTGATGGATCTCTAGTGGGTCTGCATTCAAGCAGCTTAAGAAAGCAAGTGGGAATACGAGCTCAAACTTGATTCTGATTTTCAGAAAATATTTTAGGAATTAGAAAAACATTACCCCGAATGAGACTTGTTCATCATTTTGTCGGACACTGTCAATGAGCCAAATCTTGGCTTCTTCTTTGGAGTTAAACAAAACCTTGCTCCAACATACCCTTTGTCTGATATGTTCTGAACGAAGTGAAGGGCATGAATGTTTCGATTGTAAACATTAAAAGAGTTTGGTTGAGCAACGAAAAATATTTTCATGCTCAAAAAATTTTCTGTATATTCGTGCTTTTTGATTTGCTTAGTGACTTCCCACCCATTCGCACTCACACCCACTTGCTTTCTTAAGCTTCTAAGATACCTTTTTCGCTGATCGGAATGTTCTTGTGGTAAGGAAGAACATTGAGACAGTGCAGGTCCACCTTGATCGAATCTTTTCGACAAGGATTTTACTGAGCTAACCATATATTTAATTATTTTAATTTCATATGTATCTAATTCATCATGTTATCTTATTTTCATGGATTTATCAAGCAATTGCTTAATGTGACTTCTTGCGCTTCACATCTTAGAATCTTTGTCTCTGCCTTCCTCCTTCATACTTCCTTGCGTTTCTTTGGTTTTCTCCTTTTTTCCGCTGAGCGGTTTTTGGAGTTTTTTACCTTCTCAAATCTTAATTAATACTCGGGACTCTGCTGAATAAAGTCAATTGACAAAATATGCAGAAAATCCCACAAACACCGGACCTTTATCAAGGTCGGGTGTTTGGAGAGACTACAAACCCATTTGTTCCTCTAAATTAATCAAACGATTCTTGTTGTTTACGTCTTCGAAACATTCTTCTCATTTTCATGATCAAATTTTGAACTATTTCCAAAAGAAACAAAGAGAGGAAAACATAATGTGTCTTTTCTAGAGTGTTCTTTGAATAACCTCAGTTCAACTTCCTTTAGGAGCCTTGATTTACCAACTCCAGGAGCTGCTGCAATAAAAGGGAGTACAATATTCCATTTTTCCAACTTCTCGTTCAGAAAAATTAGCATATGTTTCAAACTCTTTCAAAATTACCTGAACACTGTTCTCCCTATCAACAAACTCAAAATTGTATCCAAAAGAGCTGAGTAATGTTTTTGAAGCATTTAAAACATCAGGTTTCAATGTTCCACTATTGGTAGAACCAATATGGGCTTGTGTAAAAGGTCCTGTTGTGAATTAATGATCGTGAATCTTTTTGTACCAGAAGCTCGGTTCAGTCCCATTAGTCATTCCAAATTCCAAAGCATGTTCCTTGTTTCATTAGTGGTTCCAAAATTCATAAAAATTAAAACATTCCTTTAAGCTTGGGATGTTTCAAAGGTATTGGGTGGTTTCAAAGATTCGGGGGCGTTTCAAAGATTTTGGCGCGTTTCAAAGAATCCGAAACATTCCAAATCAGCTTCTTTTCAACTTAGCTTGGGAGTTTCAAATAAAATTTTGAATTGAAAAAAATGTCTCTCGATATCAGCAAAGAAGACGCTGTGAGATTGAGGGAAATCGAGGTCAAAAAATTGGTGGCCAATGAATGGAAGGTATTGCATGAAGAGCTGCCAATTATTCAGAAATCAAAAGGTAGAAAGGATATCAAGGATATTCCTACAATGAATAGAATTAAAGAAATAGTCTGCCAAAGAATTGGATATGTTGCTACATTCATCTTCTTACATACTGTTGGTACTATCTGTGGATGGTTAGAAGGTCCTTATCGTAATGTGGACAAAATCTTATTAATTCTTTACATGTTACTTGAAAATGAAACATTCGGATCCTTAAATGAGAGGAGAATTATCGCAAGGTCTACAATATGGAGAATTCATCACACAATTTTCGTTGAATTTCATGACCAACTTAATGAATGGGCTGACACTTGTTTGCAAAGAATGTTTTCAAATCCTATTATTCGATGTCTTACTGGTATAATTGAAAACGAAAAAGGCTTCAAGGATGGAACCACTTTTTTAGATGGTCATGATACACGTATTGAATATAGTAATTTAGCCAAATATCCTAAAAGGGAGTATTGGAGTTACAAATATAAAGATTCTGGATTAAGAACTCAAGTATTGATGGATAATCAAGAATTAGCAATTGCTATTTCGAAATCCCTACCATGTGCTCCTAATACAGACATTGGTATGTTCAAGCAAATGGAGAGAATTCCAAAACTATTAGATCCTAGTGTGGATGTATTGTATTTTGATGGTGGTTATTTCTTGGGAATTCCTGATTATATTGAAAAATTGCAAGAAAAAGGATATGATCTTGATGAGTCAAATTTCAGAACTCCAATTAGAAAACCAAGAAATCAAGATCTAACATACAGTGAAGCACAATATAATGAAGAATTTGGTGCTTTTCGTGGTATGATTGAAACATTATTCTCTCATATTGGTGAGAAATTCAAATTTTTCAATCCTCATTCAGTTGCTAAAATGAGTGGAGATTTGGAAAATGTGTGGAATTTAAAATTGCATTTGTGTTGTTTGACATTCATAGATTCGTAGAAAAATATAATATTCAAGTATTAGATCACCACAAGGAATGGATGCGTTCAGACTTTGATTTTCCTATAGAAAAGCCAAAATTATTAAGACCCTCTGTTAATGTTGTCCGTCAAAAAGAATATGCAGAGGAAAAAAGAAAAGCTCAATGTAACCTTATTGCTAAAATGTTGACAATGAGTGACACTGAATTAATGACACTATCAACTCGTGAAATTCTAGAATATTCACATAATTCTAATCCAGTACAAGTCGGTGATGAAGGATCAGAAAGCGGCTCGGATAATGAACTTCCAAGAAATCTACAAGAAAGTGATTCTGATAATGAAGAAAGATTGATATCACCAAGAAAGACACAATTCCCAAGAATAACCTCAGGCTCGGAAAGAAGTTCACAAGACTACACACCACAAAAACTTCCACAAAAAACTCCAAAATCAACTCCACAACCAAGAACTCCACAACCAAACACCCCTATCCAAATCCAAAGGCCGGCTCTGCAAGCATCATTTAAAAAAGTTCAACAGCCAACAAAGAAGAAAACAAACAAACCAAACACTTCGGAACCTTCTTTCGGTATTGGAAAACGGCAAGCCAAACCAACAGCTGCGCCAAAATCTTTGAAACGCCCCTGAATCTTTGAAACCACCCAATACCTTTGAAACATCCCAAGCTTAAAGGAATGTTTTAATTTATGAAAGCCTATTCAGTTTAAATAACACGTTTCAAATGCATTGAAAGGTCTAGAATTAAATGGTCCTGGAACGAGCTTCCCAAGAGAGGTAAGGGGAATGATTGTCTGTTCCTCAAAATCTAACAACGGCACTTCTACCTTGTTGTTTTCGATCAATTCTTTTTTTACCCAATTCGTCACCTTGCCACAATTATCCTTGTCGTTTTTAAATACTTGTTTCATGATATCATTGAGAGTCTTTTCATTTCCACTTTGTTGAGCCTTCTCGAACTCAAATACAATTTTTGAGAGAGATTTTCCATCAAAATCTTCATTATACAAAGGTTTAGCTTGACCACCATTTAATCAAGCACCTCCTTTTAGTTTTGATCGACACAATGCATCCTTTGTTTGATCTTTGTTCCACAAACCAAAAAGTTTGGGCATTAATGAATCATTAACCCAATGTACCACGATTGAACAAGTATCAGAAAGACAAGATTTAATCCTCCCATTCTTGTCCTTGAAACCAATGGAAGTGTGGAATTGGCAAATGACATCTGATGATCATCTCCTCTTCAAAAGACGACATTCATGAATGTTCTCTCGTTCACAGTGACTTTACACATGTTCTACCAGGATGAACCACTCTGCATCATTTTCGATGTATTGATAAATTCCAAGTAGTAGTAGTAGACTTGGAGAATTCTCAAACAAGCTCTTCAGAAGAAGATGCCCTCGCGCGTGCGCGTGAGGTTCTCCCTTTTCAAAGTTACCTTTTTGTTATCTCACATTACCCAAACAGTGTGACAGCGAATTTTCTCTCAAAAAAAAGCCGTCATCGATACCTGTTCTCTCTCGATAGAGTGTCACTGTGAACAGGAAACAACAAGTGAGATCATTTCCTTCGAATCTCTTGTATCATGTGTCCCATTCTAACACCAACCAACAACAACAACAATAACAACAACAACAACAACACCACAACTATTCAATCCATTCCCACCAATTCATTGTACAATACTACTACTACTCCACAGACAATCAACAGCAACAACATGATGATGAATAACAACCACACCTCTCCGAATCATCAATTGATTAGATTCAACGTGGGTGGAAAAATCTTTTACACCACTCGTGAGACCATCATGAATTCGTATCATCACTCTGCCATTTATTATCCAAAAGTTTCATGTGGAACCAATAACTCGCTGAATGATTCCATGATGTTTCCAGGCAATTGTTGTCCATTCTCTCAAAAGATTCGATCACCATCGAGTCGTAGTTATCATTATTCCTCTCAACAACTAAGTTCAAATCTTGGTAGAAGTAATGCACCATCATCTGGCAGCAGTGGTGGGGACTTGGATCCGTCAGCTGTCAACGCAAGCTCTTCCTCCATGTATAATTCTCTTTCAACCTTTGTTGATATGCATAACCGCAAACATCGAATGAGTACAGCAGATAGTACCAATGCTCCCTCTCTCGTGGACCCTCATCATTCAACAAGTGCTCATTCCCGAAATAACAGCTTGTCTTCCTCGTCTCGTCCTGCCTCCACAACTTCCATTCCGAATTTTGAAAACTATTTCACACGCCTACTCGATGACAATCAGCATTTAGGAATTATTCGTGACGAGAATGGATGTTTCTTCATTGATCGAAACCCCAAGTACTTTGCCATCATTTTGGAATACTTGAAAAGTGGAGAGTTAAACTTATTCGATTCTGCCGAGTATCGTTCAAGCGAATTGGACACACCAGAACATGGATTTCACGATTTACAATTATTTGCTCAGAAAATTATTAGAGAGGCTGACTATTTCATGATTGACATTTCTGATCAATTATTTAACATTGTGGGAGACCAATTATATGTCTCTGAATTCTTCCAGGATCGTACCAATCGTTCGAATCAACGTTGTTTGATATTCTTTGATAAGGACTCACATCGAAGACCTTGCTCATTGTACATGAGTGGTATTTGGTTCGATCATCACATTATTGATAAGGAGTGCTTTGTGAGAAATGGAGTCATTGAAATTTATATGGAAGAGAACACCATGGCAGGTACCATGTTGACCAATGATTCTATCATGATGATGAACCCTAATGCTGCCAATAACTACAACAACAGTAGCAGTGGTTCTTCATCTCGTGCAAGAAGAAACAAACAAAACAATGCATCCAACAATCAAAATTCCAATTCCAACATGGGTCAAGGCAATGCCTCCGATTTTGATGCCTCCGATTATTATTACTACTCTGAAACTCCCATCAATAAGCGTAAAAGTTTCAACTCGGACACGTTTTTCAGTTCTCTCTCCAATATGGTCAACAACAATATGAGCCATGTGGCCTCACAAACCAAACATTCCTTAGGAGGAGGATCAGGTACAGGAGGAGGACCTCTTCGTCTCCACTTTGTCATTCATCCACAAGTCGACGTGAAGAGCAATGAGAAGAGAAGTATGATGAATTTTGTTGGAATGGATCCTTCCATGCTTGATTGTTACATTCATCAGTCTTCTTCTTCGCCATCATCATCAATTACAACAACCACCACCACCACCACCACAACAACAGTCACCTCTCATCCTCTTCCTCATGAAGCACACAACACCAATACCGACATTCATGGCAAATCAAGCACGGCAGCCGATGAATTTTCCTCTCTCTTCTCCACGTATGGCATGCTTGGAGCTTCTCGAAGACTCTCCATGGAATTTCCTCAATTGGTTGAGAATTACCTCGTCGTGAAAGACATTAGTTCCTTCCGTCGTGAATTTCGTCTGAAGGAAATGGATGAACCAGCCACACCCAAAGCTCAATTCAATAAGAAGTATTTCAATCTTTCCGACTACAACCATTCGGTCAAGTTGATACGAGATGACAAGGATCTAGAGCATGTCATTGTCGTGGAGACCTTTACTCAAATTCCCGAAAAGTTCAGTGAAGTCTTCGCCTCAATGGGAACCTCTCCTGGTAGTGCTATTGGTAGTAATGAGAACAACCGAAGAGTTGGCAGTGAAATTCCCCTCACCATTAGTGGCTCCTTAGATGATTCTCGTGGTGGTGGAGGTGGTGCTAGCGGTAGTGGTAGTGGTAGCAGTGGTAGTGGTAGTTCCACTCATCATCATCATCATGGTTATGCGACTACTGGAAATTTCGAATCGGATCAGTACTTGGAAGTAGCCAGCAGTGATGAAGATGAATTTTCAGTCCCTCAATTAGCCTCCTCCAAAAGAAAGAGCATCAATCCCAACGTTCTTCAAAAGAATAAGAGTGGTACCGTCTCACGTACGATGGAACAAACCAAAGAGACTCGTATGAGAGTCATTCGGAATAATTTCTTTGCCAAGAGCAAACGTGAGTTTTTATATATTGAGAGTAAGAATAGAATTTATTGGGCCTCTTATTCAAGAGGGTTGATTACTTTGGAGTTGAGTAATAAGAACTTGTAAGATTGATCTTGTTTGAGTGTAGGTGGTTTGAGAAACAGAGTGAAAACCATTATGGAAAATCTTGTAGTATGGAGTGGAATGTCAAAATATGCATGATAAAAAAATCTTTTTTTCAAAATTTCTCATGTGTGTTTTTGTTGGTACCAGTTTCATGGCGGTACTCATCTGTTGCAACAGTGTAATTTTTGAATTATCATTGGTTTTTTTGAAGAAGTGAATTTTCATTAACGTGCTCGTCTCGTGGTGTAATGGTAGCATAGTGGACTTTGAATCCATTGACGGAGGTTCGATTCCTCCCGAGACGGAACCAAGGCGAACTAAGGTTTTCATCTTTTCATAACCAAGGTGACCTTTTTATTGTGGTTATTTGGCTTTTGTTTATGTGAATTCATTGTGAATCGTTGCCCAATGGCTTAACACCTAGTTCTTCAAAATATTTTTTAAATTTTCCTTCATGCACATAGTGTCTACAGATCTCTTTTCCACTCTCTTTCATCACCATCACTGGAATATCAAATTGGTACATTTCATAAAAGTGTTCATTTCCCTTTTGAACAATGTCAACTTTCTCTATATCAAATGGATAAATTTTTTGCATATTCTCCAACCTAACCATTGCTCTATCACACAAAGAACACTTGAGATCGGAACGCGTGAAAAATTGCAAAACAAATCTTTTCATTTTTTAAGAAAGATGGAATGGACATTGTCGAGTAGTACAGTTTTATTAAATGAGTGTTGGATTTGTTGATACTGCACTTCCCGAAGAAAATAATATGAAAAATTTTAGCTCGCCCTGGTTCCGTCTCGGGAGGAATCGAACCTCCGTCAATGGATTCAAAGTCCACTATGCTACCATTACACCACGAGACGAGCACGTTAATGATAATTCACTTCTTCAAAAATACCAAAATCATTCTTTACAGAGAAATCTCCAGATCTATCAAATTTATGATAGACAACCATAAATTTGGTATTCCTGCCCATTCATCTCTCACCACTTTATAAAACTTCGTACATGTGGATTTCAGTGTACAATTTTTCGCCTGTCGTTTCGTCATCAGGATAATTGAGAGGAATTTCCTTTAACCATCCATCAATGGACAGTACATCGGTGAGGGCAGCATCATCCAGGGACTGCTGTATGGAAGGACACGTAATGAGCCGAAGCCCCTTTCGTGTCAAAAACTCTGTTTTAAGCCTTTTCCAAATCTCTTGATTTTCCTTCTGAGAAAAGAACCACTCAAAAACATTGTGCATGACCAAAATATCACATTGCTTCACAAGATCTTGCTCTTGCATGATGTCTGAATTCAGAATTTTGATCTTCTCTCCCATTTTAAATTTTGTGACAGTCTCTTGTTGAAGTTTGGCAAAAAATTCGTTAATTTCCACACCAATGAGCTGCTTCACAGAGAGTGGATCAATAAATAAGTAGACATAGTAGAGGACAGAACCTAACCTACTTCCAACGTCCATTAGTACAATACCATGATCCTTCATATTTTTTCTGGTCAAGAGTTTGTAGTCATCCTTTTGTGCCTTCAAATTCGTAATACCTAAACTCAATTTAATCTTCTCCAGAATTCGATTTCGAATCCAAAAATCCTTATTCATACAGTTGGAAGAGAAGATAAAAGCCAATTCGTCCAATGAGAAACTATGTGAAATAATATTCATCTCCTTAATGTGACTACTTGAATTACACTTTTCACAATAAAATTGTGGAACCTCTCCACGTCGAAATAATTCATTCATTTCATCATTGTCATACAGAAAACCGTCCATATGAATGGTGTTTGAACGCGTGTAGCCATCAAATTGTCTATTTTCAACACTTGTAGAGACTTCTCCTGGAAAGTAAAATCTCTCATTGGGTGCATAGGCATTGGTATTGGGTAATTTTTCACGAATGAAATGTTTGATGCTTTGCAGTGTTTTTAAATTGGATTTGATAGCCAAGTGAGCATTCTTGATTTGTTCATCATCGTTGGGAGAGGTGTCATCCTCTTCATCGGAGTTTTCATCTTGGTCATTGACATGATCATTCTCAACATGTCGTTCGAATTCTTGATCCAGTTCATCGGAAAGAGCTTCCAATTCTTCATTTCGTTGTTGTAATAATTTTTCAATATAATCATGACAAAATGTTTGCATAACCAATAACTCTTCTTCACTTTTCAAATGATCACATAATTTTTGAAAAGATTCAAGGACAGAAGGCAAATCCGAGTTTGTTTCAGTATTTTCCGAAGAATAATTTAAATCCACTCGTTTTCTTCGGGTTGTTTCTGGATTGCTTTTAGCGTTCATCGTTGGTGTGTGTCTGTGAGGATAAAAGTCTCTCTGTGTGTGAGGGAGTGTTTCAATATTTTTTTGAACCTTGAAAAAAACTTTATTGAAGTCTGAAGGATTATTATTATTCAAACTTGGTAGGGTTCACAATAACAACAACTACAACAACCAGATGAACCCAGTCATGACTTGGTCTTTCAACAAATTTTCAATAAAACATTATGAGTGACCTGCTGCAGCTTGTGCCTCGAACATATGAACAAAAAAAAATGAAAATCAAAATCCTTGATGCTCGCTCCAGAGAATTGGCCGTGTTGGAATTTTCCACTGCCCCAACACTCGATCAACTCAAGAAACAATTCCAAGAGAAGAAGAGAGTAGATACTACCAGACAAGCCTTCTATACCGTTGAGAATGGAAAGAGAGGAAAGGTAATTCCACCTGGAAAGGAGCCTATTGCCGATTTGAAAGATGGTAGTGAGTTGGTGTTCAAGGATTTGGGTCCACAAGTAGCTTGGAGAACTGTGTTTTTGACTGAGTATTTCGGACCTATTTTTGCGTTCCCATTGGCTTATTATTTGAGTCCTTATATTCATGGAGAACAAGTACAATTGAATCAAACACAAATGTAGGTGGTTTTTGTGGTGCGTGTGTGTTTTGATAACAACAATCATCATATCGAATTGATTCACGATACTTTGGTTATATTGTGTCATCATCTTTGATTCTTCAAATATTCATATAATTACACGATGATTGTTGTTAATGTGCATCATATTATATTTTAATATAACAATACTGTTCATGATGATTTATGATGAAACATTAATGTGATGGTCCACTTTGAAAATCATCATGTCCCTCGGGTCGGACTGTTGTTGTTCAAAAACATGGAAATTTCACAAATGTTGAACTCTCAACAACGAAATCCCCCTCATCATCACCTTCTCCAACTCGACACTGATTGCTGTTATTGTTACGGAACACAATTCTCTCTTCCTCCATCATCTTTCAACACACCACTCTGAAACTTTACGTTAGCATTGCAACTGTTCTTTTCATTGTTCACTTTGTCAAGAGAGAGCTTGAAACAATATTCGTTCACGTTTTCGGAAATGATACCATGCCATTGTTCAATCTCTTCAAGAATAGTATTTATTATTGGGGTTATGCTTTCCTTGTTGCCTACTTTACCATTCATCCAAAATATCAATCACCAGCAGAATGGCAAGTTTATGTTGGTGCAGCTGGAACTGTTCTCTCCATGCTTGGAAACTTTTATTGTCACATTATTTTGAAGAATTTGCGTCAACCAGGTAGCAGAGAGCGTAAGATTCCAAGAGGATTCCTCTTTGAATATGTTACTTGTCCAAACTATACTTTTGAAATTATGGAATGGTTCTTCTTCTCATTCATGATTCAATCTATTCCATGTTTGTTGTACACACTCAGTGGTGCTGGCCAAATGTTGCCTTGGGCTATCAAGAAGCATGTTGGATTGAAGAAGTTGTTCGATGGAAAGGATGGCAGAGAATTGTATCCAAAGAATAGAAAAGTATTGATTCCATTCATCCTTTAAATGATCAACCAAAACAATATTAAACATTAAAGAAATCAATTGTCAGCTTTCAAATTTTGGTTTTTATTAATTAAAATCTGCTTTCAAAAAATGTCTAAAAGTAGTGTGGTGGTGGTATTGAACATGTTTCGATGATGCGAAGCGTGTGATTCTCTCATCAAATCTCGCTTTCAAGGAAACCTACGCAATAACTATTTTCAAAAAGCCTATTCAAGGCTAGACAACTCTATTCATGTTAAAATTAAGATGGATGTGCGTGTTTTGTAATAATAATATTGAACAACTGGATCGGTATCTCTTGCTTGAGCAAGTTTTTTCGATAAGCAAGACACACATGCAGCCATCTGTTCCTCCAAATTTCTCATCACGAGCAGAGTTGAATTTGTTGTGAGGCAGGCAGAAAAAAATGAACGTTCGAAATTTGTCGGAGGAATTTGGCGACGATGAGGAACTAAGCCTTAGTGATGATGTTGAGGGATTGATGGAGGATGACGAAGCCTTCATCGGGGAGGATACAGCTGCCCGTAGAAGTAGTAGTAGTATTGAGATGATCCATATGGGCAAGAACAATGTTGGGCTGACTTCCTCAACATCGGAATCGATCAATAACACCAAGAGGATCCTCACTTCTGCATCATCATCAACAACAACAGAAACAACATCAGGCCTTACTCATAAGAACCTACAGAATCATCATGATGGGCATCTTTCAAACTCGCTTCAAATTGAAGATTTGGAAAGAGAAATAGCCATGATGAAAGTTAACGAGAAGGACGAAATGAAGATCAATCAGAGTTTAATGAAAATTCTCAATGAGCCAATTTTAACCGATGATACCGATCTAGGAAAGGACCTCGAACAATTTTTAGAGGAAATTGCTCAATCCTCTGCCCTAAAGGACGAGGTCACGACGGAGGTATTGGCACAGTCTTCAAATGTAGGTACAATCTTTTGATAACAACTACACCTGAAATTGAAAACCACATTCCATTCCTATTGAATATACATTGTTTGCCATTCAAACCTAAAAGGATGACGTCGAGTATCTAGATACGCACCATCACCCTTCATCTTCCACAGAAAAAGATCCCACAAAAAGTATATTAAAAAGCGAGAAAATGAAAAAGATTGGCAACGAAATCAAAAAACCATCCGTGACGTCTAAAGTGGGAAAAACAATTTTATTAAGACTCTCCCGAAAGTATGCTGCTTTTGGAACTGACCGAGGAATCATTTTAATATTCAATACGTTTTCTGATGACCAAGAATTGCGTTGCATTCTCGGAAATACAACGAATGAGGATAGCAATGCTTCCACAGGAAAGGTTACTTCCATGTGCTTTTCATTTAATGAAGATTGGCTCGTAGCAGGCTATGAGAAAGGTGCTGTCATTGTTTGGGATGTTTCTAAGGCTAGTATCATTAAGAGGATCGATGATGGATTTACCTCACCCGTAGTTTGTGTGGCATTTGTGACAGACATGTACTCGATTGTGGCCTCTGAGATGCATTCAGTAAGTGTAAATAATGATCAATTATGTCATGACATGTAGTGAATTTATAATGACTTTTTAAAATAATTATTTGTCGATATCCCACCTAACACAAACTTGTGGGCCATCGCAACATCACTATGAACCACATACAACAGAGTACATTCAAATGCTTTGCGTTATCTAAGGTGCTCTTTAGATATAGTTATAGCCTAATGTTTCAATGTTCTGTTGGCGACGATGCAATCATTACCATGTCATCCTTATCATTGGGTTCAAGCAAGTGTTGTCTGGCTGTTGCTACACGGAGCGGTGGTTTACATTTCTATTACATTGACAAAAATTTAGCTCCAACCAGCGATTCAGTAACCAGAGGGAAAGGACATTTCGGTACTAGAGGTCACTTGCCTTATATTGCATGGGCTAACACTTCAAAAGCAAAAATTATTGGATTTGCGTATGGAAAAGATGTTACGGTAATTGAAATTGACAGAAATGCTGGATCTTCCATGAAAGAAGAGTTATTTAGCACCCAACTCGAGCATGACATATGTGGGCTTGGATGGCTTGACGACAAATGTCTAATGGTCCTAACCACTGAAAAAAAAGTTCACTTATTTGACATTAGAATTGATGAATCTGCCATGGTAGAAAGTGAAGATATCGGCTTCATGAATATTATGGGCAACAGCAGCAACGTATCAGGCTCTAAGCATTTCATGACAGACATTAACCCATTGGGATTTGTCATGTTAGGAGAGCATGAACTTGTTCGCATTACCGTTAAACCTTGGAATGAACGAATATCACAACTCTCTACTGCGGGTTTATGGAAAGAAGCACTTGAGGTTGCACATGATTTCTATTCAGGAAAGGCAAAGTGCGTGATTGGACTCAATCCAGAGTCAGCTCACGATACTTTGACCAGTAAAATCATCGAGTTAGTGAATGAGTACCTCACACTTAGTTTGATGAATGATGGAACAAACTATGAAGATTACATTTATCGGCATGTTGGAAGTACCTGCATTGAGAGTTGTGTTCGAGTTGCCAAGTTTGACATGCTCTTTAACACGATTTTTAGCATGTTTTCAAAATGTGACAAAACGCAAATCTTTTTGGAGCTAATAGAGCCCTACATCATTGGGGGAGCTTTGAAATCCATTCCATGGCATGTTTTTGAATGCTACATTAGGTGGTATGGTCCGCAGGATAGAGAACGTCTGGATTCAATAATTATGAAATTGGACTTGCTAGATTATGGGCAATACGAGACTCTGATTCAGTACTGCCAACAGTACAACCTGCTAAAATCATTTGTTTATATCACAACCATCTACAAACGAGAATATATTGAACCTCTAGAAACTTTAGTTCATACACACGTAAGTAACTTCGAATTGAGTGACGGAGGCGATAATTGTTGGCATTGTTTATTGCTGATATGGCTGCAAATTTTATTATTATTATTGGATAATAGGGTGAAGGCAAAGAAAAACAAGTTGCAGAAGTAATACTTCATTTCCTAGAGCAGTACCTAATTGGTAATATTCCTGACGCAGTCCCTGTCATCACAGATGTCAAAAAAGATGTTGTAGATTTTATATTTGATGAAGAGGATGACAACGTTGGATGTGTTTTCCATGCATTAGCAAAGCACTACCCTGACAAATTTTTCGAGGTTCTAGAAATAGCAATGAACGACGACTCGAACACTAACCCATGGGACGAAGATTTTAATCAGGAAAATTTAGTAGAGTTTATATTAAGGCTCCAAAAACCAAATCAATTTATGAAACATCCTTCGTTTTACGACGGAAGGATTGCCTTCTTTTCATTCTATTCAAAGTTACTGGCGAAAGGAATTTTAAAAGCAGATGATTACAACATTTTGCTTGTAATTTTTACTTATCTTGCTGAGGACAGCTTAAAAAGGCTTAAAAATACCTCAGATGAAACAGAACGACAACGAATTAAAACGCTTAGAAAATATCGAGAGGAAAGGTTTATTGAAATTTTGGAGAAACGACAAACATATTACGACAAGACAAAATTTATGGATCTTGCAAAAAGATTTGATTTGTTCACGCTGGCTAAATTTTTCATGACAACCACTCAAAAATATCAGTGGTATCTTGAGGTGATTTTGAAAAAGATTTTCGATGTGAATTGGACAGAAATTCCAGAGATTGCAGAAGAATTGGTGGTAGACTTTTCCTTCTCCAATGTATGTCATCAGTATTCGTTTGCCATTCTCCAAAAGGCTGTTGAGGAAGAACAAAACAAGGAGCGACAAAAGGTTTATCGCTTCTTCTTTTATTGTTATATCACTTCTCTCATGTTGGATCCATTAACAGAAAGTGGTACTCTAAGCATGAATGAGATTGGAAAGAGAGGCATACCAGTAGATGAATTAACATACACCTATCTGGAAATGTTGTGCGAGTTTGAAGACAACAAGAGAGTCAAAGAATTCCTTCAACAGCAAGGCACTGCACTCGATCTTGAAAGATGTATGAAAATTTGTAAAGACATACCCGAAGCAAAATCATTCTTACTTGAAAGAACCGGTGAGGTCAGACATGCCCTAAATGAAATACTTCGAGAGTTAGAAAATACAATGAATATGCTCAAGTTGAAATTAATTGATGAGGTAAAAAGAAAGGGAAACTCTGCATTTGAAAAGCATTTCGATTCAATTTCCAAAGATTTTAATCTCATTACCGACGATCCGCCAGTATTTACTCCAAACGAGCCCATTGAGGATCAAAAGCAAATACTTGCAAAAAAACCAAAGAAACGTCTACCCAAAGTCACCAAATCTCAAGGATACAAAGAAAATGCGGAACTTTGTGATGTTTTGGTGTGTGAAGAATCAAAGAATTTGGTAAAGGAATTGAAAACAGCAATTAATTTATGCAGCGAGAACAGCGAAAGGAAAACACTTGATGATTCTGAAGTACGACAACTGTGGTTCAAACTATTGAATACATTTAGGTTGCTCCAGAGGCAGTTACGTTATGGTTTCCTTGAGGGAAAGCCACTCAAAGTTGCAAAAGAGGAAACCGATTCTTCAAGAAAATCAGATCATTTCGATGAGTTTGATTTCAGCGGTGAAGGAACAGAAATGGACGAATTCGATATTATTAAGGAAGAAATTGTAGATACAAATACAGAAATATCAAAAATTGAAAAGGATCTCAATGGTGAACGAGAACTCCAGGATCCAGACGAGGAAAAAATAGAAAAGTTGCAGGCAAAACTTAAAAAGAAGAAGGATCACGTTCATAACCTCCAAATACAATTAAAGGAGCTTGAGGAAAAAGAGAAATTAGAAAGAATGCTCGAGGAAGAGCGAAACAATGATCCGCGAGCTCCTCATAACATCCAAAAACTAGCAAATTTATGGCTTCAAAGATGTAACGCCATGTATATCAGACTCATTCTCAATGACATGATGCGTTATGTAGATATTCCTTCAATTTTAAATGAAATTGTCAATGAGCATGGAAATGATGTCTTTTGTGACGTGAAAGTCACCATCATGAGATTGTTGGATTGTTACAGCTATGAAAGTGGTCTCCTAACACAATCCAATGAATTAATATCCAGTGATCTATATAACATTAGTTGTCATTTACATAGAACTTTGAATAAGGCCCTAAAGCCTCTCAACAGCACCTGCTTTTTGTGTGGTAATCCATTACGAAAAAAGACCACTGAAGAATTCACCATGTCTCGAATTTTCCCTTGTGGACACGCCTTTCATGTTTCTTGTATTGGTGTTAAACAAATTACGTGCGTTGAATGTGAAAATATTGACGAAAAGGAATTAAAAACACTCCTCAAAACAAGCAAGACATTCAAGCTTGAAGGTATGAAAGCCAAAGAGGATGAAGCATTAGGAAAATATTTTGATTTTCGTGCGATTGGACAACAAGTGGACTCAACTCTTAAGAGGTTACTCCCTCTCGATATCATTCAGGAGACTACAAAGAAGAATAATGCAGCAGGTCGAAAGAATGTCGCAGACCTTTTGTTAGAACAATTAAGTGCAACATCTTCATTCTCGGTCAAGCGATTAACAGGTCTGAAACTATTAAGTTTAGCTCCACCGAAGATTAGCAACTCTAGTGCACGAATAAGATTGACAACTTCACAGAAATCATCGCACGCACTAATGACGGTGGACGAAAACAACGAAGATGAATCCAACACAGAGAAAGCAGCCGATAACATTGACAACAACAATACATCAGAGGGAGAAGTAAAACCTGCGAGAAAGCTAGGACCCATTCAAAAGTTCAAGATTTTAGACTTGGAAGAGATTATGAAAGAAATTGAAGAAATGTACAATTATTAAATTCAACTCAACTGTTGTGACATTGTAAATTCAATGTCGAAACACAAATTGGTTCTGTGATGAATACAAATGTATTAGCTATTGATTATATTCATTATTTTCTCTTCTCGCATTTTGGAAAAGTTGTTTCCATTGTGTCATAAAATTTAAAAGCTCAAGCGATCCACAATCAGACATGATACAAATCAAAAAGTCCAGATATGGATCCGAATAAGATCTAATACCGTTATTATTACATGAATTGCTTGTGTTGTCCGACAAAACATCCGTTGCGACTAATGCTTTGGTAATCTCTGTCACGACATGATTTCTCCACTCATTAGAAAAATCTGCCAGTTGCAGGATCACATAAGGGCACAATCCAATATCTAGTATTGAAATATCATGATGATGGGCGATTGATAAATTCGCCAGATACTTTGACTTTCTATTGAATTGACTCATAATTTTGCTGCTCCAAATATCATACATAATTTTTGAAAAGAAATGGAACTGAGATTCATTCCTACTTTTGAGAATGCACAAAGAAATGATAAAGGTCTCTATTCCTATGACCTCTCTACTCATTTTCACCACTAATCGTTGACAGTATTCCATAATATAAGAGGTACAATTCGAAACATCTGGAATTTGATTGGCCACCATAGATAATTGATGGGAAATGAAATAGGCATACGGGTACGAGACACGTTTCGTTTTGGTACAAAATTCGATTGGGCTCGAAAAGTAATTCAACAAATTTTGGAGAGAGTAATCTTCTAATGAGTCTTTTTCTTCTTGTGAAAATGCCAAACTCGTGAGTTGTGACAATAGCGCACCTTTTTCAATGAGCTAGTTGAATATAATAATTGTCATCAGAAATGATCATCATTTCGAATAAAATCGGTGGTCATCATGTCAGGAAATCGATGAAGCACACCCACACTACATACTCTCGAAAGATTATCAATCATGTGAACAATGGGATGTTCAGACAGGGTGTCATCTTTTTTTGTTTCATCATTGGCTGCATCTTGCTTAAACGAATCAACATCCTCAAAGTTCGAATCCATCATCATTTCATCATTGTCACCATCCTCATTCTCATCATTCAATAAAAAATCAAATGCTGTTTTTGCAGTAAGCTCCTCTTGCTCTTTCGATTGATTCATTTTGTAATGAAACCAATCATTCAACACTCTTGCATAAAATTCTAAATTTTGAGACATTCGACTTGCAACACATGTGGTGCTTTTTACAAATGGTGTGGAAAAAGTCGAATGAAATAAACAACTTGTGAGAAACAACTCTGTCATGGATACACTAAAACTACTATTGTTGGTATTGATCATTTCGTGGTCTTCATGGTGTTCGTGTTGATCAGAGAGTTCTTGATAATTTTTCAATAAATTTTCCATTAAGATTTTGTATTCATCATCCAATAGAGACGAATCCATCGTGGAATTTCTTTTTTCATTGTCATAATATTTACACCATCCCAAAGCCTTTTCATAATCTTAAGGAGTTCAATGAACCATTCATGAAATGATCATCAGAGTTAGCAATATATGTACAAACGTTTCGATGAAAAGTATCATCATTGAGTCAAGATGTTTCATGAATATTTTTAAATATAACCAATTCAATCAAGTAGTAATTCAACATTCAAGTAGTATTCAAATTATTATTAATAATATTATTCAAATTATTATTCAAGATGTATTTACAATCTTCTTTTTCAAAATCCTGAATCAATACCCACCACTCCATTGTAAACTGTTTTTTCGAAAATTCGCAAATGCCTGTATCGGAAAGGTGCTTTTCCAAAGTAATACTTCATAGGCATTCGTTTTGTGTTGTTGCATTTTTTTTGCAAGACTTGATTCCTCCTCTTGAGCACCCATTGAATGAATGTTCAAATTCTTTCCAGAAGGCATCAAAAGATTCTCCTGATCGATGATGATGATGATCGTATTCCTATTCGTATTGAATCTCTGGAATGTTTTTTCAGAGAGGAGACGCGTCTGCATGAATCCTTTGGACGCACACACTTTTGAAGATTCTCAGAAAAAAAAATGATGAACCAACTACTGCGACGACAACGATTGGTCTTCTTTGAAACAACAACAGCCATGCGGTGGAGAAGTGGTATCGGATCTTTAATGAATGAACAACATCATCATGAACAACATGTATTCAAGAAGAAGAAAAATCAAGTAGGAGGTTTATTGGGTTGGAAATTTCCAAACATCATTCCATCATCAAAACATATCCATTCAATGATGATGATGAGTGGAGTGGAAGCCTCACAGCAAATTCGGAATTTCAAAAGTACTACTCTACGAAATTTACAAGCCACTCAAAGCAGCAGCAGAACAAATCTTTCACAAGTGAATCAGGTCGGAACGACGAATCCTTTAACAGCATCTTCAAAACAAGAGCAACAATCACACTCAACACTCTTTAAAAAAGTGTTGAAAATGCTTAAATTATTAGTCTTGTTGGAATTGGGTCTAATTGGATTGACAGCGTTTTTATATGGAGCCATGAAATTTTGCATTTGGTTGTTTCATTTCTCAGATATTGAAAATCCATACAGTCAACTGTATAACAAGAAGTTATTGGAGTTGTTGACGCCTGTCATTCAATTATTTGAAGGAATTGATAGGTATGTAGACGGCCAAGATTACAATGCTAAACTCATGAATATTTGTCATCCTTAAATACTCACCTTTTCTTGATTATGAATATTGCACTACTTTTTGCATGATTTTAAAAATGGTTTTTTAATTGTACATTCTCGATAACAACAATTAAGATACCTTAAAACAATGTCAACCATTTTAATCATTGGCTTGGAATATTATTGGTTATTGACAACTTCCAACATTAATCCACATTATTGGTTTACAGAGAAACCAGACAAAACCTCTCTAGAATTCATTGAAAAAAAGAAACAATTACATACCAAGTCTGCACATCGTCTACTTGCTCTCTTTTCTGAAAATAAGGGAGTTTACATCAAATTGGGGCAACATATTGCCTCTCTAGGAGGCTTCCTGCCAGGTACGTTTTGTTCATTCGAATGAATTATTAGTCAATCGAGTGTTTTATTATACTCAAATTCCCTTCATCATCACTTTGTGAATATTTTCTTCATTCTATGATAGACGAATACATTCAAGTACTATCTGTGATGCGAGATCGAGCTCCAACCATCGCATTCGATAATGTTAAAAAAATTATTTATCAAGATTTTGGAAAAACTGTTGAAGAATTATTTGAATATTTTGATCCAAATCCATTAGCTTCTGGGTCTATTGCTCAAGTCCATAGAGCCAAGACAAAAGACGGAAAAACTGTGGCTGTTAAAGTCCAATATCACTTTGTGCGATTTTATTTCGCAGGTGACATGTATACGAGAGAGGCAGCGACCAAATTGAGCATTCGTCTCTATTACATGCAAGAGGATCCAAAAAATATCGATGAATTATTGGAAGTGAACGATCAATTTAACAATGAAATTAAGGACAGTTTGAATTCAGAATTGAATTTCCTGCATGAAGCTGAAAATGCAAAACTTGCTGCTGCTAATTTTAAAGGATCTCGCCCTGATGTCTACATTCCAAAAGTTTATGACGATTTAACAAGTTCACGAGTGTTAACGATGGAATTTATTGAAAACGCTTGTAATGCCAATGATGTCGAAAGAATTCGGCAAATGGGCTTCAATGAGTCTGACATTGCTCGACGAATTATTTCCACTTTTGCCGAGCAATTATTCATTCATGGCCACTTGCATGGAGATTGTCATCAATCGAACGTATTTGTGAGACAAAATCCTAAAAAACCGTCAGAGCCACAAATTGTGATTCTAGATCATGGACTTTACAAACACCTAGGAGACGACTTTCGGCAAAAATATGCTCAATTTTGGATCTCTATTGTGTTAAATGACAAGAAAGGAATGCATGAGTACTGCCGTTCGTTAGGTATTAATGATTACAAATTATATGCTTCCATGATCATGATGCAAGGACTTGATAGCAATGGAGAATTATCTGCTTGGTCAGAGAAGCAAATGACTGAGGAAGACTTTGCCAAATTTAGTGAACAATTTCAATCAAAAAGAAGTGAATTTATGAATATTTATAGACACATGCCAAAAGAAATGCTTTTAATTTCTAGGACTGATAATATTCTTCGTTCTCTGAATAGAGAATTGGGAGCACAGGTCAACCGTTTCTCGATCATGGCAAGAATTGCAGCTAAGGTATGTTTTGAATGAGTTTGGAGAATTTTTGGGGAATTTTGTTATATATTTTTCAAATGATCCATTGAATTGGACCATTTAATTACAATTTTAAAATTTTAAAAAAACTCATCATGCAAATTTTGATTTGTTACTCACAGGGAGCCTCCATGAAAACCAGTGAGAATTTACATTCATGGTCTCAAAGATTTAGAAGATGGCGAAGTGAAATGTATTTTGAATTTCGATTGTTTGTCATTTCTGTACAGACATGGTTTATATCGATCATGTCTTGAGGTTGTTCGGAACGGAACGATTTTTCAAGACTCAACAAGAACTTTTTGAAACCACAGAGTTTACTGAAGCGGAGATTTCACAACTTGATATGCCTCAAAGCTAATCTTAATTAATCTTTTAATTAAACATAGAGGTCTCTAATATAAAATCTTATTCAAAATCATGCAACAAGTTGTTCTTTTTCACATCAGCCACCCATTCGAATTTAATGATGCAAATATCAAACTCTCTCCATATGAAACACATAGGTCTCTTGAATAACTCAGAAATATCTTTTAGAATTTTAAACTTTTTTATTCAGAATGCCATTGCGCATCTTAATCAACATCTTCCATCAAGGATTCAGCAGCAGGTTCTTCTGCAACTTGTTCCTTCTTCTCCTCAGAGGATGATGAAGCAGTGGAAGATTCGTCTTCATCAATGCTCAAACCAAGTTTGATCATTCTGTGAATACGAGAAGCATAAATGCTTGGTTCCTCCAATGAGAATCCAGAAGTCAACAAGGAAGTGTCAAACAAGAGCCAGACCAAATCTCTCAAAGTCTTGTCAGCCTTGTTAGCCTCAGCCTTCTTTCTCAATTCATTGACGATCGAGTTTTCTGGGTTAATTTCCATAGTCTTTTTAGAAACCATGTAAGCAGCCATTGAGTTATCCTTCAAAGCTTGAGCCTTCATGATTCTTTCCATGTTTGCACTCCATCCATATTCACCAGTGACCAAGCAACATGGAGAGTCACCAAGTCTATCGGAAACAACCACTTTCTCGACCTTGTCACCCAAAATGTCCTTCATCAACTTGCACAAGGATTCGAAAGAGGCCTTCAATTCTTCCTTCTTCTTCTTTTCCTCTTCAGTTTCTGGCAACTTCAAACCTTCCTTGGTGACACAGACCAACTTTTTACCATCAAATTCCTTCAATTGTTGAACCATGTATTCATCAATAGGATCAGTCATGTACAAGACTTCAAAGCCCTTCTTGGTACACTTTTCAATGAATGGAGATTTGGAGACAGCCTTCTTGCTTTCACCAGTAATGTAGTAAATGTCTTCTTGACCTTCCTTCATTCTTTCCACATATTCCTTAAGGCTTGTCCATTCCTCGCCCGAAGTGGATGAGTGGAATCTGAGCAATTCAGCCAACTTTTGTCTGTTTTGAGAGTCTTCGTGGATTCCCAACTTCAAGTTCTTACCAAAGGATTCATAAAAGGCCTTGAAATCATCCTTGTTTTCAGCAATTTCAGAGAACATTTCAATGCACTTCTTGACCAAGTTCTTTCTAATCACCTTCATAATCTTGTTTTGTTGCAAGTGCTCACGAGAAATGTTCAATGGCAAGTCCTCACTGTCAACAATACCCTTAATAAAGTTCAAGTATTCTGGAATTAATTCTTCACAATTGTCCATAATAAAGACTCTTCTCACGTAGAGTTTGATATTGTTCAACTTCTTCTTTGGTTCGAACAAATCAAATGGAGCACGCTTTGGAACGAACAAGATGGCCTTGAATTCGAGTTGACCTTCAACAGAGAAGTGTTTGACAGCCAAATGTTCCTCCCAATCGTTGGTCAAAGCCTTGTAAAAGCTTGCATATTCTTCCTTGGTGATGCTCTTTGGGTCACGAGTCCAGAGAGGCTTGGTCTTGTTGAGCAATTCCCATTCATGGGTCACCTCCTTCACCTTCTTCTTCTTCTTTTCCTTCTCTTCGTCGACTTCTTCAATCTTTGGTTCTTCCTTGTCCTCCTTTTCTTCAGGTTCTTCTTCTTCTTCCACCTCCTTTTCGCTGGTCTTTTCGACGTACAAGGAGATTGGATAACCAATAAATTCAGAGTGCTTCTTGACAAGATCCTTCAATCGACGTTCCTCCAAATATTCCAATTGATCTTCCTTCATGTGCAAGATAATCTTGGTACCACGAGTCATTTTTTCACCACTCTCATCCAAAGTAATGGTAAAGCTACCACCAGCAGCAGATTCCCAAATGTATTGTTCGTCATCATTGTGCTTGGTCACTACAACCACTCGATCTGCAACCAAGTAAGCACTGTAAAAACCGACACCGAATTGACCAATCAAAGAAATGTCAGCTCCTGCTTGAAGCATTTCCATGAATTGTTTTGTACCGGATCTGGCGATCGTACCAAGACAATTAATTAAATCAGCTTTTGTCATACCAACACCTGAATCTTGAATGGTCAATGTCTTGTTAGTCTTATCTGGAATGATACGAATATACAATTCTTTTTCAGTGTCCAAGACTGAAGGGTCAGTCAAACTCAAGTGGCGAATTTTATCCAAAGCATCAGAAGCATTGGAAATTAACTCTCTCAAGAAGATTTCCTTATTGCTATAAAAAGTATTGATGATTAAACTCATCAATTGATTGATTTCAGCTTGGAATTTGTAGGTTTCTGTGGACATGGTGTGCTGGAGAGGAGGATGTTGTTGTTGTATTTTTTTTTCAAAAAATATTTAGTGTTGCTGATAAGAATTCCGGTTGAAGGCTTTCATTTATAGAGTTTCGGAAGTTGTTGTAACTTGTACTTCCGAGCAAGCCTAATTGCACTCTCAGCGACGGAACTGAATGGATGATGAACAATTTATTAAAGGTATTCTCACAAGGAAGTTGGAAGTCGTTATCTTCCCTTGCTATAGTTGTGGTCAGTACTGTGTTCGATGAATCTGTTGAAGGTAAAGGAATTATATTTTCAAAATGATCACATGAAGAGGCAAGAGCCAAGGGGGTTGAAGAGAGAGTGATTGGTTCCGACTTGGGTGGGACATTGAAGGCTGAATTGAGTGTTCAGTCTCCTGAAATAATGTTGTGAAAGTGAATCTCCTGGAGAAGCCTTTCTGCTGTTGCTTTCCTTGCCACTTGTGTCCAAACACAATCCTTGTGGATTGTAACTAATTATTGGTCTTGTCAAAACCACTCGTCTCGAAAAGAAGTCAACATTGTCCTTCTTAAAGAAATTGACCATTCCACCATTTACCGGTTGTAAATTTTCGTTTCATGACAGATCTGTGTGCTTCACTGAGGAAATTTAAATAGATCGGATTTTAGGATTAGATTGGATTGACTGATAGAAAGTTCAAAAATAATCGCTGGAGCAATCCGATCCAATCCGTCGCTCCTGGTTAATTAAATTACCTCACTGAAACAGAAGGCATCAAAAAGAAGAAAGTTGAGCATGACAAAAAAGTGAAAATGATCTCAAAAACTCCAGAGTATCCGATTGCCCTATTTTAAGGTATCCTCAAATAAGGTGTTCCATTCATGTTAAATATTAAAACACAAAAGTGATGTATTGATATGTAATTCAGCCATGAACAACATATCCTATCATGAAATTGAATCGAACAATAAGCAAAAACGAAACCAAGTTGTCTCTCAAATGGTGCTGACAAGTCCTTTCCAATACGAGTCAAAATCATCACCATTAGACACCAACCTCCAATTCCGAAACAGAACACTCGCACAAGAGGAAAAAATCAAAAAATATTTTCTGTTAAGCCCTTTGAGAGGATTCGTCTTGTCCGTTATTGTTTGCTGTTGTGTTTCAAAAGAACACTGTTTGATCACCCACTACCATTACAACATTGAAGCATATTTATAGTATTAATATTAATCATCACCATCATCAATTTGGATCAATTCTGTGATTATATTCAATTTTGACAATATACAACCAACACCTTCCTTCCGTACACGACATTGCCCACCACCATCATTAGCAACAACAACAACAACTAAAATTCTCTCAACATTTTCCGAAAATGATGCAATCAGAACCCACTCTATTCATGGGTCATCCCGGAGGTATAAATTCTGCAACAACAGGAAGCATGGCAACAACAACCACCACCGCCGACCCAACATCATCATCAACAACCATCATGACCGGAGCCACAACAGAAACCACAGGATTTGGCTCTACCATTAATGACAAGAGCAGACTCATCGTAGATCGTGCTTCCAAAAGAATTACAGCCATTGAAGATAGTGTTATTAGCAAGTACGATGCATTACAAGGTCACAAACACCCAAAACTTTTCGTCAGAATTTCCATCATTTGTGTTTTATTGTCAATTCTATGTTTTTGCATATGGATTCTCACAACACCAACCGGATATCCATGGTTTATTCATATTGTCTGGGTCTCTGCCTTGATCATTGGAGTTTTATTAATTCAAGGCTCTCCAAATTATTCAGACAAGCCCTTCGCATTTCATACTCTCTTCTTTGTGACAACATCTGTGCAATTAGTAATCATGAATGAGCATACACCCTCCAGCTACCCATGGTCAGTATATCCAGTTGCAGTGCTGCTTCTCGCTTATTTACTTCATGGAATGGTCGCCAAGTTTAGACAATATCTCAATCACTTTTATATCCATCTATTGTTCTATTCAGTCATTAACTTTGTGATTTTTGTCACTTATTGTTACACAGTTCATGATTTTCCATGGTTCTTGATTGTGATTGGAGCTTGGACTGTGATTTTGTTGGCTCATCTTGCAATTTGGAAGGCCTTGACATTCAAACTCTCAAAGAACAAGAATCAACCAACAGAGACTTCTTCCAATGGTAATGTCACTGCTAGTACTCAACCAACCACTCAGGTACCCATTCAAAATTATGCCCAATCCGTGGTTCCACCACCACAGCAACAACCAATATTTATTCCTTCTCAAGCTTCATCCCAACCATTACCTCAAGCTCGAGCAAGCCAAATAGACACTGGCTTTAGTGGTGAAATTGACCCAACATTCCAAACCAGTGGACTGGAGGATCATTTTGATGAAAATCAATTCTTTGACGAGGATGAAATTGTTCCACAAAAGAAGAAGGGAATGTATGAACAGGTGTAATTGGAAGGTATGGTACATGAGCAATGGTACAATAACTTTGTTCATTTTGGACGTCACACCTTATGAGGTATGACATTAAACCTTAATTTTGTAAATACAAATTTTCAAATAGCCTTATTGAAAAAATTACGTTCGTATGTGTGCACGTGTTAATGAGGTATTCATATCCACAAATATCTCTGGCAAAAGAAGCTAGAATTTTTCAAAATGAAACTTGTCAATTCTGTAGTTTTGCTCCATTTCCAGTTCAACGTTTGACAGAATCTCAAAACGGATGACCAAGTCTGTTGTTGATGTTCTTGTCAAACACAAGACAGTTCATGACAACACACAGTTTACCGTCAGCTCACTTTTAAGAAATCAATAAATTCAATGACATATGTCAGTAGTACGATCTTGGAGATAAGAGATAACTAGGAAGAGATCGAAACACACTTGAATTGCCTGTGTCATTTCGTTTGTATGTATGGTGATTATTGAATCTTAAACATCTTTTGCGCCATGATGCATCATGGGATGCTCCTCTTAAATTTAATTGACATCGTGTGAATGTGCATTATTCGGCTGATTCAATCTCCGCATAATTGGGTGGAAGGGTCTTTGAGAAAAATTCTGATGTCGGGCCTGTTTTAAGCAACCAATCACTCAACACTTGTCAAGATGCAAAAAGGCTTTAATTACCTTGCTTGCATCGTTTGAAAGCTTTCAAAAAACCGAAAAAAACGACGAGTATCCACACTTACAACCTCTCAGATCGCGATCTTCCCATACACACACACACTCTCAACAACTGTACATCTTCCCTCCAGTTTCCCAACAAGGCACACCATGCATGGTCTTGAAGCCATGATTGGCTACTGAGTATGATAAACAACAAGAGAATCACCATCTCTGGTGAATCGCTCGTTGTTTCCATAAATACGAGAAAGAGCAGCAGCATCACCAACACCAACACCAACCCCACTCATCATCATCATGAGGAGGAGGAGGACGATTCTCACGAAATATTTTTATAATGACTTTCCTAATTGTGTGGCTCTCGTCGACTAGATCCTGTCGTGTTGATACATGGCAAGTGCAAGTCAATAAGGCTTTGAGATTTCACCCATTATTAGACTAAACTTATTCTTGCACGAATCGCCTCTTTGTCCGAATCTCTTATGAACCTTCTTCGTTTCGCCATCTAACTCCCAAATACATGCTCTCTAGTAGGGTGTGTTAAAAGTGTATTGTTGTCGTCATACTCGTCGTCCTCTAGATAAAGACACCAATCATCATCAACAACAACAACATCAACAACAACCACATACCAGACTCAACGTCTAGTCGTTGTCCTAATTTTGTTCATCCATCATCTTCTTCTGGTCGACACAACCAACTGCAAATCCAAATCTAAAAAAACACCTCGACACTGTCTTCAGGAAGACCTCTTTTGGGCGGTTTCATTTTGAGAGATACGAACATGCAAACATTAATGAGCCGTTTGTTCAAACACCACAACTAGAAGAACAAAAGGACGAACCAAACCATCACTGAGGCTTCTGCATGTGGCTCATCCAAAAGCAATTCGCATTGATGAATTGCAAGAATGGGAAATACCTACTTGAGATTGATTTCATGAATTCCAATTTTGGAGACCATTTGTCTCTCATTTAGTAGTACTTCTATATCGTCGTGCCATTTTATGTTCATTGGATGGCCATTCCTATCACAGAACGGGCGTGATTAAATTCATGTACTTTTCCATCTAGGTAGATGAACTGCGGGCGCCTGAAAGTGAATTCCATGAGCGCACTCGCGGCCATACGCACAGAGAAAAAAATTCTTTGACTAAGAATCATTGTTCAACATGCTGTTGCAGTAAGTAGTGCGTTGTGATGATTCACAGCAAGTGGTTCTGAATTACTTTTGCATGAAGCTTGTTGAGCAAAAAGTCACATGCCAATTCGTTGCTAATATTAATCGGACACTTGTCAAAGTAAAATTTCTGAAGCAGAGAGGACTTTATGACATGAATCGCCGACTGCTTTCACTACTGAGACAATTCTATGCATGTGGCTTAACACGTTCATACACAAGTTTTGCATCAGATGATGGTTATCATTTGACAAGAGTCTCTATTCTTCTAAATAATGACAAGTCCTCATATTCTCACCAGTCTGTAAAATTAATATTCATGGCAACAACAACAGACAGAATACATGTTGGTGATGATGAGCGAATATTACAATTTATTTACACTATTTTCGAATACTGTTCATGTATACTGCTTGGACGTTCTCTAATGAACACTACATGTACCATCCCATAATTAGCGAATCATCATATTTCTAGAGCCAAGAAAAAGAGAGGGAGCCTAGAAGAATCCCATGTGATTTCTTCTGGTCTTCCTCTTTTTTTCTTGCCTCGGTACACTTGAATCATTGGGCTGCTGCTCGTCGTTGGCCATGATGATGCAGCAGTAATTTTGGATGAAATAATCAGATTATTGGCTTACATTTGTGAGAGTGTGAAATGAGGAACAATTACCATTGTAACCATGTGTGGTAATATTGAAAGCATTCGAAGGATGAATTCTTGTCGTTTTTAATACATTATCGGTAAGCGATTCCAAATTGTCAATACATGCGGCGATGGTTAAATACTTTACAACGAAGTTTAATACTATTTAAAAATATTATTTGACATTTTTGAAGAGGAACGAATTTTTAAGGTGTACCATGAGAATCCCTGCGAATGCGAAAATGCTCTCAATAATGACTTGCTGCACGAATTGCCACTTGTCAATACCAAGGAGGAACATGTCAATATAACTCACCAACAACAATGATTTTCCCCCCAGCAGAGCCAATTCAACAACAATTACAACGATGTATTCCATAGAAATTGGGGTTCCAAATTATTCAAAGATGAAATCCTTTGAGAAACACTTTGATACCAAACACTCTCATGCCTGGTGAAACTTGTTTGTCTTGCCAACACAAGGTCGATCCAACCAATTACAAAAAAAACGTTTTTTATAATTTTTTCAAACCAAAAAAAAAAAATGACTTCACTCGAGCCTCATGCAACCCTTGCGGCCAATTCGGCAACAGAAGCAGCAGCAGCACACAACAACCATCTTTCTGTTGGTGATGATTTGGATACATTACTATCAACAAGCCTTGAACCTTCGCAGGGTGGAGTAACAGGAGGTTCCCTCTTCTTCTTCTTCTTTTGGTCAGCAAGGTGCAGCCACAACAACAACGGGAAGTCTTGATCAAACCACCACAGTACCTCATGCAGAGGGAGTAAGTTCTTCAATACAGAGTGTAAGCCATTTGGATCAACACAATGTGGGTGGAGATCAAATGCTGATTGATGAACCAATAGTGTTGTCTGAGAAACAACTCGTGAAGAGGTTGAGACAGTATGGTAGGTATTATCTATCTTTTTTGTAATATGACGATGATTGGCCCAATCTGCAATCAATATGCACGACAACAACAACTTGTATATTACATTCCCACCACTGTACGATCCGAATTGAACACCTTATCATGATGACACAAACAGAAATTAATGCTTATAGTAGTGTTGTGAGCGCTTTTCGTGCTCAAGGTGAAATGAATTGGGAAAAACTTAAGGTCCTTACACAACTTCAGCAAATGTTACACATTTCTACTAATCGCCATTCAATGGAATTACTTCGTTGTGAGGCTGATGTTAAAATTCAACAAGTTGCTCAATCAGGTGTATATAGCATGTATGTACAGTGACAAATTATTGCTTCAAAGCTTTGACTCATTGTTATGAATCAATTGAACTGAATTCCAATTTTTATATTAATGTTGAAACAATTGAAAATTAATTGTGTGCTTACTTGACACCAATAATTCAAATTTGGGCGCAACACAATGGATCTAAATGTCACTTTTATATCATTCTAAAAATTCTCATTCGCATTCACACAGAATTGATCGAGAGGCTGAGGATAGAAACAATCGATTCGATTTTACTCTCACAGCAAGTGATACTGAGAGCGAGCATGACAACGATGTTCATTATCGTGTGAAGCGTTCAACTCCATCATCTACACAACCTACCACACAACCAACGCCAACAACAAGAAGAGCTAGCTCTGGAAGAGGAAGAGGTCGAGGCCGTGGAAGAAAGAGATCTTCTGCTACCATGACATCGGAGACACTCTCTCATTCACCATCAAAAGCATCCACATTATATAATTTGGATCCAAGTTCTACCAATGCTGCAAATATTTCTTCACTTCCTCCTCAACCTAATACTCCAACAAAGGCTACAAGTGTTGTTACTTCAACAACTCCTAATGGAACACCCGCTAAAAAGAAACGAGGTGTAAGTATTTTTTGTCACAAGTTACTAACAAAATGAATGTTCTTAATTCGAAACACATTGCTTAATTTCGGAACTTGTGACAACCATATTTTGGGATGTCTTGATTGATCATTTATTGATTTATTTACATGATCCATGATGATACTACCAAATCAACAGAGAAAGCCAAAAAATCAACAACTACAACAACCTCCTGTAGAGACTCCTAAACAACCACAAGCACCTTCTGAAGCAACCCCTAAACTTTCTGAAGAAATTGCCAAAATACTTGCTGAAACAACTTTCCTTTCTGACGACGATATCAGAAACATCAATGATGAAGAACAAGTCGAGACAGTTGCAGAAAGAGAGTCAAATCAAATTGAAGAATTAAATAAGAAACTTTCTGAAGGATTAAGCCCACTAGATACCGAAGCAATGATGGAGGCCATCAAGAAGAAGAAAGCCATACTACAGAAACTTATTCAAAAACTAGAAAGCTTTGGAGAATAATTGAATGGAGAATTTTTACAGCACCGATTAACTGCTGTTCACATTCATTAAATCTAGGTTCACCTTTTTGAGCGTTCACCTTTAGTTTAAATTATGATTGCAACTGAAAAGTTTGCCTTAATTAAATATTAAGATTTACTAAATGTGAACAATTTTTGTTTGATCGAATAGCTGTAACGAATGAGCACCGAAAAAAAACGATTGGTGTTAAATCGCTCTAGTCATCCACTATGGAAGTCTTTCTTTTCGCCAATGCAATCAAACGTCTTGTCTTTTCGATGCGTCTCACTGTATCTTGCAATAATTTATCCTGTTCATCCAACAATTTGAACACTGAAGCCTGATCCAGCTGTGAATACTCTTCATTGGTCAACTCGGAAGAAGACAAGTCCACCAAGGATGGCCTCACCTCTCTCTGAATTCTCGAAGAAGCACCACTGTTCGTGGATCTCACGGATCGAACACTTTCCAAGGACGAACGCTGGTTCTCATTGCCCAATACACTGCTCTCTTCTGCATCAGCACCATTCATCATATTGGCCCAAGTTTCCTCTCCATTGAGTCTATCCTCTTCATCATTGTAAAAAGTATTGTCTGTCTGTAATGTATTATCATAATTATCACTGGTATGGTCCATTTGAGAGTCAATTTGAGCTTTTTGCAATTCATACTGATGCAACACTTCACTATAAGTTCTTCCAATAATCAATGAAGGCAATGCCACAAACAATAAACCTGACACAATGGTACATCCTGCTAGGAATTGTCCCAATGTGCTTCGTGGCACATAATCTCCATATCCAGTCGTTGTAATGGTTACAATGGAATACCACATCCCAATCAAAACATTTGAAAAAGGTGAAACTTCTATTGTCTTTCCATCTGAAGAGACATGAACAAATTCTTTGCGTGTGTGATCATACACTCCTCGTTCACAATAATAAATCATAGTTCCAGAAATGAAAACAGCGCTCAAAATGAAGAAAATAACAGAGAAGAGTAGATCGAGAGATTTTCTCATGGCTGTGATTAATAGTTTGACCTTGATGGAATGTTTGGAGAGTGTGAATAATTTTAACAATCTCAATACTCGAAACACGCCGAGAATTTGTAAATTCATGACCATGAGAGTTAATTGATGACTTTCTCCAAGTGAAAATTTGAAAATATAATAGAGCACCACTTCCAAATAGAATGGCATAAAAGAAAGCAAGTCCACAATATTCATCATTCGTAAAAAGAAATCTCTAAAATCTCGCCATGTGTAAATGGTTCCAATCATTCTCAAAATATATTCAATGGAGAAAAAGAAGGCTAAAATTCCTCTAAATGATTAGTATTCCATTATTATCATGTTAGTAGTAGTCGTCGTATTGAATGAATGAATTTGAAATTTTAACACATTGCAAGAAGTTGAAAATTTAAGACATTTTAACATTCATATTAAAAAAATATGAGAAGAAAAATATTAAATATCAGATGCATTATGTTTTCCATGATTACGAAAGGAATGTAAAATAATGTCATGAATATAAAAGAAATGATTCAATGCTCGCTCTCTCTCATGAAAGACACACTCAACACTTACTCAATAATCCACCACATCAATTCATATTGATACAATGTTGCATACGATTCCAATATTAATACAATCACTGAAATGAGTACTACAATGCTCACTAGAATTGTCACAATCGTTGCCAATCGTGACGATTGAGGTTGGTTCATGATGAGATACAGTTTATGTCTCCAAGTACGTTCTTCTCTTTTTTTTGGAATGACACTTTTCAAAAAACGAATACTTTGTCGTGACATGATAATTTTTGGTTGCATGGCAATTTCATCGATGGAGTGACGATCACGAGCCGAGCGTTGATGTCCACTGTGTGTCATGTAATATTCACTTCTAAGTGAATTTACTGTATTTGGAGAAGTGTCAAAATCATCGTGTTGATTCGATGATTCATTGCTCTCAATAATGACCTCTTCTTGGTCATCAATGTTTCTCATCATTTCCGTTCGGGTGTGTACATTGATATTAGTACTGGGTGATTCCTCTTCACTTTGTTGATTGTTGACAGTTGACACCGAGGATTTAAAATCTCGAAATGAAACAGCCTTTCGTTTTTCTTTCAAATTTCCAGAGCTTCCACTATCATCATTGGAAGAGCGTTTGAAAGCTGATTGTATTCGATTCGACAACAATGACGAAGGAGAGGATAACAACAATTCATCGGAAGAGGAGAAGAGCCCAGATTGGTTGTAGGAATGATCTTCAGATGAATTATCAGTATGGTTGTGATTATTGTGGTTTCTGACTTGAGGAGAGTGTTCGTCATCGTTGCTGGAAGAAGGTTCTTCTTTGAGTGGTTGATGTTTGGATGCTTTGGAACGTTTGAAGAACATTTTTTTGGTGTTGTCCATTCGCCAAAATCGGGAAATTAGTTTCCATGCATGGAAAGACATTTCGATTATACCAAAATTCAATTAATTGATGTTGTACATTCTCGAGAACATGCATCTACAGTCTACACCTTGGTGGCTCTTACAATTCTTTTGAGGGACATGCAATGACCACACTCAGCTCAGATGGAAGTGTTTTCATCTTTTACTCGTTAGTAGTGCCACCATCATCCTTAGTGTCTTCCAAAAGTTCATCTTCCTTTGGACAACATGCTCTGAAATGTTCGTGAAGTTGATTGCGGATAGGTCCATACACTTTGGACATTTCTCTCCATGTATTATACTTGTCTTTTGTGCCTAAAATATCATCATAATACTTGTCACAAACATGCCAATCGATGATGGTACCATTTTGGGCAATCTGAATTCCATAATGGTACACTCGTAGTGTGTGAATGACTGTTTTTTTGGCTTTGAAAATTTCAACTTCTGGAGGGTCTAATTCTAATCGATGTTCATACATGGATTTACAACATTTCCAACACATACTCGCGGATTGACTTAATGAGCTTCGTAACAGCGATAAATTAATCGTTCCCTTCTGTGTTGTAAATTCCTCCAATACATTAAATCGTTTTCTCAAAATAAATCGTTGATACTCTTCAGAACTCTTCTCTAGAAATAATCCAATTAGTTCAGAAAATTGATGTTTTTTCACTTGATTTAAAAATTGTTCCTTTGAATACAAACACATATCTAATCCAAATCGTTTTTGAGTAAATTTGTAATAAATGGTTTGATCGTCCTTGACAATCTCAGTAAATGGTAAACAAGGTCCAAACTTTTCCTTATATTTCGGCAGTAAGTATTGAAAGAATTCACTATTCTTGTTCTCTTTTTGATTGGAGAGAAAGGTGAGTTTGGATGGTGTCTTGCCCTCTTCATAATCATAAATCATCATGATATCAAAATCCGAATCTTGTGTTACCGAGTAATATTGTTGTTGCTGCTGCTGTTGGTGTGGATCTGTTGCATTTGGAATGGATACTTTTTCATCATCACCACTCTGTTCCGATAAAGATGATGATACTCCCCGATTCTTTGATTGAAGAGATGATGATGAAATTCTCTTCTTGTTCTGTTGATGTTCCTGTCCACCAACAACACTTTGCTTGGGTGTTTTCCCATAAAGTCTGCTTCCACAAACATAAACATTCAAAATTCGTTCATTCTCCAAAAGACCATCAAACTCTTGAATGATATCCTCCACTCGGAGCTCACATTCTCTCATGAGGTCCAGTGAGGCATGAGGATGATGAGGATGATGAGGATGATGAGGACGACCATTCAACATCTATTTTTTCAAGTTGTGCACCCATGAGAGAGCTGAAGCAGAAATGAGCAATAACCGAGAACCTTGATGGATTTATGAAAAAAGATTCATTTCGAAAAACTTGACAAGGAAGTGCATTTTCAAAACCGAACAGCAAAGTTGTAAACCTTGCGAGAGAGAATCAGTTCAAATTAAGGTTGTTGTAATTAAACATATTCAACCAGGTTTTGCGAGTGAGTGGCGAGGGTAAATTTCAGAGTTTCCATTCCACACCGTACTCAACTCAATTTCATTGAACACTTGAAAGAAAGGTCACATCATGTTGACGTCAATATGAAACTCTTCTTTTTCATGATATTAAAAGACAATCGTTTGTTTTGGAAATTCAAATATTATTTGGCGCCAAAAACCGTTTGCAAATTCTCATCTCCAAACACACAACAAAAAGTGAGTGCATCACCTCTGCTGCGAGAATCCTCTCTCACCAACCATCGCTGAGCCGAACCGAGTTTGTGTTTGGGTGATATAAAACCAAAAGATTGCCTACTGTTACGAACGTTCGAACAGGTCCTACAACAAAGGGCAACTACTGCAGAGTCTTGTGCAAGCAGTTGCACTCTTCTTCCATTATTCCTCAACTGGAAGTTCTTGACAAACAGCCTTGATGATAGATTCAATTCAAGTAGTTCTCACTTGAACAACATCAACATTTTCCACAAATCTATAAACCCAACAACAAGGAAGAAAACTACATAACACCTTGATTGCCCTTTTCCTTCAAAACTGATTGTGGGTTGTTGTTCTTTTGCCTATTTTTATTCGACCTCTCTATTAGGGTGGTGTTCATTGGGTTCTTTGTCTCCAAAAACCAATCCAACAGAACACTCTCATCACAGTTCAATTCTGTCGGGACATCATTTAAATACTGCGCCACCTACAACACGCATCATCTGCTGAGAAGAAGAAGAACTCTCCCTCACAACCGATTTAAAAAAAGACTTTAAACCGACAAAAGTACAAACATTCAGACCTTCTTGAAAACCCTCGTTCGCCACTTCTCTTGCGTGCACACGCATACAATTAAGAGAGAGAGAGAGATAGCCTATGAAGAGATTGTTCATTACTACCTTCTTTCCTAATTGTTCCAACAATAGCAATGGTGCAAAGGTGAACAACCACACGTCTTTAGCGGATTCTTATTCACCACAAGAGGAGGAACCTTCTTCCATCAATGACTTTGAACTGATATCAAGAACACTCTCGAGTCGCGGATTGACCGACAATGACCTTCTGAAAGCAGTGAATAATGGTAGGAACACTCTCCAACAACTCTCATCAAGTCTCGGTATTTCATTGACGCATTTGCAAGAGTATCACAAGCATTTGGTGAGAAAGTTGAAACGTGTGGATGACACGAGGAGAAGGGAACCTTCAAAACCAACTCCCATCCGTGTCACACCAATGAACCATCATGGCCACTTGAATGCATCCGAAACCAACAACAAGCTTTTTATTGGTAACGACAATCACCACCATCATCATTCTTTCACTCATAATCATCATCATCATCACCACCACCAATCAGGCCCTCTCCAATCCAGCAATCATTCCTTGTCATCTTCCTTGTCGTCATATGTGAAAGAAAATTATTTTAGTGAAGACGTTCACACCGAAACTGCGGAGGTCATCTCATCAAGCAGCATTCAAATCTCGACTGTTAGTAACACAAATACTTCAGCTATTTCAGAATTCCATCATAGTCCTTTCTCTTCCTCTCTCAAATCAGGAGGCACTATTAGCTCTTCCATCGATTACAACTTTTTCGATGATGACACTCGTGACGGTTTGTCAGCACATGATAAATACCATCATGCCCCAAGACAGCACAACAATGATGATGACAGTGAGCTACTACTTGACGATAATCATTCGCTCGATAACGTTGTTCAAAATGCCATTGATGACGCAAATCAACCATCCGCTGGTGCTACGATCCTTCCTCTTCAGGAATTTCCGTCTCCAGAAGAGAAGGCGAAAGAGGAGTTGCAAAACATTATCGGCATTATTCAAAATCAGAATAAGGCATTCCCAAAGTCTGCTCTGGTGGCAGCATTCAAAAAACTCAATGATGAAGGAAGATTGCCCAGTACACCTTTCAATGTGACGAGCCCAATTCGTCCCCTCACTCCTACCTCGCCAGCAGTTCAAACTCTTGGGAAGCCAAGTGGTAGTGTTGCCACCATCATTACAGATGTCGATTCAGATTGCACTCCTACACTCGTGACGTCAGTACTCAGCATTGATGATTCAATCCTGCTTCGACCGTCAAGCACTGCCAGTAACTATTCCAATTCTACCACTTCACCTTTCATGTAAATTATGTAACATACTAGTAACCACCCTCAAACGCAAAAAGATTGTAAATACCATTCCAACCTGCCGACAATTCTAATGATACCTCACATGATCGACTCTCTCTTACTCTCTCATTTTCTGAATATAGTCATAAAATTAAGTTTTTTTGACCATGAATATGTTGTGGATCTTTGTCTTGTGGATATTACCAGTGAGTGTATTTATCTTTTTTTGTCATAATCATTCACTCTAAGAGAGCTGTTTTCATCTGAATCTTCACTTTGAGTTTGCTCCACTGTTCTTGGTCATTCTTTCTCTTTCCTTTTATTGTATTTCTTGGATGATTTTTGCAATTCCACATTCTAATTGTTCTCTAATATTACGTTCATCTTGCTTTTAAGGTGTTGAGTTCTGCAAATTGAGTATAATTCAGTTAACAATGTTGACTCAGTCCTCTCACGCAACTTAATCTCTAGACCTGAAGAAATAGTTGAACAAAATATTGGAGAACACAACTATTGTCCAAAACACGATCTCCTCACAATGAAACCCTTCTCAGGCTCACCTAATGAGGAAATACAAAATAAACTCCATCCAAATCCTCCAGAATGCTACTGGGTTGGCTTGTAGCTGTTACAAACCACACATCGTCTGGAGAATATTTCTAATTGTTTTTTTGTTGATGGTTTGGCGTTCAAAGAATTTTCAAGTCATAATTTATGATGGTGGTTGAGAGTATTGGTTGTATTATTTAAGTGGTAAACATGTGGTAAGGTAAGAGGGAGTCAAGTAAGGCTCTGTTGTGGCATGTTGTGTATTTTACTAAATTTGGAGATTGGACCAATTCCAACAAGAACATCTTGATACCCCCAACATTGTACTACTCAATCAGTCCCTCTTTTCAATTCTCTCGTCCAACAACATGTCAACAATTCTCAAAGTGGGACAATAGAGGTCGTTATTGTTGAAAATCACTACGAATGGATGAATCCATCAGACGCGTGAATTGGTTCATGATGGAATTAAGTGTGTGGTTGGTTCATTGTGGTTCATTTGGTGTTTTTATGGGAATATGAGAATAAAAGAATATTTTAATTGTTTCAAAAGCTCGTGAGTTGGGCCTGTGCATTAAAATTCCAAAAGCTTTGATGTTTTCAAATTCTTCAAGTTTTGAGTTTTGCTCTGTTGAACGAAAGGACAAAAATGAAACAATTACGAAAAAACACATGATTCGGATAAAATTCGCACATCGATGTTGAATTAATTTCCCTTGCTTGATTTCATGGTTTTTCTTGTTTTCCTCGAATTTTCACTTTTTAATGCACAGAGTCAAGTGTGTGATGGAACTGCTTTCCCAATTTTGAAATTCTTGAAAAAAGTAGAAAAAAATGTGTCCACTCAAGCTTGTGTTGCTTGATTTTTCATTGTGTGTTTCACCACGAGAGGATGAATGTCGGAATGATGAAGATCACATGACTTGTACATTACCATCAAATGATTCTTCTTTGAAAACAAACACCTCACAAGATGATGAATTATTGAGACATAAATTTACGTTACAGCAGATTGGAAAGAAGAAATATTTAGAAAATAGAGAAAAAATATATACGGAATTCTTTCCCGTCGAATTTATGAATGACAAATCTTTTGTTTTGGATCATCTCAAAAAGTATCAATGCGGTCTTGGATTTGCTACAAAACAAGTCAAGCAAGACAAACAGGTTGAATTGGTGGCGTTGGAAATTATCAAAACTCGACAGTTAAAACCAAAATTGAACAAACTCACAACTAGTCACGAATCTAATGATGATGAATTGTTTTCACCAAAAAATATCAGCTCTTTCACCGATCTAAAGAATGAATTCATGTTAAAGGCAATTAAGAGAAACCCGTACCTTCTCGTGTCACTTGGACTGCAGCAAAACAAAGATATCATATTGGCAGTTCTTGAACAAACCATTGACATACTAGATTGTACACCAAAAGAGTTTTTCGAAGACAAAGATTTTATGTTACGAGCGGTCACAAAAAACGGATTGGCACTACACTACACATCACCGGCATTGTTGTATGACAAAGAGATTGTTTTAGCAGCTGTCAAACAAAATGGCAAAGCACTTTTCGCTGCATCACACTTGCTGAGAGATGATAAGGAAGTTGTAATGGAAGCAGTTCGGCAAACGGGTACTGCTTTACAGTATGCATCATTCCGTTTGCAACACGACAGAGAGGTTATCATGGAGGCTGTAGAGCTGCATGGTTATGTGACAGAGTTTTCCCAAGATTTGTATAGGGCCAGAATGGAGTTGTGTTATTTTAATTGTCATCTTGGAGCGAAATAGACACTCATTCTTATTCAACCTAGCATGTTTTTTCTTGGAGAGATGTGACTAGAGACCTATCTTAATAGGGAGTTGACCATCCACGATGAATATGATTTGGAATGTGTTGTTGAGGCGCCTCAACAGGGTGACAATAAGGAATGACTCCTTATTGGAATTTTCGAACAGTCCATCCAATCAAAGATTATCAAAGAATCATTGTTGTTGATAGACGAGATGAACATCCCAAACCTGAGTGTTCGAGTGAAGTACAAAAAAACAATGAGTAATGATCAGGCAAAATCTACAACCCGTGTTGTGTTTAGTGAAAGGCCACAACGTTTTCATTTCTGACCTGTGTAATGTCGGGCAGTGAGAAGTTTGAGTCAAATGGTTCGTTCCAGATTGTTTGATGGTTTCATTAGCGTGAATGGACATCCTTTTGTCACATCCATGAGATTTAGAGGTAATAATGATACACTGGTTGTCGTGTGGGGAACTGATTGTAAATGATGGATTATTGGAAACTATAAAGGTTTTATTGTTTTGTTTGAAAAAGGAATTTAACCATGCTCTTTTACTCAAAAGAGTGTGCCAATAAATAATAAAGGAAGTTATAAAAATTGTTGTGGCGTGAACTTGAAAGAGGAATTATTCTTGCCATAATTATGATCAAGTTCAATCTATGGTCGCAGTTTGAATAAGTATTTGAAGAATCTTTCGTTGTGATTTGATGCTCTCCTTGAATGAATCTTCGTCAAAAATCACCGGTGACTGTACAATGGTATCGAAATATGTCATTTCACATTCCGTTCGTATTTTAAGCTTTTTCTGAAGTGTCAAAAACAATTCTGCAAATGAGATGGGCTTGGTGAGGTCAATTGGAATGAGTACTGTCTTTGTGTTAAATGTGGCATAAATAAGAAAAGTGTCTGTATTCGTAGAATGTGCGTGAGGATTGATATCCATACTGCTGGGAGTCGAGAGTGAGGTTTGTATGGTACTGTTATTGGATGAGGGAGACCATTGATGATGCTGTACGGTCTCTGGAAGAGATGTCTTGGTTGATTCGATCGACGAGGTATTCGAATGAACCGACAATGGAGAAGCGCTTGTACTAGCATACGGGCGAGGTGTGTTTTTGGTGAGGTTTTGCATGGCGAATGGCGTTGTAATAATGGCTTCAGCCTTTTTCTTTTTTGATGGGGAAGTTTCATGAGCTTCACACCACGTGGAATGAGTGGGTGTTCCAACTGGTTTGAATTTGGGTATTTTGACATCCATTGGAACGGAATTTCGAATTTCATCGTGCGAACCTTTTGGCATGTTTGACTCAAAGAGTTCATCTCCTATGGAAGCTCTGCTCTCCTTGGATTTGTGTTTCTTAATTGACGTGACAGTTGGCTCGCTAGGTTGAACAACGATATTCGATTGAGGAGATGAGAAGCCTTCAGAGTCAAGAGGGGGTGAATCTGGAGTATTTCCATCGTCTGATGTCTCCTCCTCTTCGTAGTCATCTTCAGAAGAATATGCCTCATAATAGGAAACTGGTTTTACGCGTTTTCTCAAACGTCTCTTGTTTGTCTCTCTGGTCGTTTCTTCTTTCTTGTTTTTTTGTGACTGTTCTTTTTTGAATTTTCTACTCGTATTTCTTGTGCTACTACTCGTCAATTCTTGCGAAGGAGCAACTCCACTTTCTACCTTGAGCTGAGACTTGATACGATTTGCTGTGTTTTCAACCTCTCTTATTATATTTTCATAGAGTTCCTCTAATTTTGAAACATAATTCGTCTTAAATTCTTGCTTTTCCTTTTCGCTCGTTTTCACCTTATCCATTTGCGAACGAATGGCCGCCATGAAAGATTTTCGTGTCTTGTTTCTCTCGGCCGAGTCTTGCATGGATAGAGTGAGGTTATTCCAAATGGTCAACACTTTTGAATTTTGATGTGACAAAAAGGGAGTCTCTCTGGAACTTAAAGACTTAAAGAATTTGACATACGAGCAATCAGAGGCTGCCTTGTGGGTCAAAATACAGTGGGGGCTTTCATTTGTTCATCATGTCGTGCATCAATTCATCATCATCATTTGATATTCAAGAATTTTTGCATAGGGGATGATGAACCCCATGATGATGATGATCCAAAATTGAAATAAATACCAGTTCGTTGATAATAATAAACCCAACACTACGTTGGAGTCAGTCTCAACTACTCACCATCGCATGACAAAGTGCAACTTTTCACCAATCAAGGTGGTAGTAGTCGTACTATTACTACCACTACTCGTACTTATCGGCAATCCAATCATCAGAATGGTTGATTTTGGGTCTCAGCGCTTCGTTGTTGGGGCAAAGGGGATCAAAGTCAGCTGTTTCGTATTTTTTTGCTTAGAACAAGAATTTTGTAACCTTTCCAAGAGGGAGTCTCTTGTTTGGAACATTTAGGTGGAATATGAACCCTAAAGAAGAACCTTTGGATCAATACTGAATGCTCCATCATCATCATGACCATCATCGAATACCTGTCTTATTGGACAAGAAAGAATGAACTATTCAACTATGATTTGAAAAAAGCAAAAAAAAGTTAACTTTCGTGTTTCCAATAGAAAAAAAATGAAACCCTCGAACAGCAGATCCGATTTTCAAAAGAAGACTTCATCCTCTTCGGGGAGTATCAACAACACGTTATCATCCAGCAATGTTGCGTCGTCATCATCATCCTCCTCTTCGGGGGGAGGTGCCACCAATAAAAGCGTTTCTGCCTCCAACATCAGTAGTAAATCATCCTCCGTAACGAATAGTCCAGCACTACTGCCCAAAGCATCATCATCGACCGAGACAAAAGATAATTATGCAAGATCTCATTCTGGAGAATCATCTAAAACAACGATATTGCCTCCTCCGAATACTGAAAAGTGTTTACCGTTTTTTCCAGTTACATTATTTTCGGAAAAGAACTTCTCCGAAGGATACAATGAAGTGGAGTTTATTGAAAATTTAACATATAAATTATTGAATGAAGTGAACAAACTCAATCCATCAAATTCGGGTGGATCCAGCACTGCTCAAGAATTGCTCGAAGATAAACAAGCCGAATATTTGGAAGTATTTCAACAATTATTTCAGAGAAGTATTTTTGAAATGGAAAAGTTGATGAAGGATGTCAATGTTACTGTCGAACGTTTAATGAAAGACACTGAAATTGCTTCCCAAAAACATCAATCCAAGTTACAATCATTTCATGAGGAACTTGAGGTATGTCTCGTGTTTCTTTCTTGATGATTCTAATCCCACTTGTTTTCATATTCATGTGCACACCATATTTCGAATGCGTGTTGATCACCTATATCACATACATGTTGAAAATTCTATGTTTTTTCTTGATTAATTCATTCATTTCTCCTCACCATTAACCAGACAATTTCCGAAAAATTTAAAAACATTGAGGATGTCATCAATCAAGTTGGAAATACAACAGTTCAAGTGGGTAATACCCTAGATACTGTGGATAAACAAAAAAGTAGAGCCATTGAAGCAAAACAACTCATGCGGTTTTTCAACGAGTTCAACAGCTACGATCCTGAAACATTCAAGAGAGAAATTCTTCCAGAAAAGAAATTCAAGAATGCACTTTTCAAAAAGAAAGGATCGCGACATCGTGCGGCAAAAATCATGCAAGATCTCAAACTGATTGCTGATGATTTGATAAAAGTAGAGAGTTGTAAAAATGCAGTTGTTAATATCAAGCTCTATAATGATGATCTAATTCGTACTCTTTTAGAAGATTTTTCATATTCCATCAGGCTTCTTGAAGACAATAGAAAACAAGCCATAAGTGACATGAAAAAAAAGGCAAAAATTTTGTTTGATATCAAATGTGAGGAAAAATGTATCGAATTGTATGTGAAAATGAGATTTGAACGATTTATCAATGTTGCTGCCGAACACGACAATATTGACAAGGAATTTTCAAAGAAACTTCTCGAAGAAACACAAGACAAGGTGAAACGTCTGGAAGCACTTCGACAAAGTCTAAATCCTGAAAAGAAAGAGTCTGATGATGACGAAGAGGGAGACTACGATGAAAGAGGAACCTCTTCTGAGAAGAATACGAACTCTGAAAAGGGAACTTCCACAGACACCTCTCAAAACAAACAACAGAATGAGCAGGAAATTAAAGAAGAAATTGCCAATCTAGAAAAGGAAATTCAAGAACGAACAAAAGCCATTGAAGAGCAAAAAGCTGTAAAGAAGGAATTGGCTTTCCAAGAATGTCGAGAGAAGGCCATTGAATTTGTTGAAAATGTCTCATTGTATCCTGTTTTTTTGAGCAAGGTTGAGAAGGCAACCACTGCTGAACATTCAATCATTTCAGAAGTCTTCCCAAATTCAACTCGTGACGTTATTCTCATGTATCTGTTAAAAATTGTAGATTTAATAGTGGAAGAGATTGTGAATCGATTACTCAAGGAACCAAAGAACGAATCTTCTGATTTTAAGGACCTTGAAGCTTATCTATTTGACTTTGAAACCATTTATAACTCTACTATGGATTTTGTTGAGAGAGTTTCCAATGAGCTTTCAGAAATTTCCACTCTCAAATCAACCCTCAGTAGGAGTATTGAAAATATCTTCTTCAATAAGAAGAAGAGTTATGGAGATATTGAGAAGGATTATGTCGTTGGATACTATGAGAGCATTACAGAAGATATTGACCGAGAGGAAAAGGTGATCATGAGTCAATTAATTGACATTCAGGTCAAAAAGGGTGTCTATTCGGGCGTTTTCAGCTCCTCTGTCATTCCAAATCTTTCTCAAGTTGTGATGAATGCGCTTCAAGATCCTGACCAGTCACGACTAATTCAAGCGTATCCTCGACTCCAACTTGATATTGTTGTATCCTTTATTCATACCAACACGGAGGCATTGACACGATGCAAAAAACTCTCCTCTAAGAATGACATTCCAAAGAATATGTTGGCCATATTTGAGTTATTGAAAAATTCAGTGTACGATTATGTGAAAAGGTGTTTGGAATTTTCAGTCGCCACTCTAGAGGGAACAAGTTCAAAGAAAGAACCTCCTATGGAGCTCTATCAAACCATCCAACTTACCAATTCAGTACTCCAAAAGATTCAACGTCATTTGGAACAAAATGTTCTTCCTAGTATTGTTTCTGTCTCTTTACCAATTCAGTTGCAATGCATCAAGTTGAAGGATGATTTATTCTCATCACTCGAGTCATATGTGGTGCGAGGTCTCGAACTCATGCTCAAAGCCATTGTCAAATATTGTGATTATATTTTCGAAAAGGAGCAAAAGAGTACAGCTGCTGATTACAAACCAAAGGAGAATGATCAAAGATTTGTATTTGTGGAACATCAACCAACTCTGGCGTGTAGCAAATGTTGTGCATTCCTCTCTGCTCATGCTGATCAAATTCAGACATGTCTATTTGGAAAAAACAGAGAATACTTTTTGACAAAGCTTGGAGTTCACATTTTCCAACTCTTATCCAATGAGCTGCGAAAATATTCTGTGAGCGACATTGGAGCAATCAAATTGATGAGAGATTTGTCAGAGTATCAAAAAACCATTCGTCAATTCCAAGTGAGTGCAGTGGAAGATCAATTTGATACTTTACGAGAAATAGCGAATGTATTGTTGGTACTTCCTCAGAATTTGGTTGACGTGGTGCAGCAATTAGAAAAGAATCCTTCTGTCAAACATGAAGATGTTGTTGCATTTATTCGAATGAGAAGTGACTACAAAACAGCCAAGCCTATTTTCAAAGACAAGATTGCTGGATTCCATTAATGTACAATAAAATAATTATTTTATATCCTTTTATTTGATGGTAATTTTTGGAAGATTTAACTATTCAAGACAAATAGTTGCAACATTATAGTTATATTCACTGATCACTATTATATAGTTTAATCTCGGACATGTAATTATTCAATTTCATGGCTCCTCCACAAATTCTAAATGAACGAATGAATCGAAAATGACCCAATTGACAAGCTTGAATAAAACTCTTCGTTCGTGCTTCATTAATTCTCAAATAAATCTCCAAAAAACAAGAAAAACTACAATGAACGGAATTGAATGGCACTTGAAGATGTTCTTCGAAATCATCTTCTTCTTGAGAATACGTCATGATGAGATGATTGCAATATTTAGAGAGGAGTCGAACACTTGAATATTTGAATGTCAGGACACCACTGTCAACAACCCGCCAAAAGATTCTACAAACACCACAACAATTTCTTTAAAAAAATATAACAAGAACCACCACCACCACATTTTCCGACTATTCTTGTTGTTCTCTTCCTATTCCGTTCCCTCTACATTGAAAAATACAATGAGAAATACAACAAAACCTAAAGATCGTCCTCTGATTGAGGAAATTCAGGAAGAGGATTCCGAGAAGGATGTTGCTGCCATAAAGAAGGAAATGAAAAAGAATGGAGGATCGGCCGAGAAAAAGAATCACTCTCCACAACAACCAAAGAAATCAGAATCAGCTGCACTGGATGAGAGTGTATTTGATCCTGATGATACAGAGGAAATGAAGGCCCTCAAAAGAGATGTCTTAAGAAAGGCTTTCTCTGCATTTAAAGAGCAAGAAGAAAAAAAACAGGAAAAAAAGAGCTCTTCTTTTATATTTTCAATGTTTCAATTGGTTTTCATAGTCTCCTTATTGAGTTTTTTCATTTTCAGAACTTTAGTTTTAAAGTCAACACATTCCAATATTGTAACACCTTTCGAGACAAGTGAACTATTTACTGGAAATAATTCTGTAAAAGCATTCAATTTACTTCTCGGAATGGCATACTCACCACGTCTAACATTAGCCTATCTTGCAGTCATGGATCGACCATTGCTGAAAACTGTTTTTGAAAAATCAGGTGAAACATTAGGAAATGGAGAGGGCTCAATTCAAGACTATGCTTTGAAAGTGGTAGGATGCATAGTTGCTCCAAGACTTTTCATGGTCATGCAAGGTGTTAATATTCTTGTAGATCGACATCACGATGCCGTCATGGATGGAAGCGCTTGGACTTTATTGTCAACCTACCTGACTGATTTCAACAAATTATACTCCACCATCACCGAATCGTTTTGGAAGAATGATAAGAATTTTGAGACAGTTTTCCTCCTTTTTTCAATTGCAAGTCAATTGTTATTCATATTGTTTGATTTTGCATCTCGCATCTCCTTCTTGAAGAGAAGTGTCAAGTTTACCATCATGCTCATGCTGTGGGTGGTGATGAATACTTACTTTATTCCACCCATGATTTTGGGATACATGTTCAAGATTACATATCTCATTCAACCTGTGCTCACACTGGTCTTGTATTTTAGTGAAACTCTCGAAATTCGCTATGAAAAACAATTGTTGGAATCTCAAGAGAAGGAACAACGAGAAGCTTTTATCCAAAGCGCTAGAGACGCTTTGAAGAAAGCCCAAGAAAGTAAGAAGGAAAAATAAATTCATGCATGGCTTCCTTTTCATTGGTTATGAAAAAGTTGTTAAAAGAGTAATTAAAAAAGAATGGTTTTCATGAAAAAAGTTGTTCATAAAAAATGCTTCAACAACAACAATCACAACTCCAAACTAAACCATTTTATCATCAACTGATTTCCGATACCTTTGAAAAAAGGTTAAAACAAGTGATTGAAGATAGAGATGCTCTTTCGGAAAAGTATATTAAATTGTACGTGATTGAATTGCAATTTTTGGTGATGGAAAGGAATTTTTCCGATTTTTATTGATTGTTGTTCATCTCGATGAATTTCATGAATTATATGAATGAAATGATGTGTATCTTTCAATTGATTGCATGATATGGAAACAATATGAATCACAATATGTAATGATCATTCTGAAAAATCATTCTTGTTCTGTAAATCCATGCCAGACAAGAACTCTCTCTCCAATTAAAAAGTATTGAAAACAAGAAGGAATTTCATACGCTCGTAGATGTTGGAACGAATTTTTATGTTCAAGGACATGTGTAGGTTGCGTGATTTTAATGTAGATTTCAGTATTGATTTGGTTATTTCTATTTTTCAAATTTATTAATATTTACAATATTGCAACCTCTCATTCATTGAAACTCTTGAACTATAGTACTGACACTCGAACGATTTACTTGGATGTGGGATTAGGTTTTTTCTCTGAATTTTCAATTCCCAAAGCAATGAAATTCGTGACACAACAAATGGAGCAACTAAATGCAATGATTGAGGAAAAAAAACAACAAGCACTCATTATTGAACAAAATATACATCTGGCACTCACAAATAATGGATTAGAATAAATCATGAGTGTGTGCACATGTCAATGCATAATTTAATGACCGACACGATTTTACTTAATGTCCTAGTAACAAATTACCTTGTTTGGCTACAGATTGAAACATTTCAATACCTGGTGATCTAAATTACCTTTCTCAGCGAGCTTGTCTTGTGACACACTCTTGTTAAAACCATTCTTTCGGTAAATTTTGTGAAATGGCAGCCACTTGATCTTTCAATTTAATCAATGTTGTCTTGAATTCTTCTCTCTTTTCCAAATTCAACAAATTACTTTGACTCAAATGTGCTGTGGTGGATGTCGAATTGGAATTCGTGGTTGATGATGTTGGCATTTTGACCAACAATGTAAACTGTTCATAACAATACGCTTGCAAAAATCGATATTTTGTGAGATAGGGTCCTAACTGATTCTGATGATTATGTAAATGCATTTGATGATCCTTGCTTTGTAAATATCGATCCATCACAGCGAAAGCACATCAATTAACACAAAGGTCGAATCGGAAATTTTGACAGCTGGATCTTCTTGATGTTTATGCAATTTAAATGCTGTGAAAAACGGTTTTTCATTCATTGGATTGTAATATTGGTAAATGACTGGTCGGTTATTGGTATCGAACTTTTCAAAAATTTCAATCAATGTTTCGAGTTGAATGACCATATTTTGAAATTGAGTCTCCATGTTGGTCTTTTCTGAATATTTCCGATCCAGAGCTTTGTTCACAAGAGTGCTCACTGGAACAAAAGAAGCGAGCGAGTCCATAATGCTCTTGGTGGATCCGAAGGGATCGAGGTGCCTGCGAGAGATACCCAAGTCTCCTACGGTAACACTTGAACGTGTTGTATTCCAAGAATACAATGTGTTGTTACAATTTTTGACAAAGCCAAGTTGCACAATGTAGACAGGGTGATCGATATTATGGCAAGCCGGCAACTGTCTTGCAAATGAATCGAGTCGAGATACTATTAAAGAAACCATCAATGATGGTGGTCATCCCAAAATCATTTAGAGAGTGCGTTAGCTCGATAATTCCAGGATATAGATCCTGAGCTATCAGCCATTCATCTTGTTCAGCTTCTCTTTTGAAAAAATCGTAGAATCATGAGGAGAAAGATATTTCGATGTGTGGCACTTCTCTTTTGGAAATGAGATATAGTTGTTGTCAGTTTGACATTAAACCCCACCTGATTGAGAGTAGACATGGATCGAGTGAACAAATGAAAGTTCAGAAAGCTTTAAAGATTCCGATGTTTTCAATTCAAACCCTGAACCAATTAACAACACTCGAGTTTTTTTGATAAGTGACATTTCATGAGTAAGAAGAGAAACACAATCAATGATTTCAGTTCTTTGACAACCTGGATAAATGCACTTGTAGGTATTTGATTGTGGATCACAACAAGTGGACCAGCCGAGTCAAAATGTTTCGTTTTCCAAGTCCAATCATCAATCACCCGCTTCACAGCCACTGATGGATAGAACAAGTTAGAAAAGGTCAAATAGAGCATATCTTGTTCGAAATTTGCACTCTTCCATCGTCCCCAAGCAAATCCAATATTTAACACTCTATGGTCTTATTAAATAAAAGAAAGAACAATTGATTTGTTAATCCACAAGTCAAGCCATGTTCTTGAGTGAAGCATGTCATAATTTTGTTGGAGAATATTTTCTCGTGATGAGGTTCGGGTTGTAATAAATTCATTAAATAATATTATTGAATTTGTTCTCGGGAATAGTGTAGATTCAATCCCACCCAGTAATCGTGTTTTTTGTCATCATTTGTGTACAACAGAAACCTAATGTTCCAAATTGCAACCACAAGAAATAGCACCCAAAGATCACAACGATCAGAAACTCGTATCTTACATGATCCGTCCGACTGAAAATCATTTAAATAAATGAAAAGTGGCGTTTGTAAGCGGTTGTTGTTTTTTTTTTTTGAGAAATGCAGAAAGTTCTTGACCGCGTTCTTGAAGGAAAGAGGTGACAAGCTCTGACTTGAGAAGTGCTTCATCTTGCTCCATTCTTGTAATGAATTCATTGTTCGAAACTTGTTCTCGTATGCTCTATTGGGAAAATGTTGTAAAGAAAAATTTCCTCGATTGGCTTGATAAGTGACAGGAAATGTGTTCTTTTCAATGTCAACAAAACATTTGACAACCAAAAATCGTTTTGCTTCCCCCATTTCACTTTCTCCAACTAATGTTGACACCAAAGTTCATTGTTTTTCTTCTCATTAAAATGTATTGAGGTTTTTGGTGTTGGAATGGAGACTGTTGTTCCATTACCCACTCCTATCCTTGTCTTCCGCGTTTCTTGATTGAATTTGATGAGGCAATTTGTGCAGATTTTATCGAGTAGTAGCTTCTAAACTTAACTGATTTGAACGCCAGGAATAATCGATTTGGATCCAAACGACCTTTCCACTGTGGAGGAATCATTATCTTGAACCAGATGCATTTCACAATTTTTACATCTTGATATTGCTGGACAACAAAATTGAGAATGATGTGTTCAGAATGATCACCGAATCGCAATCTTTACCAAGTTAGTGGAATTGCACGTAATAGGAAATGATATATTATATTTTAATGAATATTGAATTATATATTAATGTATATTAATTATTAATTTTATAGAAGCAATCAAATCGATTAAAGTGACTTTAAGAATTCAAATGCACCCTATTTATTGCCAATTCTTTTCATCATTCCTCTTGTTGGACATTCTTTTCAAGGTGATCTTTACCTTGGAACATGCATTGCTGATCGGACCATAAATTATACCCATCATCAACTTGACACAATAGACAATCTTACTGAATAAGCTTCTTGGTTTCCAGGCCCATAAGCAATAAATAGAAATAAATCTCCATACAATAACCCAAAATACTAGTGCATAGACATAATAAATTAAGGCTTCAATTTCAAATCCATATATTTTTAACACTTCATCCAGTGTCTGTGTTCCTCTTCTTGTTTCAAGTTCCAACATGAAAATTAAGCCCTTGGCATATTTCAAATACGAAATGACATGAATATAAGTGAATGGAAATACATAACTTTCCATTTCTGGAATCGATGGTTGATTTCCACTCATGGCAAAAAAAAACATGACCACAAGGGAAGCAGCTAACTGAGCCGTGTGTGGTGTGAAAAAGTATGAAATGATATAACCAATAGGAAAGCTTGCCAACATGGTTCCATAAATGACCATCCACAAAATACCAAAGTGGGTATGAGGAGATGCCACTTGTAATCCCGCAGTGAAGGATAGAGAGAGAACAAGCATGACCATCATGGAAACTAAATCCTTAGCCAAGTAATACATCCAACAATTGAGACCAGAATAACACTCTCTCTTAAAATTATTCATATCATTTCCAAAAACAAGTAATCCTCTCATAATAGAAACCAGAGAAATGGCAATATTAAAAAACGTAGAGTAAGGTGAAATTAAATCGGATTGTGGAACCATGGCATTTCCACGCAAAGAAATTGGACATTGCATGTACAAGCTTTCAGGAACTGCTCCTGCAAATGAAAGACCTTTGAAAATTTGGCCAATTAAAACTCCAATGGCTAGACAAATGCCATTCTCAATAAGGATGGTGGTCCAATCTCTGTAAAATTGTTTAAAGCTTCTCACAAAGCAAATAATAAATTGAATATAAAAGGGAGCTGTTCGATAGGCTTGTTCAGAAATATTGTGGCGTTTGGATTTGTTGATGCTCTTGTGGATGGGAATGACAGCAACGTCCGAATGGTGATTATTGTTCCTATTGGGGTTGTGAATGTTTTGGTTGTTGTTGTTATTATTGTTGGGGTTGCTATCGTCGTCATGAACAGCTCGTGTGGAATTCGAGTATTGTTGGAACATGTCCTCAGCTGACTCAGTCGTGTAGAAATGATTTGGACTACCACTTGTGAAATGACATTGTGCATTTTCCTGTGTTTTTCGAATGATGATTTCTTCTACGAGTAATTCACCTTGAGGTGCAATCAACGTTCGTAAAATTTCATCGGCTGGATTGTTTCGAATTTCATCGGCTGGAATTTTATCACGTAGAACATTCACAACCGTAGAAACTGGAGCGTGAAAGAGAAGTCGTCCTTCATTGAAAAGCATAATGTCATGAAATTGTTTTAAAATTTCAAAAGATGGTTGATGGATGACACAAATAATATTCAAATTGAACGTTTCAGAGAGTTCTCTTAATGTTTGGCAGAGTGAGAGGGCACTTTCTGAATCGAGTCCACTAAGATTGGAATTGTGTGAAAAATGTTTCAAATGTAAAATGTCAAATGTTCGAAAAAAAATTGTGACTTACCTGGTTGGCTCATCCAAAATGAGAACAGGAGTATCTGCACACAATTCAATACCAATCGATGTTCTTCTCTTCTCTCCTCCACTGCATACTTTTGTGAAGGAATTTTGAACTTTGGATAAACCCAATCTTTCTATCACTGCACTTATTCTTTTCTTCTTGTCATTATTTCGATTCTTTCGGTAACTAATACTGAATTCCAAAGCCTCCCTGACAGTCATATCTGGTGCCATTATATCCTCTTGAGTGACAAATCCAATAATTTTGCTTGTCTCTTCCGTAATTTCTCTGTTGTCAATTAAAATTTTTCCACTTTGTTTTCCATTATTTGCTCTCTTACATAATGAGTTGACAAAGGTTGATTTTCCAGAGCCTGAAGGTCCCATAATTGCTGTAAATCTTCCTGCTTGTAAAATTCCATGGATTGGATGTAAAATTGTTTTTCCAGAGAACGACTTGAATGTCAAATTTTGAAAAGTGATGTCAGCTCCTTTTGTCCAAAGCACATTCTGTTCCTCGAATTCACTCTTTGAAGTCGTCTTGAGTTGTTTTTTAAAATCCTTGAAAAACTGTTTTCTTCCACTTGGTCTTATTGCTCGAATGAGATGATAAATGACAAGTGACGTTATCTTGCTGTTCAGGATGACCACCGAAATGAGAATTACTGCAACAGCAATGAGAACAACACCAACTGTAAATGCTTTAAGATGTGCATGGTTATCATATTCTAACCAATACCAAAATTTGAGTTCAATCGGATTTAAGGAATTGTCTGTATTTCTCCAAATCATGTAAATGGTTGATGTATTTCTTGGAATGGTTGTATTTGTTGCAGTATTGAACTCTGAACTCTCGTCATCGTACATTCCTGAATTATTTTGCAGTCGAAGTGAAAAGAATCGAGTTCCAAACGTGTTGGGTGTGATCACAAAAATAGATCGATCCAAAGGTTTGTCAAATATAAAGCTGGACAGGGTATTAAATGAAAGAGCTGCTTTGGCTGCAAGATCCGAAAAAGTTTCCAATGCTTGTTGTTTTCGAATGACAGCTGCTTGAACAGAGGCATTTGCTGTGAAAGAGAACAATATAAATCGAGCATTCAATGGTGTCGTAATGTTAATATTGGCATGAAGATATGGAGCTGTGAAATTTGGAGGATATGAAGGAGAGTCGGGAATGTACGGAGTCATGATTACGGTTTCACTCCTTTCGGGATGTTTCAAAAAGTTCACAAAATAGAGAAGAGGTAACACGAGTAGACCCGCAAGGATGAGAATGATCATGACGAATGTGGAAATACTTGTGAGGACACAAATCAATCGTTTCATTGGTTGTTGTGATGATGATGATTCATGAACATGGATTCCTCCTACTACTGCTTTTATGACAGCCCCTCCTCCTCTTGATATTGAAGGAGGAACAACACAGTGAGGTTTGTGAATGTCATCTTCAGAAGAATTTGAAAGGACAGTAGAAGGAGTGGTCGTCGACGTTTCTGAAGGTATTTGACCATCGACACCAGAAAGCACTGAATCGTTACTACTGTTGCTTAGGGGATTGCTGAATGCTGAGGACATGTGTGTGATGATTTTTTGAGAGTCTTTTCGTGTTTTATCTCATGAGGTTTGGTCCTTGAGGTTTGGTCCTTGACTTTTGGTCCGTGGATTGTTTGAATGATTTAAGGAGGGTCCAAAAGTTTTGAGTTGGTCCAAATGTTCTTGACCTATTGCAAGTGAAGGGAAAACATTTTTGTTATTGCTTTAACTTTTTGATTTTTCTCATTTTGTTGTTTAATCAATTAGGCTAAGCGACGACCATTACGTTTCACACACAATACAAATTTATTATTGACAGCCATACTTGGCGTGTAGGTCTTTAACCTTAAGGAGCTCCGCTCTGCAGTGAAATCGCTTCAACTCCCTTGCAAACGATCACCATTCGTAGAGGTTGGTCGTCCTATGGGAAGTGTTTTTTCCCTCCAAAACTACAACGCATCGTACTGGTTTTTCTTTGAATCCAACAAAAAAGAATTTCATCCTTCGATCCTCATTCATTGCAATGAACAGAATTTCAACCGCTGCAGGCGGAAGACTGATGACTTCCCTACCAACCACTGGGTTTTGGGGTCCACGGCCTGGAACCACTCTCAATGGAGGACGACCGAGTGTTCGGGTTCAGGAGGGAGAGTATACAAAAGTCATTTATACATTAATTGTGGAGAAGAAGTTTGAAGATGCAAAACAAATACTACAACATCAGTTAGAATTCTTTTCCGAGAGTAGAGCGGCTTTGTCTTTATTGGCCTACTGTGATTACATGTTACAAAATTATGCAGAATCAGCCCAGACCTATGAAAAACTTGTAAAGCTTTTCCCAACGGTGGATCAGTACAAGTTGTATCAAGCTCAATCCCTGTATAAGGCTGGAATGTATCCCGAGGCTGTAAAAGCGTGCGCAACGATTGAGTCGGAAGTGCTTGCAGAAAAAGTAAGTCGAAATTCAACAAAAAATATAATTCAAAAAATTATTATTAATGATTGCCAAATTGTTGATGTTCGGGTTCTTTTCCAAACATTTCTCTGAGGCAGGTTCAAAAATTATTAGCAGCATGTCAGTATGAACTCGATGATTTGGCCACTACAAAGTCACATGCCGAGAAATGCATTCAGGATGATCCCGACACTTTGGTTTTACAAGGATGTATCCTTTACAAGGAAGAAAAGTACGACGAAGCAAGAAAGAATTTCCAAGATGCTCTCAATATTGTTGAATATCAACCTCATATTGCATACAACATTGCCTTATGTTACTACCGAATGAAACAATATACACCAGCTCTTAAATACATGCAGGACATTATTGAAAGAGGAATTCGAGAACATCCTGAATTAAGCGTTGGCAGTAACACAGATGGGTTCGAAGTAAGAAGTGTCGGGAACAGCCAAACATTAAGAAACACGGCCCTAGTTGAGGCCTTCAATCTTAAATTCGCAATTCAATATCAAATGAAAAATTACGAGGAAGCTAGTGAAGCTTTGAGGGACATGCCTCCAAGAACTGAAGAAGAGCTTGATCCCGTCACACTTCACAACCAAGGACTACTTCAAATGGAAACCGATCCAAATGCTGGTTTTAAAAAACTGAAACACCTCATTCAACATCCACCATTCCCACCAGAAACATTTGGAAATTTATTGCTGCTCTATTGTAAACATCAACATTATCTTTTGGCTGCAGATATTCTCGCAGAAAACAGCCATTTATCATTCAGCTATCTCTCTCAGGATATTTACGACTTTTTAGAAGCATTAATTATGGCCCAAACAAGCCCAGAAGAGGCTTTCAGAAGCTTTGATGATCTTGCAACCAAACATATCGATAATTTGCGAAAGCTTACAAAACAAATTCAAGATGCAAGAATGAAAAAAGATAGCGAAGGTATGAAAAAGTCTCTGAGAGACTTTGATGAAGCGCTCGAAGCTTATATTCCTGTACTTATGGCAATGGCAAAAATCTATTGGGACATTGAAAATTATCCGAAAGTTGAACAGATATTGTTGCAAAGTGCAGAGTTTTGTTCAGAACATGATGTATGGAAACTCAACATGGCAAACACGTATTTCATGCAAGCAAACAAATTCAACGAAGCCATCAAGTTTTATATGTCAATTGTAAAAAAACAGAAGGATAACTTGTTAGATATTCATGCAATGGTATTGGCAAACTTGTGTGTCTCTTACATTATGGTGAGCCAAAACGAAGATGCAGAAGAATGGATGAGGAAGATTGAGAATGAGGAACAACGATTGCATCGACAAAACCCTAACAAGCAGTCTTTGCATTTATGTATTGTAAATTTAGTTATTGGTACTTTATATTGCTCAAAAGGACACTATGAATTTGGAATTTCAAGAGTCATGAAAAGTTTAATTCCGTACAACAAGAAAATCATGACAGACACGTGGTTCTATGCAAAGAGATGTTTCCTTTCACTTTTTGAAACTTTAGCCAAGAATATGATTGTAATTAAGGATCAAACATTTACAGATATCTTAAACTTTTTGGATGCTGCAGCCTTGTTTGGAAAAGAAATCAAGACGACTCTCAACCCTGGTGCAGCAGGAGCAAGCGACGCCACCAACGTGAATACTTCCATTCTCGATATTGATGGTAAGAGAGAGGATGAGCGAACAGTGACTCAAGAAGCACGATTACTCAAACGAATGTGTTTGAGACTTATGGAATAAGTCTTGTAATTAAACATACTTTATTATATTCTTATTACCTTTAAAAATCGAATAGTAAAACAGTCAATGATTTGATCACGTCAGTATTTCTTTGTTGAAAATAAGAATAACCTTGCGAGAGATAAATGGTGAATTAGCCCTCCACAATTACTGTACTTTTGGTTGGTCATTCTGTTTATACAATGAGAACAATGATTAAGACGATTGAAAATATATACATATTCAAAATGTGGCTTCAAGATCATATTCCAGTTTGCTCTTAAAGTCTTAGTAGCATTTAATGGTCGGTATGGCATTAAGAGAAGAAGAAATTTTTCGTTCATGATTCGGATCCAATCACCTCCCATGAATTCCTACTTGAATTCAAAAGTCACGTCAGTAAAGTATTTGGCAACTTTGTGGAGATTGATATTACACTCATCCCGAAATTTAAAGAAAAATCTAAACATTTTCGCATATTGCTTGGGTTGAGTGGTTGTAAAAAAGACCATCACTTGAAAGATGTCTGCATTTGTTGCGAAGGGTCTGAATGCCTTCAAAAATACTCCTTTCATAGTTTCAATATTGGGAGACATCAGTTCTTGATCGAATGGGATGGTATCTTCATTGGATTGTTCCTCATTTTCGTAATCCTTGTCATTAACACCTTTCAAGTTCTTAATTTGTTTTAGAAGAGTCACATTCGAGTAGCCTCCATTTAAATCTCCATCTTCATATTCGGGGTTTGACAAAACTGAAAACGTTCCTCGTCTCTTACGTTTTGTGACAGGTGTAAAGTCATCTTTTGTATCGTGTTGTTTTTTTGCCAAATCATACACTCTTGGAAAAACCTGTTTGATATGTTTGGATTGAACATCAATCAAAAGCCACATGGTCCGATCCGTAAATAATTGTTGAAATGTGTTGACTTTTGTTATATGGTTTCGTTTTGATTTACAATAGGCCATAACCAAGTACTTGTTAAAAGTCAATTTGCAATGAGCAACAATTTCTAAATTAAACTTATTCTGTTCGTCCACAAAATACTTTTCAAAGTTTGTGAAATAAACATTGGTTTTTGAAGGAGGTTCATTCTTTTGGATGTGAATCTTTTGAATGGAGCTTTCTCTTTTTCGTTCCTCAGTCAAAATTACAAAAAATTCCTTGTAACTCTCTTCATTATTGTCATTTTCTTGCTTTTCCATTAGTAAGGCATATACAACAGGTCCATTCTTGATGCATATCACTTGTTCAACGTTTGCATATTGATTATTGTCGGATTGAGTGGAAACACGAATTAAATCTGTTGTTTGAAAAGATCCAAGTCCACCGTTCCAGTGCGAATTCATTACAGCATGATAATAAACATTCTCATTGACACTAAAGAGTGATGATTCTCCCCAAAAACTTTTATACCTCGTCGATAAATAATTGAAAGTCTCCAAGTAATGAAAAGTCGATTTTTTCACATCTTGATCATTCAGCACCAATTGAAATTGGAATTCAATTTCACAAAGAAACGTAATTTGCTTCTCATCATTCTGAGAAATGTAAAATGAAAGAAGTTGGTCTGACATGGAATAACTTTTCATTGAACTATTGTCATTATTCAAGTGATGCAGGAATGTGAGTCGAGAGTCGTCCACACAAGAACCTAGCCTTCCCAATTTCAATAATGCAAAAGATACCTCAATCCAGCATCCTTCCGATCGAATGGCAACAAACAAGTAAGAAGGTCTATAATTTCTTTTCGGAATTTGTCTCGTCAAATCTCCCCATAAAATATATTTCGGTAAGTTCTCGTGATGATCTTCCTGCAATTCCAAAATAAGAGCAATCGGAATTGTATTCATCATAGAGTATTGATCATCATCATAATAGTAATCATAGTCCCACATGTTATACACAATTCGATTGTGCTTATCTACATAATCCCCAAAATTCTCTAAAAAACCTTCCAATGAGTTGTCTTTGAAATAATGAGGAGGATTGTGTTGAGGCATATTTCTCAGAGGGAAATGATGTGCAAAAAGTTGTTTTGGGTTTTGGTGGATGGAGTGTCGGAGGTTTTTTTTGTGAGTCCTCTTCGCGCGAATTCAAGACAGCTTTTTGCAAGATTCAATTTGAGAATGTTTTCTTCTTAGCAAATTGTGCAGTTGGCAAAAGTCAACATAAACAGTGAGAAGGGCATGATTTTGAGAGAAGAGGGTTGAAGGATATTTATTCCCAGATAGATAAGGATGGATGAAATAGTTTTAATACTCGAGAGCTTGATATCTATTGGATCCAATTCACTCATCCAATTCTGAAATGAGTTTTTCATTCTTTTCAATCAAGGTGGCAATTCCCTTCTCCCCAAGCCCAATTTTTGACAATTCTGAAATGGTTTTGAAAGGTCTGCACTCCATAATTTTCTCTGCCTTTTTATCTCCAATGGTGGCCAATTTCTTGAGCTGTTTCATTCCATTATTCGTGTCATTCAAGTAATCAAGTAATTTAGCTTGGGTCGATTTTTCCCAAGAGTCATTGTCTCCCTCACTCGACGTTGTTTGAGATCGGATGTTATTAGTCACACAAGGTTTAAATATTCCTTCTTCTTGTAGGAGTGGTGGTGGTGGTGCCACTGCATCGCTCATCTCAACATCCTCGACGTCGAGATGATTCAATTGAAACTCCTCTTCTTCATCAGATGCAGATGTTGTGTTGATGGTCAGAACGTCATTCTGTTGCACGGTCCGGTTCCGATCTTTATCGAGTTGCTTGAGTTTGGTAATCTTTTGTTTCAACTTTTCATTGCTTGGTATAAGTTGTAAAGCTTTTTCGTAAAGTTCAAGAGCGTTTGAAATGTTTCCTTCTTTTTTAAGAGCAGTATTGGCTTCCTTAATATATTCTCGTGCCAGTGTGAACTTGTCTCTTGACTTTTCTGTTGACATCACATGGTTGGTACTTTCAGATGGTGCATTCAATGCAAATTCACTCTTCTCGAGAAGAAGTGCATTGTCATAGATTTTAAAAACACGTTTGGATTTCTTTTCTCTTCTAAGGGTGAGTTTGGGTTTGAACGTCGTTTTGGATTTTTTCTCAGAGTCGTCAGAAGTATGATCGTGTTCCTCTTCATCATCGTGGTCGTCGTCAATTAATGGTTCAATCGTTTCTTTGATCGTTACCTTTTTAGAGGCTTTTGTGACTCTAGTGACGCTTTCCTTGTTGTCTTTGTTGAGTAGAACCTTTTTACTAGGTTGTTCAACTCCATCGGTTATCTTCTGAGAGGAATCTGACTCGCATTCACTTTCTATAGAATCGAAACGTTTTCTCTTGACAGCAGGATTTTTTGTCTTCTCTGAATCATCATAACGTTGTGCAGTCATAGTGGGCTGTTGGAGTTGGAATTCACTCTTGGGGTCTGTCAGTTTGTCACACTCTTCATCATTTCTTGACTTGGCAGTAGTGTCATACAGCGTGTCATCGTCACTTGTCTTGATTTCTTGAAGCTTGGGAAATAGGTCATCCGTGTTCACATGATCAAGGCTTGACAATATTTGTTGGATATTGTGACTCTCAGGAAAGAGTAGTGTCATGTCCTTATTGTCTCGATTTTTAATTGGAGATATGGAACCTACTGTCATGTTAAAATCGAGAGAATTCGTTTCTGGTTTTTTCAATGAGGACGCATCAGATGGTTTTAATAGTTGATGGAGTGTCTGAGAGGAAGGTGCAACAACTTCCACTTTCGTTGTTGTTGTGGTGGTGGTGATGGTGGTTGAGGGAGAACAATGTTGTGAAGACATTGACTTCTTACCAACGGATGCTTTTAAAGTCACTGCTGTTTTTTGACGATTCGAAGAAAGCTTTAAATGCTCAAGAGAGGATGCTTTTTCCAGCACAATGCCATGGTTAGGTTTTGGTGTCGATGTTGTTGTACCTACGGCAACGTTGCTGGGTGTAGTTGTCTTGTTTGTCTGTGTGGTCTTTCCCATTGAGGTTGGTGTAGTAAAAGTGCATGCCGATGAAGGTGAAGGTGTGGAGCGATGATTTCGAACATGATTGGTAATGTTGGCAAGTGGGGTTCTCGAAACTTTGCCAGCAGTAGAACTAGACCTTTTTTGTGAACTCAAAGAGGAGGAAAGAAGAGCTGGTGATTTAAGGGGAGTCACTTTGCCTCCAAATGATGACTTTCCGTTATCGTTGGAAATGTTTTCTGACAAACTTTTCCGTACCATTTTAGGAGGTTGAAATGGTAAAGGATTGTTCTTCTTTTGAGAAGAAACAGGAGGTGTTGAGGATGTCGAGGAGGTAGATCCGGGAGGAGCTATCGTCTTCATGGGCTTTGAAAAGAGAGGAGGAGTTGGTAAGGAATGCAAGGAAGATGTGACCGATTGGGAGGATCTTGGAGTTGAATATTTAACAGAATCATCACCATGGACACCACTCGCCACCACTTTGGAAGAAGGTGTTGAAGTTGTTTGATATGTGTTGATTGAGTTTGAAGATGAAGGTGGTAGTGGAAGAGGAGGAGGAGGTAATAAGGATGAACATGGCGAGGCGATGCTCGACACTTGTTGAGGTGAGGCCAAAGTTGATGGAGAACTCTTTGTATGATCAAGTTCTGAGAGTAAGGAATGGAGCCTCTTCTTCATGTCCATAATGTAATCGAGTTGTTGTTGTTGGTTGTGAGGTTCTTCTGAACTTTGGGAATTTTCTAATGAAAATGCAGAACCTTGTTGTTGCTGAGTCAATGCAAAACGCTCCAATTTTGCCAATCTTTTGTTCAAATGAAAATGATTTGAATTTATCGCCAAGTTGAACATTATTATTAAAAATAGCCAAGTTGGTGATGTTTGAACGTTCCGTCAAGCCGTTCTTGAGACAATAAAACATGAACTCACTTACCTGTCAAGAATTTCATCCTGTAACGAAATACTCTTCTTCAAAATTGGATCTAACAGACCTTGTCTCAAATCTGCTTGAGCTCGTTCCAAATCTTCTTTCGTTGCAAAATTTGAAACTTGAATCAAATCAGAATAAGAGAGCGTTTTGGAAGTGTGAACACCAATCTTGCGATGCATCAAATGTTTTTCCTTTTCAAGTTGGAGAAGTTTGAGTTGAGTCTCTCGATCTGCTCCATAACCAATGTTAGCCATTCCTTCAAGTTTTGCCTTTTCTTCCTCACTTTCGAAATAACTGGCATGAATGATTGGCTTATTTACAATGGATTGAGATTTCATACCAAAACGAAGAGATTTAAAAGTATCCATATAGTGATCGGTGAAAGGCGAAATGTTAATGATCATGATGGCTTGAGAGCTACCTCCCAATGAATCTTGTAACAATCGAGTGAGTTTGCTGTCACGGTACGATACTTTTGTGTTGTTGGAATTGAGCTGATCGACCACTTTACGCAAACTGAAAAGAGAGGCATTGATATTCGACGACTCAGTGAGGCGAGTTCCAGTATTTCCAGTCTTACGATTGTCCTCAGAGCCTGCCAAATCAATCAAATTAATTTTTCCAGTGAGCCATTGACCTGTCTTTTCGTCCTTATTCTTCACAGTGAGAGTGAGAATGGCGTGAGATCGAGAAGAACGGTCATTGAGTTTGGTGGAGGCCACTTTTCGATTCTTCATTCCCACCTGATAGAACCATTCACAGAATTCATCATAGTTGGAGATGGGTTTCATGGTAAGACCCTTCACAATAATGTTCTTGTATTTATCTTCGTGGAGAGGAAGATCTTTGCCGAGTGCACTCGTTGGCGATGAAGAAGGAGAGATGGAGGAAGGTTGATCAGTTGGTGTGGTTCGCGAACCACACGTGATGGAAGAGCCTGACATGGAATTTCTCAATGTCGAGGTGGTGGTGGTGGAGAATGAAGAGGAGGATGGAGTTACAAGCAAATCATAGACCTTCTCGTTGTAAATTTCGAGATAGGAAAGAGAGAGTTTGCAAGAGTTTGCTTCTGTAGAGGATGCAACTGCTCTTCTTCGGTTGGAAACTTCAAAGAGCAAATGTTGAACAGCACGTGGAATGATGCCCATGCTTTCAAGGGTTTCCCCTCCTTGCATGGTAAATGTTTTGCCTTTCAAAGGGTGAGGAAAGTTGGATGATGAATGTTTTAGAGAATATTTTGATGAATTTGAAGGTTGAAAGAGAAAGCATGGAATGAGTTTATACATGTTGTTGTGAAAGAGAAAGAACGGAATGAGTGAAAACATGAAATGAATATATATTTGTTGGAGGTTTGTTGATGATGATGATTATGACAAAGCTGAAATTGAGAATATCGTATCGTTTATATAATACTTACCACTCCCAGTCATACCATAACAAAATACAGTCGTGTTGAAACCTTCAAAGAGAGAAGGTAACACAGGAAGGATTTCCTGTTGAAAGATTTCATTCTGTGAAGCCTCTTCATCAAAACTCGAGTCAAATTCAAATTTAATTTCATCTCCGGGATTTCTCGGATCCTTCATAAAGACAATATTGTTGTGAGCGGCGGATGGATCACCACAACTAGACGATGAAGATACTCGGCATGTTTTAAAGTTGGATTTTTCAAATTCATCGGGCAGCAATGGACGAACACGAGAGATGACTCGCACTGCTTTGTGTGGAACCTTTGATGATGCGGTTCTTGTTGTTATGGAGGGTGATGAAATGGAATTATTGGAGGAACCAGAAGCAGCATGAATGCTCGTTGGAAATGATGTAGTAGCGATTGAATTCTCGCAGTCTCGGTGTGGTGTTAATCCTGGTGATGAAGGAAATTTTGCTGTGAGAGGTATTTTAATCATTTCTTGAATTTTTTCATACTTAACGGATGAATATTTGAATTTGAGCGCGAAGGTGGAGGTGACTTGGAAGCTTCCTCATGAACAAGAACAACTTGTTAGAATGCGTAAGCCAGTGAACGAAAATATTGTTTCAAGATGAATTCTGAATAAATGACTGAGAGAATGACAACATCTCCCAAAAATAACTTGAGCCTTATTGTTAAGATCCATGAGACAGTTCCTGCAGTTGTGAATTGGTTGAACTCAAGGTTTGTTTGGACGGATCGATTTTAGAAAGATCAAGGCAACTCAGCTGCCCCGCCAAAAAATTGGATCCACTCTCAGTTTACAAAAATCTGTTAAAAAAAATTTGCGTTAAAAATTTTAGCACATAAAATTCCTCTCCATAAAAAAAAAGACCAACACATCAACCTACGTACTACAACTCAACAACAACAACAATGGCTCCAGCAACCAAGAAGACTGAAAAATCCGACAAGCAAAAGGAAACCAAGAAGACCAAGGCCCCAAAGACCACAAAGGCAGACAAGGCTGAAGGTGAAGCTGATGACGATAAGAAGAAGAAAAAGTCTAGACATGAATCCTATAGCTCGTACATTTACAAGGTCTTGAGACAAGTCCACAGCGATATTGGTATTTCGACAAAGGCCATGTCCATCATGAACTCCTTCATTCAAGACATCTTTGAAAGAATTGCCAATGAAGCTGCTCAATTGTGTAGAGTGAACGGAACAAAGACTCTCTCATCAAGAGAGATTCAAACTGCAGTCAGATTGATCCTCCCTGGTGAATTGGCAAAACATGCTGTTTCCGAAGGTACCAAGGCTGTTACCAAGTACCAACAATCCTCCGGAAAGCCATTGACCAAGAAGAGAGAGAAGAAGGAAAAGAAGGAGAAGACTGCTGAGAAGAGCAAGGAATAAGCGCACGGTACTGTGCATAGAGTTGCAATTCTCTTACATTTCCAACCTCACTTTTTCACCCTAGGCCTCTTGTACATTTTTAACTTATATTAAAAACTTGTTAAAATTCAAGTTTAATTTTCTGTCTTTGTTAACATGCAGACATCTTCTAAGATGGTTCATTCTCGTGTCAGTTGCCAAAAAAATGAAGCATTTTCCCCTTCTGCCATCTTTGTGTGATGGTCGATCTCTGAGGTTTTTCTTCCTGTCGCTTGTTTCAATATTATTTATTGCATTCCCTTCTTCCGTAAAACCTGGTATGGCGCAGGGACAGCCTCTTGCTTCCAACTACACGACCATTAGGAAACCAATATTCGGCAATTTCCGCTGCAACCGTTATTCCCAGCATCAAATTTCGGGTACATCATTCGTTACATGCAACATTGAAAATATTTGTCTTGCCACAAACGGCCAATTTGTCTTGTTTCATCCTTCCGAACGTCTATGGGGACATCAAAAAGAGTTTATGAATATTCTCAATTCAAAACCTTGGCTGTATATTCAGGGACGAGTGACAACAAGTAATAGAGGACAATTCCAAGCTAAAGTCATGGATGCAGATCTTGTTTTAGAATATAAAAACACTAATAGTGGTCAAGAAAGAATTGTTGGAGCGAGTTCCATCACGGGATGGTCCACACGAGTAGGTCCGGACACACTTCGAAAATTGTTCACACGCTACGACAATGAAAATGAGCAGTCGTTCACTCAAGACGGTGTCCAAATCGCTCCCATTGCTTTAGATTCTAACTTTACCTATTTCACATCACCTACTTTTGCTCTTAAACGATTTGATGCTGGACAATTGGATCATTTTCTTGTGGATAACATGTTCATGGTAGTTTCCTTAATGATGAGTTATTATCCAATATCTAACTCGAAAGAAATGGAATCTCTTGTCAATCACACACTGTTGTATTTGGATGACGTTTTTGATAAGGACGCTTCTAATGATCTTGAGGTATCAGATCCATCCACTGCTGATGAATATTCATTGACATTGTCCAGTTTAATCACTCGACAACCTCCTTTGCAACTCTGTGAAACGCAATCGAATTATTATTCCATTGAAAAACTTCCATGTCGAAATGTTGGAAAAAACATAACTTCGAAGTGGTCTTCGAGAGATGAACCACTCACATTGAAAGCATGCTTTTCACAGTTCTTGGTTGGAATGACGGAACCATTTCACAATAATTTTCATCGGAGACAAAGCGTTGCAGTGACATTACGACAATTGGCTTATCACAATCTCAAAATTCGACCATTGCCTCACGAAGAGAATGACAATGATCGATTAATTTCATTTTTAGATTCCAAACCTGTTCGTGTGGTCATTCACAGAAAAGGATCTTCTTATCAAGGACCATTTATTGTCAATGTTGAGGAAATTTCAAAAGCCCTACAAGAACAATTCTCTCGTGTCTCTGATACAAATTCACAATTTCATCAATTAATCGCTTTACATTCACGCATTGAAGTGGAGTTTTTCGAATTATCAAAAACACCTTCACTCGAAGATGTGAAATACTTCTCAACTGTGGATGTTTTCATTACTGATTCAGGAAGTGCAGCTTATTATTCGATTTTTATGCGAGCTGATACTTCTGTGATTGTAGCACCTGAATGTACCTCAATTAATTCTGAGACAACTACGAACGGATATACCAATCGGTGTGAGTCGAGTGTGACTTATCAAAACTTAAAAACATTACCATCGGTTCAAGTGATTGATTATATGGAGTTTGGAGACATTTCAAAGAATGTGCAATGTCAAAAACGAGATGTTTCTGTGAAGGATCCATCGATTTGTGATCCAATTTTGAATTCTCAAATCATTGCTGAGAATGTGGTGCCTTTGTTGACGAAAAGATTTTTAAAGTCGTTGAACTAGTTGTGCCATGATCGAGACTGCACATTATCCTCCATCTTTGTGAAAGGATCCTCTCGTTTTTCTCCAAGCCACAATTAATAAGGTCCTTTCGCGAATGGCATGAAGTGGTATCCTTTGTCAAATAGACACTGTTCTAAGAGACACTTCTTTGGTAGGCAATGATGATGATCAATGAAGAATACTTGATGTACATTCATGAGTAAAAAGAAAGACTCATATTTCTAGCATTTTCTTTTTAAAACGTTTCGACCATCGAATTCACCTTATTGGGAATGCCACATTTTTTGATCCTTTTGACAGGTCAAACGCCCACAAAGACAAGAAATCTCTCCAGAAAGAACTGTTGTCTTCAATGTTGTATGATGGAAAGAAAAAAAAATGCATGAAAGAGATCCTTTTCTATCAAATATGAAGTGGCTCTCCGTTTCATATTTATTGTCATCATGGTCATCTCTCTTGAAGCGTCCTCGATTTGTGGTCATATCGATCCTTGTTCTTCTAATTGTGTGCTGTGTGTGTTATGCAATTGTTTTCATCCATCGTTCGTCATCTTCCTTAGTGAAATGTGTGACATGGAATGTAATACAACACCAACCCAAATTGGACAACCAAGCATCGAATCGAATCCATTCGTCAACGGATTCATCCAACCAACCTTCGGAAGTGTTGGAACATGTGGAGGATAGAGTTCTTTCAAAGCAACAACAAACCTCTTCAAAGCAACAAGTGTTGAAAACGAGGCGACAACGAAGACGACAAGTTATGTTTGGAAATTTTCAATGCAATCGATACACTCGACAAACCTTATTCACTTCCTGTCAAATCGAAAATGTTTGTATCAATACGAGAGGACAGTTTTTATTGTTCATGTCACGAGATCGATTGTTTGGAAAAAAACAATTAATTTTGGATGAATTGAATCGAAGACCTTGGATTTACACACAAGGAAGATTTGAATCGAATCGAGGACTTCATTTCATGAGAATCATTGATGCAGAGTTAATTCTGGAATTTGATCCACAACGAGATTCAATAACTTCAACCACTACAACGAAAAAGGATGACATTTCTGACAAGGATGATCAAAAGAATGAAAAAGTCGTGAGTGCATTCACCATTCCAGGTTCCTCTTGGTCTGAAAGACCCTTACATTCCATTTCTGGAGACCCAGTCGAATTGGACAAGAATTTCAAATACTACTCGGAACCTGTCTATGTTTTGAAACGATACGCAGCAGGAAATATGGGTCACTTTTTATTTGACAATATTGCAATGATTGTGACACTCATGATGAATTTTAATCCTCTCGCTTCCACACGAGATCTTGACAAACTTCTTGGTAATCACATTCTATATTTGGATGATGTCTATGAACAGGTGGCTCACAATTGGATTGGGGCGTATCGTTACAATGAGAGTTTAGCTGATGAATTTTCACTGAAATTGCCACAATTGTTTAGCAAAAATCCACCACTCCAATTGTGTCGACAGCAAGATTCGACACGAATTGATTTATTGCCTTGTCGAAACACTCCACGAGGAACGAATTTTCCAAGAAATAATGTGTTGCAGGCATGTTTTGCAAATTTCAGAATTGGACTCACTTATGGACTATTTCGAGCATTTCCTTCGAGAGAGATGATTTTTGTGCAATATCGACAATTAGTGTATTACCATCTTGGAATTTATCCATTACCCAGTGAAGAAAACGACTCACACGTAATGGCTCCTTATTTGAAGAAAAAACCTTTGAAAATTGTCATTCACAAAAAACCACTCTCCTCTGGACATGGTAAAATTATTTGGAATGTCGACGAGTTGTTGAATGCCATTCGTGACAAGTTGCAAAAAGATCCCTATCTCTCATTGTATCATTCAAAACAATCCATTCAGGTTGAATCTTTAGAATTAGATCTTTTCACCATGAATGTCACCGAACAAGTCAAATTCTTTTCACAAGTCGATGTCTACATTTCCGATCAAGGCAGTGCTGCCTACTATGCTGTCTACATGAGAAAAGACACATCCGTACTCATTGCTCCAGAATGCTATTCCGATCGAGGATGTCACACTGGAGAGAGTTTTCAAATTTTGAGAGCTCTTCCCAACACGTTTGTGGTGGATTATTTGGAATTATTGAGAGGAAGTGAAGAGAATCCAAATGAAACACCGTGCAATCCGAGACCCACTGCAAAAGATTTAAATGCTTGTGATCCAATTTTGAGAGTGGATGTGGTGGTGGAGAATGTGATGGCATTTGTGAAGAGAAGATTTCTCAAAATGATGATGGTAGATCCTGATGAATGAAGATGATCTTTAAGTAGGAAAATCATCAACAGATAGAGCCACAGCGTTTGTGCCAAATTTTATTCGGGGATAAGACAGAGCCAATCACCAGTTTGGTGCTTTCCAAATGAATCTTCAGGAATAGAGGAAGTGCTCTTCGTCAACCGTCAAACTGGTCAAAATGTCCGGATTGGTCGAAAAAACTCCAGAGGCGCTCTCCTATTGGACAACGCACTGTATTACTCCAGCACCAACCACAACAACAATAAGCGCGTCTTGGAATCAGCAACGGAACGCGCATGGAGTCTTGTCCAATCTCTACCAAAAACAAAATCATCATCCTTTTACCCTTTTATTGTGGGTGTTGTTTTGAATTAAACACGTGAGATTGGTCTTTCTGGCATTACTCATCAAAACTTGAATTCATCATCATCTATTATTTTCATTGAATTGATTATCAATTATCGTTATTGAAAAAGCTTGCTTGACCAACAACATGATGCCAGCCACACTCACCGCATCATTCCATTCAATAATGAGAAGAACAATTCCTCCTCCTGTTCATCCTTGCTATGAGGCACCCAATAATCATAACCAGAGTATGAATCCGTCCCATGAGGTCTCAAACACATGCTCATCCTCTTTGTCTTCCTCCTCTTCTTCACGACTACCTTCCATTGAAACCATGTTGTTGATGATTTCAGGAAGAAGAAGAGATTCCTCTTGTTCCACCACCACCTTCTTCTCTCCTTCTTCCCAACCACAACAAGAACCACAACCCAACCAGCATCATCACCACCACCAATACTCTGACCACTTGTTTGTTCCCAAATTATCCTGCCATACATGGGAGGATCGAGAGTATCTTTCAAAACTAACGTTTAAGCCTCCATCCCTTATACTACGATCATCCTCACCTTCCTCCTTACACTCATCTCATCCTCTCAACCATCCTCTCAACCAACAACAACAACATGATGAAGAGAGTCGTCAAAGGAGTCTTCCTCAGGTTCCAGGACCTATGGATCGTTATTCATTCTCATCAACACTATCAGAAAGTCATGTCCATGTTGTTGATGAATCTTTGACTACCTCTTCTCCTCTTCTTCTTTCTCATGAGAAGAGTTCATGCATGTACCATTGTCCTACTACTCGAGAGACTACTGTATTTCCTCTTGCTTCTTCACAACATGATCATTCATATCCACAACAACATGATCACCTTAATCATCATTCTTCAAATGCTCTTCACACCTCAAGCTCTTCTTTTGGCTCACATTGGTCAACATGGAAGACAACTCAAGAATATTCCTTCCTGACGACGTCATTATCAGGACGACCAAATGGATCTTGCTCGAAGATGTCTGAGGAGAGCTCGTTGCTGGTGAGCCCAAACCATTCATCAAACGATCAAAAGAACTCTGCTCACGACTACCTGAAGCACCACCACCATCATTTCCAACAAGAACAACCATCCTCATGCGAAACGACAGTTTCATACGAAAGTTCAAACAGAACCACCACTCCTCTCACTACTTCTTCTTCTTGTTTGTCTTCTTCGTCGTCGTCTCGAAGAATCCATTCTGAGGAATCAATTTCGATTTCTTCTTCATCCAAGAAAAAGATCAATCCAATTCATCCTCATTCTACTGTTGTACAATCACACCAAGTTGATGATGCTGACCATGAAGAGAAGAAGACAAAAGATTCCTTAACGAAACCTCAATATTCCAAACAAAAAATTGGAAAATTGAGATTAAAGACTTCCTGTACGAAAAGTGTGGCCAATCAAAATCAGAATGGACACAATAAAGGATGGTGGACAGAGGATGAACATGAAAGATTTCTTCAAGGTTTGAAAGAGTGTGGAAATAATTGGAAATTAATTGCAGAAAAGTATGTGAAAAGTCGTTCGAGGACACAAGTAGCAAGTCATGGACAGAAATGGAGACAATCTTGTGAAATGCATGTAGAGAATGTTGAATTGGTGCAGGAGAATTGAAAGTAAACTTTTTGAAACATTTTCAAGTGATTTCGCAGATTCAAAAAAGTTTCACGAAATGTCACAAAAAAATGTCAAATCACCTCTCTGCAATGCCATCACTTCTCCAATTACCTTTCGAAATCATTCAGAAAATTTTCGATTATTTACTCTTTCCGAGTGATGATCATTCCTCTCATCGAATGGTAAGTCCAAAAATGTCAAACATCATGTTGACATGAGTGTGAGCAAAATTTCCAAAGTCACACTTTTCCACAACTTCAAAGTTTGCAACAACAGAAAGAATTCTTCTCGCGTGTCATCTTCAAAATATTCATCCACTTTTCAGTCAATCACAACTCATGACTGATTATTTCAATCGATTTTGGTGGACACTTTTTCGACATGAAATTCATTTTGGAAATGAGAATGAAATGGTAATTGGATCGGAAAAGGAATTAAAAGAATTGAAAGAAATGGCCTGTCAGAAAAAAGGATCCAATTTGCGACGAATGATCTTGTTGTGGTTGGTTGTAAAAAGAATGAAAGTGTCACAACAACCTTATCAAGAGAATGAATGTGCGCTTGTATTGGGACAAGGTAAGGTTGTTGTTGACATGTGAATGATGTGTTGCATTTTCAAATTGGTGAAAATAATGACAGCTGGAGTTGGAAAAACCTCTCTCATTCATCAATTCGTTCATAAACATTTTGTGGTTGCCATGCCAAGTTCATCAGAGGACGAAACCTTTCGAACACACATCATGGTGGATGGTCAAATGACATTTCTTGAAATTTGGAATCCCACCGAGAAGGGTGTAGATTCTTTCGGGAGAGCACTTCCTCTTCATTACATTCGACATTCGAATTGTTTGGTGTTGGTGTGTTCAACGGCCTGTGTGGTGAATACTGAAGAGAATGAACCTTTGAACATTCATTCTTCATATTTATCGTATTTTGAATATTGGTTACCTTTGATGGTGGAAGTGAAAGGAGTGCATGTGCCATGTGTGTTTGTGTTGAACAAGATGGATTTGATTCAGAGTCATGAGTTTGATGAGGACACTATAGATAAGAAGTATCATTTATTACCTTATCAATTGAAACAACAGTTGCAACAACTTGCTCAAAAGTATTCCCTAACCAATTATGCCATTATTGAGAGCAGTGCGACAGATTACAACTCTACGTTCAGGGTCTTCGAGGAAGGTGTGAAACGATATCGATGCTATCAAGGATATGCTCATATTGATTTACTGAAACAGATTGTGAAAAACGAGAAGAAAGTGTTGAAACAAATTCGAAAAGAGAAAAAGTGTGAATTCATGTGATCACTTGAAGTGAGTTTCAATACCATTTAGTATTTCTGGTACCAGATGCATTGGCATTGGAGGCAGAATTGACTTTCCTCTTCAGTGATGCAGCATTCTCTGCAATTCGTCGTGCAGCAGCCATTTTGAGTTTGTTTTGGTCAATTTCAATTTCTGGCTCATCATTGAGCTCATCGATCAGCACTTCATAATTTCCCAATTTTGGTTGCTTTTTATCATACTTGTAGTCCTTGTAGAGCTTTTTTCTCTGGAAATCCATCATGCACAACAATGTTAAAAGTATCATTGAGGAGACTCATTTTAAGAATTCGATCTGAAACTGTTGTTGTAGTGAGAGAAGGTGATGCATTGACTTCCAATAGCCATGGTTTTAAATCTTGATCCAATAGCAAGTCGTAGCCATACATTTCAAAACAATGCTTGTCGTTGATGATCACATTTTTGCATGCCATGAGGGATTGTTTGAAAATGTAATAAATTTCCTCAAACATTTTGTCAGTTCTCTCCTTGCCTGCTGTCGATTCCAAATAGAGCCGTAACATTTTAATGTTCCATTTTCCTCCATGTTTGTCATTGTAATCGTCACCATGTTTTTGAATGGCAACATTAGTCAAGTGAATAAACATATTGTCTATATCCTCAATGTCGTTGGTGTATTTTTCTGTACAAAATCGAGCGAAACCTTCCTTGTAGACGTATGCTTTCAGAGGTCGATAAGATGTGACCAAGACATACATTCTCAAATCAAATTTTCTTCCACCAACGAGGAGTGGATTGTTAATATATTTGCTAATCACATATTGTTCCTTGACAGCCATATATGCCCATTTGTCTTTTGCCCATCGTTTCACCTGTGACAATTTGGTAATGATAAAAATTCCTTTTCCTTGTGATTTGCTTGAAGGTTTCATAATCCACAACTGACTTGGATTTTTTTTAAATTCTTCAACAAATAATGAATAATCTGCTGGTAATGTGTAAGTGACTGGAACATAGTCCATGATATTTCGTTTTGGTGGTGGTACATAATTTGGGTTATTAAGGGAATGTGTGAGATTAATTAATTCTTCATTTTTCTCATTTTCTTTTTTGTATCGTTTCAAATTTTTGACCATGGAATCTTTTCGTGTCAACTCGTAGTGATTCGGGAAGTGATTAATAATTCTGCATTTTCATTTTAATTGAGGAATTATTTGAAAAATGTAATTGAATCAGTGATTATTCAACGGCTACAGTTCCATCGGAATAATCACTTACTGATGATCATTGAGACGAAACCCATTCTCGGGATTAAATAATTGTTTAACAGTTTGTACACTGGCCCAATAGATATGCCAATCCGATTCTGGGTATTATTTCAATGCATCACAAATGTCATCGGAATTGTCTCGTGATGAAATTATTACAAATGAGAAAATCTTAAATGACCTACCATCATTGGTCCGAATCCATCCTCTATTTTCAAAATTACCAATCACAACACTCTTCTCAAAATCTGTCTTGTATTTCAAAATTGTTGGAGCGGATGATTGAGAGGAAGTCATTGAAAGTGAAAGCAATTTTTTGTATTTGAAATGGCGGGAAAATTTTTTGAAAAAAATTATTTCACTCTGAGTGATCGTCACTTCATCATCACGATTCTCGAATCCTCCTAGAAAAGATTAAAAATGTCCAATGAATCCAACACAATTTCAGATACACAACAACAAGGAATGCTATCGGAAGAACATGCTAAAATTTATGATCGTCAGATTCGTTTGTGGGGAGTTGAAACACAAAATAGATTAAATCGGAGTAGAATTCTTGTGTATGGAATGAATGGATTGAGTGCTGAGATTTGCAAGAACATTGTCTTGTCCGGAGTGGGTCATGTTCATATCATGGATTCTCAATTGGTTACTCAATTTGATTTGGGATGTAATTTTCTGGTGAGAGAGGCTAATATTGGAGAGAACCGAGCAAAAGCTTGTCATCCAAATTTACAGGAACTTAATCCATTGATGAAGGTTACGTATGAGGAAGGAGATTCCTTGTCGGAAAAGCCAAAGGAATTCTTTAATAATTTTGATTTTATTATTTTGAATAATGCCAAGCTGGAGGAACAAGTATGTTTCATTATTGGAGTTTTGAACTTTTGATTGAAATTTAATTTCCATTCGTGAATGTTGACTGACACGATTTTTTAACGAATTATTGTTCGAAATATCTTACGATTATTATTATTTGTATTAATATTTCATTTTAATTATTATTTATTTATTATTATTATTATTTGTATTAATATTTTCTGACACTTTTACATTGGGAAACATCTTGATGCCCTTATGAAGATTAAAATTAACAATATCTGCAGAGGGAAGAATATATTATTTATTGCAACCAATACGTATGGATTGATTGTCACATCGTTCCATGATTATTTAGACAATTTTGAGTACAAGCTGTAAGTTTTGAGTTTTTTAACCCGTTATTTACGTTTCATGTCATTACCACAATTAACTTGAAAACGTTCACTGTTCAATTGTATAATATTATCATTCTACTGCCGTGTTTATTGACAACAAAGAAAATCCGATAAAGAGGCAATTCAAAAATCAGAGTCCTTTGTGCCATTAGAAACAGCCCTTAAAGCAAACTTGTCGAAGGTGAGAAACTTGTCGAAAATGTGGCTTGGTGTCATGACTCTCCTCATTTATCAAGCAGCAAACAATAACATCTTACCATCCGTTGAGGACGGTCAAGCTCTTTTCAACTTTAAAGAGAATGGAAATGTACAAAAGTATTTACCGAATGTGACAAAGACACAGCTTGACATGCTCACATTGGAATTCTGTTCAGTGTTGTGTCGATTTGCTCATGCTGAAATTAATGCTGTATGTGCAGTGGCTGGTGGAGAGTTGGGTCAGGAAGTGATCTCCGTCATTAGTAGAGACAGAACTCCTCTCAATAACTTTTTTGTTTACGACACATTTGAAACCTTCTCTGGCATTATTGAGAAACTGCAATGAACTAGCTGATAACTGATTGTAACAGCATTCATGTTGTTACTAAATTACCTGACTGGTAGATCGACCATTCGTCAACAAAATAAAACAGGTATCTCTTTGCATGAAAAGGCCACAACTACATTTATTTCTTTTTCTTTGAAGCAATCGTCTTTTTCCTTTCCAATTTGGCCGTGTATTGACGCATTTCTTGTGACGTTTGTTCGTCCCAACGTTTCATTTCTTCAGCATCGATCTCATCGAACGAAATATCCAATTTTCCTTCTTGAAGAGCATTCACTGAACTGAATGAATATTTTGGCTTGTCTGTCGTGATAGTACTCTTCTTTGGTACAAGTGTCTCTGGGTAATCCTTGTCAACGCCCAAAATTGTCTCTGTCAATTTCGTTTCTTCCTTAAACTCTTGTTCTTGCTTTTCAGTGTGGGCTTGCATGAAATCTTCTTTTCGAACATTTGTTTCTCGTGCGAATCGTTTCAAATCTTCCTCTCGTCTGGCTCTACCTTTCTCTTTTTCGGCTCTTAATCGATCCACTACCTCCTGTTTCGAACTCATCAATTTTTCAATTCTTTCGTCATCCAAAGCGACCCAATGTTTCTTATTTGCACGCTTTTCCTCATTGGTGAATTCCACTAAACCTGTTTCCTCATTCAATTTTGGAGTCACCAATTCTGGTAAATCACTGAGTGAAAGTCCACCTAAGCCAATTCTTTTCACATCCAATAATTCGTGTCGAATGGCTCTCATCATTTCACGAATCTTATCTGGCTTGTAATCATACAATACAATTTCAGCAATATTCTTCTTCTCATCAACAACCACAAATTCTGGAGGATTAATCACTCTCTTAATTGAATCCTTAATATCGGATCGGAAATGCAAAAGAGCTTCATCCTCCAAACCAGTAAATCCATCTCGTGTTTGAATTCGATAGACTCTTCGGCATGGAGCACGAACTGATCGGAATGCTTTGGCCATTGAATGTAATTGAGTAATGACAGTGAGTCCACCAATTTCATCAGGTAACGGTAAAATGGATTGAAATTCTGGTTTCCTCAATGGATATTCTTTTGGTAATAAATCAAGAAGGGAATAAATATTTTCAGTTAATTCTTCTTCTTCATGATGATGAGATAAATTTAAAGAATCCTCATCATCGTCATCGGACATGTATGTTTCTTTTTCTTCATCATCTGTAAATTCTTCTTCTTCTTCTCGTTCCAATTTGGAATGAGAAAGAATTTGAATCTGTCCTTCTTCCTCTTGTTGTTCTACAAATTTAAAGTTCTTTTTCATCTTTTGATGATATTGAAAATGTGTATAATCGTAGAGAGAGCCTAACGATTCCGAGGTCCAACCTTCGGGTTTATCAAAAGCAATAATTAAGGGTTTTAATGTATGAATGGGTTTTCCATTGATGAGAAGTTGAGAGGGTGTAATGACTTGTCGGAGTTGTTTTTTGGTTCCGAGTAATTTCTCGTGAATTTCTTTGTTGTTGTGATTGAGATGTTTGATGAGAGTTAATTCATGATTGGATAGAAATCTCTGAGAGTGGTCCAATACATTCAATTCCGATGACAAGATTATGAGTAAATGGATTGATCAACATTCAATTTTACAAAGAAGTATGGTTCATCGTATTGTGAATTATAATAATTAATATTATTATAATAATTATATGATCAAATTAAATCATACACAAAGCATAAAAACAAACCCGAAGCCCAATTTTCGAGCAGTATCCCAACTCGAAGAGCAATTTATCGATACGTCTTGATAAAGTCATTTTTTTCTTTGAACCTCTTGAATTCAATCAATTTTAGAAACATGGTTATGAGTGAAAGAGGTCTTTCTTTTCCTTGCTGTTGTTGTAAATGCTCACACTTTAGAAATTACTGCAAAGATATCATTTCATTGACAATTGGCATATAAGGTGGATCTGTTTCGAATGACCAGCACTGCTTCATCTCCCTTCATCTCATCATGATTGTGCGACAAGCCCTTCAAATCCTTCTCATCAAAATAATATTAAAAAATACTTTAACCATGTCATCACCATTACGCGATCAAAGACCTTCTCTCTTTCTTCAAATCTTCCTCCAAGTCACTTATTGGGAACCTTTCATCTTTGAGTTGTTAGTTGGAGTGATTTTTATGCTCTTTCCGAACAGTTCATTGGTTTTGGGAACATTTCTTCCAAAGACTTTGGTCGCCTTTATGCTTTCAAACGAGAAGACAGTGAACATCTTGAGTGATACTTCCATTCTGAAAGAAAGTATCTTGTTTATTTTGAGATTTGCAGGAGTCATGATTTTCTGTTTTGGAATGCTTCATTACCTGTTGATTCGTGTGAATTTCAATATTCTTTCGAATAATAATCCAAACAACTTGGTGAGCTCTAAATTTTTCCATTTAACAGTGTTGGTGTTGGGCATTGGTGACTTGTTGCATGTTGGAGCAGTTTTGGTCTTCTTGAAAAATTATTACAGTATTATTCCAGAGAAGGTGGCTTTGAGTGGTGATGCATTTGATGCTGTCTCCATGATTGCCATTGCCATTGTGTCCTCAATTATATTGGTCTCCTTGAGAATTTTCTTTTTACTGAAATATTCTTCCATGAAGAAGTGAAAGGTGTTTGCTGCATTGTGTCTCATGTGGTGAGCATGTGGTGACAACTTTAATGGTGAACAACAGGACAGTAACTCGTCATTCGTAATATTAAAATACATTTGTGTTAATGAAGCATGTATTTGTCGTCAAGTTATTCTTGTGTTTCATGAACTTTGGAATCCTCAACATCGAGATTCCTCATTTGATCGTTGTCCGTGGTTGATTGCTCTGAGCTCGTCTTGACTGCTGCAGCAGGTATGAATACTTCATTTCTACATGAGGTGACAAAGTTTGCAAAGACCTTTTCATCCTCCAAATGTTGAATGGAAGTACTGACTTGAATGGCATTTTCTGACAGGCAAGATCCAATGGTCTTGATAATCTCTAGAAATCTTCTAGTCAACTCTTTCAAGGTGGAATAACGCTTCCTGTCAATGTACTCCAAATGAGACAAGATATTTCCAAGACCACTCTTGTAGACCTCCTCTTTTTCTTGAAATTTGAGAAGCAATAATCGATTCTCAGATTCCAACTTGTCCAAAGTAGGTTCAAGGTCTTTTAATTTTCTTTCAATCTTGTCTTTCTCTTGATTGGAGAGAGGCTTTTCATTCATTGTCAACATGTTTTCTAATTCTTGTTTTGCAGATTTTTGAGTTTGCTCCTTTTTCAAAGCTTTTTCGTAATTCTTTTTCAAGGTGCTGACTTCGTCTGAGAGTTTCTTCTCCTCCTTTCTTGCCCTTTTCAAATATGCATGGAATTCATGACTCAATGATTTGATATCGTTGGAAAGAGTGGCCAAATCGGTACATGAGGATTTTAATTGGGAAGAAGTGTCTCTCATTCCATGAATGACCTTTCCGAAAACTCCAAACTCATCGTTCTCCATGCTGGAGATGGATAGGACACAATTTACGTGTTGTTGTGATACAGTATCATCACGATAATACATGAATTTAAAACATGAAATATATTCAAACATGTTTCAATATTATTTCAATTCACTAATTCTCAACTCAATAAATACTCACTTGTGTGATGATTTTATAGCCTTAACATTTTTCTGATCATACGATTCATACATGGTCGAATACAAATCCCTTGTCTGATGGACCAATTTAAGAAAGGCCAACAGATCCATATTCGAGTATTCCAATCGTTGCATAAGGTTCTGAAAATGATCAATTAAGGCTTCCCGATACGAGATACCCGACATTTGGCTTGGCACCAAATCCTGGCAAGGTGCTTGTGAAAGGCTCTCACTCGATGTATTTCCCATTTGTGTTGAAATGATTTTTTTCATCAATTCAAGTTGTTCCTATCATGATGATAGAAATCTTAAGCTGAGTAAAGTTTCAATTCTTATGAAGACATTCAAAAGTTGCGTGTTTAGGGTAAAAGGAATATACACATAGTCTCCGATCTACTCTCGAATCGGATATACCATAGAGTGTTGTTTAGGAGTGAGGAAAGAAAATAACAGCCTCAATAAAGACTTGTTGTTGTTGTTGAGGAAGATCTCATGTTGTGTAGAAAGCTCTTCTCATACATCTCTCGATCTCGCTGTCTCTTAATGGCTCGTTTCATAGATTCTCGAATTCGTTTCTGTTTCCTTCGTATTCGTTCTGGAGTGACAAGTCTTTGAATTTTCACTCCCTTTTCAGCCAAACTTCCACAAATTTTAGCCTTTCTCTTAATTACATACTTCCTCACATCATCCAATTTTGACAAGTTGAATAATTTACGAATTTTAGATGCCCGTTTGGGTGCCAATGTTTTCGGAAGAGTTCCCGTCAGTCCTGGAATGGCGTTTGGTCCATTCTTCACAATGACGAGTGAAACAGTTCTTGTTCCAATATCAATCGCTCCACCTCGAACTGTTTTTCGTTTCATGGCTCTTTTTCGTGTAGCTCTCCAACTTTGATAGCCAAATGAGCCTGGTTTTTTGAGGAGCCTTACTCGACCGTATTGACAAATTCCTGGTTGATGAGGAACTCCAGTCGAATCACTCGCTCCAGAAATTTTAAAACGATATCCTTCGAAGGAAGTCGCCACATCGATTCCATCAATGACATCTCCAATTTTTCGACCAATCCATCCAGCATGATTACTCTCATAGATGGGTTCGAACGTAAAGGGTTTTCCAGTCTGTGGAGACGCTATTTGAAACTGATCAATTGATTCCACATAATCATTTGTTTCATGAATGAATTTAAACAAACAATTCGAACAAATAGTAAACAATTAATTTTTGCAATTTTCACCATCTTACCCTTCTTATATATAAAGTGATCCGATATAGACTGATATCTTTCCAATCGGTCATGATCCGATGAATATCATGAACCTCTCTCATATGATCAAAACCCCTCCCAAACAAGAGATCAAGGTTTCGGAGAGGTCTTGACATGGGAGCTCGAACTTTGTAAGGACCTTTCTCCAATCTCACCATCCTTAGCAACAAGTTAAAACAATTTTTATCAACGAAGTTCCTTTCAATTTCAAAGATGATCTTCAAGCCATCAAAGTAAGCGTAACGGTGACGCAGAAAATTTTCAGAAAATTCCGAAAGAAGTGACACAATTCTCTATTTCTTGCTTTATTCGAGCTATTTTCTGTGGTTGTGTCAAGTGAATCATCGATCGGTTGAGCAAACTACAAACAATAACAATCGATGACCTTGCAACAAAATTTTTAGAAACAAACAATAATCCTGCACGCCATAACGATCAGTCTCTTTTTTCGTGTGCGGTACACAACTTATTGCACGGTTATTCGTTTTGTTTCTTTTGTGTTTGGAATGTGAGGAACCAATCCTCTTTTGACTTGCAATTTGTAATCCAAATCAAACACTGCATTTTTGAGGTCGTAAATTAAATCATTAATCTTATTTTGTAAATTGAATACAATTTGCAATGTTGTTCGTATTTTGAATCAATAATTATTTCTCTTCTTACACAATATGTATTTACCTTTTCTCTATTCTTTTCAAATTTATGTTTTCGAATATTACGTTTGATGTCTTTAATGATTTTCTATTATTAATATATAACATATGAGAATGTCCATTGATAAATAAATCAATCATCATTTCGCATTGCATCCATATAAGTCATCGAGTCGAACAGTAAGCAATTCATCCATTCGAATATGGCCATTCCGAACGCAGTTTCCGATATGAACTATTAGAGGCCTGATTCCACCACAGAGCTGATACCTACTGATTTTTCTGGCTCTCCAAATTTGTGTGCAGTTCTCATCATGTGCAAAACATTACTGAAAATTTCAAATCCATATTTTGAGTGAAACTTTTCTGCGGCTCTTGTAATTTTGAAGGGACGAAGGCCAACGATGGGCATTTTTTATTGTTTTTTGTAACTATTTAATCATCATCAAAATGAAATTGGGTTACTCTTCTGAGTCACATCATTGCATAATTCTCAGAAAACACATGTAAATAATTTAGATTTATTATTGTTGAGAATACACTAGGGATGAATAGAATGAGCATCTCTCTTGCTTATTCTTCATCTGCAGGTTCCTCTTCTTCGTCAATCTTTGGTGCCAAGTAGTAACGAATGTAGCTGTCCTCACTGAATTTGAATTCAACCATCAATGGTGATTCCTTTGAGAGGTACAGACCAACTTGGTCACTGAGAGAAGCAGATTTACAGAATGTATTCAAATACTTCAAAGCAAATGTCAAACTCACAGATTCCTTCAAAGAAATGGTTGTTGACTCATTACTCTTATCAGCTTTGGTATTCTCTCGTACAGTGATACTTCCATTTCCAGAGTCACCAGTTACAGAGAATTTAACACCATCCTTGTTTGCAGAAATGGTTACAGTGTCACCAATGGTTGATAAATCCGAACAAATCTTCTTGAATTCACCAGCAGGCATGGTAATTTCAGCGGTATAATCAGGTTCTGGGATTCCCAATGGTTCGGCATCAATTTCAATCAACTTCATTTCAAATTCGCTCATTCTCTCACCGGATTTGCTTTCAAAACTGAGAGAAAGAGTACCTGGTTCATCAGCAGCCTTCAATGAAATCGAGTCATCCTTTCCGGCACATTTCAACATCTTGTTCATCACTGCCATGTTTACACCCAAAACAACTTGCTTATCACATCTATATCTTTCAAAGGCATCCTTCTTGAGCATGAGATGGACCAAAGAAACGTGAGCAGTATCCATCGCTTGGAGAGCCATTCCACTCGAGTTGCAATCAAAGTTAGCATCATTGACGAGTTCCTTGATGGCGTCCAAAATCTTCTTGAGAATTTCTCCTTGTGTGATTTTAGCTTCAAACATGTTGTGAGGAATATTATTTAAAATTTGGAATGAGGAAATCTAGAGGGGTCGTTATGCTTGTGAACAAATCTTTTACTAGGATTCGTTGGTGATGACGATGATGATGATCGAAGCAATAGGAGTCGAACAACAATCAACGAGTGTGAGTATTTTTTTGGTGAGGACAAACGATTTTTCGTGAAGAAATTCGTTGGCGGTCAGTCAATATTTTTTCGAATTTTTAAAATGTAACGGTTGTCACTTTGAGGGCGCGAGCGGGAATGGTACTAATTTTTCACTTTGACTCTGAAACACCTTTCACTTCTTTAAAATTTATCGCATTCAACACCTTCAAATTCTAGAATAGTAGAAAAGAAGGGTCTCACAAGAACTTATTCCTCTCTCCTTCTTTGAATCAACACCTTCAAATTCGAAGAGGGTCTCATGGTCAATCCGACCAAATTAGCGACCTTCTCTTTTGGATTACTTTCATCATTCAACAAGGTAAATTCATAAAATTGAGCCATTCGAAACAAAATCATGCAAGTTTCAATTTGACTAAATACATAGCCAATACATCGACGGTTTCCAAAACTGAATGGAAACCAACTACAAGATGAGATCACACGTTGTTTAAATTCCTTGTCAAGAAATCGTTCAGGAGCAAAGTCAGTGGCTTTGTAGGTGGAGTTGGTGAAATCCGAACTCAACAGTTGACAGGTACGAGCTGGAAGAATAATGTTGCTTCCTTTTGGAACTGTCGTACCTCCAATAGTTGTTGTTTTCGTGCATTGTTTCACAATATGTGGAACAGGTGGATGCTAACGTGAGTGGTTTCACGAGGCATGAGATTGGAGAGAATTTGATGTCGTCAAGGAATCACAATCAATCGATGATGGAATGGGATACATGTGGGGATGAGTGAATTGACCATGATGAGAGGTATGTGAAGATAAAGTTTTCCACACAAACAAAGAATATTATGTGTTACATGTTAAACTTTTCTCAACTTACCAAACGAAGAGTTTCCATCACCACGGCATGAACATAATCCATATTGGGATAATCTTCAAACGTTGGTGCTCTTTTTTCTTGTCCTCCAATTCGAAGAGCTTCTTCTCGAACTCGTTGTTGAGCTTGATGATTTTTTCCCAATTCATACATGATCCATTGAAGTCTAAAGTTTGTTAATTCACATGATTCAAAAAAGGCAAGATTGTGAATAATGAAAGAATATGAGAAATTTCCAAGTGTGATTTGCAAATAAATTGAATTAGAGTCCATTCAGAACCAAAATGTGTGACAATATATAAATCATTAAGTTCCATAATTTTTGAGTTCTCATCACTTTGTTCATAATAATTATTCTAAACTTACGTAGTACTTGTAGTTTCATGTCCAGCCACAACAAAAATATATGCGTTCGACTTGAGTTCATTCACATTCAATTTTTGGTCAGACTCTTCCCATATTGGCTTTCACTAATTGTGACAACAAATCATTCAATGGTTTCTTTGGATCTTTCCTAAACTCTTCCTGTCTCTGTTCAATATAGCTATTCAATTTTGTGCTAATATATTCTAATGCTTGTTCATTTCCAACAAGTCGTGAAGTCAATTTTCTCATCAATCCTTCTCGAAAGAAAAATCGAATAATATAATCGTAGCGAATGACGTGAGTGAGATTTTGTCTAAATTTCATTCCTTCATCCGATGTTTCTGAAAATATCCCAAAATCAATTCCAAATCCAGCTTGTCCAATAATTTCAAGAGTGACAGAAGCAAAATCTTCAACATCCAATATAAAGCCATTATTCTTATTTTGTTCGAGTAATTTGTTCCATTTGGTCTTAAAAAGTAAATCGCATGAATGAGTAGGGAGAGAGGAGTGGTAAACGGATGAGACCATCATCCATGAGTTGCCAATATTTACTACACTTGGCATTACTCAATTTCGAGAGATTATTTCGGATTTTGATGAAGGATTTTAATAAATAGAATATTAAATAGGCAACCAACAGAGCAAAGACAATGTCAAAGATCATGGTGAGAGTGGAAAGAAATCAGGGACGTTATTCCGAACGATGAACGGTAAGTGACGTTTGAATATTTTTTATCACTTGGAGTTCGAGTCCAACAGGATCGGGTTCTATTGGACCGTTCGTGACAAACTGTATATTTCAAAATGTTGAAGAAATACTATTGAATGACTTGGAAATCCTTCAAGTCAAATTAAAACAATACCATTGTGGAATTGTGAGAAAAACATGATATACATCCAATAAAGTGATGAATGTGTCTAATGAAATTGATGGTGATCGATCACCTTTTTTGAGAGCGACCTGCTGCACAACATATGTTTATGGATATATGAACAAGTGAATTCATCCTTTTGGCACGCTGCAAGTCCAGGAAACATTAAGGTTGAGATTCTAAGGCCCAAAAAAAAATGCACAACACTGAAACATCAAGCAATCCAGAAGGAGGGATGCATTCCTCCTTTTCGGAGCAACCGCACAATGATGATGGTTATGATGAAGTAGATACCATTGGAAAAGGAATCATCAGTCCTAAAATTGTGTATCATCCCTATTTCCAAATTGCAGCGTTATGTTTTGTGTTGGGTCTGATTCTTTCTGTAACAACTCCTATTGCAGGATATTACATCTTGGATGGAATTTACCTGTCCATGAATGGTCCTTCTCATTTATTCTCGGTCTCGGTATTAACTACAGTTGGGCTATTTCTCTCTGGATTGGCGTTGATTGTGGTTGCTTTTGTCATGTCCGTTCTTTCAACGCAATGGCAATACATTACCATCGAGAGCCATAAGGAACGTTTCGGGGCTGGTGATCTCTATGGCGATCAACAAACAAATGAGGCAGAGGAATCCAAGTATGCGAGTCGTGTCCTCTTAGCAACCAAAAGAACTTTCATCATTTCATGTGTGTTTACGGTACCATTTACTTTGGTTGGTTTGTACTTGGTATCTTGTGGAATTTATGCAGTGAGTACAACTCCATCATCAGCATATCCGGCTTTCACAAATGTCGTTGATATGGTTGGATTTGCTCTTGGCTTCTTAATGCTTCATTGCGGTTGTGCTATTATTGCCATTGGTGGAATAATAAGCATTTCCTTATATCGCAAATGGAAGAAGGTTCAAGATCCTTCTTCTTCTGGCAGTAGCCCTCACATGGTTAGTCTAAAGAGAAACATCAAGAAGTACTTGTGTTGTATTGAAGGTCAAGTTGTAGCAGATGAAGAATAAAAAGCGATTGCAACTGAGAAACTCTTGGTGGAGATTATGTTGGTGCTTTCGTTGGTGGTTGGCTGGCCATAGGATATGGTGGAGGAATTCTGATACACATGCGTTCTCATCTCTTCTTCTTTTCTGTGATGGTTGACTGCAATCGTTCCTCCAATGCTTTCTTTTCCTTTTTCAATTTATCAATTTCCTTATTCATGCTCGTCACGAGTCGTTGTTCAGCTCTGGCTAATTTCAAATTATCCTCATTCAATTTCGTTGTCGTATCTTTCAAAGAAATCACCTCATTTCTTGTTTGTTCATGCAACTTCCATAATGTTAACTTTTCCTTCTCCAATAATTCCAACTTGGTTCTCATAATATTATTGTTCTCTTCACATTTTTTAAGAGTCTCTTCCAGTTGTTGACAATAAGATTTCGATTTTTCAAATTCAATTTCAATTCTCTTGAGTTGAGAACAATCTGTTTGAGCTCTTCTCAGCTCCTTTTCAAGTTTGGATATTGCTTCCTCCTTTGATTTTGTGACTTGCATAATTTGTTGAGCCATTTCAACATTCTGTTTGTAATGAAATGTGCAAATTGAATGTATATTCAATATGATGAGAGGTGTGACATAATATATGAGGATAATTTCCTTCCTACAATCACAAAACTTACCTTTTGCTTCAAACGCAAAATTTCGGAACGCAACTGCTTCCAAACTTCAAATGGAGAAGAAACGGCTTGAGTTGTTGATGAATTATGATGTCCCGTACTTGAAGGAGACTTGGTTGATGTAATTCCACGGTGGTGCTTACTAAGCATTGTATAAGTACTACTCGTTGTACTGATTTGAGAGGAAAGTTGACCACCATCATACTTATGGTCTGAAAAAGAGGTGGAAGATGAGTTGCTTAATATTGAAACATTTGAATGGTTGTTTGCCATAGTTTCAATACCGTTGGTAAAAGGGATTGACTGGAACTTCGTTGAAGTAATTTGTTCAAGAAGGCGTTCTACTTCGTGATGCATCTTATCATTTGATTGCTTCACTTCATCGACATATTGCCTTAATTCAAGATTTTCCTTTTTGAGTTTTGAAATTTCATTGCTTGTCAATTTTGCCTCCAACTGTTCACATAGCTGACTCTTTTCATCAAGTAATTTCTCATTTTCGATCATCTTTTGCTCAATGCTTCGGATTTTCTCATTCAATTCATTATTTTTTTGTTCTTTTATCAGTAATTCACTCTTACATTCCGCAACAACTCTCTCACATTCTTTCCTGAGATTCATTATTTGAATGTTGTACTCTGTAATAGACGATGAAAGCTTTTCCTGAAGTATGGTGATTTGATCTTGTAGAGTAGAATGGTATTTTCGAGATTGAGAAATATCAGAATTTAAATCCTCTATTGTATGCTCATGCTTCTCGATGATACTCATTTTTTCGGATATTTCTTTGTCTTTTCCTTGAACATCGTTCGAAAGATGTTCACAACGGTAGATGTAGTCCTGCAATTGAGTGCTTAAATTTTGAATAGTATTCTTGTGTTCAGCGATAGTCTCATTGTTTTTCTCAATTTCACTTTTTTGATTGGAGCAAATATCTTTAAATTCATCCAGTTCTTTCCGTAAAATGTCAATACTTTGTTGCTTCTCATTATACGAATCATTCATTTTCTTTAACTCATTTGTCATGATTGCGAGCTTTTCTCGACATTCGACCAATTGTGTTTGCAACTCTTGTGAAAAGTGTTGTTTTTCATCGTTATTCACTTGAAGTAAGGTATCACGTTTTAGAATTTCCGCTGTTAAATCATGCACCTGCTCTTTAAACTCTCTCAATTTCTGTTCATTTTGACAATTCATCTCTGCGAGTCGTTGCAATTCTGTTTGGAGCATATTTTTTTCTTTAACACAGTTTTCATGCTCATTCTTGAGAGATTTGAATGTTTCACTGATATATACAATTTCCTTTTCTTTCAAAGCTACTGTTTCGAGGGTTTTCAAATAATCAATCCTCAAAATCTCCATTTCTTGGACAAGGTTATCATTTATAACTTTGTATTGTTCTGATGACTCTCTAAAGTTTGTCACTTGTCTCTTCTCTATTTCTAATTGGAGATTCAACTCATCTATTCTTTCTTTCAATAGTTCGTTTTGAGATTGTGCTTGTTCTCGACAAAATTCAATGTCTTTTTGTAAAGAGTTGATGAAGGCTTCTTTTTGAGATATTTCATTTTTCAATTCATGAGACATGTTTTCAAACATCTCTTTCATATTCTTATTCTCCGTCTTAATTTCCGATAATGACTCACTAAGCTTTAAAATGTCTTGTTCTTTTTCTTCCAATTCTTTCATAGCTATCTCTTTGTTATCCATGTCATGCTTTTGCTTTTCATTCATGGTTTTTATCTCTTTTTCAAGATCTTCCACTTGTTTTTTAAGAACAGTTTCATAATTTTTGCTCTCCGATAATTGATCAGAGAGAGAAGTGAGCTCTTTTTTAAGGCTACTAATAGCAAGTATTAAAGTAGCTTCTCGTTCGCTTTTCTCCATGTCAATCCTAGCTTGAATTAGTTGTGATTCTAAATCGTCAACTAGTGATTGTTTTTCTGATAGAGCTTTCTTAAGAACATCCAACTCAGAATTCATTTCTTTAACTTCTTGATAAGCCTTCTTTAAAGCATTGACATTGGAAGTGTTTTCGGTTTGTGAATTCTCCAGATCAGAGCGTAGCATTCGTACAGATTCTCTCTCATTTTCTAAATCATGACTCACACGTTGCAATTTAGATTGAAGAGATTCAATAAATGCCTGATTATTGCTATTTTGCTCCTTAGATTGTGATAGTTCTTGTTGCAACATGCTATTGACAGAGGTTATGTGGTGTAATTGATCTTGCAGATCCTGTATTTTAGTGGATGATTGCTCGTTGTTGGAATTCAGCTCTGTTTCAAGTTGTTTTTTTTTCCTTGAAAATTCTTCTTCCTGAATGCACATTTCGTTTTTGATTCTTATCAACTCACTTTCGAGAGTCTCCAAAATTCTCTTATTGGATTCAATACCATTCGCAAGATTGTTAGAAATATAGTCTTTTTCTTGGGACACCTTTTCTAATTCGTTAGAGAGATGGTATATGTTTTGTTCTTTTTCATTCAGTAAATTATTAAGTTGCTCAATTTGTTTTTCTTTCTCCAATAATATTTCGGGTGAGACCAAAGTTGTTTGCTTTTGTTTCAATTCTTGTATTTGCTTCTGAAGGTTTGAAATATTTTTTTCATTTGTTGTTTGTAGTAAATATTCTTCATTTTTTGTTGTTGCTTCGTGTAGAGGATTTGTATCTGTGGTTGTTAACGAAGATGAAGAGGAACCAGAAAAGCATCCACTATCAAGCATATGGTTTTTGTTGACACTTCTTATTGTGTATGTAATATTATTCGAAGCTTGCTTCGTAGATTCCAGTACCACACTACTTTGAACATCTCCCAACTCAAACCATGAGGTGGATGTATGATGATGTGTGGATGCATTATTATTTGGATGGACGATATTGGAAGTATTGCAAAGTGTCATAAAATCTTTCTCTTCGTGTCGTACAGTTTCCTGTGACATAGAACCATCATTAGGGTCAAGATTCGAGATAATTTGTGGCTTCATGTCCTTTTGGGAAAAATTTCTCCGTATTACTATCTTGTTGTGGTTGCTGTTGTTTACGCCACTCACATGATGAATATTATGTACAATTTGATGATGTGTGTCAACTGCTTCATTTGGCTGATGATGCACTTGAGATGGTATCGTAATGTAGGGATGCAAATAGCCACAACCGCATCGGGCATGAAAAATTTTAGTTCCTTTTGGAAAGTATCGATGGTATATTGATACTATTTCTTTTTCGTTTAAATCGTCCAGAGCCAGAAAGGAATTATTATTCTTGCACAATGTTGAAGGTTTTTGGAAAATATTATTTTGATCGGAGGAGGAATTAAAACATGATGATGATTGGTCTTCAAAGCCGTGCAGACTGTTATTGGTCCCATTTTTTGAATGCTTGATGGATCTAAAAACAGGATCGTTGTTGTTCGTGATGATTGTGTCATCAAGCTGGGATGTTACTTGTCTTTGAGAAACGGATTTGTCTCGATTTTCGTTCAAATCCGTTTTATTCCAGATGAACACTTTTGAAGAATTGTGATTCATTCGGTTTCGATTTATGGAAGCATTAATTTTTTTTTCGTCTACAGTGGCGCGTTCAACTTCTTTTTTTTAATCAACACTTTGAACATAAACAACAAACGGAACAAAGCACTGATCTTGCAAACTTCGTTAAACACTCTGTGAGTGTGGAAGCCAGGGGAAAGGACCCAACGCCACTTATACATGTGGCTCTTTAACAATATTGTGTGTTGTTAGGAAGCGGAGCACCCAATGTTGATTGAGGAGCTTGGATCTCGCTCCTAATATCAAGTGGTTTTGGTATGCATAAGAAAAAATTCTCCTAATTTTCTTTTGAAAATTCTCGAGTTCAACGGTTTGAAATTGAATGGTCCTTTTACGATCGATAATAATTATGAGAATGCATGTTTGGACTCGTTTATTATTCAAAGTTGGTATCACTGCTTCAACTGTTGTTATAGACTACCCTCCCCACTTTGAAATTACTTTCGAATAATGCATTCTTTTTTTTCAACCCAACAATTAAAAGGAGAGATACTTTTGAAATGGGTCTTCTTCATGTCATAGAGAAGAGAACTCTCTTTTTTGAAATGAGCATAACTGTTGAGTGTTTGTAATGTCTGGAATTTTCTTTCCTCATTTTGGTTGTTCAACGGGCAAACAGTGTTTGATGGGTGCACTTGTTCGAATAGTGAGGTTTCTTTTGTTTCATCCTTTTCAAGAAGTAAATCCTTCTCCTTCAACAATTTTAAAAAACTTTGAAAAAAACTGTACTTGGAAATGGTTGTGGTAGATTTAAGAGTATTCTCGTCTCGTTTCGTGATTCCTTGTTTGTGTCCTTTCGATCCAATTGCCACATCTTCACAGTATTTTGGTTTTTTGACAAATGTATCTTCATCTATCTGTAGAAAACAACAAATACTATATCCACTTCCCTTATTTCTAGAATTTGATGCTCTTTCTGTGAAGACTGTGTCTTTAGTTTCTGAAATTACCTTAAAAGATGGTCTGTTTAAAGTTTGTAATAATTTCAAAGAATCATCTTGGGAATTGGTGCTTATAGAGAAGCGCTTCGTTATTGATCTTTGTAGGCGCTCTTGAATCATGCATGCTTTCCATGATTCTACATTTTCAGGCAATAATATTACAAAGCTGGAAATAAAAATAGGTTCAAAAAAGTGAGATAATAAAGCTCCCTGGATCCCTAAATAATTCCATTTCGTTATTTTATCACTACATGACATACTTTGATTTCGAGGGCCACCTCCAGGTTTTAATCTTACCACATCAATTCGTTGATCTTCATGAATACTTTCAAGTTGAATATTTGAGATTGTATTGTTTACGATTTTTGAACCAGTTCGGCCTTCAATTTTCATCTTTTTTTTGATTTCATCTGGATTGAGAGAGTTTGTTGTCGTTTGAGAGTATTTACATTGTCGAATTCTTGTTGAGACGTTTCCCCATGCTCAGCAGTTTGAATCGAAAATGTATCCACCCTTGTTTTGTTGTTCATAGTTGATGGTTGTTCGGGAATTATTGAGCAATCTCCACCTAACGGTCACATCATTTATGATGTTTATGTGTGAGAAAATGATCAATAAAAAAAGAAATAATATTGAGAGGTCAAGTAATGAAATGAAAAAATCCATTACATACATGGTAGCTCAGTAAGTATCATTAGTAACTCAAAATTTTCTTTCAGCTTCCACCTCTTATTTTCTTCAGTCCAATCAAAATATTTGTGACAACAATTTTCATGTTCCAACAATGAGTAGAGAAATTTCATAAATCCTCTTCTAGCCATCACTTCTGCGTGACAATCGTGTAAGAGAAAACCATTTTCCATGTCTTTTTCAATTAGATCATGTCCGATACATTTTGTTCCAGTCCCAACTGAACAGATAGTAAGGAATGAGCTTAAACCATCTCTCATGTTAACATTATTGTCAGTAATAACAACATGGTCATTCACTTTTTTGTCCAATAATACAAAAGAAGCAAGAATTGTGTATTCATTGGGTTGTGGCTTTCCTTTTTTTGAAATTTTCTCTGCATAAAACTGATGTGTTAATAATAGATATTTACACAAATTTATAAAAATTATTTTGATAATTCAATGAATCCCTAGATGATTCTACAATATTCCGTACCTTCAACACTGATTGAACGACCATCTTGTAATGCGTATCATTTTCCGAAGTGTGGCTGGGTTCAACTTGACGAGTCAACATTTTTTTGAAGGTGTAGAGCATCATCTCTCAAAATCTTTCCCTAATACATCGAATGGTTATTCGTCATTCAAAATATCACTTATAAAAGTCTTTTTTGTACATCCAACCAAGGAGGGATGTGATTTGTTGGATCACAGAGACTGCCCGCCATCGACTCACTACAAAAAAATATTGATAAATATAAAAACGAGGATGTATCAATACAGAAAATATTCCCGAAGACCCATTTGTATTATTTTCGCTTTTTCAATATTACTCTTGCTGGTTTTTGTACAGAATGTGGATACCACTTCAAACATAACGGAAACAGCAAGAGTTTTGTCACTTCTTATTTCTTCATCAAGAGGACAAATTCAAAACGCTCCTTTAACATTGTTGGCATTTAAAGAGACGGAAATCATGCTAGTTCTGACACAACATGAAAAGTACTTGTCCATCTCACCTAAAACTTTGTTTTATTCAGGTTTGTTTCTTTTTCATTGTAACAGTACTTTCATTGATCAACCTTCAATTCAATTATTATTATTCCAATAATTTTTTTGATTTCAATTCATTTCACTTTTTGAACAATATCAGGCGGAATTATTGGAAATAATATTGCTCAAATCAATGCCAGCTCCGTTGATTTTTCCGTGTTTGCTTCAATTGTTCAAAACACAACTCTTCCTTTGTCGACGTTATACTTGAAAGTAACCTCTTTTTGTTTTCAATTGCTCAAAGAAGTTTACATGTCTGATAATTCTTTTCTAAAAGGATACAAAATGTGCTTTTTTAAATCCTCCCTTAATGGTGTTGGCGTGAATAATTATTTTTCGAAAACAAGTGAAGGATTTAGATGCATTTCTGTTGACGACTCAGGTGAAGCCGTCACTTCAGATGTCTCTAACGGATTTATTGAAGATTTTGCTGCCTCTCTGTCAGTGATTACTATCATCGCAATTGCATTTCTTTGGATGCAAAGTAGATTTAAGTATAGAATTCTCGATTCAAAACGACATCCATTCTCATACTTCTATTTTGGTAACGATACTGATTGGGATAACGCTTCTACATCTGATCTTTCTGTAGCTTTAAGGTAAGAATTGTTTTATTATGATGTCACATTCATCTTTGATTTTAACAATTATTGTTGATCTAGACCAATGTTTCCATTATTCAAACATTTATCCAACCAAGTATGTATTAATGAAATCTCACTCCTCATGAAAAACCTATTCACTATTACTTACAGATTGATAAACTATACAAATTCTTTTCCAAAATCTTGAAAAATAAGGTTGATCAAGATCATGTGAGAAAATACAAAAAGCTCACATCAACCAGATTATTACGTTATCAAATATTTATGGATGCTTTTATTTTACTTTGCATTGGGGCATTTTCTTCTGTACAAGTTTTTGTACCAAACATTATTTGGTTTTCCAATTTCTTGACAAACAATTCACATTTTTCTAATTATTTTTCTCAAGAAAATTTTGATGTGATTAACCTTATAATATGGGGAATTTCGTTTTTATTTACATTTATTGCAGTATTTACTCTTTTCATTACAACATCAAGCAAACACAAATTACTATTTTGGAACTTGAGTTACTTACCTGATGCCACAATTTTAACAATTAGTGACATTATTTTTAAAGCAGTCACACTCATTCTGATGGATATTATTATTGCAATTTTACCATTTTGGACATTTGTGACCAAGGCAGGAGTGATGATTATGGTGTCACTAGTGATCATTCTTTGGGGCTCTCAAAATATCATTGTTCCAATCAACAAATGGACCAAACATTTTCAACATGGAAATTATAGTCACCTCGTGTCCTCAATTGCTCTCTCATATAGTAAGGAATTACTCTTGACCCTTCCTTTTTGTGTACAAGTTTTCATGATGGCAGAGACTGTATTTCGAATCATTTGGTCATTAATTTTATCTTTTGGTTAGTATGGTTGGTAAATATTGAGAAATATCAACAACTAACAATTTATGAATAATTTTGTTGTTACAAAAATTCCTTCCTATTCGAAACACTTTCCATGCAATGAAATTTTCAACAGTTGTGAACAATAACAAACTCTCACTCATCGGCATACTGGGCATTATGATCTCTTCAGTGAAGAGTATGATCAACGATTTGCTTCAACCTACTAAGTTGGCTCGTAAGAAAGTAATTGAGCGACTTGATTCATTTGTTTTTCCGCATTTAACAACGTCTAAACGCTATTCGTCTCAATCCAACCAAATCTCAACATACAGCAACATTATTAGTGCATATACTAACCTAATTGAAAATTCACCATTTGATTATTCTTATGTTGACACGTTATGTTTGCATGAAAACTTAGAAGAAATCAAAGATATTGCTTTTCGTAAAAAGAAAAAACAATACACCAGCAGTGACAATGTTGCACTCGAAAAATTACAAAACACTGTAACTTTAAAAGTTGAACATGAAGAAGTCAAGAACGAAGAGCAACTCAAAACCAAATTCGTTGAGGAAAATGATCGCCCAAGATATTTTTACATTCTCTTCAAGAAAGAAATATCCATGCTTGTGAGAGCGATTTTCCTATCAAGTCAAGAAAAAGATGAATCTAAATTAAGAGTTATTTTGAAACGAGGTGACAATCTCTATACACCCTTACTAAATACTGACATGAAATTGATCAATAATTTACTTACTGGTCGAATTCAAATCATGTCAGGAAATTTGAGCAACTACATGTTGGTCATTCTGGTCTCCATCATCATCTTTCTATCATTTTCATTCAGTAATTCTGGAGATTATGATTTAATAAGGTTCGTGGCTTTACATAAAATAATTTGCATCCACTCTACTTTTAACATGCAATCAACTTCAATAGCAACTTTGTAATCATTGGAAGCATTTTCATTCCTCAACTTTTTGGAAGACTAGACAGTGGACAAATTGAAGAATTGTTTGATCGAAGAATTGAGCAAGTCATGCTTGTAGCAAAGAGAACACTTGCGAAAAAGTTAGGTTGTCCCGAAAAGGATTTGAATCTTTGTGTATTCAATTATCAACACGACTCTGACATTAGTAATTTCTTAGAACATAATACTCCAATTTTTTCTGAATCCATTGGAAAGAAAATGTAAGTCATTGGATATTAATGTTGCTTCAATGTTTTTAATCATGTTGTTGTTATTATATATGGATATATCACCCATGTTTTTTAAATTCACTCATGGGCCAACACAGAATGGAACAATGGGACTATGCGTCCAATCAATCAACATTAACAGTGGATCATAACAAATTCAAGCAGCTAATTTTAGTTTCATGGGATGAGTGTCTAAGAATTATCAATAGCTCCACAAAATCAATGAATCTAGGAGGAAGCAATGATTATCTTAAAACTCACACACAATTCATCAATAATTTTTCTCAAGTTGTATATTATCTCAGTAATTTTGAAGCTGATTCTGTTGTGAGCGTGTATGAGTTCATTCACATGATGGAATTAATGAAGAGAGTGGTCTCTTCGGTGAGAGAAGACTATACGAGTGATATGGACCTTACTTTTGCTTTCTGTAAGTAATTGTTATTCATTTCATTCAAATGTTATTGATTTTTCATCTCAACTTATTTCTCTTCGAACTCATAATATCAATTTATTTCATGCATTTTTAATAGTCTTCTTTTGTTACCTCCGAGGTAAATCTGTTGAGGTTGGAAAGAAAAACTGTAATGCTCTTGATGTTTCATATGGAGAGCAAGAATTTCCCATCTTCTATTCGGCCTTCCAAATGTGGCTCAGTATCAGTGAACCCAAAAAACAAAAGCTGGAAGAATCTCGTCACATTACGGAGCTAGTTTTTGCTCTCTTCCCTGGTGATCAATTATTGTCGCTCGAACAGTTTCTTCATTCATATCGAGCTGTTCGTTCAGTACTCAATTCCAACAAGCTTCTCTTCAATGACTCAATCGAAGAATTGTGAATTTTACTACACATTGATATGTTGGTTAAATTAGGGTTTGACTTCTCATTGTTTGTGAACGTTTTAGGCCGAGTTCACAGGTTTTGAGTGCGAACAAGAATAAACAAACTTTTTCAAAAAAAAATTCACACAAAAGCACCAACTGCACGCATTCGCAATGTCATCAGAAACCAAACCAAGAGTTTTGATTTTGGGCGGAACAGGCTTTGTTGCCAGACATTTAGTAAAGTATTTGATTGATAACAATTTGATTAGCAAGATTAGAGTTGCCGATAAGCAATTGTCAAAAACTGGTAAGTTCTGAAAGATGGTCTCATTCTCGTTGGTAAAAACAAATGATGTCGAACTTGATGATGATGTCCTTTTCTATTTATCGATGCTAAATATTGAATGGATGGGATTGGAATGTGGCCATCTTCTATTCATATTGAAACACACCGATTCCAACCATAAATCAATCAAATATGAATTTCATCATCATAACGATTCGGTATCAACCATTTTGATTATGATGACGACAATGTACTAATAATGTTTGAATAATTATTATTACTCTCAATCATGCCCTCTCACACAAATACAATTACATTTAAAACACCATCCTAATGATATATCATTGTTACTGAAATGGCCATTTCATCATCATCATTATTCCTGAAATATAGCCTACATGTCCGACGAGTTTCTCAACATTTATGAGAACAATCCTCTTGTTGAATATAAACAAGCTAACCTGTCCAATCCTCAACACATTAAGAAGGCTTTTGAAGACAGTACAGGTCCATTCAACTTTGTGGTGAACTTGGCTGCAGAAACAAGATATGGTCAAGAAGAGCCCACCTACAAACAAATGGTCTATGACATTTCTGTGAATTGTGCGAAAGAAGCTCTCAATTATATTTCATCTATTGAGAAATATATTGAAGTGAGCACAGCTCAAGTCTATGACTCTGGAAGCAAAGCAAGTAAAGAGACTGACAAGATTGCTCCTTGGACATTATTGGCAAAATTTAAAGCACAAGCTGAAGATGAATTGAAAAAGTTATCACCTGAGTTTTCTAAAAAGTTGATCATTTTACGTCCTGCCATCATTTATGGTCCTGCTGATTTGAATGGATTGACTCCACGTATTACTTGTGCTTGTACTTATACTTCAACAAATGAGAAGATGAAATTATTGTGGAGCGGTGACTTGTGTATTAATACTGTTCATGTGAGAGATGTTGCTCGTGCAATTTGGCATCTTTATACTAATACCAAAACTTCGGGCCCTCTAACATTTAATTTATGTGACAAGAATCAAACTGATCAGAAAAAGATGAATGAAATTTTGGAGAAGATTTTTGGTATTGAGACTGGTTTTTTCGGCACTTTATTATCACAAGCTGCAAAATTGAACATGAAAGCTGCTGCAGATACTGCAAACGAAAATCACATGTTGCCATGGAGTGAAATGACCAAGCAAAGTGGTATTAAATTCACACCACTCTCCCCTCACATTGATAAGGAATTGTTGTATAATAATTCACTCTCAGTTGATGGATCACTCATTGAGAAGGAAACTGGTTTTCATTATGAGTATCCAAAGATGACAGAAGAACTCATTCTAGAACAAATTGATTATTTCAAGAAATTGAATTTGTTCCCTAATTTTACCAAACTTGAAAAGAAGAAGTAATTGATAAGAGATGTTGTAATTACCATCCGAAAATGATCACTCTAATCATGTTAATGAGATATGAATGAAAAATTGTGTATTGTACAATAAATTGAATATAAACCAAAAAAATTTATTGAAGTACATGTACACCGAATCCAGCTGGGATTCTAATTGACAACACAAAAGTGTCGTCAATCTGCATTCTTGTCAAGATTTTGTGACATTTGCCAACGAAAAGGTGTGAAGTGTCGGATGTGAGAGTCTGTCATATTTCTCCACACTGCATATTTGTAATTGGGCGAGATGTTCTTTTTCAGAATCACCATTGATGTTGCATGATTAAATATTCAAGTGAATGATGCTGGTTTGGAATGTTTTGCATTTTGATTTTCATCCTTTGAATATGTTGATTCTTGGTCAGCTGTCTTTGGTTGAAAATGATAATTCCAGAGTGGGTTAACAAGCGTTGCTGACCAAATATTGTTTGATGTGAAAGTTGCTAAATTGTCCGCCTTGATTTCAAAGTCAAGATGTCCTTTTACGTCTTTTTAAAGGTGATTTGCAGGTTTCTTTTCCTTATGATCTTCTTAAATTCTCTGTACAGGAGGTGGAACATCCCATTATAATTCTTTTTGAGAACATGGATGGCGACTTGACTGTCGGTAGAGACTTGTGCTTTTGCATTCTTTGGAAGAAGTCTAATTGCTGTTAAAATTGAAGCTATTTCAGCTGGTTGGAATATTCATTATGAATTCTAAGAGAGTAAGAATGTGGTGTGTTGAGGGCTGAAAGGTTGTAAATGTTGATTCCCATTCCTGTTTTACCATCCTGACAGGAGCCATCAGTATGGATTTCAAAATTGGCACATTTACAACAAGTTTACACTATCAATATTTGAAATTAACACTAAACTTTGATGACAGAAACAATAATTGAAATTTACAACAATAATTACACTAACTTTGATGACATGAACCACCTTTAACTGTACTAATTGCAAGCACAGCCATGAATAACGTTTGAATTTTCGAACAAATAAACGCATGGAAAGTGATTATTAAAAAAAAATGCTTTCGGCGAGAACATTCATCCCCAAAGCTTGTTGCTTTCATCGGAATATCAACACTAACCCAACTTTGAAAAATTCATCAGTATTATCATTATTATTATGCAAAAATTATCACCATTTTGCAACAACCTTCTTCCATAAACAAATATTAAATACTTCAACTTTCGATCACAACAACCATAACCATACCTCAAATATCTGCTCGATGATTCATTATCACCAACATGATGAAGCACGCGAAGAAGAGGATATTGTTCTAGACGAAGAACAGGATCAGCAACACGTACAAAATATCATTACATCCTTTGATCCAATCACACTCCAAAAGAAATATATCTTTACGTTCGGAGGTGTTCCGGTTCCAGTTCCTCCTTTCGAAATGACTCCTCCGATCATTTTGGACAGTGTTGATGTAGCCGCTCGAAAATTGGAAGGAGAAATACCTGTAACATTTTCAGATATTGAATTCATATTCCGGAAAGAGCAATCATGCATGGAATTTTCATGTGGTTCGGTTGAAGAATTTCCCAAAGACAACCCAGAAATGCCCCAAATTGCTTTTGCTGGAAGAAGTAATGTAGGAAAATCTAGTTTGTTAAATGCCCTAGTGGACTCGGATAGATTGGCTCGGGTTTCAGCGACACCTGGTCACACAAAACGAGTCAATTATTTCAATATTAATAATTTATTGTATGTGGTTGATTTACCTGGTTATGGATTTGCAGAGGGAAATGCCGAAAAAATTCGAGAGTGGAATGTTGTTTTTCGGGAATATTGTATTCGAAATACTGTGTTGAAGAGAGTTTTCATTTTACTAGATGCTCGATATGGAGTTTACGAACAAGATTGTGAATTTATGGACATGTTGGAAGAGGCTGGAATTTCGTATCAAATTGTTTTAACGAAATGTGACAAGGTTTCTCCAGAACATTTGAATGAAATGATGAATTTCTTATACAACGAAATGAAATCTGGAAATACATTTCGATCCTGTTTTCCATATATTTTACCAACGAGTTCTGAAAAGATGATTGGAATTCAAGATTTGAAAGCAGCAATTATTCGAGCGAGTGGGATCTTGGAGAGTGGAGCTTTATTTTCACGACAAGAACGGGAAGCACTGGCAGCTCGAATGGAAAACATCATGAGAAGTACCGAACCAGATCATCCCTACTTTAAGCTTCGAAATGAAATTTTGAATAATACTCAAATCAAAACTGATGATCAAGGAAAATATTCAACCCAAAGACCAACTCCTGTTGTGGCGAAAAACCAAGGACAAGAAGATGAAGGGATTTCCACATCATTAGAAACGAATTCAACTAAAAGAACCCCGCAGGAAAAAAGTTGACACCCACTCAAGAGAAAATGATCGAAAAAGCAAAAAAAGAAAAGAAAAGTAAGGTGAATCTTGTTGGACTGGAGTAGAAGAAGAAAGCCACAAATCATGTTTTGAAAAAATGGCTAGTCGATTAGTCTCTGTAAATACACATAATAATCAGCGATGATTTATTCTAATTCTATTCTCCATCATTATTTAAAATTCGGAATTTCGAGTAATTGATCTATATGATCAACAACCAATAGTAGTGTATTGGTAAATTTTGAATGTCTTCTCTTTGATGTAGTGTGATCATGGAATAAATTTGACCAAAATTGTTGTTGGCATGATATTCATTTGATCAATATAATCATTAAACGATAGGAGGTGATTGTATGGACGCTAGCAACAACAATATTGTTGTTTTTATAGACTGCTTTGATCATTTCATTCAATGGGAGTCATTTGAGAGAAAAACTTTTATGAAAATTCCGAGTATGAAGGAGATATACCTGGAACCTTCAGAAATCGTCACTACAAGTAGTACACAATATCATCATTGTTCAACATGTGTACAAAGTTTGGTGACTGTCTGCGGAGGATAAGTTCATCATCATGGTCAAATGATGTTGACTTGATAGACAGTCTATCAAGTCATGTCGGAATTTTCACTTGGCTAATTCTCATGAAACTTGATCAGATTGTATCAATTATCATTTCAACAACATTGCCACTGAATGCATTCATTGAATCATTCCCATTATTGAATCACGTAGTTTTATTAAAATGAATGATTTTTATTAGAATCAAGATTAAGTATTGAATTAAGATTTGAAATTAATTCTAGTGATAGAACAAGGTATGTTATGTGAGTGTATCAAGTTTGATGTCATTTTGATCATTCTAAGGGTATCATCATGCTTGTCGGAGATACTTGAATTTTTTTGGAAATGAAAAATATTTATTGATGAAGAATATTGATAATATTGTGATGATCAAATGTTAGAGTGTATCACTATGACTATTTTGATATGTTTGGATGACATTTTTGAGTGTTTTGTGTCAAATATTATTGCAAAAAAGGTTATGAGGTATGACTAGGTCAAGTGGTGATTATTAGATATCAAAATGTTCATCTCAACAAGGGTGACTCATCCATGTGAATTGTTGCATGTATAGTTATGCTTCTCTCTCATGTGGCAGCTGCTTGAGAGAGAAAAACCTTGGCGAACTCATTACACATTCGCGCCCAAACAAACCAAAAAAAAACAAAGCACAACATCGAATGGAGCAATTCTCTGAATCACTGAAGAATAAGCCTTAAAAACCAAGCCTTTTCCTTCTCCTCAATATTTTTCCGAAAGCTATTCATCATCAATATGAACGTGCTCAAAAAACCTTCATGGCCATTCTTCAAGAAACTTTTGCTATGTGGTCTTGGAGCGGTGATTGCAATTTCAGCTTTTTTGCTTTATATACACACTGCATACCCGGTTCGGGACTTTCAAAATACCGTCTTGATTCAGAGAAAATTTCAAGAATGGCCACCAGAGAGAAAGTTGTTTTCACTTTTATACCAAGAAATAACTGAAAACAAGTTTCCTCTTGTTGAAACAGATATGGAAGAACACAAATATATTTATGATTACATTAGAATGATCATGAATAATGAATCAGGATATTTAAAGCAGAGAGTGATGGATATACTTGAAAATCACGAATATCTTGTTTATTTACTGTGTTCCACGAGTAGATATCTCAATTTCTTTAAGTTGGCTGATCATTCTGCTCTCCATCCGTTGTGTATCAAAATTTGTTACAAGAACCGAAATTTGGCTAAGTTACTCAATGAAAAAGCACCAGGAATTTGCGACCCTTATTCTGAGATAGCTGATGAGAAGTGGAAAAAGTCATCTCTCAATAATAAGCTTTATCTTTGGACCAGTGATTTTCATGCAGCACCTATTGGTTGTAATATGAAGGGTTTGGGTTTGGGTTTGGGTTTGGGTTTGGGTTTGGGTTTGGGTTTGGGTTTGGGTTTGGGTTTGGGTTTGGGTTTGGGTTTGGGTTTGGGTTTGGGTTTGGGTTTGGGTTTGGGTTTGGGTTTGGGTTTGGGTTTGGGTTTGGGTTTGGGTTTGGGTTTGGGTTTGGGTTTGGGTTTGGGTTTGGGTTTGGGTTTGGGTTTGGGTTTGGGTTTGGGTTTGGGTTTGGGTTTGGGTTTGGGTTTGGGTTTGGGTTTGGGTTTGGGTTTGGGTTTGGGTTTGGGTTTGGGTTTGGGTTTGGGTTTGGGTTTGGGTTTGGGTTTGGGTTTGGGTTTGGGTTTGGGTTTGGGTTTGGGTTTGGGTTTGGGTTTGGGTTTGGGTTTGGGTTTGGGTTTGGGTTTGGGTTTGGGTTTGGGTTTGGGTTTGGGTTTGGGTTTGGGTTTGGGTTTGGGTTTGGGTTTGGGTTTGGGTTTGGGTTTGGGTTTGGGTTTGGGTTTGGGTTTGGGTTTGGGTTTGGGTTTGGGTTTGGGTTTGGGTTTGGGTTTGGGTTTGGGTTTGGGTTTGGGTTTGGGTTTGGGTTTGGGTTTGGGTTTGGGTTTGGGTTTGGGTTTGGGTTTGGGTTTGGGTTTGGGTTTGGGTTTGGGTTTGGGTTTGGGTTTGGGTTTGGGTTTGGGTTTGGGTTTGGGTTTGGGTTTGGGTTTGGGTTTGGGTTTGGGTTTGGGTTTGGGTTTGGGTTTGGGTTTGGGTTTGGGTTTGGGTTTGGGTTTGGGTTTGGGTTTGGGTTTGGGTTTGGGTTTGGGTTTGGGTTTGGGTTTGGGTTTGGGTTTGGGTTTGGGTTTGGGTTTGGGTTTGGGTTTGGGTTTGGGTTTGGGTTTGGGTTTGGGTTTGGGTTTGGGTTTGGGTTTGGGTTTGGGTTTGGGTTTGGGTTTGGGTTTGGGTTTGGGTTTGGGTTTGGGTTTGGGTTTGGGTTTGGGTTTGGGTTTGGGTTTGGGTTTGGGTTTGGGTTTGGGTTTGGGTTTGGGTTTGGGTTTGGGTTTGGGTTTGGGTTTGGGTTTGGGTTTGGGTTTGGGTTTGGGTTTGGGTTTGGGTTTGGGTTTGGGTTTGGGTTTGGGTTTGGGTTTGGGTTTGGGTTTGGGTTTGGGTTTGGGTTTGGGTTTGGGTTTGGGTTTGGGTTTGGGTTTGGGTTTGGGTTTGGGTTTGGGTTTGGGTTTGGGTTTGGGTTTGGGTTTGGGTTTGGGTTTGGGTTTGGGTTTGGGTTTGGGTTTGGGTTTGGGTTTGGGTTTGGGTTTGGGTTTGGGTTTGGGTTTGGGTTTGGGTTTGGGTTTGGGTTTGGGTTTGGGTTTGGGTTTGGGTTTGGGTTTGGGTTTGGGTTTGGGTTTGGGTTTGGGTTTGGGTTTGGGTTTGGGTTTGGGTTTGGGTTTGGGTTTGGGTTTGGGTTTGGGTTTGGGTTTGGGTTTGGGTTTTGGGTTTGGGTTTGGGTTTGGGTTTGGGTTTGGGTTTGGGTTTGGGTTTGGGTTTGGGTTTGGGTTTGGGTTTGGGTTTGGGTTTGGGTTTGGGTTTGGGTTTGGA